ATCGAAAAGTGTTTCGTGAGTTCTTGGATGAATAACAATTTCCATTGGATGATCTTCCGACTGCAGATTATTCGACTGCATGATGCTTTTGAAGAGGTTAAATACCTATTGAAAAATCACTTATTTAAGAGGTTTAAATTACTTTTATTAATTGTAATGATGAACTTGTTTCATCAAGATCTCTTCAATGAATGACTAAATTAAATTAAAGAATTTCAATCAACCAATCTCATTGGTAACTAAAATAATCATAACTGATATTTGTAACAGATCAATCTAGTATTTCAACACTCACAACATCAAACCCAATTGGTGTGTAAACGTAATGAATTCCTTTCTGTTTCAATGGCGAACCTTCTTGATTCAGCACAGCGAGTTTCTTAACCAGCAATGGATCTAACTGCAGCAAATGACTTTTTGTAACGTATTTGAAATCTACAACAGCAACTTCACCGGAAATGACTAAGTTGTCGTCTTCTATCAACAAAATATCACAAATCATGTTTGCAACCTAATTTATGAGAAATTTCAATGAATGCAATGGGAGTAAAAAATATTAAATAAGATTTTAAAGTGCTTCAAACCTTCATGATATCAATCATTCGATATCGTGTTGCATCATACGCACCAGGGCGAATCAAAATGACCCTTGGACTGTCGGGTTTATCAGTAAGTGGCAATGGAAGTCCAATTCCTAGTCGGATAATTTCAAGAATTTTCGGATCGAGAGGATCGCGGCCCAGCATTAATTCCGGAAGTGACGTGCGACAAGTATAAAACATTTCAATCTTTCTTACAGTTCTGTTGATGTCATGTCTGGCACCTCGTAAAAACGTAATTAGAAATTGGTCATCCAAACGTGATCGGAGATGCGGCAAACGTTGAAGCATCCTTTTGACTTCATCAATCTCATGGCTTATGTTTTCGGGAATCTCACTCAACTCTTCTATTGCCTTTCTTTGTAAACTTTTTGATAAAATTCGTATGTTTGGCATTTTTTCACCTTTACTACTCGAATTTTTCCTAAACACTCAATAAATGATATCGAAATTGAGAAACAAAAGTTGTTATCACTCACTTTTTTCTGCACGAAATACAAGAACTTAATCTTTTGTATTGAGACGTTTTTGAAAGGTGACGATGATAAGATAACGACAATGAAATAAATGAATGAATGAATGTTGGAGAAAATGGTAAAAATATTAATAAATAATATTATATCGATAATATGTTCAAGTTCAATAAATAATCTGTCACCAACACATGAAAATAATTTTGGTTCTCTTGATTCATTAGTTAAATATTTTTTTATTGATATCAAACGACAAGTCATAACCAGTTAAGTAGGAAGAAAATCAATCTATATTGAGCGATCTGAAAGAACCTTCAGCACCGAACATTGTACCGTAATCAGTTGCACCTGTGCCATTCAGACTTTCAATTCGATAATTTGGATCTTCAAGGTACCATTGCCGACTTTCAAGTATCTTCTGTCTCCAATCGACAATAATTTCCGGTAAGCTACTATTAGATCCACCATACTCTTTTGGAAGATATTTCTTGTCAACAACTTTGTGTAATTCATCGAAATTCTCGTGCATGAAAATTCGACTGCGAAGTTTCTCATGACACACGCTCATGAGAATTTTAAATGCTGTTTCAATGCCTTTCGGTGGATGCACAAGATGAATCGCTTTGACACGAACTGGAAAAGGTTCGAGCAGTGATGACAACTTTTTAATAAGTGTCGGTGTAATCTGCGACATTATTCCAATGCCACAGCCTTTTAAATCAACTACATTTATGTGTCCAGAAATGATTGTCACGTCAGAATTTATTAAACACCAGTCGGCCATCAAGTATGTCACTTTCATAACAGATAGAAAATTATATTTGTTGTAGTCATATCCTCCTAATCGTGTCAGAATAATTCTAGCGTCAGTCTTGGACTCATCAACAGGCAATGGCATTATCAGTCCAAGATTGATAATCTCTTGAAGATATTTATCGGTGGGATCACGATTTGTGAAGAATTCAGGTGTGCTGGTTCTTGCAACATAAAACATTTCAATTTTCTTCTTAGCCTTCTCCAAACTGTATTTACATCCGCGTAAAAACGTCACTAGGAATTGATCATCGTCACGAGACTTTAAATAAGTTGTTTGACTTAACCAACTTCTTAATGCATCAATGTCTGCTTGAATTCTTTCTGGTTTCTCATTTAATTCATCGTATGCTAGCTGTTGCAGTGATTCAGATAATTTCCTAATGTTAGGCATCGCGAAATATCAGCAAAGAAGTGTGAACTGTGTTGATATCAAAACCTGACTGAACAACTCTCAATGTGACTTTTATTTTTTCATTGACGATAAGGGAAAAGCAGTCTGAAAAATCAAGTGATAAGAGAGCGAAGTGATTTTATGAGTTGTGGGTAAATTTGTCATCATTTTTTCTTTTTAATACTGGATTTGGATTGAATTTGACATTTTTTTGGCCCTCCTTATTTAGAAGTGGAGAAGTTGAAGTGAAAATAAAAATAAAACTTAATAAATTTTCAATCATAAACTTAATTTTTATTGTTTTTATTCTTTATCAATGCATCATAATTTTGTTTCTTTTAAAAGTTTTAATTGTTGGAACATTTTCTGACAAGTTTATTTACATGCTAATCAATAAAAGTTCTTCTTTGATTTTAAAGAAATTAGAATGAGATCGAGTTTAAGTCGATTGCTCTTTACGAGTAGAAGAATTGATTGGCGACTTTTGAATCGTGTAGTAAACTTGATTAGACGTTCCATTAGAATTTTTTTTATGATTCTCCTGTTGTAATTGAATCATGTAAGTTGAACTTTGATTAGAAATGTAAGGTTGGATTCGTTCAGTCTTAACGCGCTGCTGTGACGTTTTAAGTGATGACTTCTGCTGTTGTGTACCTGTCGAAATAGTTTTCGAGCTGCTTTTTGAAATTACTGATGGCTTATCTGTCGGTTTAATTAGTGGGGAATCTGATCGATTTATTGTTTGTACGATGACCTTTGCAGATGAATTTTGAGAATCATTTGAAACTTTCGATGTTGCTGGTGTTGATGGCTGCGAGCTTCTCACTTGACTTTCAGTTGGCGATGTGTCAGGAACTCTTTTGTGCCCAATTAAAAATGCCTGAAACGCATCATTGTACGAAGGTTGATTTGGATTCATTTTCTTTTCTTCTGTTTTTTTAATCTGAGGCGAAACTGTTGGTAAGTCGCTTGGTTTTGCAGTCATGACAGTCACTTTAGCAGTTTTCGTTTCAATCACCGTAACTAAAAGAAAATTTAAAATAACTAAAAGAAATTTACAAACTTTGATGAGAAAATTTACGTTTAGCATTTGGATAAGTCTCAGTTGTTGTTTCCTGATCAACTTCATCTTGCTTTGTGACATTTTCTGATGTTGCTGCACGTTTCTTTCGTCCACGATTGCTTTTCACGGTGCTACTATTATTGGGTGATAACGTTTTACGAGTTACATTTCTTGCTCTTGGTATTCGTCCCAAGTTTTTGACGACCTTCCCATCTTCACTTATGAATTTATGTCCAGCAGTTTCATACCAATCGTCGTCATAGTCAGAGTCGTGTTTTTTACGTCGTCGACGTTTGGGACGTTCATCTTCATCTGAAGAATCTTCGAGAAAACGTTGCAAATCAGATTTTCTTTCTGAATCATCATTATCAGCAATTAGACCAGCAACTTCATCTTCAGCTGACACTAAGAAGCTTCCATTTAACTCAGTTTTAACTTCAATGGGAATTTTCGGATTGTCTAAGATTTCCTGAATATTGAGCTGAGGATTTCTTTCCATGAACGAAAGTTTCTTGGTTGGAATATTAACTTTAGGCTCGTATAAATTAATTCGATATTCAGGATGTGGCGTTGTGTCTTTACCAACTCTCCAATTTTCATAAACTTCAGGTTGAAACCGTTTGACGAATGCATCCATGTCGATTTTCACTGAATCAGGGCAGCAGTGACAAATCTTTGCATGCTTTCCATATTCGATCCATCTTTCAGAAGCGAAATTTGTCGACTCAGCACAATTGAAGCCGTGATTGAAGCCTGAATGATATCCAAACGGAAAAGTGATCATAATATGTCCAGCTTCTTGCACAATTGAATCGTAAGGAATATCATTTTCAGCAAGACGTCCCGGATGTATCACAGTCATCTTATGACGAAGAAATGAGCGACATGCTTTTGAAGATTTATCGAAGATTATATCAGCAAGCTCTTCGAATCTTCGACCATACTTGGGTGGCACTGCGTACCATGTTTTAGGTGCACCGAAGTGAAGGTAATTGATGGAATACAAATCCATATCTTCAGTGTGCCATGCCTAAAAATTTAAGTTAATTTAATTACATTATGAATAACTTAAAGAAAATTTACTTACAAAAGTTGTTTTCCACATCCCAAAGTAAAGATAAGCGGTGTTGACACCATCAATTGACATGTTGTAGTCTTTTCCGACGTAATCGAGTATTGTTCCAAGATTATTAATGTTCCATTCTTGTAAGTCGGGATCGCTTATGGAGCCACAAACATCAGCTCCATAAATTCCTGCATGACTTGTGATATTCTCCCAATACTGACTCTCTAAATCAGCATAATTTGTGTGTTCTGGTGTCTTATAAGTTGAACTATTTGCCAGATTATGGAAGTCTGTTACATTCATTGATTTCAAAGGAACATTCACTTGTTGATAATAACCATGGATGCGTCCTGTCACATGAGCTACTGCTTGAAATATTGGCTTTTTTATTGTCACTTTCAGTTGAGTTAAATCATCATAACCGCTCTTTCGAGGTTTATACTCTTTTGGTGGAATAATCTGATAATCATCATGAAAAAGAGTATGAAAAAAAATAGTTTTAAATGCATGAACATAAAACATAAACAATATTCTACAAATATTTGGCTAATTCAAATAATTTAAAGTTTGGTTTGCTTAAAACTTTACAAAATCACTTACAATTTAAAAAAAAAGTTTAATAAAATTTATACAAAAATCCTTAAATTTTTTTTTCATAAATCATAAATTGAGAATGCTTTGGCTTTGTTTAAAAATATGCTCAAATAATTTTTAAATTCTTTAAATTTCTTTAAAAGAACATTAAAACAAGATTAAAATCTAATAGGGTTAGTTGGTTCAAACATAAAAGCCGAAAACGCACATGGCAAATACGAAATGCAGCCGAAGTTTTGTTTACGATTCGAGATTATTTTCTTGCCTTTCATACGTGAAAAATATTTTAACTTACTCGTGCTATGCCAGCTTTGTGTGCTCCTTTTGATTCAATATATTTGATGTAAGTTGGAAAATCTCTAAATTCCTCAAATGTCGGTCGAAAAGTTTGAATCCTAAATTCTGGGTCCAGCTCCATTTTTCTACTTTCTAACGAATAAATGAACATAAAAAATAATTCAAATTAATCTTGACTCCTCCGTGAATTTTCAAACTTTCGGATACTTCTTGGCTAATGTGATCTAATTTTGCTTTTAAATAAAAATTAAACTTTTCAGTATAATTGTAATAAATACTTCAGATAATTATTCAGAATTCAAGATGATGAAAGTTTTTTCTATTTTATTGAAAAGCATAAATGCTTTAAAACTTTTCAATGTCTCTTTTAGCCTACGTGATAATTTTTCGTGAATTTTTTGAGTTTTTAATACATATATCATAAAATTGTCACTTTTTTTCTTATTTTAAACTTCAAAGAGTGATCAAGCACTTTAAGATAATACAAAACACATTAATGTATACTTGATTAAGAATGAATCTAACAATCATGCGAAATTTATCGGAAACCGAATGATTATGAGAAAGAAATTATGAAAAATCACTCTTGTCATCTTTAAATGTAATCACCTTTTATTATATTTTAATTACCATATGCACGTTTATGTTTTAATGCATATAATGTCAATATCTAAGCCCCCCAATTCTTGATTCACAAAATTTTATTAAATTAACTTTCAAAATAAATTATTACAAAAACTGTTATAATCAAAACAGACATTTGCTTCACCTGGGTGTTCGCTTCTTTTCGCGTCTTTTGTTTCTGTACCTTAGCAATAGATGGCGGTTAAAACGTTATTCATTCTAATCTTTTAAGAAAAACTCAATTAAAGATAACTCCAAAGGAATTCTTCAACTTTAAACAATTATTCAATCATTAGTTATGTTGTTCTTAAAATAATCCTAAAGATGTGTTTTCTCTTTCAAATAAGTATGAAATCCCTGAATTTCCATGGAGACCAGAATAAAAACAAATTTCCTTATTGTTTTGCAAATACCTGCTTATTTTTTAAGAATATAAATAAAAGTCCATTGTTTATAAGAATTTGAAAACGAAATAGTCTTGTTGTGAACTTTATAATTTACAGTTATGTCAGCTTCATCGTGTTTCTTGAAAAAAGGAAGTGGCATGAAATATATTAAAAACCGACCATACACCGCAAATTGCGTTAAACGAGTAGATATAATTAAAAAATTAGGATCAATTTATTAAATTACATTTACACATTTTCTATATTTTAGGTCGTTCCACCATTTTCAGTTCAAGCACTTCAAAAAAATACTATTACTCTAGAGCCTAAGTTTAAAAAGAAATGTGAATATCTACCGACAAATATTTATGTTAAGTAAATAGTGAAGAACAAATTTTCACTGATTTTCATTTCTTTTTTATGTTTTGTTGACAGTCGTTATCGATCGCCACAACTCATCAAAGACAGCCACTTCATTTCGAATGTATTACGACCGTGGTGATTTGCCCATAAAAATGGAGTACTTAATCGGTGGTGATAAAATCAGTTGGACAGTTGACATCGATAAGCTGGATTATAGTCTTTACCTTCCGCTGTTCTTTGACGGCTTATCAGAAACTCAACATCCATATAAAACATTCGCACGGCAAGGCGTTCAAGATCTCTTATCCAACGGTGGTGATAAAATCTACGCGATTATCCCCCAACTTATAATTCCCATAAAAAATGCTCTCAATACGAAGAACATTGAAGTCATGTGCACAACGTTGAAAATCATTCAACAGTTGGTCAATGCATCGGATTTAATAGGACCTGGTCTGGTGCCATTCTATAGACAACTCCTGCCGGTTTTCAATGCTTATAAAATCAGGAACAGTGAGTAATTGTAATGTCATTATCGCATTTACGCTTCAATTAACATCGATTTCCCCTCAAATCAGTAAACATCTATGATGCTATCGATTACGGTCAAAAGAACAACCTTAATTTGGGTGATTTAATTGATGAAACCCTTCAATGTTTGGAGAAGCATGGAGGCGAAGACGCGTTCATTAACATCAAATATCTCGTACCCACTTATGAGTCTACATTTATTAATTAAGATAGTTTGTTAATCATTGAATTGTTTGTAGAACTTCTCAGCTGTGGAATTTAATGGTTATTAACGCCCAGCTTTTTCTCTATATCAAGGAACTTCACAGATAGTTTTTAATTAAATTTATGAAGTTTCCACTTTTTTAGCTTTCATCGGATTTTATTCTGTTTCCCTCTTTCTCTCTCTTTGTTTTGTTTTTATCTGTGCCAATTTTTATTCCATGAACACAAATAGATTATGATAAAATTTTTGCTTTAAAGTAAATATGTTTTTAGTTGTGGAAAGATAAAGTCAAACTTTTAAATAACAACGAGAAATTTGCGATGTTGGCAATTAAATTTTGGTGTTTCAATTTGGTTTTTTATTGCAGCAGAAGATAAACATTTTTTTCCGTGAATTAAAAGATCTTTATTTTTTAATCAGATTTTTTAATGAAGTTTAAAACAAATTGAGGATCTGAATGAGTTTAATTTTGACAAAAAATATATTTGATGCTCTTCGAAACATCGCAATTAATGTTGATAAAATTGAAAATGTTTACTTAATGATTCTTTATCTTCTGTAATAAAAGATAAGTGCATTTGATCGCACTGGAGTTCATTTAGCATAAATATATGTACATAAGATTATTTGTATTCAGAAAATCATGTTATATTAAACGATTTTAGAAGCAAAGAAAGTTTTAAAACTTTAAACAAACATACAACACGTTTGTATTCTCAATGAACCTTTTTATAGAAGTAGAATTATGTACATTCGTTCATTAAAGTTAAAAAAAAACGCACATACATAGATATCTATGTAAATACATATAAATTTTAATCCGCATTTCAGACAATTTGAGCATCCTTCCTGAAGAGAATAATGAGAAAAACTTAGGGAGGAAACACACATAGAATGCTTTAAATTGGCCGTAAAGGGATTAAAAGTAATATCTAAAAAATAAACTTCAGCTTAATGTTAATTTTCTATGCTCTATGAGTTCAATTTTCCCTTCTTCTTTCGGATTAAAATTTGGTTCTGTATGGAATTACAATGTTGTCAGTTTTAACTCTTTTCAAAATTATCCAACGATGTACTTAACATTTTTAATATGTTGAATGATCATTAAATAAATTGATATGATTTCTAATTACTGTATTGGGATTTATCAAGTGTTGTTGTTAGTGACATTGCATTTCATCTTGAACGAAATAAAGTTTGATGTTTTCTTTTTATTTGATAATTCTACGATAAGTGAATGAAATTCAAACAATTTCTTATTTTATGTATGAAAAGTTGGACAATTAAGTTGAATATTTTTTATTATAATTATGAAAGATCTTATAGTCTTTGTACCAGATAATAATCATCATCATCATCTAAATACGTCTCATGGACTTGTTTCTTAACTTTCTGCTTGAAGAATAATAAAAATATTATCTTAGACAATTCTCAGAGAATACTTTTTTATCATGGATAAAGAAAGCAGTCAAAAGAAATTGAAATATGTATGAAACACAAACTCTTAAGAAAGAGAAAATTAAAAATGATTTTACGGTTGATAGCGTTAGACTTAAATTGTGCTTTTTATATCCTTGAATGAGATCTTTCAAATGCCTTTGTGTTGCACATCCGACATAGAATCAATTAAGTTTTATGAAGTTTTCTTTCTCTTTTTCAGCAGAGCTTTTTTCTTTTTTTTGTAATTTTCTTTTAATAGGAACGTGATATAAAAATGAGATATCCCAAAAATATCTAAAGCTAAGAGCGGTAAAGTCCCAACATGATGAGAAAAAAGAAAAACTCAACGTTTCTTATCAAAAGGATCCCTTCTCATTTATTAAATAATACAAAAATGGGTTTCATGATAAATCCTTACATTTACTTTTGTTCATCCAATTCGTCGGTGTCCAACACTTCTTCGCTTTGAATCTATTATGAAAATCTTACTTCAGCCAGTACTTCAGCTTTCGTATCTCGTTTCTTTTTGTTTTTTGTTTTTTTTTCGAACCAAAATATAATCACAAAGAAGCGACTACTGCTTATGGTCTCACTTCAACAAAAAAAAGAAAGAAGTTGGAATGGGACAAAGTCCTTTTATAAACTTCCAGTTCAAGTTGTGAGTATTCTCTAAATCCTTAATCCTACTAGAGACGTAATTCAAAAAGCTTCTGTTAAAATTTGCGACGTGGAAACTATCCCAGATGACCGGGAGAATCTGAAAAATATTTTTTAAACATTTCAGATTTATTTTCATTCACTCTTACTTTTCTAGGATTGTTGAGCTGGAAAAGAAGAGACACGTTGACGTTTTCATAAAGAATCCTTTTATCCTTGCAGATAATACTTGAAATACAATGACCAGAAGATAATGCCATCTGAAATGACAGAAAGCTATGGCATGTTATGAAAGTTGGTTGTGGTAGAAAAAAATATGAAAAACTGACATGTAAGCTTAGCTTTTTTAAATTCACTGACAAACCAAGAAAAATTTTTTTCCAATTATTATAATTTTTAAAATTACCAAAACCACTTCACCATTTAATTTCTTTTTCGAGAGGATAAAGTTCTCTTTTAGAAATCGTCTATGTGGTCAACTAAAATGGGTTGCATATTTATTAGTAGAATTAATTTTTTTTATTCACCATATCCTTGGTTTTCCAATTCCTAAAAACTTTTTTTTTCAACTAATCTCTGATTAAGCTTTAAATGTAGATATAAATGAAACAAAATGAGGTGAACTGAAAAAAAAACCAGCAAGTAAACAAAAAGCTTTGAAAGCTTTTATTTGAGATGAGTTCTTTAAAAAGAATTTCTGATAAGTTTTCATCGCAAAAAATATTATTTTATCAGTTTCTTAATTACAAAGAAACTTTTTTATCTTCAAATAGTTTCATCATTGCCTTTTAGTTTCAACATTGATTCAAAGTAATTTACTATAAAATTAATAACAAATGAAAAAGATTCCGTTCTACATTTTTAGTTTCACTCATTTACCGGGAAAAAAACAAAAACACTTGTTCAACTAGAGCGATCTTCAATATTTCTTTTAGATACAAACGACATCAGGTGAAGTGATGTCAAAGTCATCCAGACATGTACAAATATTGCTCGAGATCCCTAACAAGTTCTTGTCGATAATCCATTTTATTTCTCCCTCTGCACACCATCCATCTGATGGAGTATTTTCACCTAATAATTCATAAGTTCGAAGGTGACATTCGTATAAAGTTTCTTCGACTCCGCATTTGAAGGAATTAGGACACTTTTCGCCCTGGCCAGGTTTGATATCTAATAATAAATCATAAATCAGTGTTACGGTTGAAAATATGGAAGGTAAAATTGAGCTATAGTTATGAGTACTAACCTTGACCTACCGGGATGTCTAAGCAAATATTTCCAGACGATAAACCGAGCATTGTTCCATTTAAAAACCATTTGTCTGACTCTGGACAGATGCAATTTGGATCAATTTCATTTTGCAAATTCGATATCAAGATTTCTTCAATAGTTTGACTTGCATAATTGAACTGAAGGTCTGGACAAATCGTTAAACATTTTTTCACTGCTAAAGTAAAATCTACAAGTGAAAACAATAAAATAAAAAATTCTGCAATTATTGATCTCATTTCTTTTAACTCAAGAACACAACTGAAGATGTTTGCAAATGTGTTTTGCGTGTTTGTTAATTAAAATAAGACTTGATGATATCATATAGTGTAGTGTACCTGTACGTCAACATTTTTTAGACAGACAACTTTTCATACCACAATACTCTGTATAAAGTTCTCATTTATTCGAGAAATGAATTCTGCTGCTTCCGGATAATACTTGCCAGAAAGGAAAGGACAGAAAAAGTAAATTGCGGAGTGACAAAAAAAAAGATGCTTCACGTTTCGTTCTACCATTGCTCACTCTTTCAACCGCAAATATGATGAACACCCAGACGGAAGGAAAAAGAAATTCATATCAAAAATCCCTCATAGAACATGTTTACGTAACGAGAAATAAGGAAGCCGGAAGTGGTTTCTTTAAATATATGTTCAAATATTATTAAAGGAAAGTTTACGTTGAGTAAGGTTTCTAAAAAATTTATGCTAATAATTAAGCTTTCAATAAAAGGTAATAAAAAGTTTCATTGCAATTGATCTAGGTATTTATATGCTTAAAATGCTGTAGATATGCAAGGCGTCGTCAAACAGTTTATATCGAGCTCAAATATCTCGAGTCAAATAACAATGGTCGTTTTCAATTTCATGTCGAATAATAAATGAATGAATAGCCTTTCTATTAAAATGGAAGAATAGGAGAGCATGTCTAATTTGATTGTCATAGCTCACAGCAATTTCAACACTCTCAAAGAAAATTTTGCTATTATTCTGCCTTTACAATCACTGCGCCTTCATAAAAGTTAAGAACTTGGATTTAATGAAATGTTGATTTAATAAAATTTAATTGAAAATCGAGCCTTTTCCCTCTGTTTTTGTGACCCAACAACAGGTTGGCTTTTACTTAAAAATCCCAACGTCAAACCTTGATGATGAGTCAACATTAAAAGAATGTAATTTGTGCAAATATCGTTTAACCTTTTTTTCATGGTAGTTTTAATGGAGGTAAAGAAGAGTTTAATGAAAAGTCATTTATTTTGCTTTCACATTAAAATGTTTGTGTGTGTGTGTACGACTGTATAAATGAAAAGGAATTTTTAATGCTCATCACCATGAAATTATTTTAAATGTTATGACACCAGCGTAAGCTTGGATTTCCTTTCATGCCACTTAAATCTTTTAAATTTTGATTCAAATTCATTTTGTAGCTTAGGCAGTTAAGAACTGAGGGATGGAATGTAAAAATATTCTCCGCCATTTCAATGTAATGTCCTCTTAAAACACTTCTGTTTGAAATTTATAGTCAAACTCTATAATTTGTAGTTTCAACATTAGTTTTAGCCTTTGATGCTTTCATTTCATCCTATCGTAAATAATGAAGGAAAATTCATCTCGTAAAGCAAGTGAAGGGACATATTGCCTCCGATAAACTGTAAAAAGAAGATTTCTCGCAACAACATAAAATATAAATTGAAAACAATGTACGAGTTGATTGTGAATGTCTATGTCATTTAGCGAGAGACGTAGTAAAAGATAATCGTTATAAATTTTAAAGTTGTTGGTAGGAAATTTCTAACACTTTGTTAGGAAAAGTTTGGTTCTTTTGTCTTTTTCATAGCTACAGCCACGTTACAGTACATCGCTGTCGACATATTTCACTTCTTCACTTCGACCCGATGTATATGTGTCTATGACTAGAAATAAATTCAACAGCAGTACATTCCACTACACTATCTGAAACATGAGACTTTTAATCTAAATGATGCTGCATTGTGTTGTTAAGTCCATATTTCAAGAACTATGTTTTGTTGCTTCCTTCACCCATGAATTTCAATGGTGCTTTTAATAAGTGTCTCTTGTCTCATCCTTCCTTATAATATAACTTGGTTATTGACCCTCTCATGTCAGCTTTTATTATTATTCAGAAATTCTATCGTAATATAAATAAATCGACTCGCGAATTTTCCAGAGACACTTCAAATTTGTTAATTTTTTCCTTCGTTGTTGTGAAGTATCCTTGACAATAAATCAGAAAATCCTCTTGAGCTACTGCTTGCTTCTTGTTCTCTTCTTAGCTGAAGAAATTAATTTTAAATTTCCTCTTGATTCTCGCTCTTTGTTACGTAATATTTTTCTACATTTTTTTTGATACTTTACCATTCATGCAATTATTTTCGGAGACGACGAGCGACAATGAGGGAGAAGGTACGAAATCACTTGAAAGTAAATTAAAATTCCATGGTCCTCAACAGACAATAACTCTCCGGGAATCCTTTTTTATTCTATTTTGTTGAAAAGAAAAAGAAATAACATTTTAATTCAATCCCTTGGAGAACAGCGAAGAGACAACAGCAACAGCCTAGAGCGTAATATTTTCCAATGATTAATTTGAAATAAAAGCAAAATATGTTAGATATTGGATCAACGTAAGAATTGTGGAATTTGAAAAGTCTAAAAAGTATCTAATGCCGATGAGATCACAATAGATGGAAACGAATATTTACGCAAGGGATTACGAGGCAAAACCAGAGAAGAAATGAAAAAGCAACAATGTGGAACTAGGTGGATGAGGTTTAATGAACATGCACAGTTTCCCATTAAACATTTTACGTTAAATTACACCGCATTACCTTCGTCATAATAAATGGTTTCAATGCATTTACGAGAAGAAGCAAAATTCCATTAAAACTGTTTCCATTGTGTGAATACATAAATTTAACTTTTTAAAATCAACCCCTCCCGAGTCACTAAATTCGTGTATTGTTATTAAAATTCCCTCGAAAGTGTCAGGGAAAATATTTTTATTACTTGTGCAACTCGAGTTGGTGACTTTTACAATTCTAACAAATAAATTCTTATGCACCATGTGCTCATAATTTTCTATTTAAACAATTCTGCTTTTGCATGCAGTGAGGCGATATAATCGATGGTTAGTTGAAGTTAACTAAATGATTGTTTTGATTGGGGTGAGAAAAATTGAGAATTGAAAACTCTTCAGATTTGCTGAGATGATGTTAGACAGAAAGATATTAAAATATTTTTTATAAATGTCTGCAAACGTTGGAAGTTTCTCCGCTCAAATTTAATTTTCAGGTTTGTGTACATTGTAGGCTCGAGAATTTTGATTACTGAAAGAAAAAAATAAACAGATTAAACAAACTTTTTTTAATAACATAAAGGTAAGTAAGAATGAAGGGTGAAATATTTCCGGTTAATTCTATTTCACTTTTAAGGGGTGAATCAAATTCTAGTTTGTGTTCTGATTACATTCGTTTAGCTTAAAACATACATGGATATAAATCGGAGCATGATTTTAAATTAATTTGAATGATCTTCTAGTAAAATAACCTTTTCTATTATCCCTTTCATTATGATCACACATCTAAGCAGCGCCAAAGAGAATGAAGACTTTCACCCCTAAGCAACATAAAGATGAGAAACCACATTGAGATGAAAGTTTTAATTAAAAAAATCACTGTTGTTTGAAAATTTTAATCATAGCGTACTTATTTCTGTAATTTCTTGCCATTTTCGCTTTATTTCACTCAACTTCAACTTGCATTGTTCACTTGAGAGATTTGCTTCTGTGCCAAAGATGAACCGATGAACATCAAAACGTATTGAGGTGCAAGCAATGATTTTATTGCTTCGTGCATAAAACCGCACACACGATTTGTTTTACTGCTTCATTCTCCATCACTTTAGGATCCCCACGAGATGTTCTCGTTCTATCCAACTCTTCTTAACTGTATACATATCTGCAGCTGAAGAACACTACTCAATTCACTTTAACCAATCTCATTCGAGAATATTTTAAATTTCACATCTTTTGCGTTGTTGTTGAAAAACTCAGTCGCAATAAACAAAACAAAAGTTTTTCTTGAAAGTTTTATTTTTTTTCTGCTGATGCTTGAGTCTTGGCTTGAGTTGTATTTGATATCAAAAGAGGCAAATAACAATTGAAATAATATTTTCCACATTTTATACTCAACTCTCGACATATATCCAACGATGAAAAAGTTTTCTGGCTGAGGTGAATTTGTAGGAAATTTTGAGCGAATTTTATGTAGTGAGAACAATTGAAAAAGTAGCAGAGGGATGGCGGTACAGTGAAGATAAGTAGAAAGAAGTCATGAAGGCTAAGCCTTAGCTAAGCATCCCTTGGAATCATTGCATGAAGTTGCGCCAATCACACAAGATTCTAACAGTATTGAAGAAAGTCTTTTGTTGCTAGTTGCATGAAAATTTTCCGGTTGATGGGAAAATTTTCAATTATAACTTCTTCCAAAGCTGCATACGTCGTTCGATCAAGATAATTTTATGATGGAAAATTCCACTTTCCTCGACATTTTACTTCTCTTCACGATGATTCATATGGAGTTGAATATGACTAAATTTAAGTTTCCTTAACTAAACTGCAGTGGGTTGTATGACTCATTACAAGCAACTTTTTAAAAAATTTCGTGTTGAACATCTCGATTACGAATGCTAATTTATTTATTTATAGAAACATTTATTCATAGATTTTAAACTATAACATCATGATTCATGAAACGAATATATATTTCAATGACGAAATTTGTAGTTTTTTTATGTTCTTATAAAATGAAGCGAATTAAAAGGAAAATTATTCGGCTTTTTACAGCATTAAGAATTGGAAAATATGTAGATTTCCTTCGCGATATTATTTTAAAAGTTTCATTTCTCGTTGCTTATCGTCGTCTAGAATTTCATTTCGAATTGTTGTGGACGTTTATAAGTGATGTCACTTATACTTAATCCGGAATTTGTTATAAGAAGAATTTTGCATTTATTTATTTGGCAAACTAAATGCATGCAATGATGCTGATTTCTTTTTTCCACCATCGAATTCATTTTCTCATTTTGAAAGCTGAAGTTTTTGCACAGCAGTACAAAACTTTCTCTCCGCTTTTTCTTTGCAATCGTTGTGACTAACTTTGCTTCTGTAAGAGAGAAAAAAGCTATTTGCTATTCTTTTTTACTTACTTTGAGATTCTATACGTTTGTGGGATTGTGCAACTAAGTGAAGCAAAGTTTTCTGTTTGTATGCATTTACTCGACTCCGACGATTTCTGAAAAAGGAGAATGAAAAAAGGGAAAAATTTCCATTTATTGCTATCGCTTTTTTCTTCTCCCCAGGAATGTGGAAAGTTTTTGTGTTAGAAACTCTTTTTATTCTTTCTTTCTCCTTTTTATTAAAACCCCAAAGAAACCTCAGAAAAGTTTCTCTTTGTCGATGGTGAATTAGATCAACAGTTTGTTGCATGCAAGAATCCAGTTGATTATATTTCTACTCGAAAAGAAGTTCTGGAGAAATTCGAGACTATGTTGGATTATGCATGATAAGCAAATGAAAATTTATGCAAAACTTGCTTTCATTCGCTATTTTTTCCTTGCTCATTTCTTCTTACTTTATTGTGCAATATCAAGTCACAAAAGGAATTGAATATTTGTGTTTTAGTTAAAAGTGTTAAGTGAAACGAAGAAATATCCTCTTGAGATGCGAATATAATCGATTTTTACGTTATGCAGTTCTAGATGTAATCAACAAGCGACGAATTGCTATGTTGTATGCAGTTAACATCGTGGAACTTTTTGATCCAGCAATTTTAACCAACTGATTCTTAAAAACTCACAAGTACCCAGTGAATTGTTTCCACTTGAGAATAAACTTTGTTTTCTCAGCTTCAAGAGAAGCATATTCGTTCAACATTAAATAATGATTGCAATAATATCCTGAATTCTTATCAAGTGGGAATTTGTTCCAAAGAGAGCTTATTTAAAGATGAATCAAATGTTGAATAAGCTAACTTATTATTTTTACTCCCTCAAAACTGTTGATATGACTTTTTTATTTATTTGATTCAAACATTATTCACAATAAACTTTTCCAAATCTCAACTATGTACATGCATAATCCACACAAGTGTTTTCCTCTTTCACTCAACTTCAAGTGGCTATTAAATATTTTTTTATTCGTCCTTTCTATGATTTGAATGTAGCTATTTTAGTTCGTTTCCATTTGAAATGTTTTCATATTTTTTTAAACAATTTTTAGAGACTCCAATTACTCTGAACAATTTGTTGTCGCTTTTTGTTCAATGGAAGTTTTTTTCTTCTCTTTTTTTATGAATGGAATTAAACAATATTGGCACAATAAATTGAATTAACTATAGGAGATTGTCAGACCGCTTCTAAATTGGAGAAAGCCATACCTCCCTTTAAAAAAAATCTATTCGAAATCGAAATTCAGCATTTTTCCAATCGTTCGGTGAATAAATAACTCAAGAGAGGTTTTAATTCGATAGCATCAAATTTATTGCAATGCATCGTTGAAATATACTTCAATGCCATGAACTGCGCTATTTACAAAAAATTGAAAATAGTTATAGAAATAGATTTCATAGAATAAGAGTTTTTATTTGAAATAAAATAGAAATAGACAGAAAACGTTGTTAAGACATGCATGGAGGCAGGCAATTTACATGGATTACCTAAACTATTGGAATAGAATACTTTTCATCTATCGTAAGTCACTACTAAAAGCAATAATAAAATTCCAATTTAATTTTTATGCATTTCTAACTTCATCCATAAATATTCACAAGACTTTATTTCCCGATTTTCTTTTCACGTACTAAATACATTTTCCTAAGCGAGAGAAGATTTTTCTTTGATGTTTTTACGAGCATCAGACGATGAAAGAATGATTGAAAAATGGTTTGATCTTCACAGCGGTGGGTCTCTAACTACTGTTAATAAATGGCATGTGTTAGTCAAGTAGCTCCTTAACATCTCTCGTTAATTATTGAAGACTCCTCAAAGAAGAACCACTTAAGTCTTAAGATGATACATAAGTCGAGAAACTGAGATATTCTCATCATGATTCTTCGTCTTTACTTTCTTTTCAGAATCCTCTTGAGAACTAGTCATGAGCTTACTTTTTTGAAAATATAAATTTATTGGTTTCGTTTATCGTTCTCTTCCTTTGCATTAAGAGTGTCTAAAGAATACTGCAGAGCCACGTTACAAGTGAATTTCGCATGTCCTTCATAATCTCTGAATGCATCACGTTTTTTTCTTCTAGTTTTATTCAGCATTGAAAGGATGAATTGAATCGTAAATAAAGTTCAAAGATTAGAAGTATATTGTTAAGATATTTATTTAGAAATTCGTATTGTCGGTCAGTCTAGGAGAGTTGCATAAATGTATGAAAGCCTAACTGAATTTTTTTTTCATCTCAAACAATTTCATTTTTCAAAATTCATGAAGCGTGCACAAAACTATGTCCACTGATGTCTGATGTTGTTTCTATGTTTCTATCTTTCGTAATGTCAAATGCTGCTATGAATTATTTATAGATGGAAATCATTTGGTTTTGCAAGTCTCACATATTTCTTGAGAACTCATCCCTCAACAATCAGCACTTTTTCGCCTCATCAGTTGTCATCAACACCAAGAGTTGATTCTTAATGTGATTTTGAGTATTTCTTTCATGCAGGAAAATTTCAACTTATAAGTTATCTAAGTAAGTATCACAATTTAGCTCTCAATGATAATTTAACGATAAACGATATCAAATATCTAAAAGTAGAAATCATAAAAGAAAAATCATTTCTATGTTGCTTTCGTAATAAAACTAAGAAAAATGTTCAATTGACATTAAAAAAGTTTCGTTTGTCATGTAAACTGTTTCTTTAACAGATGCTATCATCCAATTTTATACATCTATCAAATATAATTTTATACAACTCCCGGTATTAGCCTTTTAGTGGCGTAACGACATTTTAAAAGTCTCTTCAATTTACTTCGCTATATTGACTTGACAACCCCTTCGAGGTCGTGCAATACGATTGGTTGAAGATATTAAACCGAATTAATTCTTAATATCTACACTAATAAAAAATCTTAATTGAAATTAACTATTTGGTTCTTAAAGTAATGAATTTAATGATTTCAAACGACTTAAGTACAGCTTCGAGAGTATCAAATCAATTTTAGAAATCTCGAGATAACTCGCAGTCCTAATGAAACGTAACGAAAGAAAAAATACCCACGAGAGACAGAGTAAAGATTCATTAATTGATTTATTTCAAACGGCGTTACAAATTGTTTTCTTTCTAAATTTATTGGAATCATTAATAGGTTCTTCTCTCTCTTTCTCACTCCCTCCTTTTAATTTTACTCACTCAAATTGATATTAATCATATGGATTTAAACAATTCGATTCAGTGAAGGTCTTCGTCATCATCTGGCGATTTTTAATTTTCTCCCAGTGATGAAACGATCAAATTTTATTTGTTGCTTTGCTTATTCGACTTTTCCAATCGTTCTACTCATTGGGATCTATTTATTTTGGCTTTTTATTGCTTGATATCCAATTCCAACCCATATCTTTTTACCCTGTGATTATTTTGGATGATTTTGAAGAAACTTCCTTGCCTTCTCTTCTTCAATTCGTTTGGATTGAAATTGATATACTCTGTGAATAAGGCACACACGTGGTGGTGGTGGCTTTTATGATATGATAGGGAGATAGAAGACTGCAAATAACAGAAATTCCATGGGAAAGAGAGCAACGCACTTGAGCCATACTCATAAATTCCAACTGAGATTTTTATCCCCGAGTCTCAATCTCCATTGCATCATTAAACGAAAATAAAAATCAGATTTCACTCTTAGAATTTCATTTCACTAACCATTGCTGCATTCTCTTCCCCTTTTCTTTGCCAAATATGAAATGCCATCATCATCATTTTTGCTACCGTTGTGCTTATGCTTTATAAATAAAACATGTAGACGCATATTGATGGAAATATGAAATCATATTATTCCATTTCATACATTGGCAAAAGTATTTCTATCTTTAAATCAACTGTAGCGAATCGCATGTCTTGTCTTTATGAAATATAAATCTTAATAAGAGAAGAAATGAAACGAGATTTACTTCTAACAGAGAAATTTTCTCATAAAATTGCAATTTATCTTGTCTAAGTGCAGTGGGAAACCACCATGAATCTCATCTTTACCTTCATTTGCTGTGTCTTTAAGATTTATGATGTGGAGGGAAGAATTGTTATGCTTCGTGTTTGCTAAAATTTCGACAGCACTTTTCATGACTTCTAAATAAATTTCGAATGAAACGATTTTCTAAACTTAATTTGCAAGAAATACCAGACAGATAATTCTTAATTTTATATTTATTTGTGGTAATGGTGACGAATATTTCTTGTTTTATGAATTGTATAATTGTCCCAGATAGTCTGCGATGCTTATGAGATTTAAAGAAAGAACTCATCAAGCAGGTTTTCATTTATTATGAGAACGTCTTCGAAGCTTCTTTAATATTGACGATGGTTGTCATTGCCTCGTCGTTATCACTAATCTTTTCTTAGAATGAAGATTTCTTTTCTAACGATGATGTGAATGTAGAAAATGTAATTTATAGACAACCATAATGCGGTTTCTCTTCATTTCATTCACTTTTGCTATTATTTTCTGTTACTAGGTAATTAAGCTTGAGTATAAATTTCATTTGGATTTAATCTTTAATTTGTTCTAAGGGCAGATGAAAGTGTTAAAGTCTAATAATTATGATGAAAAAATGTGATTATTACTTTAAGAGGTTTCAGTAATGTATAACTTATTTCATAAATCCATTAGCAAAAGGAAAAGTGTTGCGTCATTTCATAACTCAAATAGATAGTAAACTCTCCGCGATCTCGTTATATATTTATAAAAAATTTGAGAAAGGATCCAACTCGAAACTGACAGCAGGCTGATGAAGTCAACGGGAAAGTGTCATACCTGACATCAAAGCGAAATAGGTTTTGACTCCTGTACCGGGAGAGGGCGCTGAGAGCGGTAGTATACGACGAACGACGGGAGTAGACGGACGCATGCGAACACTGGTGTCAGCGGAAAAATTGGAAAATGAAGGAAATACGATGAAAATTTAATCAAAATCGAGCTAAATAGTTGGTACAACGTAAGTGGCAGTCAAAAATATTAAAGGAAGCGGTAAATAGGGTGAGTTAAACGAAAAGGAAAAATTTTTCGGATGGCGTTGTTGAACAATGTGTTTTTCTGAGAAATGCGGAAATAAAAACTCAGAAAGTGAAAGATACGACGAGGAAAGAATGGAAATAGGCCGGAAATATTATGAACAACGTTTTAAGAGAAGTTTTTTTTTGAAGTGACGCGAAATTTTCCTAAAAATTGTGAAATAATTTCATGTGTGTATTGGTAATAGATACTGAAGTTTTTTCATTTTTTTTACTCAAAGCCGTAAAGATTTTTTTTTTATGCTTCAACGACAAGATTTTAATTGATCAACGATAAGACAACGAGATTTAGAGATTGAAGAGACTTCGAGATATTGAAAATAAGACGATGATAAGTGCGATGTGCACAGAGAGAGATTGAGATTGATGATAAGTGCGGTGTGCACAGAAAGATTGAGATTGATGATAAGTGCGATGTGCACAGAAAGATCGAGGTAAGTGCGATGTGCACAGAAAGTTCAAGATAGTGAAAAAGATAAGAGAATGAGATTTAGAGATTGATAAGACTTCGAGATAAACGATGGAAAGTTGAGATTGATTGACGATAAGAAAATGGGAAAAAGAGACTTCGAAAAAATAAAAAAAAAAAAAAAACAACGATGAAAAATTTGGAATGATCGGCTATGGGAGAATGAGATTCAATTTTTAACAAAATTCGATATTTGAATTCAGGAGTTTTTGCAATATATCTTGTTTTTAGTTTAGCAACCGATTTGACATTTATAGTCGCGTTTCGCCATACGATTATCAGTGCGGAGTGCACAGAAAGTCGGAGAATTGGAAATGTGATGAAATATGTATGGGGGAAAGAAATGGATTTGGAAAAGTCACGGGTTCAAACCGAAGTGGTGGCATTTTTATTTTTAAATTTTATTTTTATTATTATCGTTGCGTTGGATGTGGTTGAATGAAATTTATTTAGTTTTGGTTGATGAAATGACTAGGATTGGGTGTGGAGTTCTCGGACATGTTTTAATTTGGTTACCGACAATCGACTTGAGACTCACATTTTTGCATGTTTCATTTTCAGTCTTGTTCCCATAACAAATGGGAGAGTTTCATACTTCACTTTCTTAAGTAAACCATTGACTCATCTTATATACAATATTTGCCGATGGAAATTTCTTCAATTTTGGTAAAGCATGGATACGAGGAGATAAATAAATGTGAGGTTGTCTTTATTTATTTTATGGAAGTGTTTACAAATGTTTACATTTGGTAAACAATATACAAAATAAAAAAGTTAATTTTTTATTAAGGGGAAGGGTGTACCGGGAGAGGGCGCTGAGAGCGGTAGTATACGACGAACGACGGGAGTAGACGGACGCATGCGAACAACTCCTGCTGAAACAAAATTCCATCCTTTTATTGTTGTCACAAAATATACGACGGAAATTCCGAGGTTAAATGTGAGATGTGTACTCCTTTTATATTTCATTTTTACTTCTCTCCAACAGTCAGCAAAATGTTTCAAACATTTTAAAGTTGAAATGAAAAAGTTCAAAACGTCGAAAGTCACGTTCATGTTTAAATTTTATTCTGTGATGTTCTTCTTGTCTTTGCCTGCCTATTTGCAAATTCTTTGTTTAAACATGTGTGTGTATGTGATATTTAGGGCGATTTGAAATTTGAAACAGACTTCAATTTGCAACTTTCAATGATGGTCATTAAAGCGACACAATTTAATTCCAAAATTCTGCTAAAAGAAAAGATGGAACGGAGAGACGTTGTTCTTGACTTGTCCTTTCAAACATGCACGTTCTTCCATTTCCATAAAAGACCATTAAACATGAGAATGTCTTTGAAGATAACAAAATTCTTTCACATGTTCAATTAGCTTCATTGTGGTTCAAAGCCGTTTAAAATATACTGAAATGAACAAGAGAGTTCATGTCCTCATGAACAGTTCACTTCCCTTCAACCAGTTGAAGTACTTTCGAAAAGAAAACTTCGATTTCCGCACAAGACGCACATTAGACACTCAAATTTCCGCACAAATGGCTTTCAAAATGGATTTTATCCAATTATCATGAATGGGGTTTTAAATTATTAAAATGTGATATTCAATATGGACCCTTTGAGTCTAATTTCAATATTCTTTTAAAGCCATCCACAGACAAATACGTTTCAATATTGACCATCTCAATATTTTTTATATTTAACAAGAGTTTCAAATGCTTCAAGGGTTGAACGACTTTTTTTTATTACATGCGAGATTTTACAACAAGAGGGTGGATAAAAGTTGCGCAAATGTGTAAAAAATTGAACAGAAAATAACTGCATGAAGGATAGCGTGCAAAATCATTTATTCTATTGTTAAGAAAGTATATTGGGTATAGGATTTTAATGGAAACTTCCATCAAAAGTCAACTGCAACGTGTGTGTGTTGAACGTTTGATGGTGTGACAATGGGATAGTAAATGATTATAAATGGATCTGGCAATTGCCATCAATAATATTCAAAACGCTTCGAAGTAAACGTTTTCTGACCTTTTTTCTCTCGCTGTGAATGTATCGTGACCCCAGAACGTAGTGACGATGGATTGAGCGAGGGTCCAGATTCTCGACTTTTTTCTCCAGAGATTTTCCTAAAAAGGAAGTCTTTTTATAACATTACGAATGAATATCCCCTGTAGCCAGAGAGGTTCATAATGTGAATATGTTGTAACCTGATATGTAACGCTGGAAGGCATGATGAAGGATGGGAAGTCGAAGGGAATACATATATCCGATAAACCAAGCGATAAACGTATGCAAATCCCGAGAAATTTAAAATTAATTGATATAAATTACAGCTGTTGCTGTCTACATTGAACACTGGAATAAACTTTTCATTAAATAACAAAGAAAAATTGGAAATTCGAAGGTAGACGAAGCTTGATAATCACTCACTTTTGTTTGTTTATCCCTTTTTCTAATCTATTGCATTGCCAAATGTCATCAAAAGCTGTTCATGAATAAATGATTAAATTTTTACATGTCAAGAAACTGGAAGTAATTAATCGTTCTTCACTCACAGTATGGCTTAAATTTCTATTGTCTGTTATAACTGCAATTAACATGTTTTAAACAATAAATAAGAATCACAACACACACGATGGAATGATTTACATGCATTTATACAAAACTGAACATTTAAAATGATGGCAAAGCATAGTTTGAATCAATTTCAACCTACAAAATTAAACTTGAATAGAAAATTATTCAATCGTCTTTTAATTACATTTTCCAAATGTTAGAAGCATGTTAATGTCGTTGATGTTGACGGTGATGTTGTGTTGATGATTATTTCAATGAATTTCTCTGGAAACTTTTCCTACCCTTTATGCACATATGTTGATCTAACTCAATGAGTGATTTTATTAATGAAGAACGAGAATAGCGAGCGTGAAACCATGAAAAGTCATAAAAAGTAATTATATTATGAAACATGAGATATGGCGAGTGCAGAGTTACCTTCTAATCTTCTGGTTGTTTCAATATCAAACATTGTCATGGTTGTCGTTTGAATTTATACAAAACGAGAAACGGAGAACTTCTGACAGGCAAAGGCAGGAATTAAACTTAACATTTCTAACACAAATTGACTCTAAATGTTACTCTTCAATATTGATTTTCTAATTTAATATTTGATTGAAGAATCTTTGAAGTTGTGTTTATGTAACAGTTCATGAAATGAGAACTTCAATATTAACAAGTGAGTTTGAATTGCATTCAATAAGATCAAATACAAATAATTGTTTTTCCTAACACTTTTCTATAATTTCCCTTCAGTTCATTTCATTCGCTCGTGCTAAAATAATATTAATGATATATGTACATGTATAAATTTGTTTTATCAAACATCATAGTATGATTTCATGATTAAATAATTGCTTGAGGCATACTAAGCTCAAAGAGGCCAAAACGTGTATGCACGAAGCAACCTTCCGCTCGTTCAACGTTTTAAATAAAATATTAATTTCCATTTTTAAAAATCATTTGGATTTTTCCGCTTGTTTATTTAAATATATTTTTCTCTCTTACGTGGAAATCCGTAGCTTTAGTACAATTTATCCTCCCTTTGATAAACAGAGTTGGAATATCCTGAAAGTTTTTAATTTCCAAGTTAATTTAAATATTCTCATATATTCTCAAAAATATTTTGGCTACATACTTATTTAGGGTTGTTAGAAAACTTCTAAAGTAAAACTTTATTCATAAATAATTCGCAATGTTACTTCACTTTAATGCCAATCTGAAGTTTGATGTCAATATAATAGAAAAAGGAAATTTTAATACACCTGATGGAATCATAAAACAATATTTGATATGAAAACAATTAATACGTTGAAGTTTTTTCTTTCACTTGCCGTTATTTGAACAGTTTTTTATTCACACACGGATATGTAAATAACTTGCCCGGTAGCTGGTTTACAAAACATTCTTTTTCCTTTTTTTCCGGCCGTTTTTAATTAAAAATTTATTGTCTGATGAACAAAAAATGTGGACAAAAAGTAGAAAAATTAAAGTTAAATTTTGAAGTTTTAATTCTTTTTTTTTGGTAATGACAACAACAAACACCCACGCTTGGTTTCGAGATAAAAGACGGAAAGAAAAAGTTTAATCCACTTCATAATTTGCCAGCTATTTGGTTAATGGTAGTTAAAAATATACGCAAATAACATTCATTGAACATCGGACACCCTTGAAGATGGATGACAATTAAAATCAAAGGAAAATCTCTGCTTTTAATTACGATGAAAATTTTTCCTTCTTCTATCGTAAAAGGAAAAACTTCAAGTGACCGAAACTGGGGTTGGTTCTATTATTTTCCCCTTTTCTGGACCGAGGTTTAATTAAAGTTGTGAATTAGATGAATTGTCTCTGTTTGTTGCTACAAATTCTTCTAGTAAATAAAGCAGAAAATAGCAAGCCCTTAGTTTTCTGTTTCAAAGTTTATTTTATGGCATGAAATAAGTCCCAAATTAAGGGAGTGATGCTTTCAGGATGGATTTTATGTTAAAGCGTGGGGTTTGCTTTTGCAATTATAATGTACTCACTTTGTGTGATTTTTATGAATCTAATTTTGTTGATCAAAGAAAACCATAAACATTCGCTTCATGCCAAAACTTTTTGCCTATTAATGTCCGCATGATGGCACATGTATGCATTTTTGTTGCTAATGTTGCTTCTCATTTCGTTTCAAAACCAGGGTTTCCGAACTGATTCAAAAAGAATTGAAAGTGACAATTGAAGGATTACAATTTCATGTTCAATCATCGTCAACATCGGATATGGTGAGTGTTGTGTTTATGCAAAAAGTCTTGTGACATGGTTGAGTGGATAATGATAGCGCAGTTCATGTGACAAGAATTGGAAAGAAAAAGACGAATGAAAGCATGCTGGGAAATTCAAACGCTCACTTTTCATGTTGCTCGCTCTCCAGAATGTTGAAAGACTTTACAGAAATAAATAATTCATTCATCGCTTTCCATTCGAATCCATTGGAGCTGTAAAATAAATTACAAGCTGCAAAAAATGCATAGGAAAATCGAGGATATGATGAAGCATATCTCAATTAGAAGCTTCACTTGGTAAAATACGATGCTGAGACTTGAGAATGAAGGCAAAAGGAATGAAGGGTTATCGTTTGACGACAAAATTCTCCTGAATCTCTTATGAAATAAATTTCTTCTAAAGCGAATGTTACTAAAGTTTTCTAACGATTTTCACTCCCACTACTCGCTGCTGCATCATATTACACAATCCATCGTTGAAGACCCTTTTTAATCATCGTTATGTTCGCCCTTTCATGAAGTTTATGTACATTTTTCATGCCAATTAAGAGAGAATTTGCATAACTTGCTGATTTTGATGTTTTTCCATTTTCACGGGAGAACTACGACCAACCACCATCTGATACGATGTGAATCATTTTAATATCATATCATAACATGGTTTCCCTGTTTATATATTTTTTCACTTTCGTTTCGCCTCTCATGTCAATACGAATTTGTATTAATCAAATAAATTACAATCTTTAGCATCATACATAAAATATGGTAATGTGAAATAATATTTTTATTACTTTTGAAGAGTTTCTCGTTTACTTATGAGTTAAAATGTTTTTTTATTTTATTAAAAATAACGATAAGCTCAGTGGTGGATGAAATTATGTCTAAAAGAATCTGAATGAATGAATGGGAGGTTTAAGTTATTCATGAAGGGAAGCTGACGAGAAATAAAGTTTAATTTAATTCACGTCCTGCAATTTCCTACGTGAAAATATCAGACCATACTACAAATATTTCATTTCTCTAAAAGGTAAATAACCATGAGGGAGCGTTTGAAAATTATGTTTGTTTGTTTACATTCAATAGAGGGAGGATGCATTATTTTACCTTTCATCAAGCATCTGGAGGGTGGCAATAATTTTATTTTATTTTTTGCAAACGTAATTTGGGAACATTTCCTTAGTAAATATTCCATTTAACTTTGATGCTCGTCAACTCGTGACCTCGACTATTGATTTTTTTTTCTTCAATTTATTTCATGTTTAGAAATGAAATGAATTTTGAATGCATTAGAAAAATCGTTTAGAATTTTTGGAATTAGATTTTCCTTTGAAATTTTTAAAATATTCTCAACTTCTCCCCGAAGGTTTAAGATGAAACAATTTTAAAAGACAGTTGCACATTAAATCATATTTCACCACCATAATAAATATTTTAGCTCCCTGTAGACTCATAAATTCTTCACACTAAACATCAAAGATTGATGAGATCCATGGGAAGTTTCCATATGAAAAAAAAAATCTAAAATTTCAATTTCATAACTCTAGTCGTTAAGCAAGTCGTTCTGTTCTTAAAAAAGACCCGCATCAAATGTATTTAAAATGTACTATGTACTCAATAAATTCTTTCTTATCATTTTGAAAAAATCTCTGATCGCTTATTTGGATTAGGAGTTCTCAAATGTAACCCTAACTGTGACTGCCAAGCGACGACTGTTGATTTGAAATTACACACTTCAATTGCCGAAAACTGAAAATTTTTCTCTTAATGCAGAGAAAACTGGGAAAAACCTTCCAAGTGCGGGTAATTATCAAGCATCTAGACCGGGGGACATCAATTTGACTGCTTAATAAAATTCCCATTTACTGACTCACTTATGAAGAGAAACGGTTTTTAAATCGTTCTTTGAAAAGAACGATGCGTCTCATAACGAGCCACATCTTGCCTTTATCAAATTAATATCAATTTAAAATTTAAATTTTCAAAACCTCTTCAAAAGTATGTCTGTTGCTGTTATTGGAATTAAATTTTTAGACGACAGACATGAGAACTTAGATTAATTCACGAGATGGGAATTTAAACGAAAAGAAAGCATAGCAATCAAAGACTGAAAATGCAACCTAATCTATGAGATATATGTGTGAAACGTAATTAATCATAATTATGCGTTTATGCTTAGGAAAACAACTTTTCCTGCTTTTGTCTGCATCCAATGTAAGATCATGATAAATTTGTCTTTAATCTTAGAAGATGAGAAACGCTTTAATGTTAATGTCGTTTCATTATCATTTCTTTAAAAATGCTTCATCCTATTTCGTTTTCATGTCGTTGTCGGATGAGAGAGAAAGAAAAAAGCTGCACACAACATTCTTGGCGTTGATTTGGTTGTCACTTTCCCTTCATTCATTTGAAGATTAGTGTCTTTCGGCAACATATCGTTCGCTGATGTGTCGTGTGTTGCGTGTTTATAAATGACAATTGAAGAGGGAAGAGAAAAAATATTAAATGAGGTTTAAAATCTTATTTTTTTACATTTGCCGGCACCGATCTTCAACATGAAAACATTAAATCTAATACGGTCTTCAGTGTTGGATAATTTTATTTTCTCTTTCAGCCATTCAACCAACGATGATTAATCAGCCACATTTGGATATTTAAATTAAATGTAAACATTTAAAGATAGAATCACGCGATGTGTTATTTCGTTTTGTTGCTTCTTTCTGTTATTTTTGGATTTGTTATGAGAGCATTTATTAATTATCATGAAGCATTTGATCAACACGATCATCAAATATCTGAAAAGAAATTCTTTCAAACTCCACATTATTCAACCAATTTTTTGTTATGACCTTTCGACGTCAACGAAACATATTTCTTTAATTAAAATCCACGATGATTTACATCATCAACAAATTCATCATTATCTCGTTTGTCGACTCTCACGTCGTTTCTAGAAAGAAACGCGATTAACATCAAAGAGACTGATTTAGGATTTCCATATGAGTTGACATATTCATCACGTCTCAACGCGCTTAGTGAGAAGGAAAACGTTTTTATAATAAAGTGTTAAAGCGAAATCGTTAGCGAGTGAGAAAAAAGACGAGTGAAGTTATAAAAAAAATGTTCATTAATTCCTAACGACACAAACAAATCTGAGGGGAAAACATTAATAACAAACTTTTTTTTCTTTCTTTCTTATTTTCAAAAAGAATTTAGCAGTTTTAATATTTTCTTCTTCATCATCGGAGTTTTTTTTTTCAGGCTTAAGAAAAGTTTAAGTTGAATAGCAAGAAACACAATTAATAAAAACTTGATGATGTTTTCTTACTCTACTTAAGAATATTTCCATTAAATCTGGAAACTTCACTAAGCTTAGGGGGAATGAATTGAAGAATCATTAAGAGTCATAGTTACAACGCTAATGGTCTCAGCGAGTGAGAAATTTTTTGAAGGAAGCAAGAGAGCGATAGATGAGAGAAAAAATGAAATAATTTGACAAGTAAAGTCAAACTATTTTGATATGTGTGAAATGCTAACAACTGGTTGAGCTCGCAGCATTATAAAAGCCCAGTTGAAGAATGTTGTTGGCGCAAATGAATGATGAGCGATGATGATAATGAGTTAACAGGGCTTTGTGAACTGACAACCGCACTTCATCATTGTACACTGTTGACATGGAAAATCTTTATACATTGCCCCTGGAAGTGTTGGACGCGCTTGAACTCTCTGAGAGTGAAAGAGTGAAACAAAAATTAATTATCTTTATATTATCTAATTAAAAAATGTGTCTAATGTTAGAAGAACATTGCGCTATGTGGAAAGGCAGCATGAAAGAGTTCCACAAAATGATAAATGTATTTTAAAGTGAAAAATTCCTCTTTGGCTCCGAACTTGAAACGAGAAAAAAAAATAGCAAAGAAACATTCTTCGTTTTTGTTTTTAATCAAAATGATAACCATCAAGTTGTTCAACACACTTTGCCGTTTTTTTCCTGTTCCAGTGATGATGATGAACTTTTTAGTGTCGGTCAATTTTACCGTTTTTACTCAGATTTTCATCGAACGATGTGATCGTGCTATGTTGTTGAGATCTCACGAAAATATTAATAATGATTAGCCGCATGTTTTGATTGTTTCAAATTTCTGAATCAGATATTTTGTGTCCTAATAATTATTAAAGCTTTCCCCTTCTCAAAAGATTAGTTTCAATGAGCACCACAGGTTGATTCAAAGATCTCACCATTCGTGTTCATGACTTACAGAATCCATCCCATCCAAATTTAATATCTAATTTCGATTAACCGCTTAACGAAAATAAAAAAAAACGACTCGAGAATGTAATTTAATATTTTTTTGTTTTCTTACGTGTTACTTAAAAGTAAGATCGAGTTTTTTTGACTAACAGATTTGTAGACTTGACCATTTAGAACGCAATGTGCTTGGAAAAGAGAATGAAGGAATAAGAAAGGTAAAGACGGTACGCGATAGGTGTTTTCTCTCGACCGGTCAGGTTCATATCGAATTTCCCTATCTACATAATTCAATCTCGTTTTCGTTTAAAATTATGAACCTTTCACCGGTAGATGAGAAGGTAAAAATGCCTATTTATCGGCACGGAAAATAAATGTTCATCGTTTAAGCAAAGGTTGTAATTTTATTTCAATTTGAACCTTTTAATAAATATTTACATTACTGGTTTGAAAAGTGTGCATTTGAACTTTTGATTATTCCACAAATTTCTTTGTCAAATTATGTGAATTTTTTAAGGAATGTTTAAGTAATTTGAAATCAATTTTCATTAATTTTTCCATCCATCCATAAAAAATTTTCGCCGATATCATTTACTGACCAAAGTACTATTAAAATATCGAATTTCAATTCGAAAACGACTTTTCCGGATAAGGGAAAATTTATTTTATTTTTGTAGAAAGGTGCAGAGGTAACGTGAGATATAATGCTATGTGTGGACGTTTAATGCCCTTGAGCAGAAGAATGGTGAAATGAAATTTCGACGTAGTAGGAAATGCCAAATAATGACACCCAAGCTGATGGAGGGTTTTTAATAGCAGTATTGGTTTCTGCTTTGGCTACCACGACTTCATTATTGTTTTGCAAATGCACTCTCCCTAATTTATTTTTTCTTCTGTGGTGTTAATTGAAGTGATTTAGCCATGAAATTTCAAATTTCCCTTTTCGAGAATTAAACAATCAATTCGTTTTTTGGTATTTAGGGAAGCTCAAAGTTTCCGCTCATTTCATTGCGTGACCATAGGACCCTTTATTAGCCTCTATTTTGATTCATGCTAATTAAAGTTATTATATGCTGATGTCAGTCATAAGTGATCACTGTTAGTGAGAACTTAGAAAAAATTATAAATTATTAATTAAAAATGTAAAAAATTTAAATTACATTCACCGAGTGTTGTTCTGCCTTCTTTGCGATTCTTATCTTTATCATTATTGTTAAACGCATCATCAATAACCGGCTAGAGAAGGGATCCCAACAGTAGAAAAAGTCATTAATAAAATCCCAAATAAAAATCTCGTTTTCTTCTTTCTTTTGATTCTTCTGTTTCTATTTCTCTCGTGGCTACTCTTAACTTGAGACTATTCGATATTAATTTAAGTAATTTTAACTAAATGGTGTGTTATTTTAATGGGGCCTTTTTTGATTCGGACACAAAAGTCACTTTTAGAGATCTAATCGTAAATAGAATTTCTTCTCGTGTTTCATGTTTACCTTCGTCAAAAAACTATTGAATGAAAAGGCGAGAAAACAGTTTTTTCTTTATTTTTAATGTTCACCATCGTTGCTGTATTCACAAGTTGCGTAACATTAACACTTGAAATATTCTTAAATGAATTATATTACGCTTACTCATTCCACCTTCTGATGGCTTGCCTTTCAACTTTTTTTCTGTCTTTCCAAATATCTTTTGTCTCATCCAAAAAAGTCTTTAATTTCTCGTAACTGAAACCGAATATACAACGAGTTAGAAGTTTCGATATGAAACGCAAAGAAAATTTCAAAGTCATACACAATATGTTAAATAGTAGAGACGAAGAAAAGGAAGAAGAAGAAGAAGAACGGAATATAATGTGAAGAAGCGAAATGATTAATAGTTGCTCCTTTAATTTATTGAGCTGATCTCTCGACCGCAAATGTATTCACATGTAATGTGATCGTTTAGAGATAACATACAAAGCGTTCTTTTTCGTTTATTTTGTGGCACCTCCACCGTTCTTCCACCAACCATCCGCTTTGCCTTTTGGACGTTTAAAATATACATTAAGTACCCGATGAAGAAAAAGAAGAATAAAAACAAATTCTAATAAATAGATGACTAAAAGCATAAGAATGAAAGTTTTGTTCCAAATCGTTGGTAAGAAAAATATGATTTTAAGACCTTCCATGGTGAACCGAACGATATTTTTTATTCATTTATCAAACACTAATAAATGAAAAGAAGAAGATCTGATGGATTTTCGACTTAGAAACATACAACAATCGTAAACGGAACTGCTGGAGAGAAAATACTTGAAGAGACGAGAACAGAAAAATGATCATTCAACCTGACAAGGACGTATGAAGAGTTAACTAATTGTTTTAAACTGAAACTGATGAATTTAATCGAAACGCGAGATTTCGTACTTTTGAATTGAAAAAATTTCGTTTCTCAAACATACGCACTATGCTTAATCTTGGGAATCAAATTTCTACGAAGAAATGAGAACGACACATATTAGTTTGTGTTTTTGTGTAAAGCAAACTCTGCTGGAGTCATTTAACTGAATCACAGAAAAAACATTTTTTTACATCTCGGACTTTGTTGATTTTATCATCACACAAGTCAGTAGAGTGAAAAAAAAATTTATGATCATTTCAGTTTCTATCTCTAATCATTTTTGACGGATTTATACTCATAGTTCTTTTTTTGTTGATAAAGCAATACTTTTTTAGTTTTCTAATTTTCATAAATTACCGACTCAAGTTGTTGATAAAGAAAATATTTTCTCATCAGCGGCTGTCACTCGACAAGATTATCATTTCGAAAGTTTTTTTCTTTCTTATTTTGAAAATCATGAAACGAGTCGGCAAGCAACTGTCCTATTTAATTTATAATATGTTATCAAGACAGATTCAGAACGATTTTAAGTTTGGTTTTTTATGAACGTCTGTAGCCCTCCTGGACGCTGAATCTCAAATTCTCCTCCGGTAATTAATTTTTGTCTTGCTGTTCCTTGCCATTGTTCCCATCAACATGTCTAAATAGTTCGCTTGTTTTTTCTTTCCGATGTTTAAGAATTTTGTTATTCATTGGATTAATTAATGATGTAGTTTTTGTGATAAATTGTTCAATTCTCGCATTGAGAGTAAATTCTAATATTTGATTTGTTTTTATTTGAAATGATGTTAAGCAATATGAAGCGTTTTTGATGACTGACATTTGGATAGTTTCATCCGACATGTGATTACTTGTTGCTTAAATAAGCGCGAAATCTTCTCGCTTTTAAAACAATTTAAGTTTTTAAGGAGATGAGAATTTTCAAATTCGATAAGAACATGAATAAGTCGAATGGACAGAGAAAAATTCTCTTGGCGATTGAAATTCCAGATGATATTAATTGGGCGAGAGCGCAACCATTTCCAGACCGGATTTTTCACGCTGTAAATCTCTTGATTCGAGTTATTTCTTTTTATTTCGACTACCTTCTAATCGCTCTATAATTATCTATAAAACTATAGCATTAAAGCTTTAAAATCAATTAAACAATATTAAATAAGCAGCGGCACCATGCAGATTAAAATATCCAATCAAGAAAAAATTATCGGTTAGTTCTATTTTTGCTGCTTCGCTTCATCATTTTTAGGCGTAGGAAGTTAAATTGAAAGGCATGTCGTTTTAAGTAGAGGCGATTAGCTGATCATCATCAACTGTAGCTACAATGGAGTTAAGTTGAGTTGAGTTGGTTCTTCTATTCTTTCTGATGATTTGGCATTAATCTTAAATCAATAAATGACTTAAGTTTGTTTGTATAATGTTTGTAATGAAGTGAAACAAAGTTAATCATGAGCTTTCTTCTTCTTTGTAGTCTTTTATTGCTAAAGGCTTCGTTCAACGTTGAAATTTTAAGACGACAAACTTTTTCTTTAGGAGGCTTTCAGTACATTCCACTTCTAATATTTTCAATCTCTGTTATCTCTTATCACATTCTTCTCCCATTCTCGCTTCATGAAGAGCTAATAAAATCTTAGATTTGAGATACTTCAAAGAAATAAGCAGAAGGAAGGTTTAAAAGTTATTTCCAAAGAGCAAAGACAAAAAGTGCCGCGTAAACTGCCAGAAGTGTTAAGAAATTCTTCTGACTGACTCTCTGGTTCTCTTCGATTCGGAGAGGTAAAATAAGTTGAAGAAAAATGATTTTGTGGGAATCATCGTGAAATCAGAGAAGAAAGATAACAAGAGTTAAGGATAGAAAGAAACGGCGGCGATGATAATTACGAGACGATGAGGAAGCAGAATCAATCGATTCGATTCTTTCTTATCACTTTTCAACGAATCTTTATTTGAATATCTAATAAAATTGCAGATGTAAAAGTAAATTGAGTTTCAGGAATTAACTGAAGATGTTGGAGCTGCTGTTATAGGAATAATTCAAAGCATTCCTTCTGTAATTTGTGTAAAGTTGAGAACATTCTTCCTTGATAGATATTTAAATATTCTTCTCAATATCTTTTATGTCTCATCTTTCTTCTCTTTTAACGATAATAGTACTAAAATGGAATTTCTTATACAAACAATGAGAAAAACTATTTGAAAATGATGCTGAAAATTTTCGAGTGGCGCTTTCAAGTGCTTTCCAATATGTTTATTCAATTTACTTTTTCATCGATACACTTGAAAATAAAATGTTTGTAATGGACTCGGGTCTTTTGTCAGTTTTCAATTTCATGTTGAAGAGAAGAGCAAAGTAAAGCAAATGAAGTGGATGACAGTTTTCGGGATGCAATGGGATCGCTACTTATAAGATATTTGTCCGAGAGGGAGAAAAGAAGGCAAAATTCTAAAATTTTTATGGAAAGAAATATTTCATGTAAACACGATGCTCGTTTGTTTATTCTTTCTCGGCTGCTGCTGCTGATGCTGCTGTTGTAGTGGAATGATTTATTATACGTGCAATATGAACGTGCACGGTGGTTCGTCGATGTTTTAACATGCAACAATCTATGATTTACCTCAGGAATCTTTCAATGCGAAATCGAAGATTCCATAAAGTAGCGTGTCTCTTATGTTATTGCGAAACATCTCTCCGAGTGTACAAGTATTTATGTATGTAAGTAAGAAACTTCTGATATTTTTCTATTCCTTCATTGACATTTCTTTACGGTTCATTTGAAAGTATAAGCTAAACATGAGAAGACGAGAAGCGTTCTACAACATCATGGATTTAGAGAAAGTCACGACATACAATGCAAATCGTAAACATGATTAAATTGACATATCCAAACACATTATTTCATTGTTTCCAACAAAATTTGATGTTTGAACTTCTTCACATCAACTTTAGAACGTTTTATGAATTCAACAATTTAATATGTTTTCTATTTTTCATGTAATATATCCGTGACGTCACACCTTTTTATTCTTATTTATTTAAACCAAAGCTATGAAGACTGATACGTTTAATAAATAATGGATGAGACATGATACGACTTAAGCTTTTTTATGTGCCGCTTGACATCGCATGATGGAATAAAATATTGAATTGTGTGGCAATCGTAATGATGTTTGAAAATATGTTACCCCGTGTGTGAAATATGATATTGTGGCATAGCAGCAGAAGCAAAAAAAAAGAAAAAAGAAACACAGATTTGAAAGAAATGGAAACAACACAATGATGGAAAATAAATGCGGAAAACTAGTCGAGATCGACCCGTGAATGAATCGATTCAAATCGTAGATTAACAGATTCTATGATTTATAATAATTTGTGACATATAAAAAGACTTTGATTGCAGTTGTGTTTGACATTTTTTCCACCCGAAAACTTTTGGAAACATTAGGTAATTGAACACCAATGCCACACCACCAGTGTACCAGTTCAGTCTCATTCAATTTCACTTTCAGATGTTGCCTCACAATAACCACCCGATGGTGTCTGCATGATGTTTTGACACGAAAAATTATGTATCATAGGAAGAGAAGAAATTTCTACTTGATGTTGATTGATAGATGAAGCAAAAAAAGTTTTTGGACTTGAAACAGAACATTGTGTTGTGATTTTGTTTCGCCTCGAGCTGCAATAAATTTCTTTTTAAGCACAATAAAAGGAGCAAAGAAGTCTTTATTTCGTTCAACAGTCTATAAAAATACATGCAGGGGCCATTGAGTCTATACGGGACTTATGTTGTGTTAGAGGGACGAGGGCGAAAAATAATACTAGAAAATATATATTCAAACATAAAATATTTACATCCTGAATATCGTATGCGGAATACAATTTATTTTTCCATATGTAGGCATTTTTCTCAATCAGTAGAATTTCATTAAAATCTAATTTATTAACTCGATTTATAAGCTTCCAACTGACTTTTGCTTGCTTTAGTCGAGGGTAAAGGAATTTCTCTTTCTTTTCTTTTCGTTAATGATTTATTTGATTGCTTCGATGTTGACGGTGAACGGCATGGAAAAAGTAAAAAAGCAACAAAACAAAAGTACTTTCGTAAAATTTTTGCATCAGAACGGGTTCAAATGTCTAGTAAGCATTGCTGTGTTTATATTTGAAAGACAAATGATAAAATAAATAAATAATTGAATCAGAACCGCAACGAGCTCGCCAGTTTGAAATAGAAAATTCCATGAAATTTTAATGTTTCTTTGCAGACTTTTGATATAATGAGTTTCTGCGTTTTTGTAGTCCCAGTGGATGGATAAATCTGCAGTTAATTCAGTGAAGCGCATCTGATTTGAAATGATGTTTAGTTTGAATTGTTTGAAGAAGGGATAAGTTCCAATTATTTATCCATTATTGTTATGCCTTCAGCATAGTTAACAATAACCTTTTAAAGTTTGAACATCACCCTGTCGTTCCTTAAAAAATTGAAAACAATTTAACCTGCTTGAAGGTTCATAAGAATGTTGAAATCGCTCAATGTGCTTGGGATTAAAGCGAGTCGAAATATTCTCCATCGACACACATAAGTTTTTAATCTTCTTAACTCGAAAATGCATTCATTATTGATGACTATTTAGAAATTGAAAGGGTTTTTTGTTGCTGAAATGTGCAGACTGCAATCGGTCTCTTTGCTGCATTTTATGAAAGAAAATATAATTGAGGATTTTTGCGGACTCAACTATTCTTATATCAATCTCAGAGATTCGACAAATTTATTTTCTGATTAACTTTCGAACATATTTTCAAATTCATATAAAATTCTATTCACACATACACACACGTATTTATAAATAACATCTGATTACTGATCTGATGATGAATAGAAGATGATAATCTGTAGCTTTTCTAACACTCTGACTATGCTGTAAGTATCAACATGTGAATGATGTTTACTGCAAGCGATTGAAGATTATGCACGAAGAAGGACCGAAAATACAAATTCAATGATGTTGTTTTGAGTTGAACTTTCGGGGTAAAAAGTATTTTACTATTTCACAATGTTATCAGTTCCATCTCATGAATTCTCTATTGTTTATATGTGAGTTTATCCAAGCTGAGAGTATCCTTCACATTTTTTTTTGTCTCTATTTACATTCTTTCATTTCCATAGAGTTTAATGTTGAATAAAAGCATGGAAGTCGCAATTATTAATGTTTTCAGATGAGATTTTATCTGATAATGTTCATATATAAGTATTGAGAGATGTGTAATAAACATCACAAGATATGATGGAGAATTATAAACATTGTATCCTCTACAGAAATTCATTCTTCATAAAAGAATCAATACAACTGTCAATTCCATAGTTACCACGTTAATAAATATTTACAACTCAAATGCTCGCCTTCTCTCGTTCACTGCATTAGATATTCAAACTGCATTGACAACTTAAAAGTTGGATTTTATTTTTGCTAGCATTTCTTTCATCGTATTTCCTTCTATGACCTTTTCATGGAAACAGTTTAGCATCAGAAATTTCAAATGAACCCTGATGGTGCGGAATAATGCATTTATGTACGTTACGATACTCTCATATTGATGGATTAAAATCCTCAAGAGTCATTGTGTTCTCAAATATTTTTCATAGACAAAACTTTGATTTTTATGCTGTCAATTTCAACATTTTTTAGTTCAACTAAATAAAAATTGTTTGGCGTTCTACTCTAATTTGATCTAAGTGAATTCATACGCAGCACTTTATGAGTTTATGCAAAGGTTACATGCTTTCATGCTGTCATCATAAAATCCCGCATTTTTGTACTTTAAAGAGGAGTTAAGGGGGAGTGAGAAAGACAGAGAGAAAAAAAATAAATAAAAAGAAGAAATGTGTGTATAATTTGCTCGCTGCGCGCAATTTTTTATCGTTTGTGTAAAAGGAGAAAAGAACATCGTCTGATTGTTACATTTATGACAACAATTCACATTCATTCGTTTCATTTGAATCGGAAGACGAAACAACAAAAAGGCGAAGAATTTTTCCCTTATTTTTTGTGTGCGGCAGTTATGTTTCATTCATTTCATCCATTAGCTTCGAACAATGCCAGTTCCCATCATCATCAGCGTCTTTGCTGACTGGTGAAGAGGTGGAATGAAGCAAAAGAACAATGCCGTAAGCATAAATTTCTCACCAAAGGCATGCCAGAAATAATAAAGAAAGAAAGTAAAAAAAAAAGAAGAAAAGCGAGTGCTAAATATCTTTATGATTATTATGGAAATTTATCAGAAGTGGCTGCTGTTGAGTCAACTTCATTGCCCCAGCTCAATCACATGTGAGTAACTGGAAAAAGTGTATTGCTCTGCTGTAATCATCAACGCCAGTCGAGAATAATAAAACGATATAAAGAGCTGAAAATAGCATAATTTTTTGCGTAAACGTGTTGAGGGTTCTCATGTTATGTGACAGCATAAATAATTTAATGTCATTCACTGTAAGTTAACAGTATCACTTAATAATCTCGAAATTCCGCACACAAGCATCGTTTGTCTGATAGCAAATTGACTATCAGCGTCACTTTAAATTAGCATCCCTTCTTCTATCCTTTCTCTGCTGGCAACAAGAGTTGGCCTTGAACTACATTTTCCTTCTTTTCATTCTCATTTCTCGTCTTGATTAGCGAAAGTTTGCGGTGGAATGAATCTTAAATGTTGTGCGGTAGAATGATACTACATAGGTAGCAGCAGTCAGCATTTAATCTTCAAGCATGAAGCTGCTTTACCCTTAGCAAGTAAGTAAGACAGAAAATAAAAGAAAGCTGAAATCAGGAATGAAAAATATGTTCTCATAAACAGGTGGTTTATTTTCGTATAACACGATGTTGAATCTATCTCACCATCCCGATTAGAAATCCCACAGGTTTAAGATCGTGAGAGAATGAATATTTCTATCGTTTCAGATTTCTTTTCAAACAAATAGCTTCTAAAATATCATGAATGGTTGCGATCGCCGTATATTTGATGAATCAAAAAGTGATGCAATTTAACATGTGGTTAGAAAAGTCAGAAAATGAAATTAATCTTTGGCCAATTTCATATTCACATGACTTCTTTTCCACGCTTCAAAGCGCCATAAATTGCTCTTTTATGGAAGAACTTTGCTGGTTTTGAATATGTAGAAGGTAAATATGTCATAAGCTTTGAGACGATGGAAAATTATTCATGTAACATTTCCATAATTCATCCTTTTACCTTTTACTTTTCACTGCTCTTCTTAAAGACAAAAACCAAAAGAAATAATTCGATCGAAGACGATGGAAGAGAAATTTTAAAAGCATGTCGAGCTCCTTCAAATTTGTCTCAATTTCAACTCCGTCGTTTCTTGATTTAAGCTTCCGCTTCTCTGTTTTTCATCACGAAGAGTAGGAGCTATAAGATAACCTGCAAAAGGTTTCAGCACAACGGCTTTCGAAGCAGTAATCCTGAAAGATTGTATAATTTTTTCCCTTTTTGTCTTTTTCTTTTTTTTAGTCTGAAACAATAAAATCAAAATTGGATGATGAGTGGGGAGAAGAAAATTTCTTCGAGGACTAATAAAAAGGAAATTTACGTCACCGAAGAGGTGCTTGACAGAATAGCAAATGGTACTTGAGGAACGGAATTATGAAAAACGATACCCTTAGAGAGGTTGCCTTGATTTTCTTTACTTTCTCATCCCGCTTTCGAGAATATCAATGGCGTTGAATTTCGAGATTTCAAGGTTGAAAATGGTGTTAAGGATTCTACTTGATTTGTGATACAATCCCAAGTTTCTTTCGACAATTTCTTCATTCAGGAAATTATATTAAAGACGATGAACGAACATTCGTTCTTTGCTTGAATAAAGAAAGAAGATGAATGAGAAATTAGAAATGAGCCTCAATGGAATCTGAGACAAATCAAGATTCTTTCTCATCATATGCTTAACATCGGATGCTTATGAAACACAAAATAATGAATACACGAAAATATTTTGACATGTTGTTGGGCATTAAATTATGTGTCACTTCGAGGCGGTAGAAAGATGAAATGTGTGAGATTCTTTCAACTTTTTATTTCTTCTTTTCTTGTAATTTTGTGTTTAAATGAAACTTTAGAAGGTGATATTGTTTAGTGGAGAATATAAAAAGAGAACTTGCTAGGTAGTGCTGGACAAACGAAATGAAGAAAAAGGTATAAAAGGAGATCTTATCACTTACCATTCGCATCGGGGCTCTAGGTTGGTATTTGAAATAAAAATACTTCTTTTTTTCTCTCGTCTCGTGTCTCATCTGCGTTCACCTTTAGTAAATCCGAATGAGATTTGTGAATTTAAATTAAAATTTCGAGAGAAATGAAAACAAGAAACGACATGGCATAAAATGAAAAGAATCTCTTAGTGAATTGATCGATTGATAAGAAGAGGTTTGTTCTCTCTCTCCTTGAAATTTTATAGAAATCTTGCTTTTGATTTAAAGATGAAAACGAAGTAGGGGCGTGAAGAGATTTGTAGACTGATTAGCACACAAAATGTTTTAATGTGTTTCTTTTTTGCCTTTGCTTGTGTAAAAAATTTTTCAGGTGATTTTTTTTAGTTTTCGGAGAAGGTTTAAGAAGATCAGAAACGGAGTATAATCGGGGATAAGAATCTGAATTTTTATTCTAGAGAACGTCAAGGAAATAAATTTAAGAGATTTGGATGCTTGTGAAATAAGAAAATGAATTTAATAGAATCAAGAACGTTTCGTCTTTAATTATTCGGGAATCCGAATGTGGATTGAATAAGAATTTCAATAATTTGACCTGAAAATGATAGCAGAAATTACGATTGCAAAATGAATTTTAATTGCTCTCATCGATTTCCATTCTAACATTTTATTGGTGTGATTGCTGCAAGGCAAAAACGTATAAAATTTTCTGTTTTTGTTAGATATGTTTATTATCGTTCCAACAGTAATAAATCTATGATAACTTCTAATTTATTTATTCCTCTCGTTATAATTATTTTCATTTCTCATTCATTTATTTATTCACCTCGAAAAGTTTCTTTTATTTTATTTTGTCTTATCGAAGAATTTTCTTGTTTAACCAAAAAGTTTGACTTTCTTTTTCCTTTACCCAAAATAAAGTTTGAATAAATTGAGAAATTGAGATAAAATAAACAAATTATATCGCTCTAATCTAATATATTAACATATTTTCATTGGTGCTTCGTCGTAAAAAGAATGAAATTCAAATCAGTAATTTATGCGATGGATAAGGAAATGGACTAACCGTGCCGTGCGTTGAAAGACGAATGTCGATTGAACAAGAAAAGGGCGAAGGAAAATTAAACAGAAAGTATCGCTTAGGGCGTTAAAACAAGACAAGCACACGTCTTAAATTCGTTTTCTGTTTAATGCATTTGGCGATCTATCTACAATGCTAGTGTACTGTTTTGTCTAGTTATATGGGCGACAGTCGATTTCCGTTTGATAAGGGTAATACCTAGAAATGCCTTTTCACAGCAATCGCTTGAATTATCTTGCAGTCTTGTCTAAGGTTTCTTATCCTTAAAAGCAGTACTCGAAGGACGAAAGCAATAAAGTTTTTACGACCATTTTGAGGTTGAGTCTTATGTTTAAATGAAGGTAAACATCTCGAATGAGCAACGATGGTCGCATCTGAAAGAAATAAAAATTTCTGCTTTAGTTGTTTGTGAGTAAAAAACTGTCGACATCGTAAAAGAAAAATGATTTTAATTAAGTTTTATATTAATTATTTATGAAGTTCGCTATGCTTAATTAGAACTCTTTAATCTTCCGTTTTTTGATTTCTTCCTTCCTAGAGCATCCGGTTTTGGGTTGGAAAAGTGAAAGAGAAAAAAAATCAGGAAACAATTCAAAACAATAAAACTTCAAACACCAAAATAATTACCGAGTAGAAAGAGGCGATAAAGAAAAAAAAAAAAGTTTGAATTAATCGCTGGAAAATTGTTCAAATGGGTCTCTAGAAGAACATTAACATCTTTTTCCTCCACTACAACGCTTCTATCAATGTGCTATGAAGTTGGATGAGAAGGTAATTTAATGGAAACTATAAAACGAGATCAAATCTGAGTTTCTTACCCTAAATAAAGTCGAATAATGTTCGCATTTGAGGGATTTTTAATTTGCTACATTACATGATTAATTTTGCGCCCTTTGAATCTTCTCACTGCCTTGAGATATTTGTTCATTAAATAGTGTAACTAATGTTAAAATTGCGAGAAAAAACTTATGAAACTTTAATCAATGATGCAAAAACTGAATGTTAATCGCATTAAAGTGTTTTCGTTTCAATTCAGCACACTTCAAACAGAGTTTTAATTAGTCTCTTGTGAGTTTCTTTTTCAAAGATAGTTAAAAATATTCCAAGTATTTTCTAATGAGAAACAAGGAAAAAAATTAAGTTAATTCTTTATCAAAGGAAAAAAAACTAAATCAATACTAATTGAATGTTTTGAAGTGTAATGATGGCAAAAATCAGAAAGCTCTTTATAATTTCTTTAAAGCTCCTTGCTTATCATACTTTAAGAAAGAAATAAGAAACTTCAAAGCAAGAACATGCTTCGCAAAAGAAAATAAGAAAAGATGCGACACCGAAACTTAATTAAGCATTTCATTGAAAATGTTTTTTATTTTTTCTCTTTTTGCTGCGTATAATTAAATTAAGAAGGAGAGAGAGAGAAAAAGCAAACGATTCGTGATAAGAATTTTAGTGAAAGGATGTTCAAGTTTAGCAATTCTTAAATGGACATTTAGGTTGATTATAATCACCAAAATTACGGGTAATTGAGTCTAAATATTTGTTGTAGAAAACGGCGTGTTTTTAGTATAATAAGAATAACTACCCAAACCACTTTAAACCTTAAACTTTAACTACATACAATTCAATTTCTACGAAGCATAAGAGAGCAGAAATTTATTCAATCTAATCACCTCAAGTGGGTAAGCATGTCTAAACATCCAATGCTCATTGAGAAACTCAATTTCTTCTAAATTGCTTTTCAAAATCATCTCGATATTATTTCCTTGAAAAAATACCATCAATTTATGCCATTTACACGGTTGAATAATTATCAACAGAGAGGAGAAAGCACAATGAAAATAAATATCAAGAAAAAATAAAAAAAGAATTCAATTTTAAAAATATAGTCATTGATGTTAACTGGCAGAGGAGTACAGAGCGAGTGTATTAAATAATGAACATTAAATAAACATTATTACTTGCTTTTATTATTACTAGATAGATATTTCTTTTTTCTTTCCTAAAAAGTATTTTCCTGGAATAGAAAAAGTAAATAAATAAACAAAAGAACACAGGGAGAGAGACAAGAGAACGTCAACAATATGCATTTCGATTGTAACTCATCATCATCAACTTCTAGCTGTAATTATCCATCAATATTTGTTCAATACGTTTTCGGAGCCTTGGGTAAACATTAATTCTTTCTACTCTCGTCTCAATGACATACCATTAACGGCAGTGAAGTAACTTACAGAGTTATGCTTCAATGCCACTTTTGAATGTCGCTTTTGTCAATCGAAAATCCATTTTGGATCCATTTGAAGAAAAGAGAACGAAGGGAGAGAAAAAAAATAATAAAAGAATTATTTCTCAGGCTATTTGAGATGGTTTATTGAATTAAAGAAAAGGTGCATGTAAGTTCAGAATCTTCAGATATCTCAAGAGTTGAAGGCGGAAGAGAAGTTGAAGATTTATGGGAATTAATTTTTGTGAGTTTAGCTGCATGTTTAACTGATGATGCTTTGAATGTAAATTTACTTTCACTTCAAAGTGACATTGAGCCGAGGACATCATAAACTATATTGAGCCGAAGAATCTCCGTTTTGAATCAAAATCCTTATTGTTTGATTTAATAACATACCGTCGATGAGTGATTATTTTCGCAGCATATCAACTTGTTTTGTTCTCAAGAAGGATTGAATAAACAAGACCAAAAGAGATGATACATAATGAGGCTTTAGTTTACGGTTCATTTATAAATCCTCCCATGATGGTTCATCTTGTGAAGCACCCATCTTAATTCAGTTTCTTTCTCGTTTTTCGCTTACGGTATTTACACAAGACATCATCATCTTGTGAAAAAAAAGAAGAGAAAAAAATTTTCTTGTCATTTTTATCCATGGATATTCTTTGAAGCGTTTACATTATCTTGTAGAGAAACTTTTGTTGCGCCGTTGTGCGGGACGAATAGAGTTTAAGTTGAAGGAAAGATGACACACGAAGCAGAAGAAAATTCTTCATCAAACAATGTAATTTTTCGGTATCCCTTAAATTTTCTTCTGTTTGTATAAATAAATAGAAGAAACGTAAAACGGAACAAATGATTTGTTCATGAAGAGTTGCACAAACTTCTTCGAAATGTTAAAATTTTTTCTTTTATTTGTTTTCACAAGTTTGAAGTGGAGGGCAAAAGTCCCTCAAGAAATGAAGTTTTTGCTATTAAAAATCAATCAAAAAGTCTTCTTTTTCTCCAGCTATCAAATATCTATGTCAAAATATGATCCTTTTCAAGAAAAAAGGACATCTTCATAATATTTATTTCCTAACTGCGCACTACCGTGCAAAAAAAGAAGAATTTATGGAAAAAATTTATCGGCTTTGGAATTTTGCGAGGCCGCTTTCTTAAATTTTTCTTAATCTTCTGGCGACCATGATGTCAACTGAAGACGACAATCTGAGTACATTTAGAGATACGCAAAAAATGTTTGTTTAAGTAGTTGGAGATGTTTTATTTTTATCCACAAAATTTTCCCTTGATGCTATGTAAACAAAATTTTTACACAAATTGCTTCTTTTTTTACTTTAATATTTGTTTTTTTTTCACTCGCTCTCTCTCTCTTTCGTTTGTTTTCATTTTGTGAAACGCAGCACCTGGTATGGTTTGAAGAGATTTAAAAGTAGATATTCGTCTAAGATATTCGGCTGTAGGTGTTTGAGTGTAATTTTATAAGGGTAAGAAATGGAATAAGTTTTTAAGAGAGAGATGAAGTAAGTATCGTTAGGAGAGAAACGAATTGTCGCAAGAAAAGGTTCAAATTAGTGAACATAATTTTATTATTTCGTAAAACGAAATCTTCAAATTCCTTCGGCTTCAAAAGGAGTCAAAAAATCATTTTTTATGATCATTGAAATTGATATGATTAAGACCTTTAATTTCAGTGTCTTCAAATAACTGCGCTAGTTCGTTTGCAACCCTTTTGGTACTTTATAGAGGAATGAAAAGGATTTCGATGCCTAAATCCGTATCTCGACTTGCATTCGAATCTTTTTCATGGAACAAAAGAGGAAAGATACTTATCAAGATTATGAGATTTTCCTTTCGTCCTTTTTATCGGTATCATCTCCGAATCCATTTATAATTTATTGAGACATTTTGTGCGTCGAGGCTTTTAAGGAATCACGAAGGGGTGCGTGCAGTCTTAACGAAAGAATCTCTTTAAAGGAAATGGCCTCATAGATTCTTATTTGGAATTGAAATTCTCTTTCCTTTATCTGATCACAAGTCCTTCTCTTTGATTAGCAATTGTATTACTTATTTAACATCCCTTTGACAAATGTCAGACGATACAAAAGTGGTGTAAATTTATTTGTAAAACTTTTCATTCCTCAGCAGTCGAGTCGAGCGAATTTCGAAGTAATTTGATATCCCAATAAAGTTTTCTGAAGTGACTTGATTCGAAATGACACATTTTCATTTTCACCCTCAAGCTGCTTTCGGGCGTGAAGCAAATATAGTGAATTGATTAGAGTTTAATTTGACATTTGAACACGACATTGAGACAGCATCTTAATGAAGATCAAAAACTAAATAAAGTGTGTGTCTGATTCATTTCTTAATCCCCTCTCAGCTCGAACGAATGACGGGAAAGAAAACTTCGCCCCAAATGTTAGATGACTTACAAGAAAATTTAATTTATTCTTAAGCCGGAGTGTGTGCGTTTTGTAGATTTATTTTCTTAATGCACAACACGTCAACTAATGTATCTTCAACTCAAATGGGTAACTTTTATTAAATATCTTCCATCTCTTTAGACAACTTTGAAATATTAATCAATGAAAATCGAATAGCTTTCAATTTATCTATTCGTGATGTAACGAATGCATTCATTATTTATTAATCATTCATGCCAACAAATATTCATTTTATTTCAAGTATTTCGAAATTTTATCAGCTTCAACTTGCATAATAATTTCGTGGGTTTGTAAATTGTCAACGATATATTAGGAGGGAAACCACTTTCGGTGTTTACCAAGGGACTCCCTTCAGATTGTATTTAGTCAAAAACGAGAATTTTCACTTACACAACGCAAATGAAAATTGACAGCTCTAACGCAGTTAATTAATTGATTTGTCTAATCTTTCTGTCTGCTTCCCCTACTTTCTTCTTTCTCAAAGTTCCTCAGAGACAATACGAGCTGGTAATGAACTTTCATGGTTGGGATTATTCCTCACCGTTGATGTTGGGGTTGATGTAAAATAATTTCTTCTTTTTTTTTTGCCAGAGAAGTCTCCAGAGGGCTCAAAGAAATTAAAGACAATCAAATGAGGGATGCAAAATGTTCTTGATGGTGCATGGCAAATCTTAATATTCCTTTGTTCTCCCTCGATGATATTGATGAGCTCAACATTGATCTCTCATAATATATCTGATTAGTAATAATTTTCTTCTCAATCAGTTATGTACAAATTCAGATTTATTTTTTTGCGTTTACATATAGATACTAAGTTATTTATGTTGTGTGTATGTTGTTAGGGTGACTTTCATTTCATATCCATGAGTTGTTGTGCAATTTATGGAAAATGTTATATTCTCTCAGAAATGAAATATTTCTTATTGCTTTCGAAGTTCTGACATTCAGCCAGTGAGTTATTTCACGATATTAAACAAACAGACCTTTGCATGACTTGACTTGAGGGTGGTTGAGTAATTTTATGACTATGCATGGTGAATCATCATTCTTTATCATCATCATGAACATGTGGCAATATTTCAATCAATAATGGAAATGAGACGAAAAACAAAGAGATTAAAGAAATATAATAAAGAAGAATGAATCTCGAATCAATTGCAAATGTCGATTCTTAAACAGGCTTAAATCAAATTGACAAGTGACAGTTTACGAAGCGATTATTTCTTGAATAGAAAGAAAATCTCTTTAGCTTCGTTCTTTTAAAAAATGACGAGAAACGACAAAAAGCAATTTTTCCGTTCCTTAAACTTCTCTTCGTTCTGTTGTACTTACACAGATACAATCATTTGTTAAATTGATGGAAAAAAAACAAATAGATCCTAATCCTCAATGTCTTTTAAAATGTCGGTCACTTCTGATGGAAACAAGAACTTTCATAGTTTTGTTCAAGTAATGACATATTTTCTACTTTTTAAGAGATTTTGTCGAGCTGATCAATTCACAATCTCAGCTGGTTTGTTTTTATCTCGTTTTCACTTCATTTTTTGTGTAGATTTTAGGGTCCTTGATCACTCAAATATCGATAAACAATCAGATGGAATGAGTGTTATTTTCAAAGACTTATGTCGAAAAAGATTTTCCGATATGGGAAAAATTACTTTTCTTTATTTACAAAAGCATCAGTAAATGGAATTTTCTTTTTTGTATTTTATGTTTCAAAGTTTCTATTGATGACCAATGATGTTAAGCTATCACGATGTCAGTATCTTATTTTGCATGTGTAAAATAATCTCATTGAAAGAGTTCATAGTTCGTGAGCTCCACAATGTTATCTTTTCACACAATGGTTTTAAATCTTTGCTGCTGTTGCTCTCATTCGCATAACATTAGTGACATCCAATGTTGAAAGATCTCGAACACATATAACGACGCACATCACCCAAAAATTCCTTTTATTATAAATACATTAAAGGATTACGGGTGCTTAGAATAACATGGTTCTCTTCTATCGATATATCGCATTGTCGTATTGTGTTGTCTGTTTTATGTTATTTTCTATACATAGGACGTAGCGGCTGTGAAGTTTTAAACTAAATGGAATTTCTATCAATAATTCTATTGTCGCTGCTTGAGTTTTATGATCAAAACACTTTCTGGCTCGGAGAAAAGAGTGTCATAAATATTTTTTTAAGATCTTCCCTTTCAGATTAAAATTTCTATCAATATTTTTTTGAAAAACTGTGGCAATAAAAAAGGATTAAAGTAAATATTGAGTGGGGTTTGTCATTTTCTTTTATAATGTAACCATATAAGTTTGAATAATTATTCATCTCAACTGGAAATCGTTCATTTAAGGGATTAAATCGAATATCCTGTTGTAATAGTTTATAATTTTTGTCTTATATAAAACGTCAAAATATTTCATTATAGATTCACGTCTCTCGATTTTATTGATGTTTCAAGAATGTTTTCTTGACGTAATGATTATCTTATTTCAGAGGATTAAGTTTCAAAGATTCGTTTTGGAAATTATTTAAATCTTAAATGACCAATTTGAAATTTAAGCGTTTTAATGATTATCATGAAGTGGTATTTTGAAAAGTTTATTTTTGACGTTGTCTCCATATTTAGATCTCGAAAATTCATCAAAAATAACAAAGGATATTTACGATAAAAGTCTTAGGTAAAACGACACGATTCGATTGCTAAGAATAATTTAAAAAATGCCTGAAGCTAAAACGATCGATCTTAATTCTCCCTTCATCATCAAATGATGATGGTATTTTAAATAGTGTTTACTTTTAACAAAAAAGAAGAAAATAAATTCTTTTTGTCTCGTTTGATGAGAACAATACTTCGTATCCATCATTGATAGCGCGTCTCATGCTGCTTCAAAGGACGACACTGTCTAAATATTTATGATGGTTATAACTTGTAACTACTTGAAGAAGGAAGGTAGGAATATCGAATTAAGTTTCTTTCCTAGAAATAAAAATAAAAATAAAGTGTTACGATCGAAAGAAATGTAAAGACATGGGGCTGAGTAAATAAACCACTCCTCTATTTCTTTATTTCGCTGTTAAACGTCAATGAATAATAATAGAAGAAATCATTAAAGAAATTGGATACAGTACATGTATTTGAAGAACATTTTTTAAAGCTTTCTTGTTATTGTTATTGCTTTTCGCTCTTTTACATTATTAAATTGATACTTTCAGCCTACAGCGATTCTCGTTTCAACCAATACCGCAGTTGTTGACGTGTAATTTGCCTTAAAGTTCATCAGTCATCACCAACAGACAAGAGCTTAAACCAGTATTATGCGAAAAGCAATATAACCAAATAAATGTCATGATTTTCCTACACACTCATCAGAAGGCAAACGGTAAGGGAAGATGTGCTATTCAATTTCTGAGTATTTAACTAACTGAGTTTACACGATTCAAAAAAATTGAGAAATTTACATGAAGACTGTTTTGATGATAAAACTTTGGATATGAACTGTCTACACTGCTGTAGAAATATTAAGAGAAGAAAGACGTCAAGAAAAAAATTTCTTTGTGGTTACAAACATTATTTTTGTTAACAGCTTCGCTGTTCTGTTGTTCTCCTCCCCCAATGTACTAGCAATATAAAGAGAAACCACACAGTTAAATATGTACATTCTTTAAACTTCTTCAACAATTCTGTTTATCTAATTTGTAATTTGTTAAAGAGTTCAACAGTCATAAACGGCAGACAAAAGGCAACAACCAGCATCATCAAATACACACAATGTAACCATACAAATGTCATAATTTTTATACACCTTTTCGGTGTTAATATTTGTTTATTGTTTTATTTTCTTCTTTTGCCGTTTCTCTTTCTCTCGCACAGTTTGGTTTGGTTTTCATTTCATTGTTTGTTTTCGTGTTGTGCTTCATGAGAAATACTCATTTGTATTTATGGTGTTCAGGCTTGAAAATCGAAGAGAATCTAGTTAACGACTCTGAGGATGAAGCAGGCAGAATGGCAGGTGATTATGCAATTGATGGCATCACAGATTAGACTTCTAAGCGGGAAACAAGATTTTTTATGACACCATCGTTTCTTCGATCTGACTTTTTATTACGCTTCACTGTCAATGTTGGTTGATAGAATGCCTTCTTATAGATATTGAAGTAATAAAGAATTATGTTACGTTCGTTCGTTGTAATAAATATTCTAATCGATATAATTTAGTGACACGCCATTGTGATTGGGGATTGAAAATTTCGTGTGGAGAAAAAAGTTCGATCCTAATAAATGATATCAAAACAATAACAACTTCAACAACATTTGCATGTTGGAAAAAGATCATTAGATAATTAGAATATATTGGAAGTGACATGTAACATTGTTTTTAAATATTACTAAAATAATTGATTGGATTTATCTACAAATTATCTTCATTATAGATTATTCATAAAACTTGAATGGAGTATTTGAAAACGCTTACGGGAAATATTTCGGGTTCCTACATTACATAAAAAAAAGAGAATAATAATAAAAAAAAGTTCTGTAATTATGTATGTATGCTGTCAATTTTTCAAATGGATGAATTTTATATCAATTTAAATGGAAATTCGATGTTTTTGTTGTTATTTTGAGGTTTTCATGATTTCTGAACCAATTTATGTAAATTTTTGATGCTCATGAGATACCTGAATCTAATCAAAAACATTTGGATTGTGGGTCAAAATGTAAAACATCGTTTGAACTTTGTTGTTTTATAATTGAGATTCAGGAACATTTTATACATACATGTATGAATGAGCTCTCGGAAACTTCTGTTTACAACATGTTATCAAATGTTTTGGCAATCTAGTTTAGACTCCGATAGGTGATTTGCAATATTCATTTGGCATAATGTAACGTATTTTGAATACTTTATAAGTTTACAATTTAATCTACATTGCAACGGTTGCCAACAGTCTATGCAAAATCAAATATATTGGCTGAGTATTTGCATTTCGATTATTGCGGGAAAAAATTTTGTTTTCCAATTCAGTATAATTTTCCTAACGCTTACCTCTGCCTATTTTTTCTTCAGTTTGCGTTATTATAATTTCCAATTCCAATAATCGAATCCTCAGGCACATCAACACACAACAAATACATTCAAAACTCAGTCAATTGAAATCAATCTCATTTTCTAAAATTCATGAAATTATTGAATAATTCAATTTTTATGAAAACATGACCCAACCCTCGGCTAATGCTTTGTCGATTATTTGGAAATTATTTGTTTATAAACTTTAATCAATGCTAGATGTGAATTGAAAATTTGCATCGACTAAAAATTAAATCAAAAAGTTTTCATTATTTATCCTATTACAATTGTTTTGCAGAATATCATACGCGGGGGCGTGTTGTGACAAAATATAACTGTACTTGTTATTTAAAAATCCTCTTAAGTCCCTAACAATCGTCTGCTTACTTAAAATTTATCAATGCGGTGAAAAAGCGAAAATTTATTTGAAGTTACTTACAAGAGTTGAATTTTAATGGGAAATGCAAATTTTGAATAACATAAAATAGAATTGTTTGATCTACACTGTCCATTGCTTTTCTATAAAAGGAATATTTCGGAACGTTAAATGTTATTATAACAACATTCATGCTTTATCTATGCTTCTAAGTACAACACAGTAATTATTGCACAAAAGGCGAGTCATTTCTATTCTTCTGACTTCCTCTTGTTTTCATCTGAAAGCATTCGACTATTGTTAAGTAAGTAAATACAATTTAAATTTAATTTAAAATTTTTGCAGCTCAGCTGTTTGTTGAATCCTAAACAGATTATCAGGGATTTAGGAGTGGAGAGCTTCTTTGAAGTGTAATGAAAATACAAAACATTGCTTGTTATACTGCTGTTGATGATAATGGCAAATTACAAGAAAGCTAAAGAAAGAGAAAATTGAAATAAATGGATAAAGTTTCGTCACGACTGAAATGCAACGTTATAAGAAGATTTTGACATTCTATTATATAAATTAAGCCAAAGCGGAAATTAAGACAAACAATTTGCATCGTAAACACAAGAGCTTCTACTGATGCTTTACAAGGAAATTAAAAGTGAATTTCGTAGTCTCTTTGTGATGAATACTGATCTCAAATTAAGATAAATGTGTAACTTAGACGAGGTGTTTTATGTTGAGGTTGAAAACTTTATCAAACTATGTTGTCCGTAGAAGTTTTCCTTCTAGAAAACTGTTGGACGTTCAAGTTAAACATGGAGAAATTTGTTACATGCATAAATAAATCCATGTTCCGAAGGCATCACCGAAACTGAGATCAACTTTTCGTGGCTTTCCAATGCATTAAAAATTTAAAGTCTAAAAGGATAAGAAAAAATTTAAGTGACTCGTGTTACGTTCTTCTGAATCCGTCACTGCTTTCCTGATTGTTTGCGCAGATGGTCTAAATAAATTGAATATGTTTTCTAAATGAAAATTGCGAGAGACATGGAGAAGATAAAACGACAAAATATTCCCTCTCACAAATTCATATATTTTTCTGAATTTTCATTAAAAATTTTCCGAAAGAACTTTTTGTCGGGAATCAATAAAAGACGTAACAGATGACAAAAGTCTGTGATATATTTATTTGTCGTCTTTTTTGTTGTGAATGCTATGAAATAATCAGATCAATTTCATCAAAAACGTTTCGATTCTCCTTACACATGTTTAAATTGAGACTAAATATATGTGGAGTTAAATTTGGATGAATGTAGAAAATAATCAGAATCAGAATAAACATGCAACAGAATTTTATTTTTAGGTGAAACGACATGTAAACATATGAATAAAAAATATTCCAAGAACGTCCGTACAATTTTCAAACATCAATTATCTGTAATATTCAATCGATTTAGACGAAACAATCAATTGACATGAGATTCGATTAAATGATGTTGTTTCTCTAATTCAAACACAAATAGGTATTTTCCTCCTTCCCGTATTTTATTGACCATTGAAAATTTAACAAAACATATGCCACAACACTTCTAACTCATGTCAAAATGTTTTCAATTTATAACAGCAGATTATTTGAAATTTATGGACAATGAATTCAAAATGAATGTTTCAACAATTTTTTTCTTAAAAATCCTAGACAAATCCGATACAAATTTAATTTATCAACTTCACTTTCAAATTAAAAAAGTTTTACAAGATTTTATATGCAAAAGGATTTCCATTTGAATTGCTTCAGGTTAATGTTGTCACTTCCTAAATGTTCAATCGTGTCTCATGCTAGTTTGAGTGTGATAGAAGTTGCAAAAAAAAATCAAATATTGGTTTGCATGTCGAAACAGCAAACTTTTCTTGTTATTCAAATAAGAGACAAGAATTGAAATTGATTCGCCTTTGGGGGGTCAGTGATCGAATGTTCAAACATGAAACATTCACCATTTACTAGTAAAATTTTCATTGATCTTGTATAATTTTTGAAAATGAAATTTAAGGAAAAAGTAGTTGTCAATGATGCATCATGGGAATCAATTTCATATTCCATCGAAGAAAGAAATCCAATATTACAAACAATAAGTAGAATCATTGGTTACAATCCGTTCCGTTCTCTCGAAGATTGCTTTTTTCTTCTTCTTTTGTGCTTCCTCAAGGCTATATTTTCAGGATTAAATGAAGCAGAAAGGGTTTTATTTATATGAGAACGTGGTCTGTTGTGACACGTACACGAATCTAAGCCTGACTTATAGCATATAAATAAGTAATAAAATATATGGCAATGTATCACGGGAGAAGAATTGTCATGATAGTTTTTATTATTTGAGAGAATTGAAAAGCGTTTGAATGAGTAGTTTCATCGTTCACTGTGGTTACAAATGGACATTCAGTAAAACCATTGTTTATTCAACGGTAGAAAAGATGGAATTATTTCCTGGAACAAAAAAATTATTTTCAAATCAAAATGTTTTTATTGTTTTGCAATGATGAAGAACTTTGAAATTCTCGGTCTCTTGTTGTTAGAATTGCAAAGGAATATTTAAGAAAAAAGAAATAATAAAAAAGTAGCATCAACAAAATGAATTCTTAGCACATTTCAGCAGTGAAGCTGTCTACTGTCACCCACATTACTGTGAAGAAAAGGAACAATCAACAACAATTGACAATTTCTTTTGTATTTTGCACCTTTCTACTGCTTTGTGTTACATTTCTGCAACGAACGAATAAGAAAAAAAGAAAGAAGCATAAATCCTTCCAAAAGGAAACATCAATTTAACGATAATACGATTTTCATTTTACTTATGTTTTATGCTGTGAATTTAATTTATAAAGAATCACATAATCTGAAAAGAATCTTTTCAGGTATTGTATCTCAATCAGAGATCTTAAAATTCTTTTTCTTTCTTTCGATAAATTCGAAAATAGGATGAAACATGAAACAATCATAAAATATTATTATTGCACTTTCGTGTTAAATTTTCTTAAAAGATGAAAAATGAATCATTCTCAATAATTCCAAGATGATGTTTTCAAAAAAACTATTGAGCAGTACACAATAGACAGCAATTTATGAAAAAGATTTTCGATTTTCGTTCCTTCTCAACATCTATCACTGCTGGGTGTCCTGGCTTTTGTTGATTAATTGATTCAGTTTGACCTTTTGTGATACTTTGAGAATTCACACAACAAAAAAAAGAAGAATAAAATTTTCTTCATCCTCGTTTCGTCTCAATTTAGTTCGCTTTTGTCACATTTCGTCAGGAAAGCAGAAGAAGACAAATTAAACACTTGAGACGTAAGTACACAAGAAGAAAAAGAAGAAAAAAAAATTTTTTTTGAAGCGTTAAACAAATGATCTCAAATTTAAAGGGCTGGAAGAACGGAAATAATTGTCATTTCAGAATCTTCAATTTTATTTTTGTCACACGTAATCCTTGGAGACTTCCTGAATTCCATTTCATTTGAGTTGAAAATTTTGAGTTGTTGTGTGGCCTGAAGATAAATCTTTTCCCTTGAAAATTTCATCTCTCATTTGTTAAGGAAAGCAAGTTCAGGAAATTGAAACTTGCTTTAGAAAAGATCTTATTTTATTAACATAGACTACCTTATACTAAATCGTGCGCAACATTTTAAGTTAAATTAAATTTATGAATATGAAGAAAGAAACAAAAAGAATTAAAAATATTTTTGTTGAATGAATTTGCACAACCTGGCAAGAGCGTGTGTCTCGTATTTACTAATTTGCATTTGACTTTTCAAGTAAAATACTTACTTCTACAAGCTTTTGTTTATCTTGTGTATCTTATTAAAACTGCTTTCATAACATAAATTAAAACAGACACAAAAACTGTTGTTTTCTGTTTCCCTTTGAGATGATGTAGTGTAAGACATGTTTGTTTAGTTGAAACTTCTTATTAAAGAAGAATTTTGCCTGCTGAGAAGTTTTTGCTGCTCGTCTTCAGACATTACAAGAGAAAGTAATATAAAAAAGGAGGAATTCTTCGAATTTACATTTCCAAGCATACATCAATTTTAATTGAAAACCTTCTTTGTATCGGAGATGTTTTAATGAAAAATGGAGGTTAATTTATGTCAATTAATGCCAATATCGAATTTTGTTATCTTTCATTGAACGCTTGGATGGAATTTTCTTTCGATGTTTTTATAAGATAATTGAATTTATGGTTAGATGAATCGTTTCATATCCCTACGAAGGAACAGTTGCAGTGTAAGCTTCGAGCTACAGGAAGCCTTGATGAATATTTCTCATGTTTCTCATGTTTTATTTAAGGAAGCTAAACTAATGAATTATCAATTAAAGGCACGATACATTACCATTCAGCGATTTCCATTTCGAATTTAAATTTCAATTAACGTCACTCGCTAATGCTTACTTCTATGCTAAAACTAAATAAGTAATTCAATAAACAGATTCTCGGGATTATCTGATTAAATATGTTTTAATGTATAAATATATGTAAATCTACAGTCACAACGGGACTAAAGCTGCCCCCGACAATGTTAATCGATGAAATATTATAATGAGTTCAAAAATCGGACTGCGAAAAATGTTTGAAAAGCTTATTTGGATACATTTTGAGTTCCTCCAACAGAGGCAAGAAAGGAAAATCAATGGAAATCTTATTGATTATTTAGGTCAACAACTTTCATCGAAGCAAAAGGCAAACACATGAGATTCTCTTTGGGAAATTTCAAAACCCATATTATTAAGGATTATCGCTAGAAAATTGTACCGAAGTTCTAAAGAAAGCAAGGAAATCTCAATCTCATTTCATCGGAATCAGGAGGATAGAAGTGAAGGAAAATGGGAGCAAATATTTGCCTTTTCAATTTGTCTACAAATTTCTCAACTCCTCCTTGATACGGGATACAAAGCAAACAACTTTTCAAGGAGAACAAAACTTTAATTTCTTCATACTAACTAACTTACGCATACACACACAAATGAACAATGAAATGATTTTAAAGCTTTTCAGAATGAATCTAGATAAATCTTCTTAATTTTGCACCTTATTTCATCTCTAGAATTTAATTTAAATACCTTAAGTAGGTCGCGACTTGCCACGATGAAACAAACAAAAATGAAAAATTCAAAATCTTTATTCAAAAGAGAACAAACATGTGAATTAAAGTAATTTAAAATTATAAACATTTATATTGCGCTGGGGGGGAAAATAAGCGCGTGACATGAATCTAGCACGTATGTGTGTGCATAATATAATTAAATATTCTGTAGGCATCAAAATCAGAAGCACTCGGGTTGAAATTCAATTAAAAGTTTTCTATTTTTTATTTCTCAGTTCTCAGGACTTAGTCATGGTGCGGGTGGTGAATGTGAAGAAACTTTTTTAAAAGAAAAGCTCAAAAGGATTTCATTTCTCATTTTATATGCAACGAAAGTGAAAAAAGAAGAAAACATTCAATTAATCTGCATAAAATGAGTCTTATGCTAACATACATTCATGATGTCAGTTGTCTCCTACAGGTTTAAACAAATGGCAAGGTTTCACTTCAATTTAGATAACAACCAACAATCACCCACAAAATATCAAATCGACGCCATATGGCATCGTAAAGTTTCTTGAAGGGAAGTCTTCTATAGCCAAAAGTCAGTTGAGGAATCCAAAGTTAAAATCATTGGGATATATTGAAATCATGCTTTGAATATTATGCCAGCTAAGACTCTTCCTTTACTGGTAAGTGACAGAGCGTTTTTTTTTCGCCTTTCTCGTAGTAGTCAGAACTCACAAGTGAAAATATGTGTCTGTTTTGTTGCCGAGATGAGAAATGAGAGATGTGAGAAAAGAAATAAAAGGAATATTCATTTTCTCGATCTCATTTTGTATGTCTCGCACGTTGTAGGGTTGTAGAAATGCGTACGATATATTATGACTGTGTCCCTCTAACTTCGCCGTGCGTTTCATCTTAAAATGCCGCTAAGGCATAAGTATTTGTGCCTTCACTGTTTGTATTCATCTTTAAATGTTGATATTATTCTTCAATGTAGAAGTTGACAATTTTCTTCACGCTTTTTATGGTTATTATACTTGGATGTCGCACATAAAACGACGACAAAATAAAATTCCATGCATGTGGAAACGCGTTTTACATGCAACTTTAATTTTCTTCTGTGTAATGATTTGAGGATGGTGAAGATGAAGGAATTAATATTCATGACTGGATGCTTGAAATATATATCCTCTACAAATGAGACATGACGCACAATGTATCATGACATTCATTGAAACTTATTACGCTATTAGATGTCCTAAAAGATTTCTCATGCTTGATTCTAATCTCAAGTTTGTCAGCTCAATGTTTTGGATCTTCAATAATCGTTGCTTGGATAGTTCATTTAACGACTTTTTACTTAATAAGTATCTAAGTAAATATAACTAATCGTCGCTACTTCATTAATCTTCTCGTCTTCATCACATTAAGTCAATGTCTTCTTCTTATTATCTTAATTCTCTATAGAATAATCAACACCTTAAGTATCATAAACAACAGCAGCGAAAGATTTAACTAATCCAATTATTCCCCACATTGAACAATCACCACTGTTGACGCTACTTAAATTGACGTGTTTTGTTCAAATAACCATAAAATGCGAAGCCAATTTTTCTTTCTTGCTACTTTTTTTTTGTTTTGTTGAAAGCAAAGCAAGGCGAGCTTTCACTGTTGACTGTTGACCTGATACGAATAGAGAAACGGGAAACTTAATATATAAGAAGCGAAACGACGTGGAATTGCTAAATTAATATTTTTATGATTATTGCTTGACTATGTATGTTTATTATTATTGTTATCGGCTCATATTTCATACTTAAGTGGTGCAAAATAATACTTTCCTGTGTTGTCATGCGCTAAATTTTTCTTATGTGCATGTGGCATGTTTGTCGGTGGTTTGTGGTGATTGAAGCTGAGTGATATGTCAGCAGAAAACTTTTCATCGTCAACTCTACTTAGTTTATGAATTGAAGTCGTTCAAGCATTCAAGATTAGATTTCGTTTTGCTCGATGACGCAATCAAATGAAAGCGTTTACTACTTTGTATTTTAGCATAAAAACTAAAAAACTTTATGCCACATAAATCTTCGTAAGCTAAGGACAAAGGCCGATTTATTACACATTGTCATTCTAAAGTAATAAAAACGAAAGCACAAAAGTCACATAAAATCAAATGAATGTAGGCTTCTTCTAATGTCGTAAATCGTAAGAAATTGAATTTTTCAAAAGAACGAAAGACAAAATCGATTGAATTGATTCATAAGTGGTTTTTCTATTTCATGCTCGAACTCTTCAAATAAATTAAATTACAAAAGGAAGAATTATTTTTTACTCTTTTCGACAGCTGAAATTTATATTTTGTGTCGTGAAACATTCCAAGAGAAATTGGATTAAAGAAAGGTTAAGGTTCTTCAATCCTTCTACATAGTCTTTCAATTTTACTTTTTTGTTTAGTTTAGTCGGTAAGCAACATTTATCAGAAGCTTGATTTAGTTATAGAGAAAGAAAATGTTAATTGAATTAAACCTTTCGCTTCAAGTGGACTCGATATCATTCCTAGCCACGCGAGTATTCGCTGAAAAATGCCACAATGAAAGGAGAATGAAAGAAAAGTGAACGAGAATTTATGGGATATTATCACGTTATGAATAACAACGTTGCGTTGCTAAGAGATTACTGCTATGGATAAATCGTGTTAGAAGCAAAAAAGAAACGTCAAACGATAAGTCACGCTAAAATGTGAATAAGACACAATCAAAGGAAAACCTCTTTAAATAAGAATGCTTATGCTAAACAATTCAGGAAAATATTACTGGAGATAAAGAGAAACAAAATTGACGCTCATCTCGCTTACTTCAAACATCTTCGAAAAGCTTGATCATCTGTAAAAATTTCAGTGAATTTCAATTAGGATTTTTCAAAATGAAAACTCAAACAGAACTTTTCCATTTTATGAGTTGTTCTCTTCACTTGGAACGCTATTAACTCAAGTGCTTTTCATTTCAATTCGATTGAATTTTATAATTCAAGCTACTTACACTTAACAAAGAGTTTAGTCAACTGACGATTCAGCTTTACAATTTCTGAAATTGGAATATCAATAAATTTCATTTTCATTTTCTTTCGATTGATTCAGTCAGTGATGGGGTGAAGTCAAGGGCCGTGAAATCATGCGAAAAAGAATTTCTTTTAGCGAATTGCGTTTGCCTTCTTACTTGCAATTTAACAGAAATATTCATTCATTTTTTCGTCATCGAAGGATGAAAGGGAGAAAGAAACCACATTGTATAAAATTTCTTTCTTATGTTGTCATATAATGCAGTTTGGATGTTGATACTTATCAAAGGGTGAATGAGTCATTTCTTTTTCCTTCATCAATCTTTGCGTTTAAAGATAGAAAGCAGGAAAAGTAAAATTAGCTGCGGGATTTTTCCGAACACATAACAAATTACTTTTCACCCTCGTCTTCGAAACTAAGGCGAAATATTCTATGATAAGCAAAAACTGATAAGATTAAATCATTTTCACTATATATAAGAATGCCCTGCTATTCCCTCTTCTTCTAAAATTTTTTATGAACAATGTTACACAACCCTCCCGCTTTTTATTTCATTTCTTTTTTTTTCTTTTGATTTCCTGATTTAAGGACTTTCAGCTCGAAGGGGCTTTTATTGATGTTGGAAAATTCTCGTGCATAAAACTCACTTTTTAATTTATTTTCTGTTAGAAATGATTATCGCTTTTATGAGGGATATAACTAAACTTTATGAAGATTCTACCGTCTCTATGACTACTTTTAGAGATAAATTCTCTAAGTTTCATGATGCGAAAAATTTTCGATCTTATTCCTGATGCAGCAAAAAAGAAATTTCATCTAATTCCAATCTATTTCCAATGCGAATGAAGAGAAAAAAAAGTAGTTTGAACTTACAAAATGTCCTTCATAAATACAAATCAGTGAAAGCATAAAGAGAAATTTAATGCATCGTGCTTCTGAATATCTGCTGCAGAAATTTGGTTTTGCATTGATTTGCTCGAATATTCAAAGAAGATTCAAAGAGATTTTTGTTTCTTGTAAGAAATTATTTTAAAAATAGAATGAAATCAGGTTACCTAATTTAACTTAAATTGAATATTTCTAGCATTTTACTATGCAACATTCAAAGAGTGAAGTTGACAAAAGAATTAACCCTAATTGATTGGAAGCTTTTTTTTATGTTTTGCCATAATTCTTCCTGTCTCTATTGCACCATAAATCTTGTGCATTTTCACAATATTTTCAGTCAATACGCAGTTGCCTCCGCTATTCTGTGGCGGGCAATAAATTATGCACAAACTTAAATATTTCACACAAGCACAAATCGTCGTGGATATAAAAAGGGAATCTTCCTGAAATACGTAATAAAAAATATTTGATACATTTTATCACCCCTTTCTATAATCCATAAATATAGAATGAAAGGAGAAGGTTTAAAGTTTAAAGACGAAAAACAAGCAGAAATAATGCATAAAACAAACACGTTTTCATACACTTTAATCACATCATTTAAGTTAACAAAATTATGCATTATTCCGACAACGAGCGAACTTTAAAGCAGATAAATCATTTTATATGAGAGAATATTAAATTAACTTCATTTTAGAGTGCAACCCCTCTGAATTGTTCGTTAAGTTGTATAACAACCCCTTTTCATCGCTAGATGAGACCATAAACAGATCGACATCATTCGTTTCCTTATTATCGTAAGGGGATGAAAAACTAGTCTTCATATTTTATGGCGCAACCATAAATGCTAATTTCCTTAAATTGCCGATTCTTGAAATTTTTTCTTCATCTCAAGAGTGACATGAATAAATTCAAACAGAAGTTGAAGCTATTTGTGTTGTAATTTTTTATTTTTTATGATAGTGAAATTGGATGAAATATCTATTTATTTTCATCTCGCTTTTGCCTCTAAAACGCATTAAAAAGAAATTGGATTTTTTAAAAAATTCCAATCTTAAATATATTATTACAACAATTATTCTCAACAGTCGAAGCATTTAATGATGTTGGATGAAGAAACATAATCTCGATGAATTTGGTGACAAAAGGAAACATTTAATTAAAAGTTCAAAGAAAAGCGTGTTTACGATTCAGGTGGAAATCGCTCAATTATGCCATCAGCCCTCAAATGAAACGTTATTCAATAAAAGATCATTTCTATGAGTTTGAAGCGAAATAAAAGTTTAAAACAATAAATTAAATTGCAAATAGGCAAAGTTTTTTTCTCTGCATGCTTATGTTGGAGTGAAAAAAGGCAAAGCAACATACATTTTCTCTCCTTCAATATTTGCCAAACCTATAAAATTCCAATATAAATGTTAATGGAGGAAATTGAAAATAACATAAAAATAAGTGCTCAGAAATGCTTAAAACAGAGGAAAAATAATAAAACATGACTTTTAATGAAAAGCGATGCCGAATTGATATAAAAGAAGCAATTTATACAACTTTTTGTGAATGCAGCTTCTCGTTTGTGTGAGTTGGTTCTCGTTTTATGACATAATTGCGCAATAATACTTCAATTTATTATATATGAGTGTAATATCCATTCCGAATTGAGTTTTAATTTCTTTTCAATGCAAAGTGAAAGCCTTTTTTTTGTCATAATTCTCATCAATAATTTTTTTTCTTACTTCTATTCTCCAATGCCTCTAGACACGACACTGAATCAATAACTCATAAAACCAGCAAATAAAAATGATTTCTATCTCTCCAGACCCTTTTTCACATCTACTTCCTGCCCGTTCATTTTTATCAACTGAACTCAACTGGGTGCCGAAAAAATGAAAACAAATTTGTTTTAATAAAAAGCGAATCTAACATTTCTTCGAACCTTTAGGCGGGTGACGCGAGATGGGCTATGGTGGAAAAGAAGAAGAAGTTCTATTACGAGCAAACAAATGAAATAAAAATTGGTAAAGTTTTACTTGCTTTCGACTTTCAATATTAACCTAAGGAAGGGAAGAGAAAAGTTTTTCTGGAGTTTTTTGGGGAGCTTTCTATTACCTTACACAGAAGATTGGCAGATCCAGAAATGTTCTTTCCTCAAACAATGCTTTATGGTAATTTTTCCCTCGCTGATGCTGTAAGAGAGAGAAGCTCGCTAGACTTTTGGATCTCTTAGCAAACTAATAATACCATACAATAACATTACAGAAAAATAAGAAAACACACTGAGAGAAAACCTAATTTGCTTGAACAACATATTGTGAATGTGTACGAGGAAAATTGGAAACATAAACAAATTATCTCAAGCGAAACTTGAAATTGAAATACATAAATTATCTTTAGCAGCGGAATTCTTGCTGTTTGTTGTTTTAACGATAGTCTTTATCTCTTATCAGCGGTTTTTTTTATCTTTTTTCGATTCTGCAGCTGGAAGAAAAGTTTTTCAAACTATGAGTTTGTGGGAAAAGTAAAACTTTGAAGAACGTGAAAACATTTCTTGTCAATGACTTTCATATCACCCTTAAAAAGTGATGATGTGAACGACGGATGTGGAAGTCATTCGAATGTCCATAACATTATTGTAACATTCATGAAAGCATTCTTGAAATGTCTTAACATTTGATGAGACTTCATAACAACTTCGACCCTATTAACTGTTTTATCAGTTCCGCCTTCAAATTGAATGTAATTAAGCTTTAGCTTTTCATGAAGTTTCCCAAAAGTTACACAAACAAAAAGCAATATTTATATTCATTATCGTCATTATTGAGGGCAGGAGTCAAAGTCCTTTAGATGTCCGACCAAAAGAGGCAAAAACCACACCATTGCTATCTGATTTATCGATTAAGTTTCAACGGAAATAATAATAATTTACGTTTCTTCTCCTCGTTCACATCTCATGGAAAAGTATAAATTCCGTTCGGAAGCAATGAAAAGATTTCTTCCAGCTCATAAAGAATATTTATGCTCTAATGAGGTTGAGTATACTGATCACGTCACGTTGATTTGTGTTTAGTTAGTTTATGAATCTTATTTCATTCAGCAGTAATGTATCAATGATGTCACAAAGAAAAATTCAAATTTAAGAGAATTTAAAAATATTTTTGAGCTGGAAAATTTCGATAAATTTCTGAGTAAAAATATTTCTTGAAGTAATCACTGTTGGATGCTGATCACCGTGTGTTTACGTCAATGAAGACCCAGAACTTTTAACATAATTTTCTGAGGAAAGAATGAAATGAACATTTTGCTTTCCTCTTGTAATAAACACACAAATGACTTTTGATTGTGCCAAAAATATTTTTCTTTTTTTTCCTTTTTTCTGGCTCACTCCACTTTATTTTTTTTTCCTTGCGAGCAAAAGACATAATTTAGCCCTCAGATATTTTTATGTTCACAGTCTGCAATTGAAAAGAAGCAGCATCAAAATATATTTGTTATTAATGAGGCATTTTCCTCAAGTTCATGGAAAATGAAGAAAGTGTGTAACGAAATTTTTCTACCATTTATAACATTGCAAAAAGAAATTTGGTTTAATGATTGTTTGTTGTCGTTAATGAATCTCATTCAAAGTTGCAATTTTTCTTCATCTTTTCTTCCCGCTGTGGCAAACTTGTATGGTATGTTTCCAACATTTTTGAGACTCAAATAAAGCACGATTATAGATCAAAGCAGTAAAGTTAAAGTCGCTTAGCAACGCGTGCTTTCATCTGCACCACATGTCCTCCAACATTAAATAACTATCGAGACTTTAGAGCTTTTTGTGCAACGTAAGGAAAAGCTATATCGTAAAATATCTGAACTTTTGTGATTTTTGATGCTGAAACGAGATCAAAAAGCGTTTCATCAATTTGCGGTTGTTTTGAAATCAAGCGAAAAATTAATCCAAGACATCTTCAGAATGCTAACTTTTATTTTATTTTTTTATTCTCAACGTGCCATCCATTAATTAACGTAAATATATGGTTTCAATATTGATTCTTCTGCGCGCCGCGTTTTAATTAATTTTCAAATTTATTTGAATCCCTCGGAACAAGAAAATGGAAAACCAAGCATGAAAAAACCAAGTCAAATGAAAAGGGAAAATAGCAATAAATTTTCCTCGGCAATTTCTCTCATTCTTTTTTTTCTTTCTTTCTTTTTCTTTTCTCTCCATCTGTAAAATTTCTTCAAAAGACAAAAAAGCAGCTATGCGAACATAAGGAAGATGCTAAGAGTGGAGTTTTCTTTTACTTGTTTCTCATCCTCATTGCTTTGTGAGTATCACAAAGACATACAGAAAGGAAAAGTTAATTTGAGGAGGGATTTATTTGTCTTACAAGTGTGATATATCTGAAAGTATAATTTGAAAATTGATATTGGAACAAATTGCAAGACTTTTCTTCAGTTCTTGTGCTTGTTTGAAACATGAGAAAAGTGAAAACAGAAAACAGCGAATTTCCTCTAATATTATTTCTTTGTTTTACATTTTCGTAAAGAATTGAAAATAATCCTTTCTTCAAAGGCAAAAACGAAAATTGTGCTTGTTGTTAGTCATTAAATTTCGAAATTGAAATTGAAACGTTTGTGAAAAGCATTAGGAAGATACGACATTGCTTTCCTCCGTGTCGAATTTCATGAGACTTGTTAAGCGAAGAATGTCTTGGAGGCTTTCTCAAGCAAAGACGAGAAACGACAACTTTTTAATTTCAGAATCCTTCAGTTTCGAGTTTTTCCATTTTGCAAAAATAAAAGAAAACAAAATCTCAAGTTCCGTATGTAAATTAAACAATTTCTATATTTTCCATTTCAACTCATGCTTCGTGCTTTCCTGTCACTTATTTACAATAAGAATATATTCCATTACATTTAAGAGCATCATCATCATCATGGGTACAAATGTTATTACTTCTTTTGCAACTCATCTTATTTTATCGGTTTCAATAATTTTTTTGACCTATGAAAAGGGTGGCAAATGGATACGACTTAAATTTACCCTCGCACTTGCTACCGGATTAAACTATTTGCCATTGCACTTTGTGCTGTAATAAAATTTGGAAACTTTGATTAAATTTTTAGGAATTAGAAGGGGGATTCTGATATTTCCAGTAGCAAGTAAATTGATATATTATCTCTGACAACCCCAGCTGAAATCGTTAAACACGATGATAAGCAGAAACTTCACTCGTTTTTGATGCAATTTTCATGAGGGACATAAAATGTTAATGGATGTTCTAAAAAAGAAATGAAAAATAGCCTGATAATGTTATCAGTATTGATACATAATAAAAGCAGAAATCAAGTTGTTTGTGCTCAGACGGGGATACTTATTGCTAGTACTTAGTTTGTGTTGATGCTTCTTTCTTTGCTCAGTTAGCCATCTTTAAAAGGATACAATTACAGCTCGTTTATCTTCGCATAACTCTTATTACAAGCTCAATATCCCGTCAAAATACTTGCTTTGCATCTCAAATTTCCATTTCCATGCTTCATTTTATTATGATTTTCCGTCGCATCTCAAATTTATATTTTCATAGCAACATCAGAAAGCGAAAGAAAAAGAAAAATGAAGAAGAAGAAAATATAAACGGAACGTCTTTTCTTCTTAACGTCCATTTACGAAACGGAAAAGCATTTCTGTGAGATGAGATAAAATTTTGTTTGTAACTTAATCTAATGGAAAATTTTGTGTCTGACTGCTTTGGATATGTGTTTTCCGTAGCATCGAGGGAAAAGAAAACTTGATATTGAGAGGAATAAAAAGGAACAAACAGTAAACAGTTGCAGTCGTTCCCATGTTTAAGCTCTCAGCAAGTAGATTTTGCATAAATGATTGAACTGCTTTCCGATTCTAACATACATTTGCTTTCTGTCGGAAGTTGTGCGTTTCAGTTCTGCAAGCATTTTCATGTCCAACTTTATTTTAAATCCTCCGAGAGTTACTCTTTATCCGATCGACTTGACAGTTTACTTACTTACATTAAAACTTTTTCCTATGCTTACGGTTTGCATTTTTAGAGTACGAACATAATGGGCAGGAAATGAAAGCTCTTAAACGTTAGAAATTCTTCACTTTTTGATTCATATTAAGGTTTAGGTTTTTGTGTCAACAAATGAATGATCGTAAATAGAATTGTCAACACTAAAGTTGGCTTCGTGAAAAATCACCAAAAATTAAACATAAAGAAGAGACACACGACAAAATAAAACTTTTATTAAGCTTCTGGCGCTCATGTGCTTTTATTTTCCGTAGGCTATAATGATATCATGAATTCCATAGTTTTTCTTTCGTCTGGTGAAATTGCCTCCTGATTTATGTGCTATAGTCACGTTTTCATTTATAGAAGTGAGTTGCGGCCTAGACATTTTCATTTTACTATTTTTTTTCTCTCTCTTCTGAATCATTTCATCGGATATAAAACGACATCATAATTATTACGACGCGTCGTTTCCGAGCATCGCTTGAAATGTTGACAAAGAAGGTGTGCGTGTGTGTATGTGTTTTCTTTCTTTCTTGTTACTCTCGAGTCTCGACAAATGATTATGTTAAACAAATATTTTTCTACGACTTCCGAATCGGTATGCAAACAATAACATTCTTATTGAATAAAAGTTTGGTTATTAATCAACATTAAAGCAGAAGCATTTGTAATGAGGTGCTTCTATAAATAATTATCAAATTTAATCATAATTTAATGAGTCGAATAGAAAAGCTTCTTAAGTTGATAATACAAAGAAAAGAAGTCTTCAAATTGCTGTTTCTAATTATTGTCGATTGTTCTAAGGCTTAAAAAGCTTTAATCTTAGCTGTATAGAAATAAATTGAAGAACGTTTGAAGACAATACAACAACAACAGAGACTTTGAAAGTCAAAAAGTTTAATTTAATAATCGGAATCCCTTTCAATCTAAACCACATTTGAAAAATGAGTTGTCATCAGTTGTCATCAGAAAATGTTCTCAAATAAATTTTCATAAACTTTTGCATGTAATGTTCATGTTAAATTGTGTCATCACTCTTTGGCTTCAAATTTTTTATTCTTAAGAATCATCTTCGGTTTGAAAGGATATTCATCAACCATGAAAGGCGTTCTTTTCGGGGGATTGAAGCAGTTTTGTCAAGAAGCGATGATTATAAAAGATATACGAAAATATTTTTGATATTCAAATTCTCTGAAGATCCTTTATCCGATACAGATTTTGATTCCCATGGGCTTAGAATGGGGTGGAGAATATCAATCAATCGTTTGGGTCGTATTTGTAAATCTTCCATTGAAAATACTGCTTCTGATATGTCACTTGCTGTATCAATATTTCGAAACATTTTTTGCATGTCACAAACCGGAAATCCCAAAGAAAGAAATAGAGGAAAAGTTGAGAATATTCGGAATTGAATACAATTTTAGCTTGTCGGTAATCGATTAGATAACAAATCGTCTTCAAAATGTTTCGATGGTTCAATAAAGAATTCTTTTTCCCATTTATGAGGTTCATTGAGTGGAAAATTCTTTTGCCACTAGAATCTTCGATACTTTCGACTTTAAATACAAATAAAAAAGTTTATTCAAATTGTAAAATTTCCTTCTCGTCATTTTGACACATAAAATCTTCATTTTGATACATGGCAGGAGTTATTCGGAGAAAAATTATCCAAAAATTAAAACAGAAAAATTGTTGAATTTTACATAACTACAAATAAAGTTATGAATCATGTTAATGACATTAAAGAATAGTTATTATAAACTTTATGTGAAAGTTCTTTCGGAAACAAATTTTAAATGACTAAGAACATTTGGGCTCGTTTTTAATACAAAAACAAAAAATTTAATTATAGTTCCTAACATAGTTTCAACAATTTATGTTTATTGCTGACTTCATACGTTGCTTTATTTGTTTCTAAGTCATAGTTAAACATATTCGCATAAAACATTAAATTTATCAGCGACATAAACAAACTTTTCCAAATATGTATACCAACTTCTGAATTTTATGTGAATTAGTACTTTCCCAAAAGTAATTAAAAAAATGCTGTGCTAATAAATTTTCAGGAAATCGTTATGGAAATGATGTAAGTATTTTGCGAATTGAAAATTAATGTATTCGTTTCGTGTTGTTTTGTTTTGTTTTGTTTCAGTTCAAAATATAAAGGAAATTGCAGGAAAAACCAAAAATATTCAATAACATAATTTATGTTCTGGATTATTGAAATACAAAAAAAAAAAAAGAAAAGAAAGAAAAGTCTGCAAGAGTTCATGAAAATTTCTTTTTTAATGTTGTATCTTGAACTTGAATTTCTGAAAACACTCAGGTAAAGGTTAATGTGAACTCTCATAACTCATTTTTAATACGTTTTTCCCGAGAATTTTATTGTTGCTATCAAAGCGGAGCTCTTTTGTAATTCAAATATGTTTAAAGACACTACAAAGAAATCCGAGAAAATACTTTTCTATGGTAAATTGATTTATTGTTTGATACTTTCAAAATATCATGAACGGATATAAAAATTTAATATCCTTGCAATGATAACGTTCATTCAATTTCCTAATCTGATTGCTTTTGCGCCTCGATTTCATGCCGGAAATGTTATTCTAATCTTTTATTGATTCCTTATACTTTAACACTTTTATTCCTTCAAGCATTAAGCTTTCAATCTCTTTTTCCGCTCGTACATTGTTTCACACAATTTTCAATTCGATATCAGGATGTGATGATGGGTTTTGATTCTTCATACCTTTGAGTGAAATGAAAAGCTATTGAAGGAAGTCTGTAACGTTTTAAAGGAAATGAAAGTTTTCAAAATATATATATGTAGGTTAAAGAAGGGAAGCTTGAACCCAGATGGAATTATTTTGATAACAAAAGCGATGAGTTGTGAAACTTTTCACTTCGTTTTGGTTCGATAATGTCGTTCCCACAGTGACCATGCAAAAAAGGTTGGATGGAAATTTAAAGTGAGGCCTCAGGCTTTAACTTTTCTTTAGCAGCTTACACATTTAATAGCTTTTGTTTGATCTCTTCTGTTTTCACTTTGAATAATTTTAATTGAGCTTTTGACTCCATTTTCAGTTAACATTTCACGCTTCCTTAAAAGTTTTCACTTCAATATCAAAGCGTCAGAAAATTTTCATATTTTAATCTTGAAATTGATGTAAACATCTTTCCTTTGTTCCCGGTTTTGATGTCAGCAAAGCCCTTCAATAATTACTCTTGATGAGACAACGATGATAATGTGGATGGTAGGCAAATAATTTATTCATGCGATGTTTAAGGTCATGAGATGTTGTTGGAGCTACGAGATGTTAAAAAGACGACACCGACAAGTTATTCATAGGACAATTTTGGAATCATTGAAAGAGGAAGTTTTACAAGCGCGACAATTACAAATTTCAACATAATGAAGTGACAATGAAGCCATTTAGTATCATTTTGTTTGTTAAATTTTCAATCATTTTAAATTTATAACATTTTGGTTTATTTATCAGCAACAATTACGGTTTGGCATCATCTTAAAACGAGTAATTGAAAAAGATTAAAAGTTTCACAAAATCAAAGTTGAGAAATATTTCTTTACCATTAATTTCAATTTATTTTCTTGAAAGTTCATTTCTGACAGAAACTTTCAACACGCTTATATGTTTTCACTGATATTTATCTTCCGTCTTTTCAAAAAGCATGAAGCAGAAAAATGAAATATGAAATTTTAGACACATTCGTTAACAGTGCTGTCTGTTATCCCTGCTTCGTGAAACTTTCTTAAGTCCTCTATATGAATGAATGTCATCTAGTCTTTAACTTTCTCAAGTGATGTTGAAATTGTCTCTGGCAAATACAATCAAAAACTTTCCTAGATCCACTTGACAATAAGATTCGCAAGAGTAATTTATTAGCAAAAGTCTTTCGTATAAAGAAATTGCAACGCTCTAATCGCTTATGATAAAATGTTTCTGTTCGTTGACATAACATTGCCCTGATTTCTTTCTGAGCCAACCAATAAAATCATATCCAATTTTCCTGTTTCCCTAAGATTTTTATTTGAATGAAGAGAAGAAAAAAATCAGAGAAAGAAATTTATTTCAGTTCACCCTTAGTAACCCTCTTTTTCTTCTAAATTAAGATGCTTGCTATAAAGTTTATATCACCACTACACACGAGGCTTCTTACAATAAAAAGAAATCTTAAACGAGAATACTTCTGGTTCCATAAATCCTTACAAACTTTTCCTTTCATTCTCAGAAAAAGGTAGGCGAAAGAGAACCTTGAGATCAGCTTTTGTTTCCAACAAATCCAGTTAATTTAAAAAGAATTTCCCAGCATTATGTATGCCGTCATGTCGCAACCAAAGAAGACAGAAACAAATTTTCCAGCAAATTTTTAACGTTTCTTTCGCTTTAGCTTCTATTCATGGAGCAATGTTTCATGGATAACAATAAAAGTTGTTTGCCTTGCGTAAGTCTAAGCTTCTTTTTACCATGACGAAAATCGATGTGAAGAAGAGAATGATATGAAAAACTTCTCCCTTTTTTGCTCTGAAATTCTGAAAGAAAAAGCTTGTGAAAGTCATCTTCTACCTGACCTTTCTCTCGACTGACGAAAGGCACAACATAAAAAATTAATTTTTCACGGTAATAAACAAAAAAGCTCTTTGGAAAATGAATGAAACTTTCGTAGCCATTTCGTCGCGGAGACATAAAGCCTCAGAGAATGAAAAGGGAAAAAAGAAATAACTTGAATATTTCTTAGGCCCTACGATTAACAATTCTCCTTTTAAAGTATAAAATTAATGGTTTGATGAATCCGAAGGCTTTAATGTTCAGTATTTGATTTAAAGAATGAACACGAAACTCAAAATTTCATGAATTTAGTGAACTCAACTTCATTCCACTGTAGTGAAGTAATAAAAATTGTTCCAAGAGAATGAATTCGAAACAGAAGTTTCCTTCACTAATCAATTGGATTTGTTTCTTAACCTAGCGTTAAAATTAAATTACTATAAGAAAACTCGGAAATAGTCAAAAATATAATTTTAGGGATAAATTTTCATTGTTCATTTATAAATTTTACTGAACAAGTTCAATCTTTTTAATTATAAATGAAAATAATATTTTTAACATTTATTGTCCTTATTCTAGTTCAGGAATTTGTTTGCAATGAAGGTTTTAAATGTGTTTGAATTTAGAAATAATTGAAAGAAATTTCGTGTTTTGTTGCAGAAATTCGACGAAGAGCTGGACGTCAAAAAGCTATTTTACCACCAACCACACCTGAAGTTACAACCGTCGCTAATAAAAAGCCAAATTCTGACGAACTTTGTCAAATGTTAGGGGGCAGTTGTCAAATAGCATGTGAAGGCTTATATAACATTTTTTCAACGTGTTCGTTAGGTTTATCGTGTTGCATCATATTTAAATTACAAAATGGGGGTGATGTTGGAACGGAATATAGAGACACTTTCCTCATTGAAACTATAAGAGGTGAAGATTCAAATTTTGACAAAAAGAAGTGCAGAGCATCCGACTACGATTGTGATTCAGAAGAAGATGATAAACCAGAGAAGGAACATAAACAACATCCGGTGTCAGAGGAAAAGAAAATCTCAGCCGAAGTCCCTGTAGAGATTCCAGAATCAACTAAAAGCTTTGAAGAACCAGAAAAAGTTTATTCGGATTCTGTTGAAACGATGGAAATTGAAGACTCGTCCGAATCTTCTGAAATCTCTGAATCAGATGAAGAAGATTATGTTCCCGTAAGTAAGGAGAAGTCGAAGAAGTCTAGAAAACTAAAATCTCGAAAAACTTCTTCCGATAAAGTTCACCGTGAAAAATTAAAACCTGTTAAGGTTTCTGCAACAAATCGTCATAAAAAACAAAAGAAAGTCTCTTCAAGTGCAGAAAAAGAACGGAGTCCAGTTTCTTCCTCAGAATCTCGAGTTTCTTTCTCAGGATCTGATGAAGATATTGAAAAGATTTTCTTTAGTGACAAACCGTATGTCCCGTATGAAAACAGAAAGCCAAAAAAATCGAAAACGATCAAAAGACGAAAAATTTCTAAAAGAAAGCATTCCAACACTTCCTAGAATTGCTAGAATAGGAATTGAAATAATTGGAGAGTTTCTCGAAAATATTTTCACTAAATTTTTCATCCACTAATAAACAAATTGACTTTAAATAAAATGAACACAAAAAGTTAAAATTTTCATATTTAGATTTAAAATGTTATTGAAAAGTCCAATGAAAACTCGTGAATTGTAACTGAAGGTGACACCCACAGTCATATTGAATTAATTTCACCTTCATTGTCTTCACTTTCTTTTATCTACAAGTCATTCAATTATACTGATTTGTCAAAAGTCTTCCCGCATTTTATATTCCTTTGTACTAACCCAAATCATGAACATGGGAAGAGAAGACACGACACGCAAACCAAAAGTTCTGAATTTGGAATCAATAGTCAATATTTTCAAAGCCACAAGGAAGAAATTGAATGAAGAAGAATTATTCCGAGACTTTATTTTGTCCCGTCTTCACTTATCGATATACTTTTTTTCGTTCATATCTTTCGGGGCCACAGAGAATGAAAATAAAGATGACGGGAAAAAAAGAATTTTCATGAGCAAATAAAGACTTTTCCTTTATTTTTCAATGAAACAACATTTTCATTCTGCTCTCTTTTATCACTGCCCAATTTTGTGAAATGAAGAACAGAAAAAAAGTCGTAGAAAAAAGTGTATTTATAGAGAGTATTGATTTTCTAATGGAAGAAAACAAGGCATCGCAGAGAAAATTTTCAGGAAGTCGACAGACACAAGCACAAATTCGTGCACGGGAGGAAGAAGAGGATAACAAAAAAAAAAAGAAGAACTTTTCTCTTCTGAGATTCATCATCGAACAAATTCACTTTGTTTTTCAAGGTTTTGTTTACGTTTCCAATTCTTCCAATCACAGATGAACTTAATTTCAGTCAAGTGGATTTAAAGCACACAGCTGTAAGGCGACTGGATGAAAAGAAACTCGTTTGAAACTAATTCATTAAAGGAAACAAAAACGAGAAATAAACAGACAAAATGGAACAAAAATATACGACTTTAAGCTCATTCATTTCCTTCTATGGTTGTCTTACAAATTGGTTTTTATGTCAAAAGTTTTTTCGTTTCTTGTTTTTCGATTGAAGCTGAGAACTTTTTCCTTTCATTTTCCTATCTTTCCTCTCGGCTGTTAATCGTAAAATAAATAGCTGCTAAAATAATTATACTTTCCAGGAAAACATTTAACTTTCTTTGAAAATTTACAGATTGTTTAATTATGAAAATTTTATGTTTTTCTTTTTGAATCATCATCATCGTTATGGGCTTTTTGAATTCTTAATATTTTTTTTTATATTCAAAATAAATTTCACAAACTAAAGAAGAATTTATAAATTAATTTAAAACTTTTAAGAATTCCATTTCGATGTGTAATCATTTTATGCTGTGGAATTTTATGCAATTCTCTTTTTTTTATAAAGCATTGGCATGTCGAAAATCCATTAGATGCTTATCTTTTATCACTTCTTAGCAAATCGACATCCTAGAGTCATCAGGCTAATAATAAAACATACCATGCTTGCTTAAAATGCTGGAAATGAACAAGAAAAGAAAATTAAATGATAATGTTGTGATGCCGAATTGTTCGGTTCGTATTCATAAGCGAATTGCTTGTGAAACTATTCGAAGCAGTAGAGTGAACTATTATTTCTTCCGCCTTTCTTCTGCTTCGCTCGATTAAAATCAGTAGACACTTTTCTTCTTTTTCTTCTTATATCGTCTTCATGCAGCTTCTTCACACACATAAAAATTTATTTCACATTTACATAAAGATATTAAAATGCTAAAAAGTTTCTGTTTTCCCTTTTTTTATCTCCTGTTTTTCTTCTGTGAACAATAATGAAAATATTCTGACTAGAAAAATGTTTTCTTTTGAGGCTTCTGCTGCTATGTTATCATGAAAATCGTTGTTGTTTTGATAAACTATAAATTCCATTTACTTAGTTCTTGCAAACTCTATGGCTTAGCTTTAATACGAGTAATAGCATAAATAAGCTCGAAGAAGAAAAAGAAGCAGGAAAGCTATTTTCCTTCAACAGTATCATTGACAGCTAAGCTTTGAAAATTTTCCTTTCACTTAGCAAGTTAGAAAAATAAAGTTCCAACAAAGCTCTATTTGCTTTCACATTTCATTGAAAAGCTCCAGGCATGCGAAGAACGAGTTGCAAAAACAATTCTTTTTTCCCTCCATTTTCGTAGCCGTTGCTGGAATTTATGAAATCATAAAAAAATATTTTAAGCGCTTTTAGTAAAGGAAAAAATTTGCTGAAATCGTAAAATTTGTTGAAATAACTTTTTTTTTGTTGCTTCTCAACGTTCTTAGACGAAGGCAATTCGCCGTTACAGTGTTTAATGTTAGAAGTAGAAAATCCTATTACTCGAATCTTTGATGGAAATCGATGAAAAATTGCTGAAAGTTCAAAAAGAAAAATCAAAAACAAATTTATTTTTCATCTCTTGAATAGTTTTATTCTTCGTCTTCATTGTGTTATTTTTTTTATTTATTATGAGTATTATTTACACATTATTTTTATGCTAAGGAATATTCTTCTTCTTTTCTTAATTAAAACATGGTAAATTCTTCTTAATCCAATACAAAACAAAAAATTATCATCATTTCTTCTTTTGTTTTCTTTCCAATGTACAAATAATCTAATCATGATCATATTTTCTTCTTTTTTTTTGTTTTCCATTTACTCATCTATTTACACAAAAGAAAAGTCGTTGTTATAATTAAATTTTAGCTCGTAATTATATTCCTCCCTCTTATATCAAATATCAACGAAAATGTACATAAAAGTTTGTAGTTTTTATATTTTTGTCGTGAAATTTTCAACATTTTTTTATGGATAGTAAAAATTTAAGCGTTCAGATGGAAGCAAACAGCACGAAAAAAAGCAAAATTGGTCAAGTTGAGGGCATAACTTTTTTTATGTAATGAATGTTGTATATTTTGTTGTTTTTGTTGCTGGTTCTATGGAAATATGAACCCATGCCAATAAAAAAAGGAATCTGAATGAATTCATATACGATTTCTATGGAGAATGACAAATCTACACACATTAAGTTCCATCAAAACACATCATAATCTCATCTGTCACAAAACGATATGAAATGATAAATTTTTCCTTCACTTTGATATTTCTTCATCTTGTTGTCGTTCATTAACATTTTGCTTTTTGTGAAATAACGACACAGACGGGAGAAGGCAAAAATTAAATTGTTTGGAATTAATATTTTCAATATGTGACACATTCAGAGCTCTTTTACGAAAGTTTTAGAGTTCATAAAACAGTGCTTAGGCATACATGTGAGACTCGCAATTCTGCCGTTGTTATAAAACAATTTATTATGAATTTAATTTGTTGTAGCATGACTCAACAGGAACAAGGAACAAGAAGAGTTTGAGGAAATTCGCTTTGCTTTTTCGTTTATGGCTGTTTATAATAAACGATGGCTTAAGAATCTTCTTAAATGTGATTTACACAGAAATCTACAACAAGATAAGTACACATTGAAAGTTGGACTTTAACTTAATGTTTGTTTTTGTTCTGATGTTTTCTTTTCATATTTTTTAAGCTCATTTTACAAAAAATTTTGTCTCTCAGATTTTCTCAATCTCATTAAAGATTTTCATTTTTATCTTTTGAAATTTAATAATATTTTACTTTCTATGTTTCTCAATTAAAATTTAGTATGTGAGATAAATTATGAGTTTTCAAGTTAAATTTCTTCCAGTGTTCGTCCAAATGTTTCACTTACAAAGGACGATAATTGAGTTTATTTCTATTTTTTGTTTTATGCCTTCACATTTCTCTCATTCTAAAAAAAGGTTTCATGTTTTTTTTTTACTTTTTGCGTTAATTTTCTGGGGTAAAAGTAACATTTATGCTGTTGTAATATGCATCATAATTATGAACCATGAAATTCAAAGCCACATGTGCATATTTTTTTGTTTTTTCTTTTTCGTTAATAGTCTTAACAACACACATAAAGCCGAAAAACGAGACGCTAGTTAAACGTTTCGAAGAATCATGTTTCGATTCGGTTCGAGGAATAAAAAAGCAAATTTTTACGCATGAATGACTTTTGGGTATTTTACTTGTGTGTAGTTGGCGGTCATTGATTGATAAAACAAAACATATTGAAACATTTATGTGCTCCAATTTATTTAGTTAATAAGCAGAAGAAAGTCCATAAAATCACTTGTTAGCCGAGAGATTAAAATTGAATGAAAATTCATCGTTCATAAAGGTCAGATTCAATTAATTGATCTTCTTAAAGATTCATTAAATGAGCATGACTCGTTGAACCATTTCCGTTGTTATCATCGTTAATTGGTTTATTATTATTATCTCTGAGTCATATTATTCTGTCGTTTTTCGTTTATATTCTTGGCTTCTTACATAATTAATAAAATTTTCATGACAGCTAAGAAATGAATTTGTCATTTTTAAGAGAGCGAGAATGAAACTGATTTTTATCATCAAACCCATAAACTGACCATAAAATTGTTTTAAGAAGTTTGTTTATAGCTACAATGAAGTTAACAACAACGCTACCACTTCCCAAGTCCATATTCTGACTTATGCAGGGAAGGTTAAGCAAACGTTGAAAAGAAAAGAGAGAATAAGAAACTTTTCTGGGAAAATGAAATTGAAGTTAAATTGTTTCGTCAATCTAATTACGGTTTGTATTGTTGGTGAAACAAGTGAGCGACGTGATTGAAGAGAAAACACCAAAAGTCAATTAACTTAGCGATCAACAATGATCTAAATCACAAAGTTTTATAATTAATTTTGGTCATGAAATCAAATTTCCATTTTGTGATGATTTTTCCCACATTCGATTCGAAGAAAATGTTTTATCTCCAAGGAGAATCACATTTCAGATTGTTTTAACGATCTCAAACGGTGACATAAGAGTCATGGATGCTGCACAATGATTATCGTATGGTAGATTCATAGGAAAACATGTGAGTAAGATAGTTTCTGACATTTTTTATGGGTTTCTTGTTTCGAAAAAGATCCTTGCAGACCGAGAGCCAAGACAACAAAACCTTGGCTGAAAAAAAAATTCTTTTTTAGTCTTAATGTGTTCCAGTTCCTTCAGCAATCTTTTTATTGTCTCTTCGTTTCCCATTCTCTCTTGCTTTGCCGCTGCATGAGACGAATTAAATGCATAAACGAGAAAGAAAAACGACGTCATAAAACTTCAAGTTTCTTATCGTCTCGAGTAAGTCGCTTTTCCTCCGGAACATGAACACAACAAAAACAGATTTTTCTTTAATTTTCCTAAGACTTTAATGTCTTTTTAATTCTGTGTGTCGCATATCAAATTCATCTTTCGTCGTTGTTTGGTGAAATATAATAGTAAGGAAACGACTATCTGTAATCATCCAAATACACACAGATAAAATAAGCCTTCAAGTATGTTCAAAAATTGCCTTTTTATTTTCATTTCGTTGTCCCTTGAGATCCCTTAACATAAAATACGGTTTTAGTGTTCTACATTTCTTACATGATGGGTCCATTAAAGCTATTTACAGGTCGATTCTACTTTTTTTTTTTTAATAAAAGTAGGTATTTAACATCGTAAATTTCCGATTTTGATTTTCTTTGGACGTTTAATGCTGCACGGAAACTTAGGTGTGGTAAATATATGTTTTGTTGTTGAAGTTAAATATCTATCTAAGAATGCTTTTTGTGTCAAATGCACGGTGGCCCGAAATTCGTTTTTTTGTCATTCAACAACTGTTCATTATTATTCCTTCTCTTTTTTCGGTAGAAATTTCTTTGATAGCATAAACTGACTAATAAATTTCAATAAAAAAAGAGAAATATTTAATTCAATTAGTTGTCGTCGTAAGCATTATAAAAGTGTCGTTTAAATTTAATTTTAACCTTTTTTTCTCCACCATGAATATCAAGATTTTAATGCTTTGTTTGGGTTTTCATAAATCACCTTTTTTTCAAATGAGAAATGAGCTAAAGACTATTTTAATATGTGTTTCATTTTACAACAGTAGATTTCAAATAATATCCAGACTACAATGATAATGTTTTTATTACATTCTATAAATTTTCTTCTTCTTTTTCTTATGAAAATGCGCTTTTACCATAAATTAAATTTTCATCTTTTATGCTGTTTCTTGTCATTGTGAGTTTTTTTTCTTTTTCTTTTTTGAAGAATTAAAAGAGAAAGTAATAGAGAATCGAGAATAATCGCTTAAATTCTGTTTTATAATATTTTACATACATAAATTTATGTATTGGAATCGGTTCAGATCTGATGATACTGAGTTGATATAGCTACATATAATGGAATTATACTTAAAACTACATGGGAAATGCTACCAAAGACATCTCATGGTATTTTATAAATTATTATCTAGAATTTTGGAGTTGAATGATATTGAAAATGTTAAATGCTAGAAATATATTTGAGTCGTCTAAGTTAACATTTTCCATGCTTCTCGTCTTTTGTTAAACATTTACTCTTGGGAATAATTTCTCACATCTTTCTGATTTAAACTAACCTGTATACTAGAATTTTCTTAAGAAAATGTTAAGCCCACATCATGTCTGATTGTGGCAGTCTTCTCTTCTTATCATTTGCGGCAGTCGATGACGTGTTTTTCAAATTATTTTCATCAACGATGTTCAGTTTGTCAGCTTTTTGGGTATTATATGCTTTAGCACTTGTATTCCCATGATGATGATGCATCGTACTGTTGACAGCTTTTGTGTTTGCCTTTCCGCAATAATAATTCGAAGGCATTGTTTTGCAATTAATGTTATTATTACAGCCATTCAAATTATTAATGCTGTTGTCTCTGCGATCACGCGACACTCTTTCTGTCGGCTCGTGATTTTTATTGTAAAAGACATCGTCTGAGTTTAAATTGTTATTTCCATATCCATCGACCAACTCACGACTATTGGATGGAGATGATAAAGATCGAGTGCAAAACTCACTTGAACCATTTGATAATGACGAAGTTGACGATGTGTATTTGTTGCTTTCGAAGTTATCAGGTTGATAATTGTTGTCACTGTTGTCCAGCATACAATTAATATTACGCTTCGGATCACTAGAATTAGTGTTGTTACTGTTGACGACTCCACCACCTGCTGTACAATTAATGGGAACAGCATACTCGTGCACACGACGATTAATATTATTGACAATGAGATGTTCATTTGCCGTCTGAATGGTATTGAATTTACAATTATTTATTTGTTCGTAATTATCACAGATTTTTGGTTGACAATTATTAATAGCACTTGTACCGTAATTGTCTAACCGGATCGAAGCAGGACCGCCATTGTTAGGAACGCCCATGAGAATGTTGTTTGCACCAACACCACGTCGCAATGTCGATGCACGATTCACTGGCGTTATCGTATTGTAATCATGAGACCGCAATGGATATTGTGATGCTGGAGTATGATGTGGGTGTTGGGTGGTGGCATAAATGTTTATCGTCGAACGATTTGTTAGGCAATGTTTGTTCGAATGTTTACCATTCAATGATGGAAGTGCCAAACGAAGCTTCTGCCAAAATTTTTTATCATCCCACTCGATACATAAGTTGGTTTTCAAGTACAAACGAATATCAGCATCCAAATCTTTTTGTGGAATGTCGCCATAGAGAATGATAATCAATTTCCTTCTCCTCTTTAGGACTTCATGAACAGCGCCTTTGAACTCGAATCTTCCCCATTCATTGTAGAGGAAATTTTTCGAAAGAACCAACACCGCACGTTTCGAATTGTCGATGGCCTCACAAATTGTATCAGCAATGAAGTCATTAACGTTCAAATTAAAGTCACGATAATGCAAGCACAAACGGTGTCCTATGTCATTTTCGAGCACGTTTGCTAAGCCTTGTGTCACAAAATTATCATCCTGCAGAGAATAAATGACGTAAGCATCGTATAACCGATCCTTGTCATTATAATCATTCAGAAATTCGGACGATTTATAGCCGCAGCAAGCAAACAATGGTACACAATTTTGCTGAATGAAGAACTTGAGCTCGTGTCGATAGCAGAAAATGCCCAAAATCAATGCGAAAAAGCCAACAAAAGCACAAGTGGCAACAAGCAGAAAGGGTAATAAATCCTCGATTTGTTTCGCATAAACAATTGATGACATACCATCCTTCAACGTACAAATCGTTCCATTCTTCTCTTTTAAGACGTTGGTGAAATTATTGTAGACACAAGCCATTCGATTCAGATCGATAATCTTCTCAGTGTTAGACTGGAGATAGATTTGAATTTTGTGGAGAAAGTTACAATCACAAGACCAAAGGTTATCAGCAAGGGCAATCTCTACTAAGTATGGATTATATGTTAGCTGCCATATTTCAAAGTTAATCAACTTGTTGTCATCTAATCGAATCACTTGCAATTTCTTCAATTCTTGGAATGTTCGCGTGTCGATAAAGGTCAATTTATTGTGCTGTAAATATAATTCCCGAAGATTATCCAATGAATTAAACTCGTGTCCATTGAAGCGTTGTAATTTATTGTTGGCTAAGTGCAAAATCAACAGTTTCTGGAGATGAGTGAAAGTGCCATTATGAATTGTGTGGATGTTAGAATTGTTTCCATAGAATATTATCAGATTTCTTTTTCCAGAGAAACTGTTAGAATTTAGGTCTACTAGATTGGTTCCGTCGAGATAAAGTTCCGTAATGTCTGTCGGCAATTTCTTGGGTACATCTCGATATTTACTGCCAGCACACTCGACAATATTTGTCTTCCATGTTTGATCATGGAAGCATGTACAATTCGATGGACACTTCATTTCGCAATCACATGAATCTCGACCGCAGCAATCACATAAAGTGAAGCAGTGTAAGTTATAGCCACACAAAAAATGATGCGGCTGTGCTTCCAACAGCGAAATAAATGATTTATCACGATTGTAAAGGAGCTTACAATAAATCGTATCGATGTCCATTATACGAGGATATTGACGTGAATTTTGATCGTTAATCGCTTTCAGCCATTCAATGTTGCAATCGCATACAAAAGGATTGCCACCAATATAAAATTCTGGAAGCATTTTTTCAGCTGGAAACGGCATGAGACGTAAAGCTTTCATGTCCAAACCGGTGATACGATTGGCATATAAATCAACACGAGTTAAGTTGCTTTTGTGAAGAAACGCATGTGGTTCAACTTCTTGGATTAAGTTATCATTCAAAAATAATAACTCGATGGTATTTGGAATACTGGATGCTGTTATTTTCTCTAATCGATTAAAACTCACATCAAGTGTCTGCAAATGGAGTTGATCGTCAAGGCCGTAAGCATTTGTTAACTCGCTTAGATTATTCTTATGAACATCAAGCCATTTAAGACCATAAGGAATGTGCGAAAAGTCGAATTGCATTAAATTATTGTCTGAAACATTCAACCAAACCAATCCCGGCATGTTGTAAAACAAACCATCAATATTCGTGAGAAAATTTCCATCTAAACGAATCGCTTCTATGCTTGGTGAAGCTTCAAATGTTCCACGCTCGATGTATGTAATTTGATTTTTCGCCAAATTTAAAATTTCAAGTTCAGGCAATTCGCGAAATGCTGTGCGCGATATATTTTCAATTTGGTTTCCAATCAAGCGTAGACCATAAACTTTGTTCAAGCCACTAAAACCAGGCTCGTCGAGCGATGTTATTAAATTCTCGCCCAAATCCAACGTTCTCAACAAACGCATATCTTTCAATGCTTGCGGAATTTTAGTTAGTTCGTTGCCATTGAGGTTTAATATTTGAAGTGAACTACAATTTCTAAATGCCTCCGGACTTATTCCGTTCAAAGCATTGTTGTCAATTGACAGTAGTGACAGCACAGTTAAACCATTTAATGAATAAGCATCGAGATATTTAATTTTGTTGTGCGACAGCAACAACTTATGCAAATTACTCATTGACGTGAATGTATCAGCATCGATGGTCTCGAGAAGATTATGTCGCAGATTCAGAATTTGAAGTGTGTAAAGATCGGAAAACATTTCCGATTCCAACTTGGTGATTTTGTTGCTCGATAAATCTAACAGCACCAGACGTATTAAGCCTTTGAATGTGCTTTTGTTAATCCACGACGATGTCAATTGATTAATTGACAAATCTAAGGCTTGCAATTGAACCAAATTGGAAAATAATCCGGGCGATAAGACACTAATCGAATTGTTTTGCAAATGGATCTCTTGTAGCGATTGTGATGGATCTTTGAACAGCTCCGACGGTAATGCAACAATTTTATTCGAACTCAGATCGACAATTTGAAGTGTTCTCAGACCATTCAGAGCCTTATCAGCTAACATTGAAATCTCATTATCATTGATTTTCAAAAGCTTTAATCTCTTCAATATGCCAAAACCGTTTGCTGGCAAAAGCACAAAATGATTATGGGAAATGTCCAATGTCTCCAAATCAACAGCACAAGAAGAAAACATTTTTCTATTTGCATCAGATGATGACGAAGTCGATGTTATTGTACCCAATGTGGGTTGAATAGATTTTTTGTTATTGCTAGCCAACAGTGCTGCCAACAAAGCCGGTTCTTCACCTTCTCCATTAGCGCGTTCTCGAAAACCTAGCTCATTGATGTCTTGCAATCGATTACTGCTGATGTTTAAATATTTGAGATTTGAAAGCGAGCAAAAAATATTCTCTGGTATTGACCAAATGTTATTCGTACTTAAATCAAGTCTTACTAGATTTTTCATATACTCAAAAGTGTTGCCATCAATTTCGAGATTCAGTGATGGCCAATTAATATTAAATGTCCGGACACTTAAATTTCTTATGCCTCCAAGACCAGAGAAAAAATCTGCCTGCAGCTTTCCAAACTTGCAGTATTCTAGGAACAATTCGTTTAATTGAACTAAATGGCTGAAGCCCTTGGGCTTGAGTTTACTTTTCGTTTTCAATTCATTATTACACAATATTGTCAGCGACGTTGTGTGCTCGACGGGTATCACTGAGAAGTTTGTCGTGTCAAATTCACTATTCACCGTACGCAAGTTGCACGCTAATGATATATCTTGATTTTTTATTAGGGAGAATTTACAATCGTCTGGTGCCTCATAACTGAAAGGTTGCAAATGTTCAATAACATTTTGCAGTGTCTGTTGTTGTTGAGTGTTGACCAGCACAAGAAATAAGGTGCTAATCAATAAAGACTCTAGTAGAGTGTTATCACGTACTCTTTGCAAATGCATTTTGTTGGAATTCCATCCACACGAAATTTTATTATTTTTTTGTTGTTACTTGTTTAGTTAATTTTTAATTCAATTATGTCTCATTATTCACGGCTACTTCACTAGTTGTCAGAGTTTCTATACATAAATGTTTCTATCGGAAGTTCATACTTAATTCATGTTACTTCTTGTTCTTATTATTTTCGTTGTTTATTTAAAGTTTTTCTTTTAAATCGTCACTTTTTATTTTCTTTTCAATTCGTCGTCACAAAGAATCAACTTGAAATGAAACAAAAGTCTTGAGAACATAAAAAAGAAACGTTCCACATGTAGTGAATGATGGGGGTTGAGAATAATGTTCGTTGACGAAAAATAATATTCTGGTCTTAAGTTCTATATTGTTATTTGCTTTTATAACATGAGGCAAAAAGAACAGAAAAACTCAAGGAAGAAATTGTCGAAAAATTATTTTTTTATGTCGAACGATTTATCATTTCACTGTTTTTCAACTTGCTATCGTCTTGTTACATTAGACGAGTATGATACTGAATTTTCACTGATTATGTTTCTCGTCTTTGGATTTAATATGAATTTATCTCCCTTTTGGGGTTTTTCACCGATTTTTTGCCTTGCTTTCGGTTACTTGATATCCTCATGTGTACATAAATTTTGGTTTGTATTTTTTTTTTGCAAATGGATGTTTTATCTTCAATTTAGCCTTTTTCTTGTTGCTTAATAAATCCAGAATAATTTCCTTTTCGTAGAATAAATTTTCCACAACTCAAAACTTTTTCATAATTAAATCAGCTCTGTTTTGCATGAATAATTTTTTCGGCACCGCTTTTTACTATAATTCTCTTTAAAATATTTTCCTTTAAGCATCACCAAATGAAAATTTTAATCACATGAGAATATTTTAATCACTTATAATCCAATAGTTTCTTTTCATCAGTCATTAGCAGCAAATTTCTATCATTTAATCATGAAATTCTGTTCAACAAAAATTTATTAATTAATGTTTCATTAAACTTTGTAATCCTTTTATGTCAGATAAATTTTTACTACACTTTATATTTTTTTTCTTTCATCAGTTTTTTTTTCTTCTCTTTTAAAATGCTGCTAGTCTACAGACATCTCGCGCGTTCGGAGTTTTCAGAACATCTAAAGCGGAATATCATGAGCACTGAAAATATATACTCTCTCTTAATAAACATACATTTCTTGAACAATAATATTCCATTGGAAAGATAAAAAGTTCAAATGTGTGAGTGAAGAGAGAATATTTTTGTTTCTATGCACTTATCGTCTATGCTTTGCACGCCATTCTCTAATGTTAACGAACATCCAAGCAAGCAGCTGAGAAGAATATTTCTCATTTTATTTTCAAACTTTCCAAGAAATCATTTGAGATATTTCTACCCAACATGCGTACATTCTTCCATAATGCAGACTCTTTTTGTGTATGAAAAGAATTTATTTAAATAATTTAAATCATTCCCGTGGAAAATTATTTCTTACTTTTATTCCTTCATTGAAACAAGTTTAAACGAAATGAAAAAAAAATTAAAAAGGATCCATGTATCTAATATGAATTTTTCATGTGGCTATTTCTCTCTAGTTTTTCGTTTCGTGCTTCATTCATTATTTTCACAGTGTTGAATTTAAGATACGACATTGAAACATAAACCAAAAATATGTTTCACTTTCTACAATGGTTCATACTGCTTTGTTTCTATTTTCAGCAATGTTAAATCCTTGTGTAAATAAATATTTTATCAACTAGATAATAAATATTTTCGATCTATTTCCATACAGCCTGGTTTTCATTTTTCATTTTCTTTAAAAATTCATCTTGCTAAAGGAAATCAAGATTCAATGCATAAATGATGAATATGCAACAGCCCGTCAGAATATTAAATACAAATGACTATCATTTAGATGAAAAATATTCTTCTTCGATATAAACATGTGTGGATCTCAAGTCGCTTCAAACATTTCAATGTTTTGGATAAACAATTTAAATAATAACATGAAGGTTTGACACCAAATTTCATGGTGACCTTTCATAACCGAATTTGAATGTTAAATTTTTTTCTTGTTCTACAAGGTATTTTATTATCTCGCTCTTTTTTAACCTTAATAAAAATCTTGCTTTTAATTAAAATCATTAATTTAGTTAAAGCACCAGAAAAGGGTTTGTTTGGTAGATTTTCTCTGCGCCTCTGCTTTTGAGATTTTTGTACACAAAAATTAAATCTAATAACTTTCATTGAAATTTTTGTTTCTAAGAGAAAAAAAGGTAAAGAACTTTACAGCAAAGCAGACAACGGAGGGACAATAAAAGTCGCAATTCATCATACCTTGTTTTAGAAGGGTGATTTTGATTGCAGGACTCAAAAAAAAAGCTACAGCTTCTTAATTAGATTTTTCATGAAATGCGGGCCTTATAACATGGATGAAGGTGTAGGGAAATAAGTTTGATATTTGTATATAAATTTCATATGTTCGCATGTGGGGGAGAATCGTGTATATGATAGTGGCAAAAGTCATAAGTTTTTTTATTGTGCATTATTAATAATGTTGACTTCATAACTGTTCTAATTTTAAACGAGAACCTACTGACTCATTGCCTCAAGGGTAGTTTAATGAAGAAGGGAAATATTAAAAACAGAAGCATGAAGGCGAAAAACAAACAAACAAATACTTAGAATGTTAAAAAATGATGCAAATGAGAAAAGTACGACCAAAAGTCATTTGTTTAAAAACAGAAAACAAAAAATGCGATGCTTATCATATTAATTATCTTTTGTGTTCTTTGTTGTTATTCTTTTCTTTTGAGAACGAATGAGATCCCTTCAGGGGTTGACTCTTCAAACAATTCAGGAGAATTTAAATGATGGAATAAACGGTCCTTAAGATAATGAACTTGAATTCTTTTAGATTTATGAAGCATAACAGCACGTGAGTTTGCTGAAAATTATTCCAGAATGATCCATAAATTCATAGAAAACTTTAGAAGTTAATTAAATTTTCGGTTAAAACCTAAAGTCATCGTGAATTTCATTGGCCGGTCATCACATCATTGTTAAAGGGAAAGTTATTAAATGCGATTATAAAATCGAGAGGTTGGTTATCTAGGTGCATGAAGAAACATTATTCTCGGCAGAAATTTATTTAAATTGTTTTTAATTGAGTTTTAAAATTTGCGCTGAGTGAAGCTAATTGGGGATGATGGAAAAGCTTTTAATTTTTATCACTTCTTTTTATTGCTTTGGCTGTCGGTTAGAAGGCGATGATGGGTTCAAAGTATGTAATTGAAGTTTAATTCTTTTTGATTGTGGGATCCAACATTTAGTGACATTTTCCTTAAGCACAAAACCCATCTGAATATTTAAATCTTTTCTCAAGCTTCCTTCAAAGCCGCAATCAAATGGTCGTTTCTTAAATGCAATGTAATGATTGTAGAAACTTCTAACAAGGGTCAATGAGTTACCAAAATTATGCATGCTCTAACACGACCTTAGTCAAAGTAGAAAAAAAATGTGTTATGATATATGAAGCATAACCGGAAAAGTCCAACAAACGTTAACAGCATATAATTAAGTCCAAATACACAATTTTCACGGAACACCAGCAATTTTCCATTATTAAAATTAATGATCATAGTCTTACGTCGTAATTATACAATGAACCTTTTATTTATATTACGTAGGTGGGTGGATGTGATTGTAAAGTAATATGTATATTTTGATTGAAATCTAATGTAATAAAGATTACTTATCTATCTCGTATATCTAATCAGTTGAATTGTTAAGTGACAGAAATGTTTTCATAAATGAAATCATCTATGATAAATGAAAGCAAAACTTTTAGTTCTTTAAACATTGAACTGGTACACAGTCTGAAGTAAATAAAAAATTCTTATTTAAGGAAGCTTAAATTATCATGAAGCTTCAACCGCTTGTAAGCTTTTTGCACATCACAAACACATCATTTTTCAAAAAGATTATTTTCTTATACTTAGATGCTTGCCGCTTGCCAGTTTTGTCTATCTTTCCTCGCAGAACGTAGCAAAAAATTTATATTATTGATAAAATCCCAAAAAATAATGTTGTGTCGCATTACTTCGAGGATTGTCTGTATTTACACATCCCGGAGAAAGCATTACTAAATGGATGGGAATTTGTGAGAGAAAGATTGAGATCAAATAAATCGATTGAAATGGTTTTTATGTCTTTATTCCTTTGCTTTTCCTCTTTTTTCTTTTGCAAATACGATTGGAAATTGGATGAATGGATAAAGAAATGTGGGGTTTATGTCGATGGAGAATTTTGAGTTCCATCGTAAAACTCTTAACGATTGCAGAAAACTGAAAATCAAAGATCAATGGCCGAAAAATAAATTCATTTAAATGCGAGAAGAGTTCGTTGTAATAACCAGAATTGTCGTATAAAACAAATGTTCATGACTTTAACTTGATTTGGCTTATTTATTTTCTTTTCATGCAAAAAGAACATTCAATCAATAATTTTAAATCATAATGATAAGAGAGATATTTCTAAGATATTAAATAGAAGAAAGAAAAATCGTTAACCTACATCAACTGAGACTGTAGAATATTTTTTACAACATAACTAGCTGTTAAACGTTGATTCGTGGAAAACGACCATAAATTTCCTTTGCGTATTTTCACGTTTCACCATTGAAATTATTGAAAGGAATTTACAACAAACAAGTGAACGAGGCAAATAAGAGCTTTATCGCATAAATTTTAGCTTGAAACAGTATAATTCAATTATTTATTCCTTTTTCTTTGTCGACTTAAATTTTACTCAACTCAGCTCGAATCTCGCACTTTCAGACTAAACAAAATTATTGCACGATATCGACATAAAAAATGAAATTAAATGTGAGGAATGAGAAAAGTAACCTTATGGGTGGAACAACACATTTTATGGATATGAAATAAATGAACAAGGTAAAGTGATTCCAGATAATTTCGTTATCCAGGAAAATATAAGGCCGGAAATTTCCTTTTTTATTTTCCTCTGTTGTCCTCTGTTGAAATTTTAATACTCAAAATGCATGCATAAATATCAACGAATTGTGAAATTTTTGAATTTGCAGTTGTCACTTTTAAACTTCCAAAACGAGACATGATAAAGGATCTCAATAATCGTTTGAACACGCAAGAATCTTTTATTTATGAGGATAGAAATTTAATTCAAATGTTACCAAAACATTTTTGCTATGCCTAACATTAATAGGACAAAGATAGAAAAGTAATTTTCAGATAATTTCGTACACATGTGTATCATCGATATTGCGTTGTACAAGCACATACGGTTAGTCGGTCATCCATGAAATAGAATAACCTACTTGTGAATCAATCTATTCGATTTCTCTTTGTATCTCCAAAAAAGATGGTGGGAGTAGGCAACCCAACTCAATATATGATAGCAATCTAAAAAATCGAGTTTTCATGTTAGCACCTTCGTGTGGATGTTCAGCATTTTGAAATTTTAAAGTCGTGAGCTTGTGAAATTTGATGGGCAACAAGTGACTTTATTCTCGTATAGATTTGCAATTATGAATGCGATTGAACAACGATTGACGTGATGATGAAGAAATAAATTTGAAATTCCTAAGAAAAATAAAAATTCTCAATCATTATCTATGGTTATAAATTTTTATCGCTGTTGTGCCTTACTGTGCCTTCCGTTCCTTTTATATGCTTTAATTAAAATTCTATTACTGTCTCTCCCGTTCTTATAGATTGACCTCCTATTGCTCGAGCCCAGAAAACTTTTTAAAATATTTTCAAATTTCACGGGAAACATAAGTTCATTTGTAATCCTTCTGTTAACCAATTCCTATTTGTATGCAACAATAAATAAGAATGAATTGAAAGGAAGCCTTTGAAAATATTTTAAGCCTTTTGTTTTCCTTTTCTCTTAACCGTTAAATTTCACTTCGTGTAGATATCAAAAGAAGAAAGAAGAATTGTTAATGCATCTTAAAACATGTAACAACAAACGATTCTTTATGGTCATTAAGCAATAAAAAAGTGAAAAGAAATGCACACAACATTTTTCTTTCGTCTGAAGTATCAGGAGTGAAAAGGAGCAACAGAAATATGTCTAAGCGTAGATTCTCTCTCTTCTTATCATTTCATCTCATACTGTGAAAACAGGTGCCCAGACAATTGTGAACTTCAATTCTTCATTCCTTTCTTCTACTTTTTCACATTCACTTACTCTACATGAATGCTTCTTCGGGCGGCTTTAATGTTTCATTTCATTTCTTCTTCCCTTTTTTCTAGGCTCTCTCAATTAAAGAATAAAAAAAAATGTTTATTTCTTGAATTAATTTCAATGCCGTTTGAAGTTAAGAAAGTCAATGGGGATTCAGTGCTGAGAGGTGAGTACTATTTCAAAGTCACGTTTGGAAATAATCTGTTTAGTGGTGGAGAATAATTTTCAATTCATGTTGAAATAACTTTAGCCTTGCTGGATATTTCCTTAGGCATAAAATTTTATTTATGTTTCAGGTAGCGCGTTAATTTCATGAAATTACGCTTCATTACATTGGTTGACTCTCAAATACGGTTGAGTTCTTCAGACGCGTTTATTTAATTCGATGTCGCAGTTATCCAACATCACAAGATTATTGCGATAATTTAGAAGAAAGTTTGCAAAGTAATTAATTGGATCGATTGGTTGATGAAGCACAACAGCTGCAAGACCTTTTCGAAGAACTGGACCAACAGTTGTCTTAATGTAATTAATGTCATCGTTAGTAATTCCTGACGATTTTCTTTTGTCATCAAAATCACAAAAATCTTCTTTTCTCATTACAACTTCTTCATCGCTTTCTTTCTTCGGTCTTATTCTTAAACCTCTTTCATCTCTCTCATAAGTTCCAGGCTTGATTTGAGTCCAATTTCCTTGAACTAAAATATATTCTGATGCTTCAGAATCTTCTTTGTAGGTTCGATTGCCACAAATATTCACAAAATACACGCCAAACCTATCACAAAAGAAACGCCTTTTATAAATTTTTCGGCCTTGTAAGTCAATGTAGAAATCTCCGTTTTCGTCGTTGCCAAAAGTATTTCCATTATTTATATTAAAGTCACCACTTGAATCAAAGTAATATTTCAAAGGACGCTTAACAAGGTTTTGAAAATGTTCTAAATTGTCATTGTGTTCTTTTGTCATAGTTTCAACCTTTGCTGCGTTATTTTCCATCGCAATCATTTCCACAAAGTATTTTTGAAATTCTCCAATGGCATCCCCAAGAGAAGCAGCGAAGACTTGAGCTTTTTGTGTTTGGTGTTCTTTATTAGAGTTAGCGATTTCAAAGCGATCTTGGAATTTGTTTCTTACTTCATCGATTTCAACATCCAAAACCTCAGTTTCTTTGTTATCCCCCAATGCCTTGAAGATTTCCATTCTTTTGTGCTCCATTTCGAAAAGCTTTGTTTGAAAGTCATAAAGTTGATCAGCCATCGAGTTGTCAACATCAATGAGACATTTTTCAGACTTTACCACTTCCAAAACTGCTTCAATCAACTTTTCTCTTTTCACTCGAATTTCAGATTGCACACATTCTTTGGCTAATTGAATTTCTTCAAGCTGTGCTTGTAACTCATCGACATTGCTTTTCAACAATGAAATGGAATCAGTACGAGTAGTCATGCTAAACTCTTCAATTGTGTTTTTTATTTCCGATGAAGAATTTCCGTCAAATGAAGCGTCTGATTCTGACTCTGAATCACTAAGAGGCGGACATTTTGATGAACGGTAAGAAACTTGACAAGGATAGCGAGACATTTTAAAATGAATTTAGAAATTGAAATTTAGACGAACAAAATACGAAGTACAAAGATTGCTTTGATAAAAGGATCATCATCCATTAGGAATAATTTGTCATATGAGTCACTTTTCCAATCCCATTTGCAATAAAAGAGCATTGTTTATCATAGTCATAAAACTATCCCATTTCACAAGCTGTTCTGCCATGACATTAAAATGTTATCTGAAGCCTTATCTCAAGGCTCTCACATGCACCATAAAACAATAAAACATTCTAACATTCACAATTTTGGAGTGACAAGCCACAATTTCTTTTGAAAAATGAAGCGAAGTTTTCAAGACAATCTGTCAATTTGAATATACGCAATTTTCATGTAGAAACTCAGTTTGCGGTTTCTGAGTCATCCCGGGAGAACGCTTTTCATTTTTATTTTTCTTCTGTTGAAATTTTATTTTACTCTTATAACAACAACCAACAACCCTAATGCAGTAGATCTGCATGAGAAGAAGAGAGACATCACCGAATCTGTTTCATTTCTTTAAACGCCGTCACTTTTATGGTATACTTTTTGATTAAAATGGTAATAATAAGACAGGCCCCTCTCATGGGACCACCTCCCGCGTGTTTTGTCTTCAAAAAGTGAAACTTCATAAACCATAAATTTATTCATGACATTTTTCCATTTCCATTCACTCAAAGAAGATTTTTCTCACCATTATTGCATGGTAAAACCAGTCATGACAAATAATTTGTTGACCCTCTTCCCTTTTCTGTTTCATACTTTATACCTTTATGTCACTTCTTTTGTGAAAATATTATCTGGTAATAAGTTGAAGTGATCTGAAAACAGCTATGAATAAATAATAAATCTGAAGATAAGCGTGGGTGTCAAATGTAAAAAAATTTGATTACATTAGATAATATTCTCATAAATAAAAATGAGTAAAGCATCAAACAAGTCCCTGATTAGCACTGCTGCAGTTGATTGTCTTTCCACTCGAGTTCATGTTTTAACAGTTTGCATAAATTCCACGAAATTTAATTTAAAAATTTATGCTGGTGAGTAAACATTTATCTTGGTGATTGGAATTTTCCACAAAATATGATTTAATAATCCAGTTAATTTCATCGAAAATGCTTACAATGTTCATTGATGTCTCTCAAAATGACATGAAGTATGTGACAAATTGTCACATTAATTAATTAAATAATGTTTTGCTAATTTTCTGGTTGAAGCAGTTACTCGTACTTAATTGTTTCATTTTGCTTAATTCCACTGCATAAAAGCTCAATGTATGGATGCACAAAAATAGATTGTCACCTCAGTCGAAAGCCAAGTCAGGATAAATGATCTGAACTTAAATCGCATGCAATTAAGGGAAATTAATGTCGACTACTCCAACAAATTACTTGCAAAATGATTTCATGTTCGAGAGGATTCCACGAAATCACGTAAAGTTACGTTGGAAACTTCATTTATTCTACTCGTGCTTCAGCTTTTTAACAGGCTAAAATCCTCCATAAATACATTTTTTTTTCATTTCTATAGCCAAGCTGTAATTAAAAACGTGATATCTATGTCTCATTGTAAATGACAATATTTGTGGTCGAGTATTAATTGAGTTGAGTTTTATTGAATGGATTTTAAACTCAACTTCAAGTGCTTGCATAGTGTACGATTTACTTTTAATTCTTATCGAACTACATGAAAGTTCTGCAAATGCAACTGTTGGTTTATGGTTTTATAACAATCGAATCAACAATCTATCTTGTTAAAAATTAATTACAACTCCCGTTGATTTTCCAAGTTTTCTTTGCTTTTGATGCTTAATAATGTTTTGCGATAATTGTAACTTCGCATGGATAGAAGAGAAAATAAATAACAACTTATGATGTTCACTCACAACATGTACAAGAGTTGCAAATCTTATTTAATTTTATCTATGATTATTGAATCAATCATTCCATAGCTGTTATTACATCCACCAATCCTCACCCTCTTGCCTACTCTTTCAAACATTGTACAAAAGAAAAAGTTCTACTCGAACTAAGCAGAAACAACCCTTTCACAATCGTTCTTGTTCAATTTCATCCCCCGCAAAAACTCAATCAATCGCAACATCATGATTTACTTTTAATCGAAAATAAATACACCAGAAAGCGATGCGGGAAGAATGGAAAGCTGAAATCTCATTTTTGTCACACAAAAGGAAATCGATTAAAACTCAATAAACGACGAAATTAAATTTTTGTTTCTCATTGAGACAAATTGAGAAGGGATTTCACCGTAAAGTATGTGTGGGAGGAGTAATTGCAATTTGAACGTTGAAAAGAAGTTGAAATTTGCATTGTGTTCAACATTTTGGAAAGTTAAACGAATTAATAATTTTTGTTTGATTTACTTTACAATTGTTTGATTCATTTCACTTTTGGTTGATTCATTTCTGCTACTTCATTATTCTTTATTTATGAGTTAAGGAAAATGTTTCACATAACTCGAAGTCACATTAAGCAAACGTTTAATGAAACTAAATAATTTAAAGCGAATGTATTGGATGAATAATGATTAATCGAACAGCATTTCTAAGCACTTGAAACAGAAATTCACACTTGAACATTATCGAATTAAGTCTTGTAAAGGGTGTCACAAAATCAATTAAATTCCAATTTTCAATGCTTCAGTCCGTAGTACCTCTTACAAAATCAAATTTGCTGAAAGTAACAGCTCAGAAATCAATTGCATTTGATATTGATGGAGTGAGTAAATAATACGCACTCGCTTCCTCTCGGTTTGAAAATGTTACAATTTCAAGCGAATATCAACAAACGTCAAAGTTTATGACATGCACATGCACTCATCAATTCTATTATTTACAACTCAAATATCATAGAGTTTAATTACTCTTTATATTATTTTGCAATCGACGCATTATTGACAACATAATTGCGAGTCGCATCCACATAGTTTTGTTGATGTATCAGCACATATGTACAACCACAACATCATTGATTACACGAAACTATTTATTTACATTTCATTAATTTTTAATGGTTTTAATTAATTTTGTGCAGCATCAGTTCAAACATGAATGTTTCTCATCAAAGAAGTATCGATGCTGATGATTTAAATAATTTACATATTTTTCCTGCTTTAATATTTATTTGAATTTATTTTTGTTTCTTTCAAGCTACTCAATAATTCATTTATTCATTCATTCATTCATTAATATTTACTTAGTTACATTCATTTCACAAAGAGAAAGCAACTGTGCTGGGTTTGACCAACAATTGTGTAATCGGTTAGCATCATTGGATGTAATTTTCAAAAGGCTTCTTTTCTTTCAAGACAAGAATTTTCTTTCCGATGAGAAGATTTAATTAAAGAGAAATTTTATTGCCCTTTTTCCATCATCTTCATGGAAAAGAAGAAGAAAAAAACAAGAAAATATGAAAAAGAAAACTCTCTTCAATAGGATTGAAAAAAAATCGACGAAGGCGAATCCAATCGACTAGAAGGAAATAAAAAGCATAAAAGCACTGAACCATTAAAAGATTTTGAAATAAACAGTCAGCAGAGAAGAGGAAAGCGAGGCGTAGTAATAAAATCGAAAATGTAATCAATCAATTTGAATGAGAAAATTGCTATTTATGAATGAGATGAAATGTTCTTTTGGAGAAACAGCGAAGATGATATGAAATCGATGTATCACAAGTGCTTATGTTACGCTTAATTTGATGATTTATGATGTATGTGATAAGAGCCAACCACTTCAGTTAAGTCTTCAATACTTATAAAAACTTTTCTTCTATTTCCTTATCTAAAGACAACTAAAAGACAACAAGAAATGAAGAATGAAGAGTTCAATCATAAAACCATTGCGAACTTCTACCACTTAAAGGAATCAAAAGAATTACAATTCACTTTATATTTACACAAAGTGATTAACACTGGAACAGACAAGACAAATTTCTTATTTATAAATTGTGTTTGTTGTTAGAAATTGATTCATAACAATAATGGAATTCCAATTCGAAAGCTTTGAACGGAAATCGGTTTTATTCTTCAATGAAATATTTATTAAGAAAAAAGAATAGAAAAGCGTTTGAATCCATCTCATCCTGAATTTCTTTTCTATTTGCTTTTCTTTAATTTGCTCAGCGAGAAGAAAATTTATTTCCTTTTCAAATTTTTATTTCCCACATCCGCTACGAAATCATTTGGGACAATCGAGAGGCGGAGATGAGAAGTTTGAAAGAAAAATTTCTGTTTTCATCTTTCTATTCGCATGTTTTTCTCGAGAAAATTCTTATCGGATTTTCTCGTTTTTGTGTTCGTTCATGTTGTCGTCTGACATGGGAAATCCGTTTTTTAATTATATCAGTCACGAGCAGTGATGGAAAGTCTTGTGTAGGCATCATGTTTTGATTCAGTCCTCTTTTAATGTCAGATGCTAATTTTCTTTAAGTCAATCAACAAAAGCGACTGATTATGACATCGGAAAGTTTTAAAATCAAGTTTTAAACGAAAATAAAGTCATCAGTAAGTCTTGTGTAATGAATAACGAACTATTGAGTACAGAATTTATATTGCATGCTTACTTAACCGACCTTTCTACTCTTTCGTTTAATATGAAAATAAATTGAAACAAATTTTTTTTAGTTTCCTACGATTTCGACTTCAACTTTTTTCCCTGATTTGATTTCTCCTGGAAGTTTAAAAAAAGCAATTCTTAAGAATTTCTAATGAAAATAGAAAAAGTTATGGAAGAAAGTTCAAGAGTTGGAATGAAGAAATTCTTCAAGGAAAATTCACGTCCACTTAGAAAACCTTTTGCTTCTATTTGTATCAAAAAGATTGAAAGTAAAACTTTTCTCTCGTCGTCCACAAAACTCTCTTGAGAAAAGTTCTTTAAGTGAAACATATTGCTGTATCTTTAATCACAAAAGAAAGACCAGATGAAGATTGCGCAACCACAATTTGTTTCTCATCTTCACATAATTTTATCATCGCAACAGACGCACATTAGTTACAGTCTCGCCATATGAAATATCGCTTCTAATTAGAACGAGAAGAAGTTTCCCCGTTTATGGACGAAAATGATAAGAAATGTCCATAGCAATTGAGAGAATCTCAGCTGCAATTTCTCTTCTTCCGTCAACATCTTTCTTATCTTAATGGTCATATTTTATTCGCTTTGTGGCATTAATATCGTATAAAAACCTATTTGTAATATGAATTGCGAGGGGAAATGATTCTTCTTAATATTTATACAGATATCTACTTACATGCGACTTGTCGAAATTACAAGATACACAAACATTTTGCTGTTTCAGGAATTCATTTATCAACAAACTTTGAAAGTTTCATTACTTAAATATGACAATTTTGATTAAGCATTGAAAGCAACATGAGATGTCAATGAACTTCCTCATATTTCTGTTTTTGCTGTAGATAAATATTTGCTTTGGAAAACAATTTCCAAACAGGATATTTATCATTGAAATTAACTCCACTCACACTAAGTTCTGTCAGTTTTGTAACAAAGTGATGCTAATTATTCCTTCGACATCATTGCGTTCTTCTTAAGCAAGTAAGTACGTTAGTAAGTAACTCAAATATTTTCCTTTTTGGTGATCCTCTCATTTCAGCATTCTTTTCATCAATGATTAATTGTAATTCCTAATAACATTTAATTTAAGTTAATTAGTCCTTCACAAAGACTTTCTCTTTCAATTCCACTCAAAGACAGAAAAGTGTCATTTAAAAGTTTTTCAGGATATTTTTTTGTGTTGTTTGCTGCCGTTGTTGTTTCCGAGAAGACGATGAAGAAGGAATAGCAAACGAGTGAAGCATTTGAGACGATAAAAGTTAATGTGAAAATATTGTGTAAAATTCATGAAGAAGAATGAAAAGAGTTTCTTAAATAGGCTCAGAAAATAAAAAATTGCTTGACCTTTAACCATCAGCACAGCATTCACCCGTTTCCTTTGTTCCTTGAAGACTTCAAGTGGAGCGGGTTAGAATTTTCCTTTCTCAAAGCCACTTAGAGCATTTCTCAGGCTTAAATAATTTTTTGAATTCCTATGCCACTTCAAGTTTTCGTGAAGTCAAAAAGCTAAACAATTTATCAAATTGGGTTTAGTTGAAGTGCCTGAATTGAAGTGAAAGTATTTTCACATTGAGTTATTTGTGCTGCAAGTTATCTTACATATTTTAAGAAAGCTAATTTGTAAACAAGTCGCCTCGCTTCCCCTTCTGAGTCCTTAACTAATGACGCAATATCATGGGAAAAACTAATTTTCGCATAGCAAGAAAGAAACTTTCGTTACAGCAAGTTGTCAGACGTCGTCAGAAGAAAATTTATCATCGATAAACAATTTCTTTTTTCTCATGTGCATCTTGACTGAGATTTTCTTATTAAAGCAACATTTTCATCTTTCTCTATTTAAGAGAAGCTGTAGATGGAGACAATTTATGTTTCATGTCACGTAAAACTGTTCTATCTTTGTCATGTACTTTCGCCATGCGATTTCATTTTCTGCGCTTCATCATCACATAAATATGTGGAGGAAAACATATCCAACTACATTTTGCTTATGCGGTGAACTGTCAATGAATTTCACATAAGATCTTAAATGATACAATTTGACATTAACTGGTTACAGATTTGCTACACATAAATTTATTGACGCATGCCAGATGTTTTCATAACAAAATTTTCGTAAGTTGACTTAAAATTTCAGCGTTTTAAATTTTTTTCGACTAATTTAGTGCCAACTTTGGAAAGGAACGACAGGATGAGTAATAAAGAAAAGATAAACTTTCATAAATATTTTATCGTAGCCAGATTGAAATTAATCACTTATAAGCTTCTTTCTATCTAAGTTCATATATTCAAATACCCAAAATAGGTTTTCTTATTCTTCCGGGTCGACCATTATCAACAGCAGTCATCATATTAAGCATATACCGCAATAAATAACAAAACAAACTTTGTAAAGCTTCGCACGAAGAAAAAAACTTCTCGTCTCCTCTCATCCTATATCCGGGGATAAAAATCATAGTGATCACATCATATTTAACCCATTATCTTACCTCTCCACCATCAGTTTCATCCTGCTTTCTTCCAACTCGATAAGCATAAACTTCCACAAGAGATCCTTTCCTTGGTATTTACCTTTCTTTATTATCTCTGACCTTAATCTTTTGGAAAAAATTACATAAATAATTCTGTAGTTGAAATTGATTTTCTTCCTTTTCTTTATCGTATCTAACGAAATATCACAAAAACAATTTTTCGTTTTCTTGGAAAGCTTTTAAGTTAAAACAGCAAGAATCTAAACAACATGAACTTTGTTTTTTTTCTCGATTTCCTTCATATCAATACAAGAAATAAAAATAACGAAATTTCTTTCTTTTATTCTCTTGAATTCTACAACGACAGTCTTCATTTATCTGAATTAATATCAAATGCAGCAATTGTTTGGGCGAATTGAAAATAATTGTGTAGAAGAAACAAGTCACAAGTGAAAGGAAGTTTAAAAGTAAAAGATTTTTGGTTCAAACAATAAATTTGTCTCCATTAAATTCAAACTTAAATAAGGAAAGGTGTTGGAAGTTTGTTGTCTGCTGGCGGAACAATGCCAGGATATTTAACTGGAACAATAAATAGTTTCCGCAACACGAGGATGCTACCCAATGTTGCAGACCTAACCAAAAAATTACAACTTTATCTGCTTTATGTACTGAAATAAAAGTTGCTGTTCAACGTTCTCAACACAATTTATTTGTCGCTAGATGAAGATAAGAAAGAAAAAGAATAAATTCAAAGACTTTTGGCTATGAAAAGTTGCTTCATTTGTAACCCTTACGGTCAGTTGTTTTTATTTACTCATTTCTGCCAACAAAATTAAGTTTTTTTCATCAAAACTTCTTCAACAATTGCAAGAAAATTAATTCCGACAGTATTGAAATTCATTTTTTGATAAACATAAATTGCAATTCCAAACTGGAGGCTTGATGCATAATTTTGTAACTTATTTATTCAAAATCAAAAGCATTGAGTGGAAAGAGAAACGAGTGACATATGTCAGCGAAAGAAACAACGTTTATTAATTTTTCTCGCTTGTTTTGAAACTTGTTTCATGTTGCGCTCTTGCTATGACAGTAAAATTAGGTTAGCAATATAAATGCACAACAACTGTGAATTTTGCAAACAACGTCATAAATAAGCTTTTTGTTTTTTTTGCTCTTCCAACGGAAGAAGTCAGTTCCTTGAAACTCTCTTTTGTAATAATCTTTGTAAGTTGTACAATAAATTGTTCACTTTATTGAAAAGGAAATATCAAACATCAGAGATATGAAAACAAAATGTTCAATCTACATCAATAATCAAGTTTATTGAACAGTGAACAGTAAAATGAACTTTGGTAGCAGCAGCAGTGATTTAATCTTAACAAATTAAAAAAGCTTCGAATTTCTTTCCAATTCTGTTATTTGTATCGCTTGTAATTATAAAATCAAATGAAATAATGAAAGGATTTCATTCAGTTCAAATGATTTCCTTCATTTAAACTGCTTTCTTTAGATGTTTTTCATTTAATTTCTCTGAATAAAACAAAGTCATTATAATCTCGTATTTAAGATTTTTACGGTTCTCGAACTCCAAAGCAATGAAACGTTTATGCAATTTTAAGCTTGAATCGTGAAAAATTTCAGACGTGACGCAATAATAAGAAATTTATTTATTTCGAAATTTAATTAAATCGTAAGAATTTTATTATAATTCAGAAAGAACAGATGATGGCAAGCACAAATCAAGAGAACGACCATTTGGATCAAAAGCGAAGCCAATAATTTCGTAATCTACTTTTGACAGGTTGCTGCTGTCATTTTGATTTGGTGTCCAAATAGACGGCTTGAAAATTGGTGGAGAAGGTCGAGCGATACAAACTGCTTTGCTTCTTGGTAGTTTATTTTTATCTGAACTTTTACTCTTATCAGAACGAACCCAACGTCGTGGGAAGCTTTTGGTCGTCAACAACATTGATGTCTTTTCATGTCCTACATTTCTATTCTGACGCTTCAAGCACGAGCTGGCAATTTGTGTCAAAATGTTTTTCTTCGAGCCTGGAGCGACGAAGTCATCAAAAGAGAATTTCATTCCAAACGTGATAAATTTGTCATCGAATTTGATTTTCTTCCAAACGATCGGTTTTGACATTGATTTGGTAAGGCACTTCGGTTTGTGTGGAAACCCAATTGGAATGGAACAATCATTACAAATCAAAAACTTTTCTAGCAACTCAGCGGAAAGAATTAAATAATGATTTTGTACACTGAAGAACGATTCATAAAACTCATGAATAATTTGTCTAAAAATGAGAAAGATAAAACCGAAATTGTTTATTTATTTATTGATGACAACATAAATGTCACTCATGCTATGACAACTCATTCGTTTCCGACCTGTTGTGCTCTAGAATTCCTTTGACCTCGTCGTCACGTGGAAGAACAGCTTGAACGATAAAATCATCGAAACTGTCAAGTGCTTCACATTTAATCCTCTCCGAAAACGACATCATAATCCTGAATAATAAGTCGTTTAAATTTTTGTCTTTCCGTTTTAGTAAGAAATTTCTTTTTTTCTTTCTTCGAAAAACTTACTTGGAAAACGTGACCAAAGAATCCATTAAATGTTCACTGCTTTTGAAATTGCTGGAAGGCATTTTTTCAACGTTTTCACGCCCAATAATTTCTGGCATCACAAATTCTTCAAGTGATTTTAGTGATCGACTAAGTAAGCTCGCTTGATTACAAACTTCATTCAGCGAGTTAGTGAACTCATCAAATTGTTTCAGACATGTTTCCACAGCATTTGTCGTGTTTACAAAGTTTTGTGATTTCGTTTCATAATTTGATTGGTTCTTGAATGAGACATTCATGTTGATATTGAATATTTATAAGTATTAAATATATTTGAGAAATGTTTATGAGAATTAATTTTCAATTTTTTTTCACAATTGTAATTGACTGGAAAATTCTTTGGTTTCTTAGATTGAAATTTTTCAGAGTCACTGAGAAGTGAAAACTTGCAAACTTAAAGGATGCGAAACATTATTCATGAAACTTACTGCATGCATTATTTTGCACCGTTGTTGTTCAACTAAGCACATGACTTTGTTTCAACATTCACAACTATTATTAATGTCACCCAGGAACAAAAAGGGAAAGTCATGTAAATTTTATTACAATTCATAGTGGAAGCGAGAGAGAGATTTATGTTAGATATTTTTTTATTTAGCACTGCCGTCTATTTGCAGTTATTAAAGTTCTTTGAGTTGTTTTATTTCTCAATGCATGTATGTATGTAGATATGCACAAAATATGGACATTTTTTAGGTGGACATTAATGTTATAAAATCCATATGCACTTTTATTATACGTGATCGCGATAAAAATAAATTTTAATATGGTCATCATAAATCACGTTTTGTCGCTCAAACATTGTGTGTGCGTGTTTTCGGATGATTTTCTGGTTGTTATTTTGTTTTCGTTTTTTCCGTCTGCAACAATATTTGAAACAGTTAAAAATTGAATAAATTTTTTTAGAGCTTTTCGAAGGATGAAATATCTGGCTCGAGATCGCATCACGTAGGATTTATGTGTTTGGAATGAAGAATGTTGATCGCGTTGAGCTGCTTGATATATAAGCAACTTTAATTTAACTTTAATTCAACATAATCAAAACTTTACGTCGAATGCAGCAGACATAAATTTCAAATTACATCGCTTTTGTATTTGAATGTTGATATCAATAGAACTTCCCTTACATTTTCATGCTTTCGATGATAGCAACAAAATTGTGCAGTAAATCACAAATGGTTGTACGACTGCTTCCACAAAGCATGCTTCCTCCTGTATTTCTTCTGATGCACAATAAATCAATCTTGGGTTCATTGTGCGGTGCAAACTAAACGAAGAGTAACATTGCCGAAGCAGATAAGGAAGTGACATGTTGTGCCATATTGCGGAACACAAAAGAGAGCATTTATGTCATGGCAATGTCTTGTCGTGTGACGCAAATCACTCAATTGCATGTGTATCTAAGTTAAGTCAAGCATTAATAATTAATAACGTTCTTTTGTCTTTGTTTGTGAAACATACAAACCTTTGACACAAATTAACCAATTAATTTTTCAATTGCATTGAATGTTTAATATCCAAGCACAGATAACGAATAATTGAGTTGCTTTCATTGAATGTTAGTTAATTTAATGAACTAAAATCTGTTGAGCACATCAACGTAGAAAAAAAAAGGTGAAAGAAACGCGCTGTAAATTTGATAACTGTCTACGTAGTCATAAAGAAAGAAGATGAAGATCACCGCAAACTATTTTAGCGATGATCAAAAATAAGAGAAAATGAAAAGAAACTCATTGAAAGCTTCATTAAAAAAATGTGAGTTGCGCTTAGCCAAGATTTTGTACAAGCATCGTTGGTTCAGGGGTAGAATGTTCGCCTGCCACGCGGACGGCCCGGGTTCGAGTCCCGGACGATGCATAACTTTTTTAATTTATAATTTTTTTATTTCATTGATTTTTTTTATTTTTTCAAATTGTAATAACAGAGCAGTGTGAATAATAAAAGCATTAGAGGGTCACAAGCAAGGTTGAATTCGTAAAATGTAATCCTAAGTCAGCTTTCAAACGAATGTTAGCATTCTAAGGACCATTAAGAAATTTCTTTTGTGAGCTTCTAAAGCGACTAAACTTGCTAATAAAACTTAATGAACGTAAGAAATTCTCAGTTGTTTTATCAACATCTTATAAATTAATTTAATGCAAATGTAACCTTCTGAGAATAAATTGTTCTATTCAAAAAAATCATACTTTTAAAAGCATTAAAGTTAATTTGAGAACAGAGAAAAAAGCATATTTTTAGTTTTATTTAATTCAAGCAGATACTTTTTTTCTCTCTCTTTCAAACAATCTCAGAGATTGTTTCCACTAAATATTTATGTTCGTTATGTTTTCATTTCTGTTATGAAGAAAACCACAATTAATATTCCATAAGCTGATAAAATGATGACATTTATTATGAGAGTTTAAACAGCAATGTTAAATTACTAAATTATAATTTTGATTCTTAAATCATGTAAAATGTCACATTTCGTTTATTGATGAGCAATTGGGACAGTTTTAAACGAGATTAATGCACATACGTTTATCTTAAATGCAAAAGACTTGTTAGAAACAATGCCAGAAAAATATTAATAATAAATTTGTAACTTTCATCAGCTTAAGCACTTTACTACTACTTAATGTTCCAATTGCTCCGACTTTAATTCCTTGTGCTGAGCATGATATCTAACAAAATATTATTAAGCGTAATGCAGTGATGGCATGTTTGGTTTTAATTAACAATAATTCTTACGATATGGTGACAATGATCAGTTGAACAGAAAAGATTTTGAAAACTATGAGGAAATTTGTACAACTTGTGAAACAGCTGAGCTTGACGACAAACATCTTTATTGTCATTCAGAAACTTTACTAAGTTATTATGCTATTGTTTGCAACTTGATACGAACACCAAATAATAAGAGATTCATAAATATTATTTGCAATGAGTTACCGGTCTTTTAGCAGAATTTATTTTTATCATTGAAGTAGAATGGAACATTTAACTTGATATTATGTTTCTGCAATCTTTGAAAAAGTTTAATCGTATTCATATTTTCTGACGGAATTTGATTTGATGTATTTGGCCATCATGAGTAAGTGTTCTTATAAAAACTAAATAATTTATTATATTTGTTTTATTTGAACTAACTCACTTAAGAACATGAACAGTTTTCCGAAGTTTTTCTCGTAAATTTATGCTTAAAGATGTTTGATTAGGAACGATTTGTTGTTTTGTTGTTGAAGCCTTGAGGGCAAGCTTCGGTTTATATTTTTCCTTGGTGTTTTATATCTTCAGTAGAAAATTGATAAAACAATGAACTCCCAAAGAGGTTTAACTTTTCTTTTCAAGAGACTTTCTTGTTTGGGACACACAAAAAAAAACACTGTTTTGTTATCCGAGGAAGGAAATAAATTTGGTAGCGAAAATTATGATGATTTCAAACTTTATGCTAAATTATTGATTATCCTTTTGGTCCCTTTTGTCTTTATGGTAATTTGCTGATAAGCTGAAAATTTTATGAATCCGTTATTTGTGAATAAGCCGGATGTTATACAGAGAAGAGATGCATGAGGGAAAATCTAATCAATTAAATAAGACAACAAGAGAAAATTTAGTTGACCAAAATGCAAACAAATAGCTCGTTGTAAAATATTAACAACGTGGACCCATTATCTCTAATTAATTTTCCTTTCGGACTTTTAAGGTATCAGAGATGAGTTTGAATAATTTAAGTAATTTAAATTTTGAGTTACCTGAAGTGTAAAAAAATCACATGTTAACACATAAGTTATTCATCTTGATATGATTCAAAGTGGTTTAAGTGATGGAGAGTTAAGATTTTACAATATTCAGAAGATGGAATGATGTTATCTTGTGATTAATTTTTGATTATCAAATATCTCAGTTGACATGAGTCAATTCCTATAAATAATCTTGAGACGATGACGCACGAACAATTATTTATCTCATCAAGTGAGTGAAAGTTCATTTTAAAGCTCAGTTTCCTTGACAATGAATTAACATTCAAATTTGAAAGAAATTTTATACTTACTATTGATTTAGGAAATAATTTTCACTTTTCATTAAATCAAAAACCATTCTCATTAATTATGGATCAACAAATACAAAAAGCTTTTTCTTTAATTAATGTTTGACAACAAACATCAAGCACCTACATACAAATTGAAACTGAAACGTTCTCTCGTTTCAATAAAGTCAAATTATTTGAAAGCGAGAAACGCAAAGGGCGAGAATTTTGTATATTGATTTTCTGCTTAATTAAAATTTTATTTGAAATTGAGGGAAAATCAACATCTTGTTTGAGATCTGAAAAATATTTTAATTTCGTAACAAGAGAACTCTGCCTCCTTAAAGTTAGGATTCTTTTTTTTCCATGTTCTTCTATCAACTTAATTTTATCTCTTTGAAAGCAGAGAAAGTACACATAACTTTCAAGTTTGTTGAAAGAGAATAAATATTTTAACGAATTCGAGGCGATGAGGAAATTTTCCTTCATTTAAGTTCGCGCTTTTCAATAATCTTCATGAGAAGTGTATACTTACATCGAAAGCATGATAGAAGCAGCAATTAAAATTAACATTATTTGCTGAATAATTATGAAACATGTAATCTTGTTTTCATCAGATATAATTTGATACATGTATAAACAAGAAAATTTGTTTCATTGAGGATAAATTAAAAGCGAGGGGAGCGAGCATTGACGTTGCGAAGAGAAGAATCTGTCTATTTTGCAGAAAAGAAAGGAAAGTTTGTCTGGAAAAGTTTGACGCGGTGAAGCGAAAATTTGGGTGGAGTCTTTACATTTTTATTGGCGTGTTGTTAAGGGGAATGGCATTTGATAAGCTATATTGTTGCTGATCATAAGCATTATTTAGCTTTATTATTATTTTTAAGGGTTTCTTGGATCGGTTTGAGTAAAGAAAGTGAATTGTGTAGAAATTTCAAGTAAGAAGCAGCATCGCTGATAAGCTAACAACCTCTTGCCACTCTTGTCTTGTTGCGGTCAATCAAAAAAACTTTTATTTTGTTTTCCCTTTCTTCATCTTCTTCTTAATTTTTTTCTTTTATAAAAGCGCACAAAAGATAATCTTTAAGCTGGAAAAATGCTTGTAGATTTCGAGAATAGCCTTTCTTATTTCGATGAAATGGTAATCCCTTAGATAGCTGCTGCCTTTTGTATGCTAAGGATTCAATGCATTGAAACTTTCCCTCTAAAGCTAACAGAAGAAAGACAGAGCGAATAGAGCTTTTGAGCCAAACGAAAGGATTAAGCTTTTGTGTAGATGTCTGCTTTTGTGCCCTGTAATTCAAGAGAAAGAGGAAAATTTTCGTGCTCGATTTATGTTCTTTGGAATAAAAAAGAAAATTTAAATGCAAATTCCCTAAGAAAGCGGGAGATTTTCTTTGCTCCGCTTTTGATACTTCGATCTTTGCAAATATTACAAGCACAAAGTGCAATTTAAAAAAGATATTTGAATGAGGGCATTGCAAGATTAAGGAAGATTATTGATGCATTAAAACTATGAAAAGAAGCTTGAAAGAAGTTTTCAATTAAATTCAGAGATTTCTTCTTTCTTTCCATGTTGAAACGATGAAGATTTTTATAAGAACAATATTTGTCTCATATTTAAAGTGCAGTATGCTTCGGAGTTTGCTCATTAATGGTTATCAGCAATCTTATAAATGTATACAGAATTGTTGAATCATCGACAAACATCGCTCCCCTCATTCATAATAAAGAGAATATTCTTCCAAGCAGTTATTTAAATCCCCAAAAACGTGATGTTGCATTGAAACAGCAAATTATTGCTGTTGTTTTTACAGAAACTGAACCGGCTGAGTAAATATCTATAAAATGAACTTTATGCATCAACATTAAATGTAAAGTTGGATTTCAAAATGACGAACAAAATTTTCAACATTATTTCTAAGATAATTGAACAGAAAATTACAATTTCAAAATGGCAAATTTTGAAATAATGTTTGAGTAAATTGTTCGGAAGAAAATGTATATCAAAGAGATTAATTGAAATATTCCGAAGTTCACGATGAACACAGCAGTAATGAAAGCGAAATGCTTTATTATTTAATCCAGTGAAACGTCGCATTTTATTATCGAAAAGGAATAAAGAGCTCTTACAATCAACTCTTGAAAAAGTTTTAAACAGACCCTTGCCGATAAAAGCTCTTGTTCTATTAATAATTGATTAGCAATTAAAAGCATGCTCAAATTTATGAGCACAAACTGATTCTTTTATATTAAACAAGAGAAATAAACTTTTTATGTTTCTGAATAAATATTGAACAATTGTTGGAGAAAATAAACAAGAATTTTCAGATCAGACTTTTCGTTTTCTTATTTTTTCTGACATGAACTACGACTTACAAGAAATTTAAGACTTTTTTTTATTTTTACTGCGTCAAATTTCTTTGGCAGACGAAGCTATAAAGCTTTGCTGTTTCATTGATTCAATGATTTCTCGAAGCAGATTCACTTTATATTTTTATAGCTGATAGCACATGTTGAATGAAAGTTCAATAAAATTTGTAAGTATTTCCATTGATTATTTGTAATGCATAGAAAAATTCAGAATAAAACTAAAAGTTAAATAATTCTCTTCGATAATCGATAAATGAGTGGGAAAAAGAATTCTTACGAGAAAAAAAAGAAAATTCTAGCAACATTCTTCCATCTTACACTTCCTTAATTAAGATTGAATAAATTATTCATCAAATCAACAAACGTCAGTAAAGCGAAGGCTTCACACAAAGAAATCCTAAAGCAAATAAGATTTTCTCGAACATCATGTTCCCATTAGTGTGCACACTGAGCGACTTAATGAAAAATTAATTCAGTAAATTTCCGAAAACAAAAGAAAATAAAACAATTTCTTTACTTACAAATGGAAGGCGATCGTGAAAATGTTTTTCTTTTCGATCTTAATTAGGTAAGTTTTCCATCAAAAACTTTCACAGCAATCTGTTGATGTAGTTAATGATGAAATCTCCCGGAAACCAAATAAAGCTTTAGAAAAAAAAACCTTCTATCAATCAAATTATAATTAAATCTAAGTAAAGAAAAAAATTAGTACATGTTCAAGTCATGCTTAATTTACGAATGAAATGAAGTGAATCTCGGAATTTATGCTTTCTTATCGAATTTATGTGTTATTGAAAACTGTCACATCGATTTAGAGAAAGGAAATGTGAATAAATTTCAATCAGAATAAGTATGAGTTTCATGTCAGGAAATTCTCAAATATGATATCAGAAATGAAGAATGTCGAGGGACAGTAGAAAAACTCGAAAGTTTGAATAAAGAAAATTTATATTTCCAACTTAGTTTTCGGACCTGGTCTGAAAAGAAGGATGGAAGAATGAAGAAGAAGCACAAATCAAAATCAAACCCAATTGCTAGGGAACACAAAACATAAAAAGCATATCTAGATATCGGTCGGAAAAATCAATATCATTTCACTCTAGAAAATATCTCAACAGAGACAATCTGTGAAGTTTCATGTTCAGATCATCATGTGCTCTTGCCGTTTTTGGCCTTGCCTCAAGCACTTTGTGATGATTCATTGAGCCCAAAAATTTGAAAATGCTTGTAAATCGAGAAAGAAATTTTTATGTGAATGATTCTGTTGGTTTTTGATATGATTTAGTGTCACATATGCTGAGTGAAAATTACAAACATTTATTATGCGACATAAGGTTGTCGTCTTTTGCTTATTTAAAGGAAGAGACAATATTGATGTTGAGGTATTTGATACTTCATCTCTGTTATCATGTGGGAAACTTCTTCATTTTTCATTTCAAATTTCACTCACTTTCCTCTCGTTTCCTCGTACATGAAAAAAGATCAATGTATTAATTATAATCACGAAACCTAAATTGATGTCGTCATTCAAACGACATCTGACTTTAAATCTGAATGCTCACCGACAGTAGTTAAGTAATGACGAAAACAAGAAGTGCGCGGAATAATAAAAAAACTTTTAGTTTCAACCATAAAATTGTCCAATTAGACGTGAATTAAAATTAAATTAGTTATGTCTCATGTCAAACAAATTGTCGAATGTGATCGTAATGACACGAGATCGGTTTCATATTCAAAAGCAGTTGAGTAATATGAGAAATATTTTTACCTTATCCGGTCGTTATTTAGTTTTGAATTTGATGAGATTATAAATTTAATTGAATTGCAAATTTCATTACGAAAAAAAATAGAAAATGTTCAAATAATCAATAATTGAAACATTTACAGAGAAAGCGAAGATTTTCAATTATAGATGAATCAATCCAAAATCTTTTCAGGTATTCATCTATTCAAACGACACAAAGGCGTAACAATTTCTCATGCCATTTATCATAACTCAACAAACAATCGAACTTCGATCGTTGACCCCTTTACAAAGTAAAAGTGCAATCTTGTAACGACTTAACAGTTGCTCGATAAGAAATCAATCAATCACTTATCCACAAGAAGAAAAAGAAGAAGAATGTGCGAAACATAAATCATAACAACATGACATGAATGAAAAGAATGAAAAGAATGAAGTGGCCTCGTGGGCATAGAATCATTGACAAGAACAGGTTTGATGGTTCCCATCAAAATTGAGTGGATTTCTTTTTCTCTCCCCTCATCTATCAATTAAAAATCCATTACGAAACTTCGCGACATAAAGCGATACGCTTTTACACGTTAAAATTTTCCTAAATCGTTGTAAAGCCTGAAAATTTCTTTCGTCAGTTCCCTTCTTGCTTAAAGCTTGAATTTAGAACTAAATAATTATTATGTAGTGATAGCATTTTAATGAACAAAGTCATCAACTTAATCCACTTCTGGATTATCTTTTGCTATTCTTTGACAGTATTTTTGTCTGTTCATCTGTTCCTTAATCTTCTTTTCTTTCCCTCTTTATTCAATTCGCGATTTATTAATAATTATCTAACACAAAAATATTACAATGATATATTCATTGAAAATTCTTGTGAAATTATTGTGATTAACTTCCATTATTTTTTTATTCAAACATTTACTCGTCAATGGGGTTTTTCATTCAACTTCATTTTACATACATACGTACAGAGATTTCTCATGTCACTCCCGGTTGTATTTGATCGTAGAACTTTAAAGTCTTTGGTTGTTCTATCAGAGAATAAAATTACACAGCAATTCGGTTTGCGCTTTCAGTTTTTGGTTATTGCTCAATCGTTTACAATCGCAGCTTTGAAAACTTGCTGGTTGTGGCATTAAATTTTTTTTTGTTTCCGGTTGTGTGCTTTGAATGCAAGTTTAAACTTTTGCGTGACATTGTTGACAATGGCTACGCACCACACGATAAACTCGTACGCGAGAAATGACAGTTACGTGATTCCGGGAGTGTACGATATCGAACAGGATGATGTGTCGTGGATTATGGTGGCATCCATTATTATATTTTCAATGCAGACGGGCTTCGGTTTACTTGAATCGGGAATCGTATCACGAAAGAACGAAGTGAACATTATGATGAAAAATATTGTAGACGTTGTTTTGGGTGGATTTACGTATTGGTTGTTCGGATATGGACTATCGTACGGTCGAAGTAATTACACGACACCGTTTATTGCTTTCGGAGACTTCATGGTCGATCCTGAAGTTAACAATCCACTCATGGGACAAATTTTCACTTCCTTCTTCTTTCAATTATCGTTCGCGACAACAGCAACGACAATTTTGTCGGGAACAGTGGCTGAGAGAATAAATTTTCATGCTTATTGTCTCTTTTCACTTATCAATACTGTCGTTTATTGTATTCCAGCTGGTTGGGTGTGGGGTGAACATGGATTTCTCAAGACAATGGGTGTCGTTGATATAGCTGGCAGTGGCCCAGTTCATTTATTGGGTGGTGCCTCGGCTCTCGCAGCTGGAATAATGCTTGGGCCGCGTGTTAATCGATACGATAAAGAAGCAAATGATCCACCACCAATGGGAAATCCAATTAATGCCTGTGTGGGACTCTTCTTCCTTTGGTGGGGTTGGCTCGCTTTCAATTCAGGTTCAACTTATGGCTTAAGCGATACGAAATGGGAATACGCTGCTAGAAGTGCTTTTATGACAATTCTAGCCTCATTTGGAGGCGGTTCGTATGCATTGATACACTCGCTAATAAAACAGAAAGGAAAATTGGATCCATCAGATCTCATTAATGGCATTCTGGGGTCTCTCGTAGGCATAACTGGTAATTTAATTCCACCCACAGAATGAGAATTTTTCATCAAGAAAAGAAATCTTTTTTTTTATATTTACTGATTAAATTGCGATTTAATTTTCCAGCTGGGTGCTTTTTATTTCGTGCCTGGGAATCAATATTGGTCGGTGTAATTGGTTCAATTTTGACGCTCACTTCGCTGCCACTTTTCGATAAATTGCGTATAGATGATCCTGTTGGTATGTCAAGTGATTCATAAAGTTCTTTAAAATAGAAAGGTTGAGGAAGTTAGAATGAAAATGTTATTTTAACATTTAAAAATGAAATATCTAAGTTAATTTAATCTATGTCTTTAAAGAATATCCTGAAAAATTAGAAATTGTTATTACAGAACCTTTTTTTATTCGACTTTAGGTGCGATTGCTGTTCATGGTGTGTCAGGCATTTGGGGTAAGCTCAAAGAAAATTCCATACCTTCCAAGCTTATAATCTGACTTCAAACCTTGTAGGCGTTCTTGCTGTTGGTTTGTTTGCCGATGATACGCATCTTGGATCAACTAGTGGCCGTTTGGGAGTGTTGAAAGGTATGAAAAGGTAAATTATTTCAATTGAAAAGAAGTGAACTGATTTCTTTTTTTTCTTTGCTTTACATTTTATCTTTTTCCCTTCATAAATTATCGATGAAATGGAAAATGTTTATTTTATCGTTGGTATTACCAAAAAAAAGGAGGGGGATGGTATTTGTTAGGAGTTCAATCGCTTGCTGTAATTTGTATTGTATTTTGGGCAACCTCATCTACATTCCTGTTGCTTTGGATTGTCAACAAAATCACCCCTCTCCGAATGGATCCCAAAGATGAATTACTTGGTGCAGATTACACGGAACACAATATTATGTCATCGCCTGTAGCAAAGGAAACGACCACAAATTCATCTTCATCTAATGGAAGAAATGATGAAAGTCAAATTTCCCAAAGGTTTCGATTACCGCAATCGGATGATAGAAGACTAACTGGTGTTTACAGAAATTATTTCAACGATGAATTGTCTTCTGAAAGATCAAAAGCCCCAATGCGTGAAAATCCCGCTTTCATAAATGATGAAGGAGTTTGACTCGAGAGATTTCATGCTTTGCTGATTAATAATTTGAAGTATAAAATAATAAGAATATTTGTGTAGCTTTAAAAATCACTGAAATGATATTTTTTGTTTAATTGAATTTAAAAATTTGTCATTCAACGAAACGAACAATGAGAAATCAAGCTTGTTGTTAAATGTTTTTTAATTGGAAGTGTTCGGGGAAATCCTTTTATTAAATTTCAGCACGAAATCATGTTCCATTTAAAATCAACATTAATGAGTCAATAATAGCATTAATCTTGCTATTTAATTGATAATGATGCGATGGAAAATCATGAAAATAAAATTCAACATAAATTTCTTTAACTATCTGTCCGAAAATGTTCAATTAAGCTCAACTTTGTCATGATTTTTGGTATTAAGAATCACAAACACCATAATCAAGTTAAACAATTCAACAAAAAATAAACCTCAGCACTGCCCATGATGAGAGTAAACAAGAAAAACTAAGCAGATTAACAAATTAACACGCATTTTGATTGATAGATTTCAGTCCAACTTTGCACATACAATAAGAATTTCACAGAAAAGCCTTAGATACCTTAGAGTTTTAATTAGCACGTTAACTTTTCTCTTAATTACCTTAGCATCATCAGTGTAGGAGCTTCCTGAAAGAAGAATTCTCAACTTAATTATCAAGAAATGATTTTTAGAGATTTCATCTTCTCACCCGAGCTCATTATTGTTGAATTAAATATTTCCTGCTTGGAAACGACGTTCAACATTTGTTCTTGTCAGGTTTTGATAAAAATTAAGGATTTTACCTCTGCTTTTTCTATAAAAAAATATTAAGAGTTAATTATTAACGTTAGCATGAGGTATGAACAAAATTTTAATATAATTTGACTTATCTTTGTCACTGCCAATCATTTGTCACAAGACTTAATTTAGCGAGATGACTCGCTTTGCGATCAAAGTTTTTGTCAAATCATGAGACTCATTATGAAAGTAATTAACAAAGTAATTGCTAAATAAGGAAATTATTTTGACATCACTGACTTTATGTTTTGAAGTTTAGAAAATTTTCTTCCAGAAATCAATTAATAAACAAAAACGTAAATGATGAAATATTGAAGAGCGTGAAATGTGTATGTGAACTGAAATATTGAATTTATTTTGAATGGTGTCAACTTTAAAATATCAACGACACACATGAATAGATTTCGTGTGGATATGAAGGATGAGATCGATTGGACGCGAATAAGATAAATAAAAGATTCTCCGAAATGTGTATGTAGATGGGAAAAAAAGTTATGAAGAGATAAAAATCAAACAATCTGCAATAAAAATTTATCTATGATGGCAAAATATTGAATCTTTGAATGATTGAAAATAAATTTGATTTGAATCGAAATTTTATGTCTTTTTTAGATTTTATAGAATTTTCAAGGAGAATTTTCTTGAATAGCGTGGAGAAAACACCTTCGAATGCAGAGCATTGATGTGGAAAAGTGAATTTCCATCGCTGATACGAACAGATGAAGGAGTTATGAACGTTGATATCTTCCATCTTTTGTTTTTCGCATCCATTGTTTTATCCAAAGTTTTATTGTCTGATGAAAAGAAGTTTTTGAATTTTTCCTCTCTGCGAATCATGAAAAGTCTGAAAGCAAGTGTCGAAAGATGGATTTTAAAAGAAAATCATTCAAGTTAAATTGAATAGCAGAACTATGAAATTTCGTAAGCTTCAAGACATGTGAACAGAAAAAAAATTTGATGAAATTTTATGGAATGTGATTGAGTTGGAAAATATATTTAAGAAAAGTGAAATATGAATGAAAAGTATTTTCTTCTTCAAGAAAGTTTCCACAGTTGCTTTGTTAAGGATTAAATGAAATGCGTTCATTCTTCTTAAGAATGACGTCTGACAATTAATTTTCCCAGAGAAGATAAAGGAAAAGTTTTTATTAAATACGATTCGATCAAATTAAACCCGATAATAGAAAATTCTCCACCTCTAATGATCCATGAGCAAATTGATTCAATAAATAATGCTTTAAACGAAGGTCTCCACCGAAACAAAAATACTAATCAATCAATTTGTAAAGTGTGACGTTGTTCACATATAAAGAATCTACCGTCGAGTTTTTGTTCATTCCTGTTTAACTCATTGGGAAATCGAGCTTAAAATATTGAGCAGAAGATTGCAAAAGGGATTTTGGCGATATTAGATTGATTAAGGAAACACGATTTGGAATGTTTCCTAAAGGAGCGAGAGTCGAGAACAAAAGTGGTGCAAATAAGAAACGATGATTTATTGCTGAAGATGAAATCATTCCTGAGAAAGGAAGATTGGATCGAAAAGATATTAAAAATTCAAAAGTAATTTTACGAGCGAGGCAAAAGGAGTCGAATTCGAGGACGTACAGCATTTCTTGCTTTATGTTTTCTTAAGAGTTTATCCGAGTCTTGATATGTTCCATAAAACATCTCAGTATTGCAAAATTTGTTGAATGTTCTTGAAAACAATGTTTGTTATAACAATTTTCGTTCCAACTAAAACATAAATATAAAAATATGTTGCAAGCAGAGTCGGACATAAATGGGACATCATGAATTGTCGATACAAAGTTGTAAATCTAACAGATTTTATTTGCTCAATGTTACTCAATAATCATATTTTAAATCATGGATCATAAAACTTGATTCAAAGATTTTCCTACTCTGATTACAAACTTAAAAGATTGCAATGTAAAGAAAATCAAAAACAGTCGAAAAGCAAAGAAATTTCTCGAAACATTAACATTTAGACTCACTCCATCTTCCTTCCATCTTACCATTATAAAAATTCCTTAACTTATTCAACTCCATACTTGCTACATTTATTTCCTTTGCATTTCATTCCATGCATATGGAATTTCAAGATTGCTAAATTAAAAAAAAAATTGATGTCACGCTTAAATTAAAATGAATAGTTTCATGCTTGACTTCATATGTTATTTAAGTCCCATATCAGATATGACTCTCTCTCCCTTCTTCTTTCCTTCTCTATCTAAAGCTTTAGTTTAAGTAAATCACTTTAGTTTCCACTTTCTTTCAACTTGACTAAAATTGATTCTGCTTTTTTCTATCTCGCATTTTTTTCACAACTTGAAGTTTTGTGCTTGGGGAAAAGCAGTTTTACTTCATTAATCTTGCATTTTGCACATCAAGATGAGCTTATTGGATTCAGTGTCTCTTGCTTGATACTTGAGGGTGGATGTTACTATGGAATTCCCTGTAGATGTTTTCACTCCATTAAATTCTTCTGACTTTAATCTTGTTAGTGCATAATGTGCAAAGTAACAATTATGAATATGTCGTCGTCAATGTCATTAATCCTAAGAATTGTAGTTCTCACTATCCAGACATTCCAATAATTTAATAAATTTCATAGCAATGAAATTGTCACTCAAATGGCATCTATAAAAAATGTTGTTTACAATATTTTGAACAAGTATAATTGTCAATAAATTTTATCGAATTTCTTTTAGAATTTTTTTTTACTTTTTCACAAAAACGAATGAGGATTTATCGCTCAATGATCTAAACTATCAAGAAGTTTTTTATCTGTCAGATTAATTCAGATATCAATTGCAAAGCACTTCACGGCGGTGTCATTCTATCTTTAACAATTTCAATCAAAATGCAGCAAACAAAATAAAAGACATTTCAATGAAACGAAATGAAAGTTTTACTTCTTATGTTGCGCTTCTTAATGTTGAAAAGGAATCCAATGAATTGTTGAACAACAATTGAATTTTCCATCTTGAAAAGGCATTGAGATGACAAAAGAAAAGCGTAGGAAGTTGAAAAGATTCAATTGATATCAATTATTCAATTCAATTTACATTAGTTTCGATTACAATTCAGGAAAAGCATTTTGTTGACTTATTTTTTTTCGATTTCATGTTGTGTATCTTCATGTTGCATGTCAGTTGAGAAATCAACACATTTAAAGCATAATGTGAAAAGAAATCAAGATTTCGGATAAAGACTTTTAGAAGAAATTGGAGCATTAAAGTTTATTGAATATTTTAAACACAAAAAAACTTTCAAGAAACCAATTAAAAATTCCTTCACGGTTGAGTTATTACCACGATGAAATCATCTGCAGACTGCTATTATCACTGAATCAGCAAAAAAATATTAAAAAGAGTAAAATATGTTTTTAAATTGAAAGGAGAAATGCTCAAGTTCATGCTTGAGTTGATTGTAATAGAACATTAATCATCAGCAACGTTACGCTCTTGACTTGACTGTTGTCGAGGGAAATTATCTTCTGAACAATCTATTTGTAAGTAATGTTTTGTTTTGTTCCTTGTGGGCTCCTCAAAATTGTGAAGCTTGTTCTTATCTAAAAGACCAAAATGAGAAGAAAACACTCGGGATTCGAAGACAAAAAAAAGAATTCAATTTGATTCTCTTCAATCAACTCACAGACATCTTATTGTGAACACACAAACTCCTAACGTAACATCCAACATCTTCTGTCGCGATTAGAAAGGCTTAATGAAATTTTTTTCAATTTCATTATTTGCATTTCACTCAAAAAAGCATACACAATTTCGACAATCTTGTTTTATCCATAAAATAAGAAGAAATCATCATCTTTGCCGCTCTTAACGAGATAGAAATGAAATGAAAGAAGAAAGCAAATCATATAATGTTTTCACATCATCCAAAAAATAAAAATGAGGCAAAGTAAGAATGAAGAAGAGAAGTTTGCGCTCCATTATAAAATAAAAGCAAATTTTCATTAGTCGTAAGGCGTACGGCGTAACTCAAAAGATTGTGTATGCTTTTACTTGCTGTTTGATGGAGTTAAGAAAACGTTTGGATGGGGGAAGCAAGAGAAAATCTGTTTTATATTCCTCGGCATTTTTTTTAGAAATTTGAGGAAAAATTGGGTAAAACATGAAGAAAAAACTCGCATAAAAAAGCTTTTTAATGAGTTTTCAGGAGAATGTTTGATGTTTATGAGGAAGTTTTTTTCAAACTAATAGGGGTCGTTCATCAACTGTGGAATCATCAGTTTGCAGATTTGATTTATTTTAACTGAGCCATGCCACTAAAGTTTTGCCAGTGAGTATATTGTGAACTTAATACAGAGGAAAGTTTTAAAATTAAGAAGACTTTGAGCTTATTTAAGTGATTTTATTAATTAAAAAGCTGGCTGCTAAATAACTAAATCAAGTTACCCCAAACCCATGCCAATCTCAGTGGAATCCAAGCTGTGTGAGGTCGTTTCAAAAAAAGAATTTAATGGCACCATAAATTTCACTGTTCCCTTCTTCTACTTATTCAATTCGGTGCTGCGGCGGGTTCAGAATTATACTTAAGAAGCTTATTAATATTCCAAGGCTTCAGTTATTGCTTTTTAAAAGTCCTTTTTAATAATTTTCCGGGTATGATTATGCGTATAAATCAGAACATGTGCGACTCTCTAAACGACTCAAACCTTGAGGAGTTTTTGAATATTTAATAAAGCAAACAGATTATCGCCGAAAGAAAGAAAAAAACGAAGAAAATTCTTTACTTGCCTCTAAGTAAGCGTCTCTCCCACTCCATCAAACTAATTGAGCTCCTCGAATCTTAATACCATTAATGCGTAATATGCCATTAAGGCCTATAAAAATTTATACGAAACATAATTAAATGACGCTAGGATTAAGCTTCAAAATATAAATATCTAATTGTGGTTCTTATACGACACAATCTCGTCAAAATCTTCTTAAATAATGATGAGTAAGCAGTCGATTTTACAATTCTATAATTCGAAAAATGATAAAAGCTTCTTAAAAAAATTAATTAGTAAAAGTTGAAACAACAGTTAAAATGTTGTTAATGCTTATAAAGATGAATGATTTTCTTACAAAGCTTAATTAAATGCTCAGTGAAAATGCGAGATTCTACATAAAATTTATCTATGAGTTGACACACCGTAATGTCGTTGTAAGCATCAGTAAAACTCTTTCGAGATAAAATCGTAAAACTGCTAAATAAAACAACTGGAAAAAGAGGATAACAAGTGAAATTTTCCACAAAATAAACTCCAATTTATTGTCAACGGAGTACGAGAAAAGGAATGAAGAAGAAAAAAGCGAGTTTGCTTTGGATTTTGGATGAAACTTCTGCTTTATGAAAAAGAATTCTACAGCTATGGTTATTGTTTTGCGACTTGCTTTGTTGTGGAAAAAGTAAGATGAGAAGACATCTCAAGTGCAAAGAGCTAGAAAATTTCTTCAAACATCGAAAATGTTTAGCAGAGAAAAGACGTCAAATTACAAGTAAATTCCTCTAATCTATCTCCAACACTTTTAAACGTATGTAAAGGGAGAGACGAATTCCTCTTTCGATAGAATAACTTCGATTTATGGGGGTGTTTCTCATATTTTTAATCAATGCTTTAAGGCTGAAATCAGTTATCATCGGTTCAAGGAGTGAAAGGAGAAACGTAACTAAGTCAATAAGCTACAAGCGATGATGATAAAATCAAAGGTAGGCTATTATGAAAATTTAATCAATGAATTCAATTAACATAAATGAGTTTCGTTTTTTAATAAAATTTATAAAAGAAATGTATGCAAATACATAATTTAATTAAAAAAGAATAATCTGACTCTGGTTTAAGTTTTTTACTCCAAGTCCTATCAACAAGTGTTGAGATAAAAACGTTGTTATCAAATATTAAAACTCTTTTTAAATTCATTGTAGATATTATTGAATTATACTAGCTGATATTGTTTTCTGTTTAACTAATTACTATCTACCTTTATAGAAATGTTTATGAATCAAACTCATTCACACAAATTGAAATAATTTATTGTTTGTCCTGGGCGAAATTCTCTCTTTTTTATGTCGGTCGGTTACCAGTTGTGGGGAATGAAAGATGATGTTAATATTATCATGCAAATCTGTTAAATAAAATTGAATTATTTATAAATTACCAATTTTAACTCGATGAACTAGACGAACAAAAAAACGGCAGACATAGAACAGAATATGGGAAAATGTTTTCACACTGACTTTGGATATTTCATATTTCCAGTCAAGTCGATGTTTACAGTCTAATAAACATTGTTAAATTGTAATTTATTGCTTGTTTTGATTTGTGAAACAATGTAAATTTTGAATAAATGCTTCCATAATGTAACCTTGATGTTTTGCCTTTTCTAAAAAAATATTGCAGACGATATTAAATTGGAGAATTTATTCTTATAATAAAATTATGATTTCAGCGTGAGGACAATGAACTGAAAGGTCAAGCGAAAAGGAAAGCATTAAAGCATTTCAATGAATGTCTGGAGCCAAACATTATTTTCACTTAATTTTCTCATCGCTTGTCTCGGATCCCTTTCGCAGATCGACTTTTCATTGTGTCGCTCTGACTTTATATCGATAACAGAAACAACATAGCTCAATGTTGCCATAAATTCGTGAGAGAAGAAGTGAATTTCTCACCAAGTTTCCAAGTTATATTTTTTTTACAAAACCATAGCAATAAATAAATATGGCTCAAGAATGATAAAGAGATTTGTGACTCAACCTTTTTCTTCTTTCTTCTCTACCAATTTCCACATGCTACATCGCTGCTACCCCGTTTAATGTGTATTTATGTTGTGCTATTTTTTTCTCTCTTTCAAACTATGCTGCCATTCGTTTCACTCTACTCGTAGATCCATAAACACATTGAACCAAATATATTTCACATAAGTGTCAGGACACATTCTTTATTAAGAATCGGAACACTGTGTACATATCCTATCCATATTTTATTACGGTTCCGGTTATGTTCTCAATGATAGTTCTTTTCAGCTTGAGATGAAAAAAAAAGGAAACAAACAGGAAAATATTTTCAGATCTTCATCATTCAACGCCACCCACATTTTTCTATGTTTGTTGAAAATTCGCGCAACATTCCGTCGACGGCAGAGCTGTAGTGAGGATTGGCTATTTACAGTACAAACAAATTGAATGATCCTATCAAGAGTGTCGTTATCGTGCTTTTCATCGGTTAAGGATTTTGTGAATATATTTCACTAAACAGAGATTTTTATCAGACAAAATGAATGTTCATTCGATTCGGAACATTTCAAGCTAAACTCGGATAGTTCTGACTGCTCATATTTTTCATGTTAGCGATAAAAATGAATAGAAGCAAATAGATAGAAATAAAACGCAATCGTGTCCTGATTTTGAAAAAGGCAGAATTAAATGAAGCCATGAGCGAAAATGGTTGTTACACTGCAATGCTCTGGCTTATTTATCTGCTAGCATAAATAAAATAAATTACTAATGTTTGCAACATCTGTCGGATAATTTCTAATCATTATTTTATGTTTATTTTTAAGTGGAACTGGTGCTGTGCTATTTATGATTGTAACGTCGAATAAGTAATCAAAAATAGATACAATCTAGTCATATTTTATCTCAGTGTTTTGAATCCGTTTCATAAAGTTACAAACTACCGATTTAACATCACATTGGTAGAGAATTTCACGGAGCAGAAGAAATGCCTTGTGCATGATATTGCAGTTTTCCCTAGCGAAATATTTCGTTGTTTTCTTTCCCTTTTCCCTTTTTTTATACTTTATTTTCCCGTTCGACTTCCTCTGATTTTCATTTCACTAAAGGTTTTATTTTTATCGATGAAAGAGGAAAAAAGATAAAAGTATTGCACAGCTAGAGAAGAAAGAAAAAAAATCATAAAGCTTGTAAACTTATGAAAGCATCTGTTTGAATGTTGACCTTCCCAAGCATTTCCTGCTGTTGAGCAGTTGATGGTGGGAGTCTGAAAAATCGCCAACATCATCATGATACTCTACCATTCCACCTCGCACTCGATTTCCCCATTAAAAGTCAAATCATCGTGCTGTGTTTTCTCCCGTCAAGAAAATCGTTCTTCGATGCCATGGCACGAAAAAGCAGTCAAAATGTTTTGACTAAGCGAGTAAATTTTATAGTAAAAAAATATGTTTTTCTGCTGACTCAATTATTAACTGATCCAAACATGTTTTGACATCTGACATCGCATGATAGAAGAATTTTACTACTAAACTTGCATTAATATTAATCTGCAAATTGTGTGCAACTTGCAACTCTCTTTATTTTTTATGTTGTTTATAATAAAGCTTTCCATCAAATATAAAACAAAAATCTGTTTTCCCTTCTTTTTCACTCATTGTTATCAGAAAACTGTTATGTACATGGGATCCGAAACAAGATAATTGCATGAAAATAAAACTTATGTTTGTGACAGACAGGGATTGTTTTTCTTTCGTTCTTTCATGTCAGATGATGAGGGCAAAGAGACGGGACTTTCTCGAACGTGTCAAAACTTTTATAAGTATGTTATTTCTTTCTAAAGTGTGTGCATGCGAGACTCAATTTATTGTAACGTCTATATACGTCCATAGTGTGAATAAGTAAAGATTGATTGAGATTAAATCAAAGTTTTAAAGTATTTTGATAAAAACTATACTTTTAACTTTATCTATGACAGACTTTACTTAAACTTTGTTGGTTTCAACTTAAAGAGAGAGAAAGACAAGAAGGAAAAAGACTGTTGATGGCACGTTTCTGAGTATCTTTTTTTCTGATGATGATTCTACTGCGACACGACATCACATCAAGTTGAATGAGTAAATGCAGAGACAACACACAGAAAAAAAAAGGCAAATTAAAATTACAGAGAGCTCAAAAGAATTAGCTTTTCTGCGCCATGTGTGCTTTTCTTATGTAATTAATTCATCACGGAAGAAACCGCATTTGTGGAAGCGCTTTTTGCCTTTCAGCGAGGGCGCACAAAAGGCGGCAAAAAGTATTCTTTCTGACAGATGTTGGTTGGGTTGGAAAAATTATATCAGCAGAAAATAAGTTAAATGAAAGAGAAAGCGCGTAAAAAGTATGTTAATTCACATTAAGCAACACTAAACGAGATTAGATTATGGCCGTAAGCACTTTGAAGTGTAGAAAGAAAGGACAGAAGTTTTCAGCGCTTTCGTCATTGAGCATTATCATCGCCTTTGCTGGAGTCTTTTCTTGACGATACTTCAAATATTCCTTTGGGTCATTAAAAATTCAAGAGAATTTTTTAATGGTCTTTCTGTCATATTTTTCCCCGTCTTTGCTCGCTTCATCTTTTTATCTCACTCGACAGATATATAAACAGCAACGAAAGCCAGCATAGAACACGAGAAAAGTTTTTCCATTTTTTTTCTGAATCTCTCCGTTGGTATCTCGGGAAGAATGTTAACATCGCACTTTCTCTTCGCTGCTGCTTACTGTGGCAGAAGTTAAATATGAACAACAGAACAGTACAGCTCGCGGGATGATAACGTGTGAAAGAATTTCAGTTTCATAACTCATCGGAGCGCAGAATTCAGAAAGAAGTTCAGAAAGCGAAGAATTATTTTAATGGAAAAATATCATAAAAAATTATAAATTAAAAAGTTTTTCTTTTTTCTTTCTTCTGCTGCGTTGAAGTATTGTGCGAAATAATCAAAGTGAAGCTCTTTTTAGAACATAAAACAACGATACTCGTGAAGAGGTTCTTTATCAACTCATTCGTTTCCCTTGAACCTTCTAGTTTAAGTTTCTCTCTGCTGCTTACATCCAAATGGCTCCCAGAGCTTACTTGCTGTGGACTTTTCGAGTTTGAACTCTTGGGCGGGCAATAAAATATTTCAAATACTTCAAGCATCTTCTCAACAGCAGTTGAAAACTATAAATTATCCATTCGTGAATTCTTCGAGTCGCTTTTAATATTTTATGTTAATGGAAACTGCAGTGTAAAATATGCATGTCGCAAAACGAAGTCGTATGTGCAAAGCTCGTCGCTATCTTCTCACTTTTACAAGCATGACAGTCAAATGAAATTACATTTTTCATAAGTTTCAGGCACTTTCAACACATTCAAAGTTGCATCAAGATGGGAGACAATGCAACGACACATTATCTTGTTTTCCCAGTTTTCCTTTCAACTCATTGTCGTTATTGTTGACGAGTGCATAACAGAAGCATTAGTTTGAGTGCTTATAAAATCAATTCAATAAAAGGAAAAGCAATTCTGTAACTTAACTGAGACAAGAAAATATCAAAAATAACTTGTTTTCCCATTCAGCGGGAAGAACTTTCAGTTGCCTTTGAAGACAACTCACAAGGGGATGGAAATGATAGTAATGTACTCAGTTAAAGTAACTTTGGTAGCATAATATTTAAAACTTTCAACAAAGTAACGCGAAGAATAAGCATATGGTTGGAAAAAAGTTTGGATGGGTTTATTAAATAAAGTTTATTTAAAAGAAAAACACGAGAGTGCAACCAGTAAGAAAGTTGAGTTTGTTGGTTTCACTTCAATAATGATTTGCTTCTAAGAATTTCATCATCATGACGCATGAATGAATTCAATAGATTTTTTAACTCCATGGCGTTCGTTGTTAAAAGTTTTTCTCATCCTCTGCTAAAGAAGAACATTTTTTGGTGAACAATAATGAGAACGATTAAGGAATTTAGCTGGAAATACATAATAAAATGTTTTGAGAATCTCTTTTAACGACAAAGGGTATAAAATGCCATAAAAGTGCCCAAAAATGTAATTTCATTCTGTGGTTTTCCGTTTGCAACTTGTAAGATGGAGAAAATTTATTTGTTTTAAGCCAGTAACTACAGTAAACTTTATCTCATATAGCAGATTCCGATAAAGAAGACGAGGGTGGAGTGAAAACTTTTCGTGATTAATTGAGACAAATTATTGAAAATGAGTTTAGTTTGTTGACTTCTAATCTTGTTTGACTTTCTAACATTTTCCTCCATTATATTCTTGTTTTAAAATATTAAACAATCTTCAGCATATCAATTTGATATTAAAAGAGTTTTCAAACTATCAAAACTTGTTCACTTATTGAAGTTGTTCCTCATTCAAAATTCTTCCTTTAAACACAAAAATTTAACAGTAATAATGAAAGATTAATCCACACCTTAAAGCTGAAATTGTTTAAGCTCACATTTTGTTTAATTCAAAAGCTTCACATTTGCTTCTCTTTGCCCTTGGCAACGACCACAAGTGGCATTTTATATTACTCGCTCGTTCACTTTTTATTTGTTGCAGCAGACGTTGCAGTCTTGAAGCCATAAAATGTTATTAAATAACTTTGTGAAGAATGCTTTAGATCTGTGATATCTAACAGACAACCGTCTATCTCCAACTTCTCTTTAAGGGATAAGCAACGAATGGAAGATTGATGCACTTAGATTATATAATTTTTGTAATAAATATTACATCAAGCTTTCAGAAAAGAAATGCTAAATGCATTAAACGAAGCATGAATATTCAAATTGCTTGCTTTTGAAAAGATAATGCAAATCGTGAAAGTTCACTTACTTAATTCTTGATTTAGTAAGAAAAAATTTCATAACTTCTGTGATTTGGTCGTTGCTTAATTTATGTGTTGAAACCAATTTCTATGTTGTCCATTCACTCGTCATACTGAGATCGACCACAAGTTTAACCCTTTTGCCTCCCTCTTCTCACTTTGCTTGTTAATCTTTTCCATAACAGACATGATAGGCACGGAATGGAACGGAAGTCGCCTTCGTCCAACATTTTTTTCTACTCGGACATGAAAAATCGTTATTAATCGTGTGTGTAGATGAGCGACATGAAAAAGCGAGATGATTTTTCTTCCCTTGAACGGAACTGAAAAAAGCTTTGATTTTTCTCTTATAACTAAAAATTTCTTCCATTTTTTTCGAGGTCGACCCTTATCAAAAACAATCATCATATTCGTGCGCTATGCTTTGGCCACCGCAATAAATTACAACACGCATATCCTTTAGTGTGAATGGGGACAGAAGAAGAGAAAAACGTTTCTAGAAGGGATTGAAATGATTGTGATTCACATCATATTTAACCCATTATCTTCGATGAGTTTCTTTGGTCGCCCAAAAATTCTCCACCTCCCCTTCCCAACATCCTTCTTCTCTTCCTTCTGTTCACATACACAGCTTAACCCTCCATGATGTTCGACATATTTTTTCATAATTTATATGCCTCAGGTTTTTGAAGTTTTTCGGGTTGCCTTTCTTCAATATTTGCTCCTTTAATCTTTTTTTTTTGAACCATACGAGAAATTTTAGGGAGTGTGTGCCACAATCTCCATTCTTAGGTCTTTCTAAATATAAATAAAGTTTCGAATCGATAAACTTACTAAATATTGAGTTTCTCTAAAATTAGTCCAAAAGATTTTCTTTCGTATCTGAAATTCAGAAAATTCCTTTTCACTAAATTATGACTCGCTTTCCAAGAATTGACACCGACCAAGCGTATGATGTCGTTTAAATATTAAACGTATATAAATGACATGACAAAAAAGTGAGATGTGGAACAGATTCTCTGAAATCGCCATCAGGAAAAAGGGAAATATGATAAATTTCACTAGAAAGCCGACAAAAGAAAAATAAAAGACGAAAAAAAAGTTGTCAACTTCACGAAAGAATTCTAATAAATGTCTTTCACTCTCGAATAACAAAACACATTTAGGGCAAAAGAAGCAGCTCATCGTCTTCTCATCGTAATATGTGAGAACCATTAATTGCCGGTCTGGTTGACACTGATCATAATATTTTCCCGTCATCTCTTCTCCACTTTTGGTGTTTTTTGTCGACTCCAGCAGAAAATAAACTTCCATCACAAGCATTGTCTATTGTTTTATTGTTATGATGTCCCTTTTTCTATCCTTTCCTTTCCTTTTCTTCTATTCTTCTCTTGTACTTCGCAGTCCCTCAAATTTCTTTCATGTCAAAACATCATCATAAATTCAGTTCGCGTTTGCCAATATTTTTTTTATAATAACACTGTGCCTCTTAAGAAACGTTAGAGAAGAGTGAGAGAGTGAAATATTAAAATAATTTATTATCGCACCCCCGCATTTATAACAACACTTGAAACTCAACTAGCATCATTCATGTACATTTTTTTGCTCCCTTTTTTTTCATACCGCTTTCTCTTTCATATTCTCTTTGAAGATATTTAACTTGCTTGGTTGTTGTTATGCCAAAGCCTAAACAAAAAAAAAAAAAGAAAAAGGATGAAATGAATGCGCTAAGAGGGTTCATTCAACAAAATTATCACATTTCTCCTATGATTCGTTGGGTTCTTTTGTATGAATATTAACGCATTTACTGCGTCAATGGTAGCGTGAATGAGATGCTTCTAATGTCGTTACAATTGAACACCAAACACCCTCAATTCCATGCATTTTTGCTTCTTTCCTTTTTTTATATTTTTTCGTCATTCTCGTGTTTTTGTTTGGGGTTGCAAATGTTTTAAATAACGACAGTGAAGAAGAAAAAAATGTGACAAAAGTGAACGAAAAAAAAAACTTCAAAGAGAAAAACGTGGCATCGGATGGTGGATGTGCTCTTTGAGGTTTCTCTCCCTTTATCAACGTTGAAGTAGCGTAATGATCAAATTAAACATTCTTCACAAAGAATTTTCCTGTAATTCTCTCAACAGCAGAACTTTTCCCTTATTGTTCTCTTTACGGCGCAATTATCACAAATGAAATTATTTAAATATTTTCGCAACGTATCTTGCTAACATTACAGCTGATGAATAATAAATCTGGAAAAGTGAAGAGAATAGAAGAGAAAGCGAATGTTGAATGCCATGGGCATTGTCAATTCACAACAAAATTTTCTTCGTTATGTTACATGTTGTTGTTGTCACATTTTAAGGAAATTAATCAATTTCAGTCACTTGATGATTTTCATTCTTTTCTTCCTTTTCTTTCTTTCTTGTCACTCAGATCAACTTTCCATTTTCTTTATCGAAATCGACTTTTATTTCGTTATCACGACCCCAATATTGCTTTCATGTATGTTTCTGATGTGTCGCAATCGCAACGGAAAGAAAGAAAAACAATTGGCAATAAGAAAGTTAAAGGAAAATTTGATTCTCAACACGAGAGGAAGAGGGGAATGAGAAGAAAAATAAGAATCATTGGCCTCCAACTATTCATGTATGTCACGATAACATGAAATCGAAAGCGAATTTTCTCGTTATTCAGTTATTTATCGCTGCGGGGCTTTTGATTGCAAAAGAAAAGAAGAAAAAGCCAGAATAGTTTGTAAGTAAAGGAAATTGTGATGCGGTATTGCTGTCGATGCTTGAATTTTCTTTTTCAAACTTTCTCATTTCTTATTTATTTACGTATTGGAAATATTTTTCATTTTCTCATTTCCCGCTTACAGCTTATTTTTTGTATGATACTTGAGAAAATAATAAGCAAGTCAAATGTCGAAAAGTTGTTACGAATTCCCCCATCACATCGATGATACCAACATGTGACGTAAAGAGTATCTACATACAAAACCAAAACCAAAAAGAAGACGAGGAAGATTTTACATGAGACAGGCACGCTGCTCGTGAAGTCAAGTAGAAAAATATGTGGGATTTGAAAAGATCTTTTCTTTTTTCTTGTTTCTTTTCTTTATTTTCATTCTTATGCTTTTAATGCGCATTGTTATACATTTTTATGATGTTTTTCCGGCAGATATCGGCTCAGTTTCATTCAAAAATAAACGATAAAAAAAATTGAAGTACACAAGAGGGTTAAACTTTTTCGCATCACGAAACCTGTGAAAAGATCAAGTCAACAATATGATGAAAGGTTAAAAATTTTATTACGAATTGATTTTGTAAATTCAACAAGAATGATTGAATGATTCAAGTGGTTGGTTTAATTTTTAAAAGCTGTTTACATTATCGATTTAATGAAAAGTTGAAATTATCTAAAAGACCTTCATTCAACACCCCCGTCACACCCCACTAAAGACCACCCATGTTATTGCTTCATAAATAATTGATAACAAAATAGATCGCGACGTGAAAAATAAAATAAGAAAATCAACATCATTAAATTTCATCAAATAAATTGTGTCTCCTTCTACTTAGTGTTCAATGCTCTCTTCTCCCCTGTGTTTACGTCATTCTGCGCTTAAAGTCATCAGGAAAGCGTTGAAAATGAAAGCAAAGAAGCCACATAAGCATAAAAGAGAAAGAGAGAGATGGAAACTAAGAAAAAATGAATCAACTTCTCTTTCCTCATCTTCTTCTATTTTTAAAATGATTGATTATACGATCTTTTTGTGTGTCGTCGCTCTCGACTGAATTTGGTTTAATGAACATTTAAGGAAAACTCTTTGCAAGCTTTTTTTATTTTCCTTCTTCCTAATTCTCTTTCCCAAAGTCTTGCTTTCGTTTTTCCCTTCATCTCATTCAATCTCATTATACTTGACTGATTTCTTCTGCTCGAAGCTTGACTGCTTCTTCAATTCTTCATTGCTTGTTTTCTTTTTTTCTTTCTTTCGCTCTTTCTTTTATTTCTCTACTTCTTTTCTAAACGAAATGAAAAATCAACATTTGTTACAATTCGCATGATTTAAATATTAATCAATAAGCAATTTTTTTCATCGCTTTCTCGCTCCTTTTCATGCTCGATGATTTTGATTCCACCCTTGTCTTGAATCAACTTTTTCTTCTTTCTTTTTATTTTTCTTTTCGGCTCATTGTTGATGGTTATTTAATGGAGGGTCAAATGCGCTCATTTTGAAATTGTTATCATCAAGAGAGAACAAGTTATTACAACAGTTTAGATTTCGATTTAGATTAAACTTTTTTTGGTGCAAGAAGCTATAGTAACCAGTCTGAGACTCGAGGACAATGACGACAAGCGATGAAAGATTCCTTTCACCCCATGCTGAGATGGCTTCTCAACTTAAGATGATGATGAAGAAGGCGACACAGAAGACAATGTCGTAAAGAAAATTTTTACAGCTTTTGGAATGAGATGAAAATAAAAAATTCTAAGTGAATGTGATTGCAAGCTTAAGTCTGCTGAAGGTATCAGCAATCTAGGTTCAGAAAATCTTTGACAGAAGAAAAAGTGAGTGAGAAGTGGGAAAGGGTGAGAGATAGAAGAACGTTTATAAAAAATGCTGTAAAACCAAGTTCATGGTTAGAAGCACGAATTGCTCCCTGAAGAAGGTGAAAAGGTAGTCGTCGATAATATCGAAGTGAAAACCTTTGAATTCAAAGTTGTGGAAAAAGTGATTGCGATCAAATTCCAATTTTTATAAAGTGCCAATTTATTAGGTGGAAAGAAAACTTTTCTCATTAAAGAGCTTTTCGAGGACTTTTTTTATATTGAAGCAGTGAAACTTTTAGGGTTGTGTCTCTTGATGCATTTACCCAAGAGCACTTCACTAAATAATTTGCAGCTTATAATATTATTTAGTTGGAAGGAAAAGAGTTTTCATCTTTATTTGATAGCCCATGCTTAATATACAGTTTATGATGAGATGATTTCAGTCTTCAAAAAAGATTCATTCAATAATCAGTTCAATTTCGTTTCTCTTTTTCTTTTTTTCTTCTGAGTATTTACACTTTGTAACTGCACGTTATTAACGGTTGGAAAACTTTGTTAATTATATTTTTCTTTTAATTTTAATTATGAAAACATTTTGCTCTGCTTCTTCATCAAAATACTTAACGATTGGGCGAAGACGACGAAGAAGAAGACGAGGGAAGGTGAAACGCGAAACTTAAGGATTAAATGAAAACTTTACCACCTGGGAAGCATATGAAAAGTAACAGAAAGAAACTTCTTTATGATTTTCGCTACACTCGATATTGATAATGGCTGTTGAGGATTAGCGCTAAGAAAGTCGAATTATTTAGTAGGAAAAACTCTTTATTATTAAAATAAAGCGTTTTCAAGGCGAAACAAATTTACTTTTTGGTGCAGAAGAAAACAGATTAAAACTTTTACACGCGAGGGGAGCTTTTAATAAGCTTTCTCGTATTGCGTCTTCAATGTTCACTCATTCTCGTCAAATGTGATAAAGTTATATGATATTTTGCTTTTCTCTCCTTTTTTTTGTTATTTTGAATGTTACCCATTTGGAAGGTAAAGCAAAAGAAAATTTTCCATCACATGTTTCCTTTTACCACAAACCACTTTATACGTTTCTCTTCTCGACAAAGTAATGTAGCCATAATTTATTTAAAAATATGTGAAAAAGTAATTTAAAGTTTTTTGATTATTAAAACATGTTTATGTGAACGCGAGCGTGATACGCGCTTTGATGAGACACGATGAAATATCTGAGAGAACGAGAAAAGATTTCTTTCTGTGATTCAAAATGTTATACGCGAGTCGCTTTAGCATTTTACGCGTTAGCATGTTTGGCTTAACGTTTCCTTCGAGAGTTCATGATTAATTATAAAACTTTATGGAAACATTTAAATTTAGCGGATAATTGCTTACAAATATGTAATTTGCCGTGTCATTACTCATTCATGAAGCTTTTTTCACGACTCGTTTCATAAAATACGTAGCGTAATCAGTGCTGAGACATTTCTGTGGTTTTTATGGTTTTTTTGGAAGCTTTTTATCTCTGATTTGCTTTTCTCAAGTGCTTTGGTGCTTCAATAAAGTCGAGGTTGGATTATTTATAAGAGATAATAATTTCTTTATGACTCTAGATGAGCGATTAAAATGATTTCATTCATAAACACATTTCTAAGCAATCCTTCTCATTTCCGACATACATATACGTACGTACGTTCGTATTTATATTGGCATGAGCGAAAGAACGTTAGGAAATACTTCACTTCATGATGACAAATTAAAACATCTAACTCATTTTAAAGCTTAAGCAAATGTTAACTTTTAACTCTCAAATTGAGCATGAAATTGCTGATTAATGTGTAATTTGTTTGTGTCATTTTTCACTTGAAAGCTTTTTTATTTTATTTTTTTATATTCCTCCATTCTGTTTCAAGTTGAAACAAGACAAAACTTCCTTGACACATCTTGTTGAAATTCCATGGTGTTTTGTTGGGAGTTTCTTGTGGAGTTTAAGCTCCCGCAAAATATTTGGGTCGATTGGAATTTGAAATTAATTTCATGAAACTCATGATGACGGTTTTTTCGGGTGAGGATAAGAAGGGAATGAAATAAATTTTCTTTCGAGTAGCAAACGCAACCCTTGCTCGCTTTACTTTTTCATTCCGCTTCAGTGGAAGTGTTTTTGTCTATGCTGCCTTTTTAACGACGACGACATTCGAGAAGAGAGCTTTTCCATCTCTCGCACCAATGGAAAGCAGCAAAAAAAATATATAATGAATAATAATAATCACAATAATGTATTAATCAATGTTCCTTTTGTTGAAAAACGTGCCCGAGATCTTTGGAGACTTGAAGGAGAAATGAGAAAACATAAAAAAATTAATTAAAACCACTAGAGAAATTCTTGTGTCTCACTTACTCATTCATTGTCGAGTAAAAGCTTTTTTGAAAAGAAAAAAGCAACAACAAGAGAAAAAAAAAGGCAAAAAGTAAGAAAATCCAATTTCGTAAAACTTACTGTGGTAAAAACTGTTTGAGGGAAAGGATGGAAAAAAGGGAAGAAATATATAAAGAAAGAAAGAAAGTTTGTTGATACGAAAGAACAATAAATTTCTAATTACATCCTTTGGAAAATTAATTTGATGGCATTAGTCTCTCCATCGTCTCGGATCTTGATCTCTTTCTTCTTAAGCCAACTTTGCATTGTGCTATTTGGATAGAAAAATAAATAACAGCAAAATAAAGGCAAAAGAAACTTTGAAATATTTATGTATTGAAAAAGTTAAGTAGATGTAAAGGAAAGTAAAGAGATTTATGTTTTTTTTTGGAAAAGTTTTTTAAACTTTGACAATAAGGGCACTCTACACGATCTTTTCTGTTTTATATTTCCTTCGATCTGCAGGTGAAATCTCAGCAAATATCCAACGAAATGAAATCATTGATGGAAACAATTTCCTTCTACAAGAAGTAACAAAAACCTCAATCACGAACATGAAGTGTTTGCAACAAATTTTCATTGCGAATCTTTTCTCCCAAACAAATCGAACAATAAATTAAAATTTTCCAACAAATTAAATTTTTGGGTCAGAGCCCAATTTTGTTTCTAAAGCTTGAGTGAAGTGAAAGCTAAAATGGAAAAAAATAAAATAAAAATAATAAGAAAGAGAAATCTTATATAAATGCGAATTGTTGTATCGCATACAAATTCATGGCATATCACAATAATATAAAAAAGAAAGAAAAAATAAATTTTCCTTCGGCGAGCAACGAGTCGCTTGAGAAATGAAAATAATAAGAAAGTAGGAAGAAAAGCTTTTTGTCGGCGAGTCAAGAGAAAGCAGAGAATTTCGATAGCAATATTTCCATAACTTTTGCTTTTATTATTTTCTGCACGACCGCTTCTGGGATTTTAATCACGCTTTCGTTTTTTGACAGAGATTAAGATCACGCTGAAAAGTTAGGGAGCGATGGGCAGTGCGTTGCAGACTTTTAAATAACACATTAGCAATGGCATTAAGTATCAACCAGAGGCCTTTGAAATTGAATTTTCGTCTCACGCCTACGCACGCTTCTCTTTCTCTCTCTATTTCTCTCTCTCTCTCTTCTGTTAAATACAAAACCCGCAACAACTGATAAGAAATAATTTCTGTTCTTTAAACATTTCGATGGAAATAAAGAATGGCCATCCAAATCAGAAGTGTGGCGGGTGCTGACGTGAATTCCATAGAGAAATCATGGTGAATAAGGAAGAAGATGAGAAAGCAGATAGAATAAGAACGGTCGGAAAATGAAGAAAGATGATAGATCACGAAAATCGTGCTTTCTAAAACATTTTCACAACTTCAAGCATAAAAATATCAAATTTCTTTGATCGTCCATAAAATTAAAGAGCTTGAATACTGAGAAGGGATATCTACTTTCCCTTAAATCAAACATCTAAGAAGCAGAGATGCGTAAAGCTTTAAAAATCGTTACCCTGTGAAATTATCTGCTTGGATTTAAATGCAACATTTATCTAAATGTTAGGGAAGCGTTACACGCTCGTGCAGCTTTGGACGATAAAATTATCAACTAGAACTTTTAAACGAAATGACTACCATCTTTATTCCTATGATAAAGGGCGCGGCAGGAAAAGTCATTTGGAAAGAATCCCAAAAGAGACGAGGAAGTCTAGTAAACAGTTACAGCCAAGGACAATTTATTATTTGCTTCTTTTCAATTTATTATTCATGATTTCAAAGAGCACATAAACTTTATAACGGTTCTGTTTCCTTTTTCTTTCTTTCTTTTCTTACCTTTTTTCCATATACAAACACATTCCTTTTCTCACCCTCAACTCACGCTTTTGCATTTCGAATGTACTCAATATTTTATGATTTAAGGAACTGTTTTCTTACAAATGTGCTTCGTGTTTCAAGGATTCGAAAAGGAAAAAGAATGTTGCAGATCTCCAAAGGAATTAAATTTAATGAATCGAAGCAAAAGGGTCTCAGTTTTAGTGAGTTGAATTTACATTCGGTCGCAAACGTTCAGAAGCAAAGTAAAAAGTGGAAGAAATCTCGCTACTGTTACACAGTTTCGATGCCTGCTATACATTTTTTATATCTTCATTAAATATTAAATTGAAAATTATCTTCTTGCTTTCTCCTTAGCTTATGTCTCATGTAGCAAAATGTATGGCGTTTCAATGACAACAAGCTCTTGCTCTTACTTTTCTTTCTTCTCTCCGGCTTTTTTTAACAACGAACGTAAAGAAAAGTGCGAAACATTGAAATAATTCATGAAAAAGCTTCCACCCGCGTTCATATATTTTTGTAGCTTTTTTATCGACTTTTTTTCTTCTTCTTTTCTCTCATTGTGATGCTCATGAATGTTTTCGTTTTTCGGAATACATATTAAAGTTTTTCTCTTCACCATTGAACTCAGTCGAAAAAAAATCACATGAAATTTAAGCTATGTTGGAAAATTGTGTGTGAACATAAACATATTTGCAAATGGAAAACGCATTCTTGGGAAGGCGTGGTTTATGAATGTGTTAGTGATGAAAATTGCAAATATTTATGTCACTGGAATTTTCCAAAGTCATAAAAATTTCCATACAACTTTCCATGTGCATCAACGTGAAGGGAAAATTTTCATTGATTTCTTTTATGGAAGAATTTCATACTGCATTTCATGAAAATTTTAATTTCTCTCGCTATTTACCACAAAGGGGGCGAGTATGCAACCCGCATAACTTAGAAAAGCTTTTTAACATCCTAACGGAAATTGAGAGGCGACTCTGAAAGGCGAACATTTTTAGAAGACATTTCAGCTATTTCCGCTTGCAACTGTGAACAAAATGTCTTTGAGTAAATATAATAAAAAGCTAGTCATCGACATGAAAAGTTTTCATCGCCATCCATAATGAGTTTTAATGTCATGGAGACAGATTAATAGCTTTTTATGTTAAAAATGGTGATGCAATTTATATTTATGTAGGATACATACAAAACAGTTTGCTATGAAGACTACATTGTGCTCATATGATGAAGAAAAATAGTTGAAAATTTCTCGTTATCCTGTGTGATATATTTAAAGGTTTCATTGGCAACTCTCAAACTTCATTTTCCTCCAGTGCATAAAGTATTGGTGTTCATATTAACGAAGAAAAAAGCAATAAAGATAGACAATGAAGATTTATAAGTTTTTCCTCATCAACCGTCTATAATTCATTCAATTATTGCTCATAATTTTTAACGTCACATGTTCAGAAAGTTAAATTCACAAATCACAATTATTTAATCCTATTTTTAAGAATTCAAAAGCTTTTTTAATCCCATTTAATTATTTTCAATCAAAAATTGAATGCACTTGATAATAAGTATACTTATGTATATGAAAACCCGTATTTATTCGAGTAATTAATTTATTGCACAACATTGTCGTGTGCTTAATTTCCTTTATTATTAAATAACTCTCCCATACTCGCCTTCTCTCTCTCTCTCTCTCTTTTGAATAATTACGAATTAATGTGTACCATAAATAAATATGTTGTGGCTAAGAGTTGAAGGGAGCTTAGCGTTTCTGTCATACATAAACCAAGCAGGTTATTTTATTGACTTGTCTAAGTATAGGCTTTGAGATTGAACAATTTTAGTGCCTGCATTGAACGTACTTATCCGATTTATTTTTTAATTTTCTTTTTTAATTAACAAAACAAACCTACAATTTAAGTACATTTGTTACGAGTGTCAAACGGTACATTTTCTTCGCAAAGATGGTTCAATTTCTGGGTTAATTACACATTCATTATTCCTTTCGGGTAATTATAATTTTGCATATCTGAAGAGCTTTTTTCTCGTTTGGTTTTTACGAGTTTTTCAGGTGTTCAAAAACTAGATAAAGTTCGTGCCTAGAAGATGAAACTAACTCGTTGTTTTCTCAAGCGAATTTCAAACTTTTAACAAATATTCACAATCTGCTTTGAAGGCTTTCATGACAGTCATTCCACATTTATGATATTTTCCCATTTTTCTCCGACTAAACTGACCGAAAGCAGATTCAGTAAAAAAAAAAAAGAATACAGAAAAGCATGAAAAGGAAATTAAAAGGAATCAAGCGCAAACCCCCGCTGCTTGTTGTTACCAAGTGAACGAAAATCTAATGAATTTTATAAAAGCGATTACGAAAGCATGTTGCAAGTTCTGAGATCGTTGTAAACTTTAATTAAGTGCAAACCGTTGAGAAAGCAAAGTGCAATCGTTAGACATTATATGCAGATACCTTTAATTACTTTTTGCATTATGTATGCAACAAAGTTCGTTAATTATCGAGATATTTAGCAAGAGAAGATTTCATGAATATTCAGTACACTTTCATTTTATCGAAAATCTTTTATCAGTTTCGAATAAGTTTTCAGTTGCAACAATTAATCCACTGCTGCCTGTTTCGCTTCACTTGAAAGCTAAACCTCCCTCTTGTATGTATTGCAAATAGTAAATTTTAATTACAATCTCTCATAAATATCCCATTAAATTATAATTGCAAAAGCAGTAGCAGTGGATGAAAGTTTATTTTTTGGTGCAGATTTTATCCGGCAGTTAGTCTGTTTAGAGCAATCTCGAAGAGAAAAAGAAAAGAATTTCCAGCTTAATAAAAATATTTTTTTTTTATTATTTTTCTCATTTTCCGCGCCTCATAACACGAATTTAAATGAGAATTTACATATTAAATACGGTACTTATGAAACATTGTTATGCGCTTTCAACACGTTCATTTTTGCTTTCGTCTTTCTTTTCCAACTGTTATGTATGCAGTGCAGGGGAAAGCTGAGAAAAAAAAATTAGCTTTCAGAGAATGTGAGACCAACTGAAGTTCTTAACATTCATTAAATGACTTCATGATTAGATTGAATCTTCAAATGAAAATCCAATAACACCCACGCCGCCCGTGCAACGACACAAGAAAGTTGAAACTCTGCTCGACAAAAACGAGGACGAATTAAATATAAATACAAATTAAAACAAATAAATTTGTGTTCCATGCAGTTATTGCTGCAAACAATTCGCGCCTTAGATAGAGTCAGAACTTTTTAATTTAAATTCATTTCTAAAAAAGCGACGATAGTTTAATGAATGAAAGAAAGTGGAATTTATATGCAGATTGCTCAAATACATAAGTTGGGAAGTTTATTTGTTTAAATATTACATTGAATTCCATTGAAGTCATTGAACTTCTTTTTTGGGTTTCAGATTTAATTAAAGTTTTATTTCTTTTACAACTTTTGCTCTTTGAAGTTTGAGAAATTCTTTTACAAGCAATGTTAGGTCACTCTCGAAATTTCATCTCAAATTCTTGACATGTGAACATTTCCTGCAAATGAGGATGTTGTGAAATAGGAAACGAATGATGAAGTGTGTCATCTTGACCGAAGAGTGTTAAGTTCAAGAAGTGATTTGTCTTTACGTCCTTAGGATCCATTATGGCATTCATTTAGGATAATTCAAAGTCCATTGATTTCCTGATGGATTGTCAAAGTAAGTATTTAGGTCAACGGTTAGTCATATTCAAGTGATTGTCCCTTCGACTTACGGCAACTTGTCGCCTTCGTGATGAGCTTTAAGATGACGATATCCTGATGTTTTACCAATGAATCCAATTAGGAAACTGGCAACTGTGACTAAAACCAACCACAATTTGATGACCGATAGATGCTCGAACTTTCCTATAATAAACACCACAGCAGGAAGCGTTAAAGTTGTCAAATGATCCAATTGAAAGTCGATTGAAGCAGCCAAAGGTTCTGAAATAATTTTAATTAAATTTTCAACCTTTCTAAGCTTCTTAAGATTTGTCATGTTAATTAATAATAACCAAGTACGGATGTTAAATGTTAAATGAATAAATTTTTTGTTCATTTATAAAACATTGTAACATTTTATACAAAGTAAATATGCCATTCTCGGTAATTTAAAGCAGTCAGATTCAAGCACTACATGCGCCAATTGTCTCGTCGCTAGAGGTAATTAAGGTTTGCATTACCAAGTAGAGCAAGAACAACTCCTGAGAAGATTGAGAGCATGATGATGCTGAAAATTGCAGCAACAATCGCCATGAGAAACGTGACAACGAAAATTTACTGAAACATTCCACAAATAGTTGAATGAACTTTTTATGATTGAATTAGTAATCACATCAGAAGTGTTCATTGGCTTATTGTCGGTGACATTCAAATGGTCGCTGACCTTTCCCTTCAACTTACTTGCCTTATCAACATCTTAAATGTGAAAGCTTTTTAAGATTTTTTTCAGTTTTACCTTTTATTTGGTGCGTCTTGTGAAAAGTTCAGAGATGTCCGTGCCTTCTGCAAATTCCAGTCAATTGTGCCCTCCGGGATGACGGGAAATGAAGTTTATGAGATCGTAAAGTTTATTGTGTACACGCCATAAACCTTCAACGTTATCATTTTTTCTGCTTGCAGCCACAGTTTAATGGATTTTGATGGCAATTTCCAATCTGACGGAAGCTTTAAGGGAATCAACGAAACTTTTTTTATTTGATAACCAAAGCACAATTTCATCCCCGTTTCAATTTAAATTCCCAGAATTAGTGAAAGAAATGCTTCAAGTAATTGATATTAAATACATTGTTGCAAGTTCATTTCACAACTTAATGAATAAGAGATAATCAGCGACAAGTGGGAAATATTTTTTAATAACTGTAAAGCAATCAAACTTATCATTCATTTTATTTTTTAATTCTTTGTTCATTCGACTGCACTCAAATATTTATTTTTAACATCTGCCTCAAGCGTTGTGTTTGCAACTGAAGTTTTGTCTTGAAACGAAGCCAAAATTAATAATAAAAAACTGAAAATTCTCTCATCAAAAAGTTCTTTCATATTGTTGCACTCACAGACTCGCATGCGGATATGCGAGGAAAAAAAGAAGGAAAGGAAGAAAGAAATGAAATTTTCTGTTGGATATAAAGAAAACGAGACGTTCAGGTTTCATTTCCAATCGTCTTGAAGAAAATTGGAGCAGAAATGAAATGAATTTTCCTTCTGCTTATGCTTTATGTGAGATTCAATCGGAAACAATTTTTCTAACGTCATCTGAAATGAGAACTTGCTTCAATTTTTTTTTCCTTCTTTCATTATTTTGCTTCACTTCATGCTTCTCAATAACGATGACGACGACGGCGATGAAGAACTTGAAAATTGCAATTCCGCCAACGAGTGACATTATCAAAAATAAATCGGAAAAAGGGTCATAGATCACTCAAATTCCATTTGAATTGCATTGAAGCTCCATTAAAAGTTGCTTTTATTTATGAATTTTCTTTATTAATCTTTTAAAAAGTTTTTCGTCTCCAAACACATTTAAGGGTTAAATAATTGATCAAATAATTCCCAAGTTCGCATTCTTACATTAAACGGTTCAGAATCAACAGTTAAATCTTGTCCGATCTCCATAAATTCTGTATTTGAAGTCATCGGTGGCCAAATTACTCTTATCAATGGATCAATAGTCGTAGGTGTTGGTGTAGAATATTTCATGAAATTTGTCCACATGCGAACATATCGTCGTTGAATTGTGTAAGCTTCATCAGATGGCAAAACTGGAGTTGCAGCTCGATTGAGACGCATAAGATAAAATATATCGTCACCATGCATTGCTCCCGGAATATCCATCAATCCAAGACCACGTTTAGCTAGATTCAATGCACCGCTAAAACTAAACCGGAAATAATAAATTGGCTGCCGAGTTAGATGAAGTCGCGCCATTTTAGAGACACCAAAAATAAATTCACGATCTGAGACGTATTCAGCAAATCCCAAAGCCATCTCATTAGTTATGACAGGAGATCCATTAAAATATAATTGTCTGAATACATTGATGACTTGTGCAGCTTCTGCCGAACCCGGAGTTAAGTTCCATTCTGATGGAACTAACAAATGTGGATTTTGATTTAATCTCTCGAGAATAGTCGCGTCGTTTGCTATGTCAGTGACGGCATAAAGACTTTCAAATGAATTAAAACCAATCATAAAAGGAACTTGATTAATATTTCCAGTTCTCACAAGATCAGATATCGGTGCTGTGAAGATTCTCGGTTCGAGAGAATCGACTGCATCGACTGAAGCCACAAAGCTTAACTCTTCGAAGAGTCTTGGATTTCTATCAGTAAGAATTCCAGCGTTACGCAACAATCTCTCAGGTGACACTTCTCTCAATTGATTCATCAAATCAACATTGTCAGTCACTTGCAACTCTAAATTTGACACCAACATCTGAACTAAACTTATTGGATTTCGATTAAATGCCCAATTATTGAATAATGAACCTGATTGTGCAATTGCTTTATGGAAAAGTCCAGCAGCGACTGGTGTCACTACTAAAGCTTGTACAGCAACAGCACCACCACTTCCACCCAGAATTGTTACATCATTAGGATTTCCACCGAAAGACTCAATGTTATTTCGAACCCATTGAAGTGCCATAATCATGTCTTTAAATCCAAAATTTCCTGGTGAATTTCTATCGCCAGTATTCATGAAACCAAGCACATTCAATCGATAGTTAAATGACACATAAATGACGTTCTCGTGAACAATGTGTTCAGGTCCCAAAAGCCCCATTTCTCCATGTCCCATTACAAGTCCGCCACCATGAATTAAAACGACAACTGGCAATCTTGACCTGATATTTGTGGGCGTAGCGATGTTAAGGAAGAGACAATCTTCGTCGCCCTCGTAGCGTTCAAGCAAGAGACTGAATTGGGGGCAACGTGAACCATAATCCCAAGCTTGGAAGGTCTGTTGGAATGGCGGTGGTGGAACTCCTTGTCTAAATCTTAAGTTTCCAATCGGCGCTTGAGCATATCTTATGCCCTTAAATGTATACATGCGTCGGAAAAGGTCGTAAGTTTCTTCTTGACCTTGAATAGGACCAACAGGAGTGTTGATTGTCGGTCCCGGCCTTACCCTTCGAATGGTAGTGGGTGGCAATATTTGAGAACTAATCGCACAAACTGACAGAAACGCTAACACAAGTTTAAGCAACATTTTGGCACTGATAATGTTTCGAAGTTCAGTGTGAATTTTTATATCATTTTGTTATCTATCAAGTAAAGAATTAAGAAAAGTTATTTCTAGATGTTGATAAGATTACATCACAATGAATCATGTTTCATCTAATCACATCACTTATCAATCGAAATGATTTAGAGAGCTTACATTTTAAGTAAACTTTGTCTGCTTAATTTTATCATCATTTTTTTTCCTTCCTTACTTTATTTCAAGCTTCTCAATAATAAAGAAGACGACGAAGATGACGATGAAGAAGTTGAAAATTGCAATTCATCTAACGAGTCACAAAATTAATCGGAAAAGGGTCAAAGTTCATTTGAATTGTGTGAGCTTCAGCGATCTCCAGTGAATGTCAAATGAGCTTTTCGCAACTAACTTACTTATAATAACGAGTCAGATTTTAATTCACAACTCGAGGAACGAGAAAACGAGAAACGAGAATTCTCACTCAACTCCGACACGAGAAAAAGTTTTTTTCCTCCAAAGTGAAAAATCCGATTTTCGAAAGCATAAATAACTTCTCGTGCAGTTTAGAATTGCCCTAAATCGGAAAAGAATTTCAACTTACTCCTTTCGTTTTTTGCTATTCTTAACTCTTAAGTGGGAGAATAATGAAAATATCTTGTTTTCACACTTTACCACCCATGTTCCAACCCAACTGATTTTGCCTTCATTTCTAAGCCTTTTATTTCCTTTGCAACGCCAAAGGGATGAACACATAAATGGAATAAGGGATAAAGACTTTCCCACTGAACACTCAGATACTTGCTTACAACTTACAACAACTGAAGTAGACGTCATACCTCAGAGGCCCTTTCTCTTTTATTAAATATAAGCTTCTCTCTCATCCTCAGCTTTTAGTCATTCAAATTTGGATTTTTGTTTAAAATGAGAACTTTTTTCATAGCCCCGCAGTGTCAAGATATTTTTACATTACAAGATATTACAACGAAATGTATGACGAAAGAGAAATGAGATTTTCGTGCCTTTCTTCAGATTTATTTCATCTTAACGGTGTGAGGTGCAACGAAAAGGAAAGTTTGTATATTTTTTATTTTTCTGAAGCTGCTCATCATCGTTTATCTCATCACGCGGTGAAACAAACTTTTCTTTTCTGTTGCTCCCTCTCGTCTCGCTTTTCTACTTATTTACAAGGGGCTGTTCATCGTAGTGCTTCTGCCGGCTCCCTCCAAGTGATACTTCGAAAATCACTAGTGCTTTTTAAGAAAAATGGCCATTTTCCAAGAATTTGTTTACTTTTTCTTGGAATTTGTCTAGTGCTTCTTTTCAAAATAGTGCTTCCGCCGGCTAATTTATGACGATGATTTACCCCTTGCTTATTTATAAAAGGTTCGCTTCTGGAGCTTATTCTACTTTCTCTCGCACTTCCCTCGTCAGACAAATGTTTATTGGTTTCCGACCCCGCTTAAAATGCCTTCTTGTTCGTCGTGTACGAGGCCTTAATGGGATTTTTATTACATATTTGGCTTTCTCGTCGCACTGCTCCAAAACGAGATCCGCATCAAGCCAACCTGACGGCGAAGGTACAAAGCAGTGAACATTACAGTTAATGTATGATAATTACGTTTATTTTTCCCTCGAATGAAGCGCCTCGGAAAAACAACAAAGTCAAGAAGGAAGAAGGTGCAAATTTTCGGAAAATTAGAAGAAGAAAAAAAGTTCCGCCGCTCTTCCACGAGCAAATATTTGCTGATGAGATTAAACTGCCGTTTTTTCCCTTCATCTTCTTCTCCGTCATTCCTGCGTTATTTTCCCTTGTCTATCGCTTCGTTGTTGCAAATTAAATTCTTTCCTGAGAAAGCTGGTGTGAAAAGAAGTTGAAATACCGAATTTTTTCGGCTTCCGGTTGGTGAAGCACAAGCACGAAATGCTCGTTTCATTTGTTTACGCAAAAAATTCATCTATTTATGAGTCTTCAAAGACATTAAGGTTGTAGACTGTTGAGGAAATGAAAAATTGAGTGAAGGGGAGACAGAAACAGATGCTCCATTGGATGGGGTTAATATCGACATTAAGAAAGCACAATGAACCGAAAAATTTGTGATACCAACAACGTATTTCCCACTTCTACGTGACATTTCATAAGAAAAATTATAATCATCATAATCATGGATAAGACAAGCGTTGATTTCGAAATGAAGTGTCGTATAACACTTCACATTATTATCAAAAGCATTTTATGTTCTTATTTTCTCTATGATCGAACTTTTCTTCGTAGCGTTTTGACCAGAAATTTATAACCGTCACACAATGCCTCGTTGGAAAATGGTATCTGAAACCACTTTTATGCTTTAGCTTTCTATTCTGCATTCTACAGCAAAACGGCAACATTAAACTCGTGAATTATTGAGACCACAGAGCTTTGAAATAAATTAATTTTACTCTCTTACGTTCACTCAGCTTCTCCTACATCTTTCACGTCTTCTATTCCTACACAATTTACTACAATTTAAGCATGTTTAGTAGAGATGAAAAAGCAAGGAAAATGATTAAAAAGCTTGTATCTGGACATGACATTTAATCGTTTACTCCGTAACGATATTTCAATCAAAGGTGCGGTAAATTATCGGAAAGTAAATGTCGAACAAGATTTACTCATTGATTGTTATTGACATTAAACGAGCTTTTATATTTGACAAGAAAATTTGAAACACGACAACATAATTATAATGGTGAAACAAAATATCCAATCAAAGGATTTCAATTCAGGGCTTTCAATATTTCCAGTGAAATTTTTAAATGTCTTCCAATCTTCTGACTTTCAAGACAACAAAGAACTTAATTAAAACGTTGAATAGCTGACATGTTCTGAAATGGCTACCAGAAACAAGAATGAATTAAATATTTGGTTTAAAATCTTATCACATTCATAAACGTTCTCAATTTTTTCCTCCTCCTTTTGAATTTCATCACATCGACATTATCTCCATTTTCCTATCGTCGTTCATTGTGCCAGAATCGAGAAAAAGGAAGAGTGTGAGTGGAAAATGAATGCAGCAGCCATCTCATAGCTATTTATTGATTTTATCATATTTTTCATAACACTACTGGCACGCTTTCAGACACTTTATAATTCAATAAATAAGAAAGATAAGACGACCTCATATTAAAGTGCAGTTGCAGACCAACAGACAAACGTGTTCTTGCTACCAAACAATATTTCAATCGCACAGAATGGAAACAGAAGAGCTGTAAAAGTTTCTCAAATTTTAAGACTAAGAAACACTCGAATCTCATGAAAGTTGACAGGAGATTGGTTGAAGGAAAAACGAGAAATAAATATCGTAGAAGGCGGCTACGTGATTTCCATAATAATCGTCCGATAGGAAAAGGAACGAACCTTCCCAGAATTATGATTTTTCTTCAATAAATAAATACAATTACGTTTTTTCTTTCTTCATATTCCGAAGAAATCAATGGAAAAGGATTTAACGAGTCGAGTACTCCAATACAAACATTTTTCTATTATCTATTTGTGGTATTATGAAGTGTTAAATTGTTAGCTGTCGATAAAAAACACTTAATGTTTGTTGCAATTTATTTATACACCGCAAGTTTGATCGATTGAAGCTTTTAAAGTTTTTTTTATTTTCTTCTCGATTATCATAGGTTGAGCACGCACAAGTAAGCAAGCAACTGTGATGATTAGATATGTTTATATAAAAGTGAATATCATGTTATCAAATTCCATTGTTTAGCATCTTGCGGATCGTGGGTGACGGCAAGTCATTGTAACTCTGTCGAACAAGAAGTTTCCTTGACATTGGAAAGTGACTGTAAAGAAAAACATAAAAAGTTTAATTAATTTAGCACCACTCGATGGTCATTGAATGATTTTCATACATCTCAATCCGTCTCTGCATTCGTGGAACAAACTGCAGTCGAAATCGTGAGCGAAAACAATTGAGTTTCTTGAGTGTGCGGGCTCACAACGTTGGTCACGTGTTGGACGTTCATCTGCTCGCCATTGGGGTGCATTAGGGTTCCATTGTGGTGGTTGTGGTTCTTGCCATTCTGGAAGATGAACCGGCTGATCGGGCCATTGTGGTGGTTGATCTTGCCATCGGGGAGGTTGTTCTGGTTGTTGAGGCCATCGTGGTGGTTGATCTTGCCATTGGGGAGGTTGTTCTGGTTGTTGAGGCCATCGTGGTGGTTGATCTTGCCATCTGGGAGGTTGATGCCATAAAGGTTGTGGTTCTTCTTCATTTACCAAAGGAATGACATTGTCTGGTTGCGGAGGTTGTTGTGGCCATCCTGGTTGAGGTTGTTGTGGCCATTCTGGCTGTTGTGGTTGTTGCCATTCTGGATTTTCAGGTTGTTGCCAGTCTGATGGTTGTGGTTGTTGCCATTCTGGATGTTGTTCTGGATCATTATGCTCAGGTCTAGGATGAGGTCTAGGATTAGGCTGGGCAGGCCATTCTAGATTATCAATCTCAGGTATTGGTTGAGGCTGAGCAGGCCATTCCTGAATTTGTGCACTGGCTAATGCACAAAATGCTAAGATACAAACAAACTTCATAATTTCTTGCTTCGTTTCAATTGAAGACTGAACTAATCGATTAATGTTGTTTGCTTTTATATTCACCAAAAAGTTTGTTATCAAAAATCAAAAAAACTTGTTAACATATCATTCTGATAACGAATTCAACAACTTTTTCGTAGCATTTCTTCTAATAATTTTATTATCTGATGAATTCTCATTCATTAATGTTCATACTCGTCAACATTTTTCCTTATCAAATGATTCACTCAAGATTTTAGTGTTTTTTATATTAAACTTGAAATAAGATGAGAAGAGATAAGAAGTTTGTAGAATGATTCAGAAAATTTGTTTATGATTACTTTTTCATGTTGATTGATTTTGTTTTGACATAAAAAAGCTTTGAGCTTTTTTCCGCCTGAAAGTTATGCAACTTTTTCAAGACAAAATCATTTCCAATTAGATTTTGACAATCATTTCGTTGAAAGATCGCTATAAGAGTTCAAATTGTATTTTATTAGTTTTGTTTATGAAAAGTTTGAGAATATTAGATTCAAATAAATAAAGTTATCAAATTTGTGAAAAATGTAAAAAAAATTTTTTCATCATTACATAATGAAAAGTTTCAAAATATTTGTATTCGCCATTAATGATTAAATGAAACAAAAGTAGCGAACACGATGTCAAAGAGAGTTCTGAAAACATTTAAAATCAATAAATATTCATAATTTTCTTCTCGTTATTCTACAATGTTTCTTTTCTTTTCATTCTTCTTATAATCGACAAGGAACGACAACAAAGCGTCAAACGAAGAATCAACTTGCTAATAGCTTAATTAGTTCATTTTAAAAGGCTTAATTAAAAAAACTGTTTTTTTCTTCTCTTTTATTTTTCATTTACGCTTCATTTCACTATTAATTGAATTGAGTATTTTGTTTCAAATTTTGTAGATCTTCAATCACGCCATTACACATCAAAACACGTTTCATATCAAACTGATTGTAAAAGTACAAGCGAAAACATTGTTGCTACTTCGTTATTGTTTATGATTTTATCAATCAAAAATCAATTGCACGTCATATCGTTTGGAAGTTCCACTTGGCATTCTCATTTGATGGCAACTCACTTTAGTGTGAAGACTGAGGTTAGTTGACAGTTATTGCATATTGCTGAGATTCTTTTATAATTTCTATGTTATTGTCATAATTGCCTTAATCGTTTTCCTTTATTACAAATGTAAGAGGGTCGCTTTGGAGGGCAGAAGATTAATATTGATTGATTGATTGATATAAATAAAAACTTGTTAGATTCTATTTTAAAAATCAATTACGCTTTTATCTTTTGAATAGCAAACGAACGATCTCCATCAATTATCTGAACATTTTATAAATGATATTTAAATGAAGTTAAAGAATTGTCAAATTTTTGAATGATTTAAATGAAAATCAGTCGACAAAAAAGAAGAAGAAGAGAAACTTCCATCGTGCTCATCTTATTTCATTTATCTTCTTTCTGAATCCTTTTTCAATTAGACGGAAGCAAAATGAGCAAAAAGAGAATCGTAGCGGAAACACAAAGCCATGAAATCATGTGTTACTCTACACATATCATCACACAACTGCAACATTTTGCCATTTAATTACAAATCGATTTCAATTACTCGGCAAGAGGAAATTACTGAGAAAGGAAGCAAAAAAATAACAGCAGACGAATAATCGAACATGGGGCGAAATCATCAAAACAGACACAAGCAGACGAGAATGTTGGCTGGTGGATAAAAAAGCGTTCAATGTATAGCCAATGATTTTCACTTTTTATGTTGCGCTATTTCAATCTGCTGCTGTGTTGTAATCTGTTCCTTTTCTGTCTTTTTGTCTGTTGATTCAATTTCATTCAATGAATTTCGTACAACCGTTAACGGAGCATTGATGAAAAAATTGAAATTCTCACTCAACAAGGGTTTCTGTTTTGTTCTTCTCTCGATTCTCGGTTCTCGGTGTGGTACTGAGTACAACCGGGACTACAGTTGCAAGACATATAAAAAATGCTTCAATGTTAGGAAAGAAAGGAACTGAAACATTTCATTGTCAGTGACAGTAAATTAGTTTGAGTGGAATGTTCAGTTTGACTACATTAAGCTAAATGATATGAATCTAAATATTAATTGACGTTTATCTCTAGTATGCTCATAAACAAAGCTATATTGGATTACTTTTACTGTCATTACCGCCACTCATCTTTGAGAATATTTAGAGATGATATTTTTAGTGACAATCTGATACCTTTTATTGTTGTCAATGTTCTGTTAATGTTCACCAAGCACCAAACAAGATTTAATTATAATCGGATATATAAACATCTTCACATTATGATTTTCATATATCAACTTTCCATTCATCAGCAAATAATTAATTAAAATATTCTCGGAAGGAATTTTGTTGATGAAAATATTCTTGTTTTTAAAACTAAATACGAATATTTACGTCAGTATTTACACACGAACGAACGGCGATTTCTTTCATTCACAAACAAAAAATAATCGCTTGATTTACGTTTGTTTGCTTTTCTTCTTTCGTTGCTTGCTGGCGGCTAAATCCCTCCAATGGCTCCACAATCAACAGCATCAATCGATGTTGCAAAATTTCCCCTTCACTCCTTTTAACTATGTGGTTACTGAATTTTAGCGTACAAATCATTTAATTTTCACAGCAAAGTTGGCAAGCACATTTTTTCAGATAGTAAAGCAATATTTATCTCCAAGGCTTCAATAAACATTTTAACATTTATGATTTAGGGATTTGAAATAACGAAAACTTTTCTTATCCTCTGCAAACATTTTGTTATTTATTTACAGACAGAATATTTTTCGCAAATTCATACACGGTTGTACGGCTTCGTGCTTATCACGATATTTTTTCCGCACACTCGCTTCGAGACAAACAGACAAGGACGTTAAAAAAACGGCGTAAAATTTAATGAAGCCACTTGGTAATTACAATAAAGCCACGACGTGCTTGCTTTCCACCAACATTTCTTCGCGAGGAACACAAAAAAAGCATAAAATAAACTTTTTTTTATCTTATCACAATTTTCCTTATTTTTGTTTGTGGTGCGACAAAAATTTTCTTCTTCCATTAAAGAAACTTTCTCGTCCTTAGCTTCGCTTTTTGTTTTCATGCTTTGAGCTTGATCTCATTTCGGTTTCGAAGAAGAGAAGAAGCAAAACTACTCGGGGAAGATTTTATGTTCGCCTGTTTTCCGTCATTTCTACTCACATATACACACACTCAGAGTTATTAAGTTTTATTTGGGCACATGTGCCACCCATCCACGTTGAGCAAAGCACACATCCTTCGACACTCGTTTCCATCTAATTACAAAGTTTTTTAATTAATTTCTTTTTATGTATGTGGAACGTTGAGTTTTCGTTTTCGGTGCCGTTTATGCGTATTTTTCCAACATCCTCGCTGCCATTCACCATGTACATACTTAGAAATCATGTTTTATGATGAAACAGGAACTTCATATTAGTGATAAGAATGAAAGCGCTTCAAGCTAATGAGATTTTTCCAGCATTCCATGAATGCTGGTAATTTTTAGCTGCAATTTCATATATATTTATAGTGAAATCTCAGCATTTAGCATATCTCTGGGTGAAGACAAAAAATCCTTTTCTACATTCGAAAGTCGAAACGAAATTACGCAAATGAAATTATCTCATCAAGTCTAAATAAGAGTAAGCAAGCGAAAGTCTGCAAAGGAAAATAGAAATGCTTATTTCTCATATTTTCTCGTTATCAAAGAGTTCGTAATAAATGAAAGAAGAAGAAAGTTTGAGTGAACGTGAAAAATCAAGAATTACGTCACAAGAATCGAATCTCTCGTGATTGCTGAATGTTTCTTTATAGTCAAAGCCAATCTCATGTTACATGAAGTTTTCACTTCGTTGTTCCACATCGAATGGCTCGCTTTCAGTCGCAAACAGTTTCAAATGACATGATAGAGAGAAAATGCCGTTGTTATTAATAAGCTCAAAGATAAAAAGGATTTTGTTGAAGGCGAGCGCTTGTCTAACATTTAATGAGAATAATTTTCATCGTGTCTATTTTTACATCGTTTGAAATTCATCTCCATCCATTGCACCCTCGAACATCATCACTTTACGGAGAAAAATTACAAATTATGATGGTTATTACTGTTCAATGTGGAAATGGTAACATTAAGAGGGATCGTAATCTTTTTTTTTCGAAATCGAAGCGTAAGATGTGTCATTAAGGCGACAATTTTCAGTCTTTAAAATAAATCGCAATAAACTCGATGATGTATAAAAGATTTAAATTAAACATAACACTGAATAATTTTTCCTAAATGACTTTGGTTTTATGTTTAAGAAGGGAGCATAATGCGTTGTGAAATTTTCATGTCTTGTGTAATGTGTCAGAGTGTGACGTTCTTCATATAAGCATCTGAGAAATATTTCAAGCCATCCCGTTGTCAACAACATTGAAAAGCAATTTAATGGAACGGAGAATGGATGAAAATATGCGAAAATCCTTTTTCCTTCTTTCTGCTTCGATTAAATATTCACTTATTTCGTTCTTTCTTCCAGGTCGCGCGTGAAATAATAAAAAATCTCATAAAACGCTGCTCTACACTCTTTCGAAATAAAGTGGATCTAGAGAAGTCAACTTAATGTAAAATGCTTGCACGTGGGTGCTTTCAGCTCTTTACGACGCAATTTTTGTTTCCACTTTTTTTTCGGGCGATAATTTCTGAAACGCACGGTGCGAATTTTTATTCACAAAATTATTTATTAGATGTTATGGAACTTCAGAAAATTAATATCCACAAACTCAGTGTACAAAGAAAAAGTATTTTCGCTCAACAATTTGATCAACGCTTCATTCTCAAACAATAAACGAACATTTATCAATCTTTAAAATCCCGTAAAATTGAGAAAATCGCATTTTATTATTATTTAGTCGTAAAAAGCCCTCCATTAGATAATAATTCGCAATTTTCATTCTTTTCACATTGAAGTTATGCTATTAAATCATGAGACATACAAAATTCAATGCTTAACAATTCTTTCATAAGAGGGAAAATTCGTTTAAAATTATGTGGATATGTGATGATGGAAAATTCATTTAATAAATTTCCACCGCATTCTCTTTCCAAATATTCATTGAAAAGACTTTTCTAGTGAAATTTGAAAAATGTTGATAATAAAAAATCGATCCATTTATCAAGAAGCGAAATTATATTCTTGGCTCGAGACTCATAGCAATTATGTTCCGGTCAGTTTAAGTATAAAAATATTCAAATCATTAGCATCGATCGGAATTTAATCATCTAAACGAGCCAATAAAATAATTTATTTTCCCTTTATTGGAGCTCAATTCTCGCTCGTTTACATTCATCGCCGATGTCAATAATTAAATTCTTTAATCGTATTCTCTGTCAAGCCACCCATAAAGCTCGTTGATGCTGTTCACTTCATACATTTCCCTCTTCTTGTATTTCTCATCTTCTGCTGTTCTTTCATGTTGTACAAGAAAGCAAAAAAATTATATAAAACCAGAAGGAATTAAGACGGATTTTTGTCTTTTTATTGCTTTTAACAATCCGACAATATGAAATTTATTAATAAAAGTTAAATAAACTTTGTGTTTCTTCAAATTATTGGAACAGATGAAGAAAGAGAGAAGCTTAGCAAACAGTAGCAGCGCAATATTTTTTATTTCACTTCAATAAAAGCTTGTCGATAATTCTTCGGAAAAAAATATGAATACGAAATGTTAACTGATTGTACTTCAATTGCATCTTTTGCCGTCTTTGTTCATGCTTTGAATAAAATCGAATAAAAATCTTTCTAGTAAATATTGAAATTCATGTTCATGTCGCGATGCTTTAGTAATGTCTAATGAGAGAAATGAGAAACGAAAATATTATTTTAACATCAAACAATTGCACACGCAATTTGACAATTAAGAAAAATATATTGCAACTGCATCCTCGCCAGTACATCAAACATCTAACAATTGTTGAAATTTTACCGCTTCGCTGAACATGAAACAGCATAGCGATAAGAAATTATTAAATATTAAAGCGTGTAGCACGTCGAGTTGAAAGAAGGAAAAGCATTTTTTATATTAAAAAAATTGAATGCCTTGTTCAATCATCAAATTATCGTTTGTGTTTTCATTCTTGCCTTTTTTCGGTATTTGTTTGAACGAACAATACAAAAATCACAATCCATAAAGCCAGGAGCGCTAAAGTTGCTGAAAGTTGGTGAAAAGATTCTTTTTCTGTTCATCCCATCTTTTTTTTGAGAGCATTGAGACGGCAAAAACTCGTTGATAACAAGCCGATGAAATGCTTTCAACTTTACGATTGCTCTGCAGCACAGTTCTTATGATTACCTGGAACAATTGTCTGAAATGAAAGAAAATCGCTGAACGCATCGATAAATTAATTTTGTTCTGTTCAAATATTGTTTTTCGAAAATGCGCTCAATGAAATGTTCCAAGAATTTTCTTTTAAATTTTATTGGCAAGAAAACAAGAGCCGGCAGCTTTCCAATTAAATGTGCATTTCGAATTTTATAGGACGGTATTTCATTAATTCATTTTGCCTCTGGTAGTAAGCAGAAAATTAGGCTTCTCTGTCTTTCTTTCATTCATCGATACGTAATAAATTAATCGGGAAAAAGAAGATCTTCCTTCCATTTTCGGTGGGAGTGAAGATGAAGATTGGAATAAAAGACTACAACTCATTTATTGGCTGATAAAAAGGGACACACACTCGCCACAAAGCGTAATACGCAAAAATTATTGTTTTTTTTTTCGAGAAATGACTGAAATTAACTGTCTACGGCAGTGTCTCGATGGCAGATAAAATTAATTGCAAATAAACAACCACTAATCAATTATTTTCTGTTCGATGTCGTTGTCGCTGCCTTGTTTTCGTTTTGCCTGTGCGTATCGTCGTCGTTCATTCTCTCAAAACGTTTATAATTAAAAAGGAAAGACAAAGAAAAAAAAACATGTGGAAACGAATATAATTCTCTATTAACGTTTATTTGTTTAAGTATAATGACGCTGCTTCATCTTATTTATCTCGTTTTCTTGTCTTGTTGCTATTACGCAATAAACTTACAACAAACTAATCAAAATCTTCCTTTTTATTTTATTTCATACTTGCCAAATGACAACGTCTTGAGAAAGCAGATGAAATGAGAATGAAAGCAATAAAATGTAATTTGAACTTTAATGTCATAATCAATTATTCATTTCATTCTCGTTTTTTAGTGTTTTTATACGAGAATTACTTTATGAAATATTTTTAAGTGCAATACTAAAAGTTTTTTTAACAAGAGTTGCTTGTTAGTCTGTTCTTAAAAGAGTGACGCATTCATTACATTACACAGTGTTGCCGACAATGCTGACGAACCTTGTTAAGTATTCCTGTTTGATCTTGTTTGCATGAAATCACAAAGACTTTCAACATAATTTGAATTTTAAGGCGTGCATCGATAAACTGCAGTGTGTTGACAAATTCTCAGCAGATTGAAGATTGCAAAATCCATTGTCTCATCGTCATCATCATAATCTTGATTCGCATTTAATAAACATAATGACGAGCTTTGTCCCCACATCATTTACAAATTATCTCGTTATAACGAAATGTGGGAAACTCACATTTTATCTCATCAATTACATTATGTATTTAGATTTCAAGATATCCGATTCGGAAGAGTTGAGTAAACAAACGGAAACAGATTTTATGTACAAGGAATGAAGATAATTTAACGATCGATTTAATTCATTAATTAAAAATTAAGCCACTTGAATATTCCTTTTTAAATCTTCTTAAAAGAGAAAAGTCGTAAATCATGTGAAATAACTTAAGTAAGACCATGAATGAAGTTTAATTAAATTATTAAGAAAGCCGCGAAACTCTTTTTCTTGCGTGCAGAATTTTTATGTCGATTTAGAATTCGTTTTAAAGTATTTTTATTTATTTATTATAATTTGCATAATGATGGCATGCTATGGGGAATCAGAGCAAAAATTGGATAATAAAAAAGTGTTTTAATTAAATTTCCGAATATTAACAATTACACATTTCTCATTTTAAGTAGATATTTATATGCAGTAGTTGAACAGAGAGCAGACTTCATTTGGCAGTTTTTAAGTACACATCTTCTTAGTATTGTTAAACGATTTCCACACCAATGATTCTTTGAATTAAAAAAAAAAAGGCGAAGAGCTCTTTGCCAAAAACTTCCCCTCGCAATAAACTTGCAATGAACTTCGACTCGAAGCTCAGACAATTCCGCCGTGGAGTTGGAAAAAGGCAAGAGAAACGTTCAATAAAAAAAATAATGATAATAAAGAAACGAAATGTGAGATTCATTCGTGATTTTTTTATGACTTTCTTAATGATTTTTTACATTTTTATGAAGTTAATTTTTCTGCCAAAAAAATGTTTTTCCATTTGTCCACGATGTGCAGCAACGAAACGACGAAAGAGGGAAAAAAAGTCTTTTAAATGCATGGAAAAAAAGTTGTTTAAATTTATTTCGATTTCTTTTTAAAAGTCAGAGACATTGTGTTTGCAATAATCGTAAGTCTGAGATTTAATGGATTTTCTGTGAATTTTGTGCAACGACTTGCTTAATCCATGAGCCCATTTACACTTGAAAGATGAGTAAATAAACTGCAAATATCACATAAATATGGATATGGTGTCCTGTCGTGCTGGCAGCAGCTTCATTCGTTGACTGTGACTGCTACCGAATGGTTGAAAATGATAAATTCATTCAGATTCTTTTTTTATTACTTGAGATTGCGAACAAAAGCCACTTAATTGAAAACTTTTTTTTTATTAGTCATCGGGTTGTAATTTATTCAAATAAAGAACTTGTGCAATTCATGAATGACTTGACTGGGAGAAGTTTGGAAGATTCTTACCCGCTGTCACTGATTCATTTCTAGCCCGCACAGTTTAGACTTACCAAGTCATTGTTAATTAAGAAATTCAAAATTCATTGACTCATTAATTAACTTCTGCCATCTACATTTGTCATCTCGTGTGCATTCTTCAATTTCTCTCCTTTTATTATTTTATTTAATCTCATTTTCTTTATCTTAATTCCGATTGAATGTCGACAGGAAAACGTAATCATTGGTGCGATGAAAAATTGTTGGTCTTTAAACAAAAGACTTCTGGTTTTCTTTTGCAATGATTTGAGTTGATTTTTAAAAGGATTCTTTGCTTTATATTAATTCAATAACTCTTTTCAATGACAGACTGATGAGTGGACGCAATTTTGCTTCAATTGTTTCTACGTTTTCATGTCGAATAATAATTAATTGTATTCAACAGTTTATAATGCGGGGATGAGTGATGAATTTTAGAATTTCATGCTGAATCGAAATAAGATTATTAATCATATGTTGGCAAGACATCAAACATTTAAAAAAATCGGATTGTAATGGTTTCCCATATCACGAATTCCAATCATCATGCTCTCGCCATCATCATGAGTCGTCGTTGTCGTCTCCTTGTGAGAAACAGAAACAGACATATAAAAAATTGATTTCCTTTTCTACCAATTAAAGAAATTGATTGTCCAACCTTCAGACAAACCATCAATAAAGCGCAACGCAGCAGCAGTTCATTGAAAATAAGGTGAAGCTGCTATAAACAAACAATGGCAGTCAAATATTAACCCGGGCCATGAACACATCATCATCATTGCAATTTGACCTGCGACTGAGAAGTCAAATGAAATAAACAAATGAACAAGCAAGCAAACATTCGAATGGCATGTATTGAGAGACAAGCAACAACAAAAGGCAATGATATGTGGGAGTATCAACAGCGCGAATTCAAGCAACAAAAATGAAAAGAGAAGGTTTTAGGCAAATGAAACGGAAATTTTTAATACTGACACCTTTATGTGGTTGAATCGCAAGCTGATTCCCTTAAATGGCACCTTTGTTGAGCGGTCTTGGATGAAGTTAAAAGGAACAAAAAGATTTTTCCGTCTGTAATTTGTATTTCTTCAACTCAAGTTGATTTTTGTCATTTGATAATTTAAGGCATTAATTGAATTGAAGTTCAGAAGCTGCAAGAATTGCTGGGGAAAAAAGAAGAAATGGAAGAAAAGGGAAAGAGAGAGAGAGAGAGAGAGAGAGAGAGATAATTGTACATAGAATTAATTTATAAATATGTGGGGTATCGATCAATATATAAATGTACAATTACGAAGTCACATCTCTCTCTTCTAATCTTAGAAGTTCAATTAATTAACGGCTCTGCTTGTCAATTTTGATTTCTTTCCAATTCTCTTTCTTATTCCTTCGATCACAGACCAGACAAGAAATAAAATAAAAAGAAAAACATCTAGAAGCGCAAATAGAATCTCGATTGGAGATTGAAAACAAGACACATCATCAGGGGAATGGCAGATTGGTGCCCGTCACTTACTGTTACCGTGACAGCGAGAAGTATCAGAAGAAGGAAAGAAAGCAACTCAGAATGTTTTATTACTTTCTTTGATCTGATGCGCGCTATGTTGAATTGAAAACCTCGTTTGCGCACAGCATCAATTCCAATTGATATTTAAAAATCGTTAATTTTTTTTTTGTAAAGTCATTTCAACAAATCGCGATCGGAGACAACGCACGGATAGTAAATGAGCATGAAAAGTTCGATCGTTTGATTGCTTCTCGTTTTTTCTTTCAGTGCAAAATCGAATAAATCAAAGATGAATTGGAAAGAACCGAAGTACGATAAAGAAATCAGAGAGTGTACATGAAATTGACTTATTCTGCAATTAAAATTGAATTTATGTGATTGTATGACGGTATCGGCTTACGATTGTTGCCTTCCAATTTTTCTCTCTCATTTCTGTATCTTAAATATCAATTTATCTTTTTAGCATCGATATTAAATATCTCGTCACATATTCAGCGTTTAATTTATTTATATTTCACAAATGCTTCTTTTTACAAATTTGTTCTTTTGTTTTTACACAAACAAGCACCTCAAAGGAAGAGAAAGAGATTGGAGAAGTCTCATCAACAATTCCCTTTGGTATTTTGACGAACATCGTTTAATTATCTCAAAAAGTTGTTTATTTCTTGTCGTCGCCTTTGAATTTATTTTTCGATGCTTTGAAATTAGTTTCTGTAAGCGCACGCCAATTAAATAAACTGAAAAGGAGAAACCAATCACCTTTCGCACCTTATAAATGTTCAACCATCAATATTCTCCTTTTTTTCACAACTTTTCAATTAGAATTAATAACATGAATTTATTCTGTTCTTTTGACAAAATTATTTATTTAACAACCATAAAGATTTTTATTCATTAATATGTTCATTTCTCTTTCACCATAACTAACAGTGGTAAATAAATACTGAAAATGTCGTTGAGAAAAATGTCTTCAAATTATTGATAAATGTTTCGTTTAAATATCTTTTCGTTAACTCTTCTTTGTTCCATCCATCGGTCGATTGGCATGATATACGTTACTGTTGCCTTTTCTTGCTGATGATTCAAACTTCAAAAATTTATTGTCGCTCGAAGAATTTTACTTACATTTGAGATGAAACAGAGAGGATAAGTATGATCATGGCAAGCACGACTCATTGAAGTATTTTCTTTCTCCACTTAATTTTTATTTTTTGCAGCTTCATTTTTCATAAATTGAAATATTTTTCATCTTAACATCAAGTTTAAAAAAAGAAGGAAAAATAGTTTCAATTAGTTGGATAGAAGTTTGAGACGACAACGTGGACGTTTGTTCCAATTCCAAGTCCATTTGTGAATTTTTCTCATTTCTAAAGTTGATGTAACAAATAGATTGAAGTGAAGGAAATGGTAAGCATTACCATTTTCAGACGATAATGAAAAGAGATCTTAGAAATGACCAGAAACTGTTAAGAGAACTTAATGCGAGTTAATGTTATAGTGACAGAGTGCTGAGCACCACACTTTTTATATTTCTAGGTCAAAGTTTTCGTCAGATTTGACTTCATTTTATGATCAATAACAATCGTTTCAACTGATAAGAAGACAAAAGAAAGAGACTTGTAATCATCTGCCAGTTTCATGAGTTATGGTAATGACTTTCCATATAATTTCGTTTCTTTCTTAAAAAATTGAATTTCCCATCTGTGTTCGTGCAGACAAATATTTAATATCTAAGCATGTTTAAAGCAGAAACAAATCTGATTCTTTTTCTGTCTCGTTAGTTACCAAATGTGTAGACATTGTTGTATCATACAACGTCTTCGACTCAAACATGATGTTTGAATGTGGAGATACATTCGATTGACTGCTGCACTGTTAACTGCATTGCAACAGCATGATGGATCATCTTTTTTATTTACTTGGTATGTTTAAGCGGCTGCCATTCATGGTGAAAAGCCCAAAGCAAGTATTTTCATATATGGAGATTACAAGTCTATCATGTGTGTATCAATTTATTAAAACACAGAAAGTTGTAAACGCGAAAGAATTCCCTTCATATTATGAAGGAAAAAGAAGCAGAAAATATCAAGAATATGTCATTGACTCGACCATTAAACCATTAAACATGGAGATAACGACAAACGTCCGATGACGATGCAAAGATTTATCATTTAAAGGGAGGCATTGCTGTGGATGGGTTTGTGCAACTGACGACATGAAAATAATGGGTTATGGGATGAATTAGATCGATTGATATTGGAAAATAAAGCAAAAATAAACAATATAAAAGACAAATATGTGTAGCGATTTATGGCGAAGTAGGAAATATCTTAATGGACGTTAAATGGCAACTTCACTTCACTTTTATCTTTCAAACTTTGATGCTACATTAAGCATCGACTTCGCTTCAGTTTCCAATAACAATTCATTGGAAGATTAAAGTTTAAAGCTGCCGTTGTCATCGTGTAAGTATTCTGTAGCATTGTATATGAAAAACCTAACAACTTTCCAATGAGAATAACAAGATATAAGCTTGTTCTCCTGCTTGTTTGATTTTTAAGGCAGCGGTAATCTTCAAAGAAAAGTTTCTTACATTTGAATAGAAACATTTTTGACGTGGTAGTGTCTACACAGAACGCCTAGTGTCAATGTTGATAGGAAAGTGTCAAATGAAGATTAAGAAATGAATGTTATGCGTGAATGATAGAAATCAATTTTCGTTATCAATTTGAAGAGTAAACAAACAAACCAAAATATAAGCTTGTGAATCAATCATTTTGAAAAGAAGGAAAAGAAAAAAAAATCTAATCAAAAGTGATGATCAATCAGTTTCACTTTTTTTCCTCTTGTTATAGTTCATATAGAGATTCAAAGCCTTAGGAGTGAAAACATGATTTGAACAAACAGATTTCGGTCTTTATTTATATCTTTCCTTTACATTAATTGAATGAGATTCTCATCATCATTTTCATCTCTCGAATGCGACAAGTTGAATGAAATAAAAACTAAAACTAACACCACAAATATTGTGTAATTCCTTCACTTGGGGTGATAAGTGAAAACTTTCCGTTCTTCTGTTTGTATGAAAAAAAAAGCTTCCATGTTCCCGATAAGAGCAACAAGATTTTTTCTCAGATTGCTTGCGTGTATCTTTCACATTTGTGTGTCTCTTATCGCCTTGAGAATGGGTAGGAAAGGTTTCTACTCTTGTCATGATATTTAAGCTTTATGGATCAAATTACTTCAGTAATGTCAAGACCAACTGTTGAGAAATTATCAATTGTAGATAATCTTGATACTTATCTACTTGTTACTTGTGATCAAAGACCAAAACTTTTCCCAACTCGTCTGAAAAAATAAATTCATACTTGGCTTTCATGTTCAAGTTAACTCATAGGGAGAAAAACTTTAAACCACACCACTTTATGCTTCCACAACAAAACACTGGCAATTTATTAAAAAGGTTACTGTTCACTCTTCCTTCTCTCTCTCTTCATATCGTTGTAAACGTCACAAGTTCATATAACCATTTTTTGTCCAATTAACGTCAAAGAAGATTAAAAACACGGTCAGTGAATATGAGAAGCATAAGCGGTGCAGCGTGGATATCAGAGTAGCTTTTTTTTCGTGTTTTTCTTTCATTGTATGTTCATATAAAGTGTAACATTTTTGTGTTTCAGTTATATCACTATGAATATTGATGAATCATGAGTGACATCATTCCTCAATTGTCCCTTACCTTTTTACGAAAGTATGAAAGAATTCTCGTTAAAGAAATTGTGAGCTTGTTTCATTGCCGATTTGTGGGATATTTTTAAAGCAAACATTTCATCGAGATATTTTCTGCTATAAACATACTTTAGGAAAAATGTAGAGGAGACTAAACAAGGTTTATGAAACGAGAAGAATGGAGGAATAATGATGTTGCCTGCGCTTTGTAATGTTCGTTGTATTCTTGAGGATTTTCATGGAAATCAAACAAAAATAAGAAAAATCTCCAGGAAATGAAAGATAATTTTTTTTCCGTTTTATATGTCGACGAATCATGCTTTATCATCTCGAAATCAAAGTCAAAGAAGAGTGAAGTGTAGTTAGTTTAACAACTTCTCAAAGCAACCAAAAAAACATACAACGACTGAATATCGTCAAAGGCACGAAAATGTCTTAAGATGAATGAAGAAACATAACCCAAGAGGACAAAGATCGATAAAGCAAAGAGAGAGAGAAGTTGCGAAATAAAGTATCTGTCGTCTGCGAAAAAGATTAAATGTGATGATAAAAAATTAAGGAATGGCGTATCTGTTCAATTTACGGAGTATGTGAGAGTGCCACTGCCATCTCAAAGAATTCGAATGTACTTGCAAAGAAAAATGTTTTTATTTCGCATAAAGAGAAGAAATGAAACTTCAATATTCAAGTTAATAAATATTTCACACTCATCTCTTTCAACTTCGCGATTATCATCTAGATTTGAATTTCTTATTCTTTCCCCACTCTGTTGCGTGATTTTTCTCCCAATTTAACTCTTATTATGCACATTTCAAGCAAAAATTTCATCGTCAACTGCGTCATTGAAGTCATGGAGAATAATCTCAATTTTAAAGAAAAAAGAAAAAGTTTTTCAGAGACGTTATTTATAAATAAATTCATTGTCTTTATCTCCGCTTTATATCAACCTAATTAATTACCAGAGAAACACCATTGCAACTTTTTATTAGTGCCGCTCGAATTTTAACATGACACAGAAACAGTGCTGGAAGAATTTATTTCCTTTCTACCGCATTACATGTTGTGTGGGAGTCATTTATTTCTCTTGCTTTGTTATAAATAAAATCTTCAATTCTTCCGATGACACAATCAAGCAACAAGAGATTCTTTATAAAGTTAGAAGAATCTGCAGAAAAAGATTAAATTTGTTTACGAATACTTTTCTAAACTTTAATTAATTCAGATAATTTTTTTACTACTGTAAACTACTTGAGAATTGCATACAGTTTTGAAGTCTCGTAAACAATTTCTTAAGAACACTTTCCATTCTTTTGCCTTTGTTTTGAGTCATGAACTGAATACTTTGAATACATGAACAAAAAGTAATTTTCTTATTGTCATGCTATTGTTGTTTTCATTGTGAGCGTTGTTGATTTCTTTTTTTCATTAACAACATTGTAAACTGAGTAAATAATTATTGAGAAAAGTTGCTTTCGATCGTTACTTTAAGGCGCGACAAATGAAATATTTTCATCATCATTCTTTCCTTCAGGGTTGGTCTTTCAAGTGGGCGATGCAACCGAGCAAAAAAAAATTTAAAATCAGAAAATTTTTCATGCTCCTGAAGTTAATATCATGAAAAATTCTCCATGTGAATGAGTTAATTAAGAAGACTTTTAAGGTATCATGAAAAGTGGGGATGAGTAGGAAGTTAAATGGTGTAACAAGTCGCAATCTTAATAAGCACAAAAGGTACATAAATACATTCATTGTCTCTCATTGCGATTGTTCATCGTTTCACAATGTAACGTGTGGAGGAAAAAATTCTTTTATCTTGTGACTTCAATGAAACTGGCTTATTATGATTTTATCACGCTATCAAGCGTGTGATAAATATCAGAGTTCGAGAAGGGTGGAGAAGTCTTCTTCTAGGTAAAGATATATTTATTTTGTCGAACAAAATCAACTCTTTAGAATATACAAATTCATTAAATTGATCTAATTTTATAAGGCAAAATAAATTCATAAGTTAATGAAAGCAATTGTGTATATTTATAGCAACATCATTATCAAAATTTTCTTGTAAATCGATAAACAAGTCAAGTCAATTGTTTGCTCACTTCTTCAAATAATGAGCTTGTTCATTGTGATTTCGCTTTTCTTCTCATCGTTCGATGGATGTTGTTGTTTTTTTCCGCGAATCTTTTGCTTATTATGAGAACGTTTTCTTCGCTTTATTAAGCTTTGACTGTGTAGACAACGACACAGAGGTATCTACGAAAGCATAATAATACAATTATTAACTTATCGATGAAGCTCACACTCGTAGCATTGTCGTGCTTTCGGAAGAAAATTTCTTTCCTCAACAACTGTAAAAGTACAATGTGGAGAAAGGCCAAAACGAGGCTCTAACGACACACAATGTTTTTAATGAGATCAGCGTTTCTTTTTCTTTTTAAATGTTCTCCTGAATTAAAAGAAAAAACTATGTAGAAAAACGTATTCTTTCAGCAATCTGAAGCCTCGACGAAAGACAATTTCTTGGTGCACAATAAGTTTTAATTAGACAGAAAAAAAAGAAAATTAAAATTCCGATAGCATTGCACTTTTGTTGCATTTTCCAAGCTGCACAAAGTTTCACTTGAACTCGATACGTCGTGCTTTATGTTTCCGTAACATAAAATGAGAAAACTTAAGTAAAGTGATAGTTATGGAATAAAATTTTTATGAAAACATAAAAGTATCTCGCTAATCTCTAACGCACGAAAAGACAATAAAGCTTTAGAGTAACATTTTAAATACTTGCCTTGTTTCTTCGGTGTTTGAAATTACCACCCAGAAATTTTTATAACATCATGGAAACGAAGCGATAGCTCGATTTATGTGTTATGTTGATAACATTGTTTTTTACAATCTCCATTGAGAGAGGAAAAGTTTCTCTACTTAGATGAGTAAAAAGTTCTTAAAAACTTCTTTAAAGATTGCATAAATAACAATCGCTAATGCTCCAAACTGATACATTTTAAAAAATATTCAAGTTAAAACTTTATCAGTAAAACTTAATATCCATAAGATGCTAATATGAAATTTAATGAATTAAAAATAACTTGATTTGCCGTAAGAAGCTTCAAGAAGCTGTGGAACTTTAAGCAAAGAAATACTCAATGATGGTAAAGAGTATGAAAAGATTCTCGTTTCAAGATAATTTTAATAAGCCACACATCTTTTGTGTTTACGTCTTTCCTTTCTAAGGTAGTAACTTGGAACTTCCTCAAACAATCCGCTACACTCAAACAGCTTTAAAAGAACTTGCTTTCTCATTATTTGATGTCTGCGATCTGACATCAGATGAGTTGTTTTGAAATTAATTGATTGAAACTCGGCAGAATTCTTCAACGGTCATCACCATTTATAAACTTACAGCTTGGTTGAGGTGCAAAATAATCATTAGACACACTTCAAATTATCCAATAAAGAGTGAAGTCAGATTGCTGATCAGTGAATGCAGATAATAAAATTTATTGCATAATTGTTTGTTGAGTAATAACCAGATCACAGACAGCTCCAGTGGTTTGTTATCTTAATGAATTCTTGAAAAGAAAAATCAAAAATTATAAAAAAGAAAACCAATGAAAATCGACCATTCTCCACGCCTTCAAAACTTCTTTCTGTCGATTCCAGTATTAACTACTCATTCACATTAGACACTTAAAAGTTGGATTAAACATGAGCCGTTCACTTTTTCTGTGCCAATTCCCATGTTATCGGCACACGTACGAATTTAAAAATAAGCAAAAGTTTCGCATACGATTTGCTACTTCACATCATTGATTGATCCAAAGTCATTGAAATCTTGATTGCCACTTGTTTAGTGAATTACTTATTTTTTGGAGGCAACACAATTCAAATTAGTTCCATTAATGAACGTAATTCAAATATGTGGATCATTCTTACAAATGTAACTTTCACCCTAAATGACGTCATCAGTCTTGCTCGTAATCTATTTAGATATTTGTCATAAAACATAACAAATTTATATATGAAAGAATGTGAAAAGTATGTTGAAAGCTTAACAATGCATTACTAATTGCTCCAGTTTCAAAATCATATCAATTTTATTTTATTTTTTATATTGACTTCTACAGTCACCCTATGACAACAACGACGACGACGGCGGCGGCTGCTGAGACCTATTTGGAAAACTTGTCAAGATTGAAAACTGGAAAAAATAGCTTGCATTAAGTTATTGACAAATTGTTTAGCAGAAAATCGTGGGGTTTTTTATTATGAAAGAAATGCAACATTTGATTTCTGCGTATTATTCACTTCAAAATAAGTTATTTACATTGATGTAATATTTATACGTCTGATGTTTTTTTAATGATTTAATGAAACAAATTACGAAACAAATTATTTACCTGAATTCACCTTAAAGCATATATCTAGCTTAGCACATTTATTTATTACTTTAACGACGACTTGCATAATAAAGAACAATGATTGATTGAAGCAATTAAAAGCATCTTGAATTCCTGTGGTCAGGCAATAATAATTCTCCAACCAGTTTTCACAAGAAATTTTCTTTATCGAGTTGTGAATCACAACTTGTGATGCTTCATGATTCATGGATGAATGAATGAATGAATGAGAAGCAGAAGCCAAACTTTCACCTTTAATAGCAACCAATTGTAAGATGACATTTTATCTTATACGATTGCATTTAGATGATATTCTTAAAGCCTATAAAATTGAAAGAATCAATAGACCATTAATCACGTAGGTTGAAGAAGCGAATGCATGAAAATGTGAAATGTTCAGTTAGGATCTGCATTGCAAACAGCATACAAATAATATGAATATGTTGCATGAAATATCAGAGACAATCGCATCGTAATTATTCATCATGAAGGAAGCATAGAGGTGCTTGTATTCATACTTATCATTACACAATTGAACCCTTTAGTTACAACTTATAAGATGAACACAAAACATCTGCATTTATCTGCACAAATAATATTAATTTGTTGAAATAATTCTTCTCTCGTCTTCATCTCGACCATGTTTTGTTGCATTCTCAATTAGATAAAGGAGAAACATACATGGAATTAAATGATGAACAATTCTTTGTATTTGTGTGTAAGCAATAAAAAAATATGAAATCGGAACAAGAAAAATTTTAATTAAAAAATTTCCATTTCATCCGATTAACTTTAAATACACGGAAGCTTTCGACAAGTGTTTCATTTTATAGCATTTCATAAATAAATTTAAATGAATTGAAACTCTGCGGTCCATTGCATCATTAAGTTTGCAAACATATGAACATTGGTCATTTGATTAAGCATAAGGGAATGATTCAACCGATTTTAAATTGAAAATTAAATAATCAAAGATTAATAAAAATTTTATACGAAAGTCTTTAACATTTTCCTTTGAATAATTTGAGTAATTTTTCATAAAAATATTTAATGAAGTGAATTTCGTTTTTTATTATGTTTGAATGTTGATATTAATTACACACTTAGTCATTGTAAAAGATAATATATTTAGTGCAGTTCTTGACAAGAGTAAATTGTCTTCAGCTGTTGTTGTTTATGTTGGATAAAGGAAATGTAACAGTCTTAACGAATTATTCACACTCAACCCGAGAAATTAAATTTTTAAGTGATTTTACAGCTTTTATTTTAAATGTGGTGAATAATGGGATTGTAGGTGTGCTCTGTTCTGTTGTTTTAATTGTTCTTCTAAGTGACTTTCTGTCTCGAGAAATGTTTTTCATAAGATTGTTTAATGAGCCCGCATGCTGATAAATTTCTCGTTAAATATATCATTTTTGTTCGAAACAACACTTTTATTAACAAACATTGTTTCATTATATACAGTGGAAGCCCGTTAAGAGCAACTCCATTAAGAGTAAAAGCTCGCTAAATCCCCACACACTCACATTTCCGAACAATTTTTGCCGGTTAAGAGCAAAATCCTAATAAAAGCAAAGCCCTGGGGTGAGCATGAGAGTTCATATTAAAAGCACGCCCGTTATAAGTAAATAAGAAAAAAAAAGCAGTCTTGCAGTTTTCAACGCGTTCATCGTGTTTCTTTATAAAAAATAATATATATTAGAGACGCGTAAAATTCAAATGCAGCATATTCATAAAAAAAACTCTAAATAGAAAAAAAAAATAATAGTAATAAAATTGAAAAATACCGATGAAAACCGTTCAAATCTTGGAGAAAAATGTGTCAAAGTTCTTAANTTTTTCATAAGATTGTTTAATGAGCCCGCATGCTGATAAATTTCTCGTTAAATATATCATTTTTGTTCGAAACAACACTTTTATTAACAAACATTGTTTCATTATATATGCCGAAAAAACAAAGAGGAAATGTAAATCATGTGTTGAACATTCAACTAATTTCTTTCCTTTACATCAACTTTTTTTTGCTTTTAACTTTGAATTGCGGAAAAAAATTGAGATTCTAATCAGGAGAGAGAGAGTGGGACAAGGGAATGAAGAATAGAAATTAAGTGCTTTCGAAATGATGTTCACAATTCTTCAACTCTCCTTCAATTTCAAACGTTCAAGAGCTCTTTGCTACACTCTTTGCACCTCACTCGTGTGACTTTAAATTATGCACATAGATTTAAATTTCATTTAAAAATCGGGTGAAGTTTGAAGTGGAATTTTTTGATTGTTGTTTTTACCATCATGCTCTGTGTTCGCTTTATGACAAGAGAGCATTAGGATACGACGACGTGTTAATAGAACAACGAGCCACGAACAATTCTTTTGCTTTTCTTCCATGCTCGTTTTGATGTCTCATTCTCATGCAGTTTATAAGAAGGTTTCAGTATCATGTTACACTTTTTGACACATTTTTTCTTTCTTTTAAGATGTAAGTGAAAGAAGTGACGTACAATGAGACAACTTACTTAGTCGCTATGTGAATTAAATATTTCTTTCATTCACAATACGACAAACAGTGAAAATTGAAAATAATAAAACTTTTAATGCTTGAATTTGCAGAATTTAGTTTCATCGTCAAACTATAATTATAAATTAGCGGATAATTTTTAATGAGTGTATTGTTAATTAAAACTATAAATTATAACATGATGTCTGACATCATTCTTAGGAATGAATTTCATGAGTTAGATGTAACTTTTATTAGTTTCCAATTATGTAGCGAAAATCACAAGACATGTGTGTAAAAATTATAGCGAACTATGTATCAGATAACTTCATAATTTATTATTTACTAACTACATTCCAATTAAATTTAATTGCTTCGAATATATCAAGTTAACACGAAACAATTTCAAATTAAAATATTACAAACAGATGAGACTTTCCAGAGATTAAAGTTCCTTATTATCTAAAGTGTTAAGATGATAAGAATAAATATGCAGAAGATATTAAGTCATAAAATAAAAAGAAACTATGCACATACATAAATATCACGTCATCTAAATTTCAATTCGACTGCAATGACATAAAAACATCAGAAGCATGACAAGCATTTTAGATGTGTATCTGTTCGCGACGACTCCCCTTCATAAGTTAAAGAAATTCTCGCTCATGGAATGATTCTGCATATTTACTTTCATGTTTTCATTTCCCTATTCGATTTCAATTTATTTCTCATTCACATTTTTCACTTACGGCCGTCTTCTTCACCTTATAACTCTTCATTTGCTTTTCTCGCTCTCGCTTTATAACAAGCGTGAAAATTATACCGCTGAAAACAAAGAGGAACGGCCGTGAAAAGAAAAGTGCTTCGAAGAATAAAAGAAATTAAAATAAGGTGTTTATTTTGAAGTGCTTTTTCTCTCCTCTTTTCTTTATCTCGAGACAGGCGCTGTAATTAAATTGAAATGATTAAATGGTGATAAGTGGCTCGTTACACTTTGTGATGAATTTCTTTCCTTTTCGTTTTGACTCCTGTGAATGATGCTAAATAAACTTATACTTAAAATGTGAAGCTCCAAAACACGAGAAGCTCGAAATGATATCATTTTTAGACGAAATTTTTATAACTCGCCTTTAACACCATCAATTTAAAAAACATTGCGATATAAAATGTGCTGCTTCTTTTTTTATGGTTTCAGTAAAACCCTCTGTTTGTGCTCTCATTATGTGTTGCGAAGAAATTGATTCTTAGCTTTTAATGCTCTCTTGTTGGATACATCAAAAACCTGTTCTCTAAAAAGAATTCTCGAAAACCTAAATTAAATTTTCATGATCAAATCGTGATGTTTAGGTGGAAATATATTGCACCTGTTTCTACGTGTACGACGTACACTCACTCGTCTTGTTAAATTTCTCATGAAGTAGGAAATCTTTTCTGTATCCACACAAAATCATCTTCTATCCAGAATACATGATTGAAATTCAGAAAGAGGATCGAAAAGAGAGTGAAAGAAGCGTTCAAATACATTCACTAAATTATAACGAACCTCGAAGTGCTTCTCGCCAAAACTCGAGAATTTAGAATTTAATGTTTCTTCTGAAGGCCTATAAATTATATCGTCGGCTCTCGGCCGGCATTCGTGAACATAAATATTTTATATCAAAGTTATAACTCAAGAAGAATGTACCAAGCTCGCATGAGAAATATTTACTCATTGCAGTTTGCATTGAAACTCTTTGCACCACCATCTACACTCACAAACTAAAATTAATTATCAGAAAACAGACGCATTGTGAGAAACAATTAGCAAACGTAAGAGGCAATTCTTCCTTCTTTCATTGAAAATTAAATATCACTCGAGGCAAATCTCATCTCTTACATATTCCTCCTTGAACAAAAGAGTCAATTTAGAAGTAAAAAATAAAAATTGTTAACATAAACATCAATAACGATATTAACTACGAAAAGTTGCAAACGAATGGCAAATTAATTTCAATGAGAATCATTATTTTTAAATATGACAAGCCTTTCATAATGCATTTTAGAGTTTGCTAATCATACGATGCCGTAAGATGTTTGTTGTATACAGAAAGCAGATTTTCTCAATAATTTCTAATAATAACAGGGACGCACTAAACAGGGTTTGCCTCCTTAGAAGCCTGCCTGGTTACTTGTTTGCTTGTTTATTTATTTGTTTGCTTAAATTCAAAGCTTCAATTTGTATGTTTTTCTTATGTCGTTAAAAGATGTTAACTTATTTATATGATCTCATCATATGTAGTATGAATGTTTGTACATAAAAAAATAATATTAAATGAAAACATGTTACAAGCGAGAGGTAAACGAGGCAAACATTGCATTTGCAAGTCGTTTTATTTCCCTCATGATTAAGCATTGACTTTCAGAGGAGGAAGACACTCATTTTTCACTAAGCGAATTGCTTAATTTGAATTGAATGGATGGTTAAAATGAAGACGAAGAAGACATCTATTCTTCTTTACTTCTCCATTCTTCTATAAACCATCAAACATCACAACAGTGATGTATCTTTATCTATTCAACTAGATAACTATTATTGTGACTAACGCGCTCATTAAATTTTACGCTTCAATCGACTGTTTGCTTAATTTGGGGAAAATTAAGAATTGGATTGTTTTGTGCTGTGCTGTTTAATCGAGCGAATAAGAGTTGAGAACAAATTTGTTATTCACGACTTTATCGTCATCAATACAAAGCGGCGACAAATGAACCGTCGAAGCTCAATCATTGAATTATAATAATAATGACATCAAAAGATGTTGTTAACAATGCAAATGTGAAGGAGAAGGAGAAACGTATTCAAATTATTATTGTTATAACAACAAACAATCGTGTGTAGTCAAAATATTGTTGTTCCATTGACAGATATCTGTTTGATACGTAGGACGAATCAATTAAAACCACGTCGCATAAATAACATCACATTTTTATTTATGTTGCTTATGACTATTCGAAAAAGACTAAAACATGCAAATTTTGAAATATTTTAATGACAAAGCAGCAGAATTTTAGTCTAAGGCTTATGAAGGGTGACAAAAACTGCTGAAATGTCGTCGCCAACGATAATCGAAATTATTATAAATTCACATATTTCAAAATCTCGTTTCCAAATCAACAGATATCGTTTGCATCTCACCTTGTCTCGTCTCAATAGAGTCATTTTTGACAAATTATTATTATCATAAATTAAATATATTTATGACTTTTTTTATCAGCAAACTTTTGTTTTGCTTCCATGTTGTCAACAAGGCAACACCTGTTTCCATATCCACATTTAAATTTGTTTAAATTTCAAACAAAACTACGCCATGAATAATTTTAAAAGAAACAACCAATAATGCGTTTCATCAAAGACAGTTATCGAAATACAAATAAGACAGCAGTAAGTATTAAGCATAAACAAAGCAATTGCACAATAAACCAGCAAGATGAAAACTTTAGTTGAATATGCCAAAAGCAATTCGTCTGTATTAAAACGAATGAAGGAAGAGAACAAACGAAAAACGCCCATCGCGTAAAGGAAAAAATTAAAAGTCTAATTGTTTTTGACATCGACGAATTATGTTAATTGCTCTTCTTTCCTTGCTGTCTTCGTAATCGGCGATTTTTTTCCATATATTCAAATACATTTTAAAGCTGAATGAAGAATCTGGAAAGGAAATTTCTTAAATAAAACTAGTATTTTGCATTAATTTAATGCAAGCAAGAGCTTTAACAAAATCTCTTAGCATAACTTCGTTATGATTATTTGCATTATCACTTATAATGCCCTTCAGAATGCATATCTCGTATCTTTTCTTCGATGCCGATAAGATTGCAACTTGATTTCATCCTGATGGTGATAAACTACTAGACGAAGACACTAAGGAATGGCAGCCTTAAGAGTGATGATATTCATTCGAAGTAAAATCGATTTCGTGTTCGTTTTCATAAATATTTACATCAATGTTAACAAGCATTTATATTTATGCTCAGAGGCAAAAAAGTAGTTCCTAAGCTACGAAATAATTAAATACCTTTGGCTTCAGCACAATTTATCTCGCGGATATTTTTCTTAATAAGAAATTCTCATTTTAATTGACTTCAACGGCATTTTTATTTTGTTGTTTAACATCATTGCACCTACGTTCAATTCCGAGATTTACTTATATCTACACGTTTCAAAAGTAGCATTAATTTAAAAAATATTCTTCTCTCTTAAATGTTTCACTAATAATTAAACAATCACTGCAAATATTTTTTTCTTTACTTTTTATGGGTAAAAATAATTTGAGGCGTCAGAAATGAAAGGTATTGACATCATCTCAACCGTTTAATAGTTTTTCCTTCTGCACAAACATGCAGTTTAATATTTAAGGCGAATACTTAAAAAATAAAGGAGCAGCAGTTGCAAAACTTTTTTATTTTGAGAAATGATTTTTATTGACACTCCGACAATGTCCATGTTCACTTTAAAAGGAAAGCATGAGGAAAAGCCATTATCAAGCACTACAAACACTCAAAGAGTGTACAAAAAAACTGAACTTTGCTTTTTATTTCAAATGCTTTCATTGAGTAGCAATATTTTAAATTACAGCATAGTAAGTTACCCAATGGAATTGTTGAAACTTTAAACTTTTAATATTTATGTTTAACATGTTTCGTTGTTATTGTTTTTTTTCCTTTTTTATTTACTTTCGACCATAAGATTATATTTTGATTTTGAAAGATAATTTGATAAAAACGTTGCCTGTATGTCAAGCTTTCATGCAATATTGTTGTCAGCAAGTAATTTTATGCATACTTGCATCGAGCAGTTTTTTCGCCTTTTGTTTGTTCCTCTTCGGTTGGATAAAAGCAGATCTTAATCTTGAATGGTCTTTTTTAATTAAAAACTTGACAAAAAACTGAAACCTTGAATATAAAAGAAAAGGAAGAAGATGGAAGAACAATTTAAAGCAAAATAAATCTGAAAGTTTCAACTACTTAAGTATCAGAAGCAAGTTATTAAGCAATTTAAAACCGATTCGTTCAAAAAGCCACTGCAATTTATTCAATTTGCAGAAGAAGCTCAAGCAAAGGACAGAAACAAGACAATAAATGCTTCTTGTTAAGACAGTTTAAAAATATGTACACCTCGAGGACATGTCGTTAGAGTGCAAAGCAGTTTTCCTTTTATGCACAACTAAACTCTGAATTGATCGATGATATCTGATATAATTTCATGAAAATGATACTTGCTGAAAGTTTGACTACACAATTCTGATTAGGAAGGGGAAACAATGTCGAACATATATAAAATATGCGGCTTAGGAGATTTCATACTTAAGACATATCGTAATCGCCTTATTCCGCATTATTTATTCCTTCCACGTAAATTCAGTATTAATATGAAGACCAACAGATAGAAAAACTTTTTATAAGTAATCAGATTGCCTTTTCATTTTTACACGAAGCCTGACATGACGTTTTGAATTAATGAAAGTTTAAATGATTCTTAATTTGTCTACATGTAGAAAATTGAAGCATAATGAAATGAGTCCCTCGCTTCAATATTCCCTTGACTCCTGCTCGTGAATAAAATAAAAATGAACTCCCGTAATACTTGTGTGAACTATTTAAATATCTAAATAATAACAAGGTGGTGCGTGAACTCTTCTTAGTTGAAAGAACAAAGTTAGAGAACCGTAACAATCCCGCGAAATGAGAGCTTAGTTTTTGTATGCCAACAGCAGCGGCGGGTTTTCTTATACTAATATCTCATTCACATGTCAGGTGAATGTTATGCTATGTTGCTTCAGCAGAAAGATATAAAAAATGCTTTTCGATTGGTCAAAATTCCTTTTTTATTCTCTTCATTCTGCTGTTTGTCTTATTTCCGAAAATTTTAATTACACTTCCCATAACTGCTTGTAAACTGAGATCGCAGTAGAGGTAGCATTGTTAAATAATTCTTTTTATTCGCATGCGGAATGTTCTCACTTAAAATTTAATTTTCAGATGATTCATGGCTGTTAATTGAAGTTCATCGCCATTTTTCATAATTTATAGGCACTGAAAATTGTAATTTCAACTTTTCTTCATTAACGTTGTTTAAAAAACATTTAGAATTTATTTATATCAATTTTCATTGATTTTATGATCTAACAAATATAATTTATCTGTTCAAATACGTTCGAGTTTGTAGCGATAAATATTTTCAAAAGTTGTTTAATAATTTTCACGCTTCTCCATAACAGATACTGAACATTTCTTTTCCTTTTCCTAGACAGAGCTTTTTTTATTTGTTCAACAGTTGTTTTTAAAGAGAATTTATTTGAGCTTTCCGTATGTAAATTTATGAACATTTTAATTGCCACTTGAATATTTTAAAACGGAAAATGATTTTAAAAACGGTCAGAAATCTAATAAAATTCCGACGGTAATAAAAAAGAGTAATATGCGACACATTTAACTGGTAATCCATGGATATATTTATGATTATTGGATCTTGTTTTGTTGTACAAATGTGAGCAAATTACGAGTTTCTCCTCAAACGCGTATGAAATTATAATAAGTTGAATTGATAAATTTAACATGTGCGCTAAAAAGTCAACATTGAAATATCGGCACAAAACTTTTACATTAAATTATTTTTATTACAGATTAACGAGGCATATCTTGTCGTTAATTTCACACTCTACTCACACAGGGACTTAGTCTTGATCATGAAGTCAGAGATTAAACTGGCAAAACCAATTTCGATCAAAAGTTTTGAGTGCAGAAAAAAAAGATTTTAACAATATTTTGAAGAATTTTCTGCTGACTTTTATTTATTGGAAAGCAATAATAACTTTTTGTTTGCAGATTAAATTTTGAAATTGGTTTTTTATCATGATATTGTTGTGCGTGCATATAAATATCGGGATAATATCAAGCAATGTGAACTTCTGACATAAAACTCGTTTTCTTAATATCGCAGATCAATAAGAATTTCAATTTTGTAAGATGCCAAATTTTTAATTCAATTTTTTTTATGTCTTTCGAGTTAATAATTATTATGTGACGATTTGAAAACATAATTGAAACCTCTTGAAACGGCTGATGCTCACAAATAATTAAACTAACTAATTTTAATAATGTCTTCTTTCAATTCAATTGTGTTTAATGTCGTGTTTCATTGTCAAACATTCCAACATTTATTATTTTCGAGAAAGGACGGAAAATAATTGAAAAAATTAAATGAGATTGCAAGGTAATTGAAAATGGTAAAAATCTATAAATCATGTTCTTAATCTTATCGCATTCATGCAAGAAAGCAATTGTCGAGATTTCAATTATCTTTTAAAACATCTCACATGATATGCACAAGCATAATGATCAATAAATAAAAGTTCATGTCGCAATCCTTTTCTCATGCTTTCGTCGACATGTTAAATAATTCAGCCCACCTACATACTCCAAATCTCTTGTTTCCATATTTAAATCCACAACAATAAATGCAATGGAAATAATAACACCTCCACCCTCAACATAAACGTGACTGCAGTTGGCTACTTGGCAGATTGAGCACTCGTGATAACAGTTTGTATAATTATATTATTTGTTTGCATGGCAATGTGTCTAATTCACACAATCACAGATTTTTATGATATTTGCATATCGCAAGTTGTAATTACAGTTGCAATTATTAAATTTAATTTTCTTGACCTCTTGAACGTTTTCCATTCGAGTTGGAATTTTTATAAAATTGTAAATTTGCACGTTGGCTTTTTTTTCCTCTTACAACAATACTTCATCATTTATTGAAGGCAAAATAATGTCATGCTGTAGTAAGAGTTACTCAGAATCTTTCGCCCACATGCATAAAAAGAATTCTTACTGAAGAAATGTATATGAATGTTGTTTCAAGCAGCCGTTTCAAGAATCAAAGAGAACCAGAACATTGCACGAAAGAAAAGAAAAGTTAATTATCCATGCATAATTATCTAGACATTAATTACACGTTTAATGTTGTTTATTTTTCGTAATGCAAACTGGTATTCTCTTAAATGATTCATTTCATGCAATTTTTGCGTATTCACATTAAAAAGAAGTTCGTTAGCATGTTGCTAATTTCAAAGAAACAATAAAAAATTATTTTATTACTTCCTTTTTTGTTTGCCTGACGATCCGCACTTAATGAGATAACCTTTCCAATCAGCGAAAGATGTTGAGATATATAAATATTCATAAATGTACATATAGACTCCTATTAAGTCTTGTTTAGCGGGAATGAAGAGACGACGTTAACTTACGAATTTTATATTTGCTTACTGCATTCAACAAATACTTTGTACATAATCTCGCTTCTATTTCAACGTTCAAATGTTCAATAAAGTACCGATTTTTAATTTGGATATCAATCAAAAATTATTGCATCATGCTGTTTCCTGATTTGCACGTAAATACTGCATCAGCAGAGGCTAGCTATATCATGCAGAAAGAAATGAAAATTATTTTCAGTTTAGCAAAAACCTTACTTAAAATATGAAAAAAAAATGTCTTGAAATTTATAGCCATGTAGAATCATATGCTGGGAGTTGATATGAAAGTCTTTTGCTTGAATAATATTTCATTTTTATAGCTCCAATGAAAAGAAAAATGGAAGAAAAGTTTGCATGATTAGTATTTATAACTATCTAGATGTGTTCAAGATTAAAATATTTTTCTACATAAATAAATTACTTAAATTTGTGAAACATTGTGTAATGAATTTTACATTCTAAAGATCTAAGGAGATAAAGCAAAATTTATCAAATTGTAGAGATATTGATGTAGAATTATTTGTCTTGGTTGTTGTTTCATAATCAAGTTTGGTAATAATATACAACTTCCAGTCATTTTACAACAAACTTTTCATAATCAATCGTTGAAGTGGATTAATCGTTCAACAAGATTAAATAAATTAGTAGCGTAATTTGTCTCAGATTATGATTTAATTATCTACCAAGTCTTTACAAATCTTTGTCAAGTTGCATGTTTCAGTAAGTGACAGCAAGAAATAAAAATTTGCACACAGGGAACTAGTTACGAACTTAAACTACGTAATAGCTTTTAGGGTTCTTTTCAACTTTCAGATTTACGACTTGCAACAGAAGTAACGAACATGTAAACTGTTTAATTGCAAAGACAAATTGATCTGGTACTTCTGGAGGCTAACTTCTGTGCAATGACGCGTCGTCTTATAGGATGTAAAAAATCTGTGCGAAGAAAAAAATATTTCAAAGTGATGTTGCATGAGAAAAAGTATTTAAGTATTACAAAACGCTAAACATAAATCCATAAACTCATGCAGAAATCGTTTCTCGTTAAAATATCGCTGTTATCGTCATAAACTCAACTGATCCAGTATCGTCCCAGCGAGAGTTCGCAAACCAACATTGTTCAAATCTTAACTCGTGTCTTCACATTTTTAAAAATCTTATTGGGAATTATCTGACATGATGCTCATTGAAACTACAGCTTTAAATTGCATTTTGGTAATAATTTTCGCTTTAATCAACAAACTACGTTCCTACTCTTGTAAAGTTGTGAAGCCAAAACCCCAGTCAACGAAAGCAAACGGCAGTTAAATCATGAAAATACTTTTAAATGTAACATAAATCAAGAGCAAAAGGGATTTTTGTTTAAAAACTCGAATGCAATTTTTCTCCCTGCCTTTAACCTTGTCAAAATGATTAATTTTAGTATTGCTTTCTGTCCGTTTTGTGCGTTGTTTTGTGTTCGCCGAAATCTTCACTCGCTTGTTTTATTTTACTTAACGCGAATGAATTTCTGTGGTGCTTCATTGCTTCATAATTTCTCAAAGCTTCTGGTTTCAAAAAATTATTATATCACATTCTTAACGAATGTTGGCAGCAATGATCCGTCGATCAAATCTTAAGTATTGCAGCTCCTTTTTTTCTCCCTGTTAAACTTATAAATTACATGTGATTGGATTTACGATTCTGTTCACTTCAAACCTTGAAAATCCAAAGCCTCCAAGTCAGTGTGAATTGGTTTGCGAACACATAAAAAGTCTTTCTGACAATTATTAATTTCGCGCGCTTCGCTGAACTTTTCTTCGTTATCCATGTTTAATGTCAATTCACATAAACTTTTATTTTCGTTCGATGCAAATCATTTCAACCGAGTGGATTGTTGTTTGACCTGCAGCGTATTAAGAAAATTCAATTAAAATTAGCTCCCTCTTAGCCACTAAATTGAAAGTCATAAATACTGAAAAGGGAATTTTAATGGTTGGTGTTTGCCTGATTACTGATCAATGTCATAAAAAATTAAAAACTCTGTTTTTATTTAGTGCAATTCGAAGCAGAAACATTCCAAAGAATTCATTTGACTTCTCATTAAGTGAATGCGTATCTTATCGCTGTGAAGTCATCAAATAAATGTCATGATTAAAAGCAGTGATTGAGTGATCGGGTGTAAAATAAAAGTTTCTCCCTTTCTTTGTAAAAGGATTAAAAATTTAAGTAAGAGAATCAAAGTGACAGCTTATCGTGCATCTTCATGAAGACGTCATTAATTTGTGAATTTATTTTTTTATTTTGCTTCCTTTAAATGATTTAAATATTCCAAATAGTGTAAGAGTCATAAGTATCGACTCCCTGGGATCGTTATGAATAGAAATATTTATCGTTCATCTCATGCATGACGGCACTGAGGTAAAAGAAAATGAAAGAAAAAAAGTTACTCAATCTTACGGTAAATTCTTCAATCTCTTGAACAACAAAACACAAAACAAACACCAACAATGTGAGTGAAGATAAGAAACCCCGAATTGAATTCTTTGCTTTTCTTCTCGCGCAGTGTCAGACAGAAAATGGATTTCTTATAACTCAAACATACACAAAATGCTTTGGCATTAATCAAAAATAAGTCAATCAATCATTACACCGAAAACAAATAAATGTGGAGAGAAAAACATAATTTTTATATCTCTTCGTGAAATATAAATCAAAATTAGCTTGCTTGAATTTATATCCACTTATTGTGCGATTTGGAATCGAGCATGAAACACTTTTATTATTATATATTTTATTTTTGATTGTTCACAGCCTTGCCCAATACGATTTGTAAAGTTTATTCGATCTGAAAATGTTCAAAAGAAATTTCAAATTTGCTTCCTATACACAAAATGAGAAGCGATTGTGAGCGCATAGAAATGATGAAAATAAGTAGAAAATTTCGGTCGATATCTAATAATTTTCAGAAAGGGAAATCTGTATCATTGTCAAGTATATGAATCAACATCTATCAATTTTAATCAAATGCTTTCATCTCCTGCTTTTGCTTACATAGGAGCGTACAGCTTAGATGGATATTCCATTATGCAACAGAGTAACATGATTTCTAGAGCACAAGCCAAATAATAAATTCACTATAATTTAAATCACAGCCATGCCCAACTCGTTTTGGATCAAATCTTTCTTTACTCAACTACGACTCAATCATTCTTCGTTAAAATTTATTCAATTAACATAATGCCAAAAATCACTTCATAAACGTTTGTGAATGGAAAACTATTTCGAGTCAAATGATGCATGAAAATTCTTTACTTTCAACTTAAAGTTGAAACTTTCGCTGTTCTGCAAATTTACTTGAAAGGTGTGAATAAATCAATAAATTAGCACACTTTTTATTATGATGATAAATGCTTATTCATGCTCAAGACAAGAAATAAATATCGAAGAAATTTTATACCATTTGACTTTCAATCACGGGTTACCTAGGAAGGAGAAGGAAAAATTCTCATCCATCAATCATGTCGCTAATATGTAGATTGAAACAAAGTGATTATGCTTAAGTTTAGCTCCATATGATAAATCGCTTTAGTCGCACCCTTAACAAACATTTAAATGGATTTTTATTTCTCATAACGTGGCACATTCCATCATATCATCAGTCGTACATTTACTATAAAAGAAAGACAATTATTAAAACTGGATTGAATGTAATTGCATCTTTTTCTACATAAAATTTGTCAATGCATCAGTAAAAGTCTTTACGAGTCACGATTTTGATATGAAAAAATCCTGAAATGTTCTGGTTCTAACTTGCAAAACTTTTATTAACTTAATTTAATTAAATGCAATGGTAAAAATGAACGTTGCATTATTAATAAAGTGCTATGAATGAAATAAAGATCGTCGTTCAACAGTGAAATAAAAATGCAATTCAAAATTTAATTTGAAGCGATGGGGAGTACAACGTTTGTACATTTGTGATTATTAATGAAAATTATGGCTAAGATTTTTTTTGAAAAGAAACTATTAAGAAAATTAATCACAAAAAATTAATAAACGATTCTCATAGTTTGCATAGTAACGCCATGACGTCTTTTTTTTGCATATTTCATGTACAATTTGTTGCTTGAAATGCATCATGGGCACTTTGTCTACTACTCGAAGCGAGCAAAGCAAAAGTGTTAACCAAACAATCACGAGAAATTTTTCACTGCGAGACACTCACTCTTTATTGGCAATAAATAATTCTACAATGCTCAGGAATGCTAAAGGACTTCTTTTCGGGCACTTGGTAACTTGATTTATTTCCGTTTAAGAAACGTTGAACAGCAGAAATAAATGAATTACCACAGTCGACTTTCTTGAGTTTTGCAATAAAAAATACGATTTAAAAATTAATTTCATTTCGCGAATTATTCATACGGACTGTGATGTTTATTTATCTCGAAAGCCGGAGATGAGAGATTAGCATTTCATAAAAAAAAGATTATTTAATTCGTTTGATTAAACTTTCATTCAATCCTGAAGAAGAACAGAAAGCATCAGCCTTACAATGGCTTTATTTATGAAACGTTCGCGGCAAAATAATGTTCACATTTTCGAGTTCTTTTATTTACATTATTTTTGAATTATTACACACCTAAGTTATTTATGAGACGGAAAGCTTATTTAATTCAGCGAATATTCAATGATTTCTTTTTCTCCTTATCTAGATAATGAATTTTTCTTATCACTAATTATTATGAGTTCAAAACAGAGTTGAATTCGTTTCATTCTGAGAAATGAAATTTTTTATTCAGCTATGCTTCAGACGGTCTAAAAATTATCACACAAAGTAAATAATTCATTTTAAGCGAACAGTTTTACATACGGAAAAGGAGGAAAATATAAAAATAAAACAAAAATATCTGAGTCGTAAATACGTCAAAACTATTATACGGCAAAACACTCTTCGTGACGTTAAAATGTGATTGAAATGTACCCGCAGCACGAGCACCGGTCAAATTATCAGAGGAATTATTCTTAATTTTATTTTTAAAACGATTTCCATAACAAAAAATAAAGTTGAAACGGGAAAATCTTAATCTATCAAACTCATACCAAACTTTTTATTCGACTTCATGGCTAACCAGAAGAAAACATTTTACTTCCTACTGGGGAGACCAAATCAATCCCTTAAATGAGTAATTTGCATTATTTAGTTCATTTAAATGGGGTAATAAATAAAGAGGCCAGTTAAGAGTATAGTGGAATAAAAGGCAATAGAAATTAATTCATCAGAAGTACTTAAGATTAACATTCCCTGCCTTCTTGCATGGACTTACGGTGTTGCGTGTAGCCATCGATAATTGCTTAATTATAGCCCACTCTCACTTACACTTTGAACAAAGTTGATTTATATTTATAACTCGTAAAATAAAAACATTCTTTCAATTATTCACTCATCGAAAAAGAGTTCAATTTATGCACAAATGAATTGTTAAAAATTTAAATCTAACTGAAAACAACAGTTTGAGCATCTTTGTGTAAACTGTAAATTATGGAAGATTAATTACAGCAACAGTCTCGACAATAGTAGCAAAATAAATAGAAAATTTATTTCTTTCTTATCTTTCTTCGATTAACTTTTCTTCAAAACATTTTTCTTATTTTTTATTTCTTCTTCCAATGAGAAAAGTTTTGTCGATGACTACTAACAGACTCGCTCTCGGATATTGTAACTGAATTAAAAATCACATATATCTTAATACTAAACAAGCATCGTTATTAAAATATTATGCACTAGGAAGTGGTTAATAACAATCTCAACTATCTTTTTGGAACAAGGAAGAGTTATGGCTGTGACAAAAGTTTCTATTAACATAGTTTATGTTTAAAACTGCGAAATGTTAAAAGGAACAATTCGCAATTAACGACACCTTTAAGGCATATTATTACCAAAAAAAGATAAGCGAATTTAAAACTGAAATTATAAAACCAAAATGTTGGTCATATATCTAGCAGAATGATAAATGTTGCATGATTTTTAGAAAATGATAAACCAACGGAGTATCTTATTGCGTGAAAAACAAAGAAAACATTAAAGACAATGTTAAATTGAAAGATAAGATGACCAACATGAAGCTAGACTTCTAAGTTTGAAACTTCAATATATCATCTGAAGATTTAAAACGTTCTGCTTCTTGATCAAAAACTCTATTACGACTATTTTATGGAGATATCAACATGTTTTCTTCATAAATATAACAACGATTTTCTAAGAGAAGTATTAATGTTGTGCTTAAAGTTCCCAGAATCAGTTCCTGATAAAAAATTAATATTAAAACTCTTTCTGAATGCTTTCAACATGATTGAATTTGTTATCGGCGGTTTCATTGTGGATTTCAAATTGATTTTATAAATATACACAAAATCTACGTTGCGTGCTTCATTGTACAACTTAACAATTTTGCTTTCATTAATTTTTTTGTCATGAATATTTTTCACCGCTGTTTTATTTATTACTTTGGGATTTTAAAATGTGAAAATGAAATTTACCTCAATGCAATATTTAAAGGTTCGAAGCAATTCATCAATAACTTTAAATACTTGACTTTACATACATCTTTTGGTCTAGCTAGTTGCAGTTGAACGGAATCCTTAATAATTTCATCAATTCATATAAGAAAAATACAAAAAATGATTCAACAAGAAAAAAATGTCCCAAGGTGAATTAAAATGAATCAAAAATTTTTATCCAACAAATAAGAAAACAGCGAAATTTCAATAAAGTAGCACGCAATGCAACCGACAAAAAAATTCTTTTCGATTGAAATTGTGTAAAAAAATTAATATTTGTTGCATGAAACCGCCATAAAAGATCATCACTCTGTTATTGAAAGAAGAAAACCAGCTTTGCTCACGAACATAACCCAAATTCCCTCTAATTAAAGTTCACAACAAAGCTGAACTTGATTATTTGATAGTTTCTATAAAGAAAAAAAGAAATTCAATAACATTTGAATTAGCCTCAAGAGTCAGAACAAGTTCCTATCATACTTCTTTTATTTTCCTCATAACAATCAACCTTCAACAAAAGAAAGCTTGTCATCATCTTTGAGCAGTTCAGTTCTGTTTTAAGTTTGTTTTGATGTGGTTCGCATGGTGAATGAGAAGGCCGTCGAAAATTAACTGTTTTTATTTTTTTAACTAAGATTAACAATAAAAAAAGTGAACAGTGAGCGTACCAAGTCAAACAATTGGGAAACTTTTGGTAAAACTAAACAATTAATCATGAAAGCTGATTGCTCTCAACAAGCATGAGTAACTGCGATGGAGGTCCAACGATTATTTTCTTTTCTTGTTGTCGCTTGTCTTATTCCCAAAATCACCTTAAATTTCGTTAAACACAACTTCCCTGAATCATCCACAAAAATTCCTTAACATTCGTACATTAGCAATAAGACAAATAAATTTTATTCTGATTTCTTCTTCCCTTACATTATTGATTATCTAATTGAATCAGGCGTTTCTTATTTGTTCAATATTTTTCAATTAACTCTTCGCTTGTTTTGCTTTCAACTTCTTTTTTTCCCATTACTGATCGCAAAATTATCTAAAAACATGATTTGACTTTATGCGTGAAGCTATAAAATAAACACATAAATATATCAATAGCCTTAAGAATTGGCTTCCTCAACATTCCATTCTTTATTTGCTGTCTTATGCTGTGGTTTCTGATTAGTAAATACAACATAAATATAGTTGGTCGATTGATGATTACGCCAGGAATAATGTTTGCGAAAAAATTTCACCACAGTAAGGTCGACAGGCACTTTTAAAGTTTATCATAAATAACTACTTCTTGTGAGATTAACAATCACACAATAAAACTGTTTAATCTTCTTCAAAATTGACGTGACAGTCGTCCGAAAGTAATTGATTGGATTGGAGTTTTCTTTACTTTTCAATCTTAAAAATTCAAATGTTCACACAATGTGCTCATGATGTTTTATATGAAACTTATCTAACTTTACACGCAGCACAAGAAATCACATTGATGTGCGTCGTTCAAAGCATAACAACATTTCATTGTTGTTACCTAAAGGTCTGATCAGACAGTAGAGAAGACTGAAGACTGAAAAAGAAAAGAAAAGCAACGGAGAATGAAAGAGATTATAATCAATTGATTTTGAAAGGCGACCGAGTGTGCACAGTTAAAGAGGCTTTGGGAATTGAAGTTAGAGCTCTCGCGGGCACTTCGGATTGGAATGGAAATCAATTATCAAAAAAAAAAAAATTCTTTTTCTTCTCTCTGACTTTTTTTTCTCTATTTCAATTCCAATTGTAGTTCATCTTACTGTTGCCATCAATCGCACCCAATCTATATTAAAGAGAAAAAAGATCTGCCTGAGACGTTGAGAGTTTTTTCACTTCCATCCTTCACCAGAAAATATAAAAAATAGAAATAAAAGAATTTCCTAATGCGATATGTTCCGCGAGACGCGAAGAAGGAAAGGAAAGAAAGAGAGAGATATTTTGAAATGCCAGTAATTTCTAATCATCAATCGAGAGCAGAGCTTGAAAATGAGCCTAATCAGCATTACGATTTGAAAAAAAAAAGTTTCATTTTTTGTGAATGCCAAGCATGAGAGGTAAGCGAACAAGCTAAAAGAATCAAAAATTATGATTTGTTGTTGTTATTACTTACTATCTCCGGCTTAAGTCAAGAGAATACTTTTTTTTGTTGTTATTCTATATCTATTAACATTAACGAACTCCAAAAAATAAAGTCTATCTTTGAAATGAAAGATTGTGATCATCGGGCGGGAAGAGAAAGAGAGAGGGAGAAACTGATAGATAGACAGAGCAAAGCAGCATAAAATGTAATATTTTTAATGAAAAATGATTAATCTTTATCTTCGTTACTTCTGATGAGGAAAAGAAAGAGTTCTGTTGATTATTGTGCTACAGTTATTGTGTTCTTTACTATCGATTTACTTCACAGTAAAATGTTTTTAAAACAGGTTTGGTGATTGGAACTTTAGTTTTGACCCGCATCGATGGAAGATCATCGGAAAGTAAAGAACATCCTGTACTACGACATTCGACTTATTTATACTTAATGGTAACCACACGAAAAAGAAATTGAGTCAAAAATGAATAGAGCTTCGCTATAATTGTTTGATTCTCTTCTCGACCGGTCGGCGGCTTAATTGATTTCATTTCTTCTTATTTGTGTCCAGAGAAAAATCTCCTTTAATTAAGCATTGATAATTGGCTCTCAGGGAAAAAATGTTCGGTAATGAATTGAAATAGATATTCGCTGTGAGACTATTTTTTACTGGAATGTTATTTTCAAAGTCTTTCTTAATGATTTTGCCGAAAAAAAAACTCTTCATTCGAAATGGGTGAATGAAATAAAATAAAATAAAATAACTAAATATTCTCGTGATGATGAACATGTACTGAAGAGTTGTTTGGCCTCACAAAGAGCATAAAAATCATCTATTTTAACTGCTATATCAAATGACCAATGCGTTGGATGTGATACGAATATTTATCTTCTTTCGCTTGATTTAATTTTTAATTAATTGTTGATAGCATCGAATCAAAATTGTGACTCTCGACGTGCTTTAATATTCATAGATGTGTTCCATCCTTCCATACAATCTTTTTATGGTTTCGTAAATCACGCTTTATGGTTCAAAAGAATTTTTTTCTCTAAATTTCACATCCACAGTCAATGTTGAGCTCAAAGACACGGTGGGACATTTGGAGCAGTTAAAATGTCTCGCTTTTTGTTTGTATAAATTACTGATGTGATTTGTTGATCTTATGCTTGTTTTTCTTCTAAATTTATGACTTTCATCGTTCTATCTCGCTCTTCTTTTATTATTAACTTTTTCTTTCGTCTCAAATCAACAACAATGTCAAGTCAAATCAGAAATTTGTCAAATATGATGAAGGCCTTGCTGAAGGCAAACAAGAGAATCGTTTCATCGATGACATAGTAAAAGAATGATTTAAAATTATTTAAATGATGAAAGTAAGTTTGTAAGTGACAGTGCTGGTGGTGTAATCGTGAACAATCAATTTTATGCAGTTGTTTGACAAGTTTTTATCGTAAAACATTTGATGAATTAAAATAAAACGAAGCAAATACAGATGATTGATATATTTCCTGTGTCTTAATATGTCTTAATTTCATACACGTGAATAAGAAGACGTTGATTTGAAGTTCATGGACAATAAGATGCCTCGCAGAATATTTAAATATCAGCTTGCAACATATTCATTTAAATTCAATCCACAATGCGTCAAGTATAAAAACAAACAAAAGTACGCAAGAAATCGTCTCAATCTGACGAAGCTTCTCAACATTTGCCATTTCAAATGATCTTTTCATTGTCTTTCACGGCATTGCACGACACCCATGCCCATAAAGTTTCGATTTATTTGTTTCTGCTGATTGCTTTTGCGTTGAAATTCTTCGATTTGAATTCATTTGTTCTCTTCATCAAAACGACGCAAACGTTTTAATGTAACAAGAAATTTGTTATTTTATATCAGTTAACCTTAACATTAAACTTTGAAGCGACAGCCAGCATAAAAAGAAAGAAAACGTCAGTGGACGACAATCAAATCGTTTTCTCTTATTTTTATTTCTCTTTGAATTGTTTAATAAAAGGCTTCTTAAAGTTGAATTGTAAATGTTGTTGTCTAAGAAACTTTCTCGCTCCTCGAATCAATAACACTTTGTAATGATTCTTGAAAACAAAAGTTGAATCAATTCTATGTAACTGGGTCTTTTCGAATTTTGTTTCTTTTATTTCCCCTCCTGCGAGTTCTGATCTTATCAAGACTGTCTCTTTGTGTTGTTAGTTATATGCCCTTGCGCCCTCCACATCGTTCTCTTTACACTGCTCTTTACCTAATTTCTGTTCTTATTTTCACCTTCTTGCCACCACCAACGTTTTCCTATCTTAAACATTAATTTGTTCGAAAGCGCCTTCACGAAACGCTAATTCAAATTTAATTTAAATTAAAATAAAATTTGTTTCTTTTTCGATTGGGGTCGATAAGAAGGAAAATTCTCTTTAGTTCTTGAGACTTTGCTTTTTCATTTTTAACAATGGCTATGGGAATGAAATGAAACGAATACAACAAAAAAACCAAAAAAAAGGCGAAATATAAAACGCGAAAAGCAGAACACGGAAAATGATTAAAATCTAGTTTTCAATTCGTTTCTACCATTCGAATGAAATGCTAAATAGAAAAAGAATGGAACACCTTCGATCAAAACGAGCTTGATACAACTTTAGGTAGATGTTAAAGGTAGTCTCACACTGTAACGATCTCTTCAGTTCATGAAAGCATTCGACATAAAAATGCATGACTATTCATTGTTTTCTCACCACACCAGAAATGATGAATTGTAAATCAAAATCATGAAATTGTTTGAAGGCCCTGGATAACATGAGTTTTATATGCCCGCAGCCCATTATAACATCAAACAGAGAATAAAAAGGGAATAGGAATCGTGCTGTGATGAGAAGAAACAAACATAAAATTCATTTAAATATAACTAGATATATATTCTTTCTTTTTAAATTTAAATATATTATATTTCTAGGAAGGGAGATTATAAAAATAATGTAACGTGGGAAAAATGAATGTCAACCAAAAATTATTTACTGGTTCATTTCGTAAATTTATTTTTAATTAAATCTTCACATTATTCTAATAAATTTGTAGCTAAACTTATGAAATCATCTCATAAACTATTCGCCACTTAACATACAAGAATAAATAAATTGTTAAAGAATTTTGAAAAGCGCTCATAAATATTAGAAACAATAATCGCTGGAATCACACATCAGGTTTCTTTCTATCTTTAATTTTTAGATTCACAAATCGCGCTTAATTAAAACATTATAGTCATTACATTTATATTAATGCTTAAAGATAGGAAACTCTTTATATTATCATAATTTCATTTCATTTATTCAAAGTTTGTTTTTGAAATAGTTTTATCGAAATTTCTCTTCGCGACAGCCATCTGCTAACTTCAATCAATGAACTCAAAACTCAACGTATAGCAACAACGGCAACCATGAGATATGCTGTTTAATTTTTCATTAAAAAACAGACATGTCTCTTGAAACATATCTTATCATAAATTGTCGTCAAAATATTCAATCAATTAGGAATTTTAACAACTTGATTGTGGAAGTTTTTTCCTCCAATAACAAGAATTGTTTGAGCACAAATTTGCATCATTTTATCATCATCGTCTATTATGAAGTCTCCTCGATATGGAATGAAAATCGATACCGAAAGCCATTGAATGGTTTAAGAAAAATGAGAATTCAAATTCATTAATTGTATGTGTGGTGTGGTTGTTTCTTCATCAAGCTATACTTTGGATGTTTTTATCTCAAAGCCCCAATCTACCTGTTTTCTTTCTTTCTCAAAGGTGAGAGACAATCAATAGAAAAATCAAATAGTATATCAATATAGTGGGGAAGAGGAAAATTGATTGTGCTTGCTTTTTTTTGGGACAGACTCACAATTAAAATTAATGGACAACGATTGACTCTCCGCGTCTTCGAAAATGTGTACGTTCCACATCTTAGAAAATATTTTGGCTTGGCTTTATAGTCGTCATTTGTTCGGTTGTAGTGAGAATATTAATAATGCTGTTCCTAAAGAAAATTTTCTATAAAGATATTCGATCTTTAAAGCGCTGTAGAGTGACCGGTACTTTTGAAGTTGTGACTGCTGCTTATCTTATGAAGATATTTTTATATACTTATACATCATTCACAGCCATTTAAAGAAGACAATGTTTTGTGATAAGACAATTTTGCTTTAACATCTCTTTTATTTTATTGTAGAGCTTTAGTAAAGTTTATTTTTTATTAAATCCCCTGCCCGTTTATCTTTCACTTCCCATCGTCATAATGTGTTAACATCAACTCGAATTAACGCTTGTTGCTCGTATGAACATTTCATCAGGTTGGAATTAAAGTTATACTCTCGCGCAGGTCGACTTTTCCGCTGATTTAATTCGTGATTATTCCAATTTCTCTTGCAAAGTCCCGTGTCACATCTAGACACTCATTCGATAGAAGAAGTATTCAAGTATCAACAAAAATTTCGTTCTTGTTTCTAGAGAAACTTGAAAAAGAAAGGAAAGCGAAGAAGTAAGAATTAATATTATAATCAGATTAAAGCATTTCACTCGCATCTGAAATTTTCCATGTTATTCCACCTCTCAAACTACAGCTTTAGATTCTAGATATGGACGATGGTGTGGTTTTCAGCTACACGCTTAGAATTCCCCGAAAATTATAATTCATTTCATTGCCCATGTTTAACTCAACAGCCATGAAGCAGAAAAAAATTGAATTGTGTTTATATTTGGATAAGTTTCACTGCCTTTTTTCTTGTAGAAACAACAACACAAGAATTTCTATGAAGAATAATTTATCAATCAACCTTCGAGCCCATCTTACCACGAGCTTTTCAAAAAATAAAAATAAAAATAGAAAGAACGATGGTGGTTAAACAAAAAGAAAAGTTTTAACCGAAGAGATTCATAAATCAAGTTGCGATGTTCAAAGTTTTTTTGTATTTAATGGTGGAATATCAAATCACATGGTTTCGCTTTTGTAATAAAAATAAGTGGAACAATTATCAAATATTCTCTTCCCTTCCAGACAAACGATGTTAACAGAACAATAATCAAGTATCATTTTTCCTTGTTATTATGTTTAATTAATAAAAACCATAAATAAGGTTCCCAAAAATTCTATCAAGATGATGATTGCCGCGAGTAAAGTTTATTCTTCAAGTTTCATGGAAAATGAACAATAACCAATAATATTAGAGATGATACTTTCGCAAATTCTGGTGACAGCCTTTTTCATTAATTCATTCACGTTGCGGTTTCTTGTACGTTAGATTAAATTTCACTGATAAATAAAATTTGGTTGTCATGTCAATTTTCATAAAAAAATTAATTCTCTTCCTTAAATTTATGACAATAAAAAAATTGAGTTGATAATCTCGCAGATATTTAACTAAACTGCCAAAAAATAATTAAACAGTAAACAGTGAAAGTGATAAATCATCATTGCGAAAATCAATTTTTCAATTTTGAGGGACACAAAATGAGCCATCAACTATCAGCTACAAGCAAGTTCGTTATCACGATTTAATTTATCAAATATTTAGCTATCCCCTCGGATAAATGAAAACGAAACATTTCAAACTCAAATTCCAACCATCAATTGGTGTATTGTGCTATACTGTGATTCATTTGCCTCAAAATATATTTTAAAAGCAACTAATAAATCAAACACACAGTACCCAGTACCCAAATCAGGTGAAAAATCAATCAATCTGCAGGCTTCACTCACACTCGCGTTGTCCCATTGTTAAACGTCAGTTTATTTTAATTTCTCTACGCCTTTTATCTTCACAACTTTCGATTAACAAACAAACAGACAAATCTTTCAATGGACTGTCCCGTATGCCAACATCAGAATTGAAGAAAATAACAGACGACGACGACGACGACGAATCATTGAATATCATGAAAGATGAAAACTGAAAAATTAAAAATAACGAGGAGGAGTATAATATAATATAGAAATGTCATCAAGACAGGACAAAAACAAATGATAAATTTACCCAATCTACAGAGAAGCGCGTAATAAACTGATAAAAGACTAAAGAGGGAAAATATGTTTTGAACGAAGAACCGGGCTGTCAGACGCAATGAATTTTATTTCACATCTTTGAACACAACATGGAAATTTCCTGATGACAAATGAACTTACGAAACCTTCTTCCTGTCATAAACAAAAAAATGGATTCTCTTTGAATATATCTACTTTAGTAAAATTTAAACAGCTTCAACTAAGAATCATTTAAAATGCAAATTGGTGAAAAATATATTTAAAATTTGCATAAAAGTTGTAAGTTTATTTAAGCGAAATTCATACTTTGGTGTCAAGTTTAAAGAAAATTAAAATTTACAATTTTTATCAGATTGCATCAAGTCAGATCAATCTTAATAACTTTTTTAAAGTCCGCTTTTAAACAAAGGTGTGACCAAAGTACGACTCTCGTATATCTTTCTCCAATTTTACACAAGAAAAGTGAATTTTATTAAATCTTTGTGTCTTCTTTGTTCACCACATTGACAACTGCCCTTAAGATTTATTTTGAGACATGAATTAATTTTTTTTTATTATCAAACATTTTTGTCATTCACGAGTTTTCTTTGTAAAATAAATTTTATCGAAGATTATACACATAAGTATTAACAACGTTTCGGACTTTTGATACCGAATCGATTTTTATTGTCGAACAAGACATTAACTGGATCAATAAATTCCAAATAAATAACCAGGTTAATCCCCCAGACTACATCTTCGTGCTTGAAAGAAGAAAGAATTTGTGTCGATCCGTTTGCTGTTCAATCATCGAAATCTCTCTTTGCAAACACGATATGGCTATACCATAAATTTAAAATTACGTTTTGCGAACCAGAAGTTTTCTTTCTTCGCTACATCTGCCGTCGCAATTTGGCAGCACATACAACGTCTTGTCTTTAACCAGGGATCATCATCATCTTAGAAGAAGGAGAAACACGAAAAAAAAAACAAATCTTGTTAATTTTTTCCCATCTATATTTTATGACTTCTCTCCATTTTTATTTCCCGCTTTGGTCCAAGCAAATGATCTTTTATGAATGTAGGTTTGCATCACATACGACTGACTCCCTTTATCTTATTTGCTTGGACCTCGCACATTGCCCAAACCCGATGAGAGAATAAATGTATTCACTTATTTATATTTTCGTTGCTTGTTTTCGGTTGAAGCGAAGTAATAAACATATTTATTTATGCAAGAAATAATAAAACGTTCCCGAGATTGCAAACGAAGTAAAAGCCGCATCATCATGTGAAAAAAACACTTTTATTTAATTCTCTTGTGTGACACAAATATCGCCATAAATTCGATAAATTTATTTAGAAATAACTGACAGTCTAACCACACAATTTCTTTCCATTCCCATTTTGCAATTTTCTCTACTTGCATGGGTTGAAGAACTTAGCCAAAGAGTCGAATAGATTCATGCAAATAATGGTACCACAAGTTAGAACTTGAACATACTTACGCCAATTACCTGAGGCTGCGATCTGTGTTGAGAGACATTGCAACAACGCCCTCGACTTTTCACTACCTTGTATGTGCATTTATATACGAGATGATTCAAAATGTTTTAAAATAAGCAAGAAAAGCAAATAAACATATTAAAAATTTTTTCGCCTGCTACATTTTTTTCAATTTCAATTTAAACAAAAATTTATGATTTTCTTTCTTCGTTCCTCTCGTTACCTCTTCTCCACAAAGTCGATCTTATTTTTTGGAATTGATGCATAAATTTTCATTTTATGACTTTTTCTTTTCGTTAACGAGTTCGATATACATAAATTTGTAATTTATTACGCAAACGATCATTTAAATTATATCTGAGAAAGAGATTTTCCGGTTTGATAATGACGATTATTTTCAGCAATCTTTGATGCAAAGGAACAAGATAGGCAATCAAAAATGCAATTCTGTTGTGTCATTGAATAAATTCTTTTATTTTTTTTCTACTAAAATTTCATCGAGACATATTTACTTGCTAAGACATTTCTCACCCACATAAAATCATTTATTTATACTACAACAAAACTGATTGGATTTATCAAGAAGAATGACGAAAGAAGAAAGAAAAAGAAGAAAAATAAAATCCAATTTAACTGTTTAATCTTTCAAGCATCAATCACTGAAGGTAGTTAATGATTCAACTATCAACATGTCCGATTTCCGATTGCGTGTGTGTGTTTCTATAATTTCTTCTTTTTAACTTCACTAAGATTCTCACTTAAGATCGTTTCACTGAGTCTTGACATCAAAAAGACTTCTTCGCAATGGATTTCTCTTATTACATTGCTGTCTGAATCTTCATTCTGTTTTGGTTTCTTATTTTCGTTCTTCTATGCCCTTTAACTTTAACGATTTCGAGCAGTGATAAATCTTCATTCGTTTGAAGAGAAGTAAAATTAAAAAAAAAGTCTTCATGATAAATTTGAATCAAATAAATTATGTCTATTGGCATTGACCAGTCACAAGGAGAAAGAGAACCTCGTAAATGTAAATTCAACAGCAAAGAACATCATGTGTTTAAATAATGTATCACATGTATAATGCTTACAACTATTCCTGCTGGCTATAACTAAGACAGCCATTTCTTCTACTTAATGATACTTACGACTTTTCGGTTTCAACAAAATAGAATCAACAGAAAGAAGAAATCATTTACAAAATAAAAGTATTAAAAGTCTTGTTTAGTTATTAACTGAAATGATGGAAGCATAGAAACTCAATTCATGTTGACGAAAGGAGTGAAGGGGGAAAGGATCGACGAGATGCGCTTTGACGTCACTTAAAGTCATTTGCAATGCTACATAAATATTTTTCTATCTATAAGAACAACTTGATACATCATTAAAAATATCATTTAAGATAAATCCATTAAGAGACAAAACCATGAGATGGAAAATGATGATAGCGACTATTAAAACCGATTATTAGATAACTGTTGACACAAGATCAAATTCAATCATGTCAATCATCCGTTGAGTCAAGAACCCTAAAAGCTAAAATAACAACGGCTGAATAAACTGAAGAAATCAAAAGAAATATCTTCGATTGCTTTTGTTTCTGACGTTTCTTGTTTCAGGTATTATTTGGAAGAAAAAGAAAGAAAAAGTAATTTTCATAATCATCTCAAATTATAGCAAAGCAAGTCGTAAACTTATTTTTTTTACCTTCTCATGATGAAACCTTCTCGTATTTCTGTTTCACGATATAAATAACAACTTAAGAATCTTGCCTAGGTAATAGGAGAGTCATCAATTGCGCATCAAAGGCGTTAAGTTGAGAACAAACCCATAGTGAAATCAGCTTGAAGATAATTGTTTTTCAAAAAAAAAGTAACATAAAATTATTCTTTGTGACGTTCATCACAGTTCAACTCTCACAGCATCGTTTGTCGATTGAAATATTTGTAATTTTGTTTGACGAAGATATTGATTACATGATTGGATATCGATGAAAATTGACGGCCCACTAAATGTCGATCCCAATTTGCGCGAGGTAGAAAGGTTAACTTTCAAGGTGCACCTCGTTTGGTTCGTGAGTTATTTTCTGTCGATAATTTCTAATCTCGTGCTTCATAAACTGTTATTGGTAATTTTTAGAAAGTCGCTGTTGTTTCTTTTCTCTTCCGATAATATGCTTTTTTATCGAAACTAGAGCAATATCGAGGGAACAAAATTCTCTTCTGGATCATTAAAGTCCGTTAAACAGCTGTATCATAATGATTCTCGTTTTCATTCCTTCTCGCCCCACTAAAGCAGTTTAATTTAATTTTGTTTCAATTTCCCTTTTTATAAATATACAAAACTCGATTGTCTTCTCATCCTCGATTCCTATTTCATTATCGCTTTTGTTTCGAATGGAGATATTTAGTGATTATAATAAAGGACTTCTCAGGTCTTTCTGTTGATGAAGGTTTTGTCAATTCTACTTTTGCACAGCAAAATGCTTAAACTTCGAGCTAATTACTGCACTTTTTTTTTCATGGTAAGATGTAAATGGATTTGAGCGTAGGATTCATACAGAAATTCATTAACGACTTTTATCTCTAATTGTTCCAGATTTTTATTATAATGGGAAGCAAAGATATCGAATCATGACAATGAAAAACCCAAACAATCTAAAACATATCAACTCGACAAAAACAACAAAATTCTAGTGCTCGAGGATAAATTGAGAGAATTTAATTTTCCCGTTTTGCATTCCTTCCTTCACTCGTTCAGTCGTCGTCATCTTTTTTATTATTTTCAGTACAGAATTGTTATTTCCAGCATTATGATAATAAATTTTCCATCCTTTCTTTTGTTCTCTTTTCATTTTACAGTCATAATAGGATTCCCCATTGCTTAACATAGAGAAGAAGGAAGAAGCAAGCATCTCCCTCTCGTTCTCTTGAAAGACCTTCAGGACAAATGTCGGAAAACCATTACGCTTTAACTTTTTTTTTTATTCTATTTCCTATTGTTCTGTAATGCTCTTTAATTTTCCGGCACTTTTCACAATGAAATCCCCGTCGCCCATGATATTGTAACATATTTCCAGCAATATTTATTTATGAAGAACCCCGTGAACAGAGGGGAATGCGCCAGCCAGCCAGCCAGCCAACAACAGTGAAAAATATTTTACTTTTGAATTGACTTCCCATTAAACGAACAGACATTTAGTGTGGCATATCATCATTAAAATGCCTCCTCTTCTACGCTTAGCTCTTTTTTTCTGCTGAAGGCGAAACATCATAAGCAGTAGATTTATTATTTTTATAATGAGTGAAGGAAGAATGGTTCTGAAGATGCAAGTACATCGTTTAAAAGAAATCTTTCTTTACATCATTTTGTCTGTCGATGAGTGGAGAGATTTTTGTGATAATAATATGTTGCTTGTTTCCACAATATTTATTTCTCTTGAATCTTTGGGATTGTATGCGTACTTGTGATTAAATTTTCTTTCTTTCTCTCTTTTCTATTTATGACCGTGGGGGAATCTTCAATTAGTAAATTTTGTTATATTGATGGTAAACGGAGATTTCTAGTTTTCATATTCCTTCCGTGATAATTATGGATTTGATGAAAATTATGATTATTTATTTACTTTACATATAACAGACATAAACCTATGATTATCATCAATGAGAAAGATTTATTGCGTCTTTCTTTATGAAATTAGTGAATCACTAATGAGGCTCAAAGAAAAAATTAAAAATAAAAAAAAAAACATTTCCACGAATCTTGTTATACATTTCAAGTTTTTTTCTCTGCTGTCGATAAATTGAAGGCAACAATCAATAAACACAAAACATTTAACCCATTAATACATTTTACATGGAACATTCTTATTCTGGAACATCAACATCGCCTTCTAGCTACTGTTGGACTTTTAAAAGAAACACAATAGATTCAAGCAAAAGTCAGAAGCAGCAAATATATTCATAGGAATTGAAGCTTAAGGGAACAATTTTTTAAAAACCATTTTTCATTTTTTCATTTCTATACAGAATTGAGAACTCTGAATCATACATGAAAATCATAGTCGATCGTGATACAACTTCACGCTTCGCGTTGAAAAGTCTTAGGCCAAACAATTGAACACGGTACACACGAAATGAATGAAATGATAAATGGCGGGAAGATAACTAATTATATTAATTTTATACATATTTATACTTATTTTATATCTTTGCTATGCTTCATATCTTTGCTAGTTATTTCAATAAACAGGTAAAATTGTACACGATTTCAATTGCGCTCTCGAATGACTAACAATGTTGTAAAACGATCTTTCATTAAAAAATCTTGTTCTTCCTATTCCAACAATTGTAAATTAAGGATGATCTGATGAGATAGATGAATTTTTCAAATGTAAAAACATGACAATAATTTTCCTTTCTATTCTCAATGAATATTCAGCCGCTTTAGTCGAAATTGGAATTGAAATACGCGAATAGTTATCTCATCTTCTCTTCATTTTCGGGTGTTACACGTCTCATCCATTGTTATCCATTTTATTAGATGTTTTACTCTTCCCAATAAAAAAAAAGAATTCAAATAACACAGCATTTTGCTTCTTCATCCATCTCATTTCAATATAATTAAATCGAACAAATTGTGTATTGTTGAAACGTTTTGAATTGAAACATCTTTCGCTATGAATTTTAATTGAATATTATTGGAAATAATACCGATGGAAAGTGACGGGGGGAATGAGTAGAATGAAATAGAAATAAAAGTCTACACGATCCGCTCTCTCATTTGGAGCTCGTTAATTTCTGGGCAATGAATGAAACATGGCTAGAAGTCTGTTGGGAAATATTTAACTTCATGGTTCAAATCGGTATCATGGATACCTCTCTAAACACCACTACCCAGTGTATGCTATTGCTCCAGATAATCGTGCTGCTAGAGTTGTTTCTCAAATCTATTATTAACCCCAGTGCTGTGACCATGAAAACGGTAGGTGTTTTCGAAGATTTTTCATTAAGTGTTGTATAATTTTTCTTTCCTCTGTTTATTTAATAAGTAGTTAAGAAAATTTTATTTCAAACGAAGTGTTGAAATGTGGTATTTGTTTATCGCGAAATGGTGTCACGACAATAGAAAAAAAAAACAGAAATAAAAGAAAAACACGCCGATGTTGTCACGAACGTCAATTGTGCAAAGGTCATCAGCGATGCTGTATTTCCCTCTGTTCTAAACACTTTGCTTCTTTCAAATCGATCAAATGCCATTCGCGATGCTGTAAAATATGAGCTCGACTTGAAGTCTACGAATTCATCATTCATTGACTGCGCCCAACTACGACCGCGTCCAATATGAATAATCACAATTTACAATAACTCTATAAAAGTTTGTTGAAAAGTAACACAACGCCCAATTATTCAGCTTTAAGGTTTTCTAAAGTGTCAATAGCTTAGCGAATTCAATCAATTTTTGTATTGATGCTGAGAAATATTTGAATGCGTGAAATATTAAATAATTAATTGCTCAACGATTACAAAACTTTATGATCGTTTTGGTATTTTGCTACCTAAAGCGAGAGTTAAATGAGAGTTTGACAACCTACAATATTGTGCGTAACTGAAAGATTATTTAACCATATGTAGCATGATTGAATGAAAGGGAAGTTTTCTTAAATCGTCATTTAAAATGTCGGCAAATTCCCGCCTTATAAGTCTGTCTAATTCAACTAGACGCAACAAGAGAATGTTCTGAGCAATGAACTTTCCCTAGCTGACGAAGCGTTTCGAGAGAATTCTACACGGAAATACACATTGATATGCTCACCAAAGCAAAAGAAAAGTAAGTTGAAGAATCTTTGAAATAAGAAATTAGTTTCACATTAGGACACACCGCGAAACCGAATCCATAATTATTTCAATTTTTTTCCAATTAACAGGTTCTCAAGACTCGTCAGTCGTTTACAGTGGAATCTCGTGTGAAATTTCATTCGTTGTGGCTTTAACATGGAAAGTAAATTATGTATCTAATTGAAATGAATTTTCTTGAAGTAAAAGTTTGTTGAACATTTAATATTCTCAATTTAGAGGAAAGAGAAAAGTCACCCCGAGAAAGTGTCAAAAATTATACAAAAATGGTCATTTATGTCCAATTAAATTGCCAAAGGCAGATTTCATTACACAACCTCTTGTAACCTGACACATTCATAGCCATTCATTTAATTGTTTAGTCTCATTCCAATGGCTTATTGGAAAAGAAAAGAAAAATTTCAACTGGCAAGGAATTGATTCGAGTGTTGATTTGAAAATTTGTTAAAACAATTTACGATTCGTTTTAAATTTCGCGAAAACAATTTTAGCAACCACACAGGAGAAAATGTACACAAAACAAGGCGATAATGACTTTGGCCGTGAAAAGTAAATGGCCAGGTATAATGCCTACACACCCGACTAAAGACACTTAATATTGAATAACGCTTTGGGTAAGTGGATAAATGTACACACGTTATGATCGTTTTATATTATTTCTCTTGCATTGAGCATATTTTCTTTTCTCTGTACACTTGTTAATGAAATTTCAGTACGAAGAATGCATCAACAAAGTATTTTGCCTTGACCATTTGATCATTTATTAAGTTTAAGTTTAAGAGAGACACACGAGCATAGCTGCACATGCTTTATGTGGAATTTATTTACAATTGTAAGCCGTCGAGCGGAATCGTGTGCGATTTTAATGAATTATTAGAAGTTAAACAAAGAACGATGGACTTCAGCAATAACAATTGATTGTTTTGCCTTTCCAGCCTTCAGCATTAAAAAGTCGCAATTTGCAAAGAGGTCACTGAGCATTATAGTGAAATTCTACTTCCAAATAAATGCTCAACTTCAATCATAAATCGTGAAATGCTTTTAACCTCATAACACTTAATTATAAATATTATTCCTTACTGTTTTGATCATTTTTAGGGTCATATTGGTCGATTTTATCTACCATTTGCAGTTGACCATAAACTCTAATATTTATATCCATAATTTACTTCCTGGGTCGTTTTGTTATGCAACCCTCGAAAATTTCACATGTAAACAAAAGTTTTATTCCCTTAAAATTAAGGTTTACCAAATTGAGAGAAGTCAAGCGCATGAAATTTTGTAAAACTACGTGAAAAGCATTTTCACCGCGGGTGACAAAAATTTCTTCCACTAATTAATTTAGTTCAATTTTTGGTTCCCATCCAACAGAATTTATTGTGAAACATTTCCAAGTTGGAATAGAAAATTTGAACTGCATAAGAATCAAACAATACATAATGACTTTGACCGCAAGAATGGATAAAAAAAGTAATCTGTATCAACACAAGTTAAAGTTTAACAGTAGTTTAACTCAAGAAATAACTCTGAAATGATATAAAATTATAAAACAGTTGCTTTCAGTCTCACAAGTTACAAGCAATAATAAGCAGCATAAATATCTCAAAGCATACGTATCATGTTTTCTCATTTCAAATTATAAAAAATAAAATTCTTAAGACTTTGAATAAAGATCGTTTATTTCCTTTACCTTCTTGAAATGTTTCATAACATTTGGTTAAGAGTAAATGGATCAAAACATTATTTTTTATTTTCGAAATTAATTGGAAATTCGCGTGAGCTTTGAAACATACAAACAAAATAAATTCAACACATTATTATAATCGCACTTTAAGTCCGCGATAATTTATCAAGTAAAACATTATATGAATTTTAAACGCAAGATATGTTGAAAATATTCCTTAAGAAGTTCTCATTTCTTATACAAATACATTCATTTGTGTTGTTATTTGTGCCGTTCCTGCAAAAAATTTAAATGCAAGTGTGAACTTGAGAATGAGCAAATTAATAAAACATTAATTTCATTCAATCTCCCTTTTGCTTTATTATTATTTCAGCTTAAGTGACTCTTTCGTTGGTAATTTTTTCATCTCTTCTTGCCGTTTTTTTGTAAGTTGCGTGCATGTCAGTGATTCACATTTATGACTAAATGTTAAAGCATTGAAAGTGCTTAACGCAAGAACAGTTCAATTGAATACGAAGTCATGGATGTAGATGTGGCTGATCTATATCAACTTGATCCAAATAGTCATGTGTATGTATAGCATAAAGATGAAACATAATCTACCTAGCATTTCTATGATTTCACTGAATGAGTCTTAATCACTTCTCCTTGGATTGCTTCAACAAGCTTCCTCTAGTTTATGTTGCATAAGAAAAGTTACGACTTACGACAGTCATCTTTCACATTCATTTTCTCCCCTCAAGTGCGACTTTCATTATATCGTCGTTTCATATAAAAGAAAATTAAAATGCTGACGGAAAAAAGAAATAAACAAATAGCATTCTGCTCGTAAAAGTCTAAAATTCTTTTTCTAAATATTTCTTTGGCCGCCATTCATCAAAAGGCATTTAATAAAAGAAGACACACATGGAAATTTTTAAGGTTTCATCGTCGTTAAAGGCAGAATACGAATGAATGTCAAGAGAATTTGTCATAATTGTTTTATATTAGACAGAATATCAGAAGATCTCTCATTTCACCTCGTCAGTTTTTAGACGTCGCTTGTTTGATTACCGACGAAATTCTAGAACCGCATAGCTTCGAGGCATATCACCAGCCCTTAACATAAGCGAATGCAATAAATTATGATGATTTTCTCGTGGTTCCCTCTTCCTCTCTCTCTAAATTGAAATTAAATGTTGCGGACGGTGAGCACTAATGAGGATCATAATTACAAAAAGAAATGAGAAAGCGAAGCGTTTCCATCGACAGCCTTTTTGACGTCGGACTTGTGAGCTTTTACTCTTCTTGCCAATATCTGCACCTGCCCTGGTTGAAAAATGAAACAAAAACAAGAATTTTGTTACAATATATTTATGTATGTATGTACAATAGAATGCCCGATATCATTTATCTGTTGTTCTTCTCTCTGCTGCTATTCATTTCATCTGTCCATTCGTTACATACGGACATAAGTTTTAACAAATTTAATGCGATAGGAAATGAACATAAAAAGTTTTTTATGATTTTTCTGTCTTGGAGAATTTGTTAAACGCTCAAAACAAGATAGAATGAACTTTTAAGGTTTAAATTTTTTATTTCTTTCATTTTTTGGTGAAATAAATGCCGCTGAGGGCTCAAATAACATACAGGATCCTTATTAAATGAAATATCCAATTAGCCAAAGGTTGAACAAACAAAGAAGAAGAAATAGTAAAAACAGAAATTATTGCCGTCTTGAATAGTTTCTCGTGAAGCGTTGCAGTTGATGTGGGTTCGACAAAATACTTTTCTTTTGAGACGAATAAATTAGCTTTTAGATGAAGTGGAAAGAGTTTCTTTCTGATTCTTCTTCCTACTTTTCAACACATTCTCTAAGCTGATCAGCAAAGAGCAATCTTGTGAACCGCGAAATATTTAATCTGTTTTACATTGGTATTAGATTTATTTTGTTGGAACTGATCCGAAAAAGGTTCCGGGGTAAGCCTCATGAGAATAAAAAGGGAACATAGCAGAAACCAATTATTTGCTTCTCTTCCCAACAATTTCCTTCGAGTCTTTTTATTCTTTTTTCTTTTATATTTTGCAAAAAAAGAGGCTCAAGTTAATTGTTTTCTCCTTTTCAATCTTAACACAATTGGGCAAAGTTGGGAACCGCAATTTTTAAAACAAACATTTCTTTGCCTGATCAATGTTTACTTTTTACCTTCGTCTCCTTTCCTTACCTTCTTGTTCATTGGCGTTGCCCAAAAATGGCTCCATAAAAATACTCGGGATCGTGTTTTTCAAATATTTTTATATTTCACGTTATTCGGGAGTTTTTTTTTACTTTCTTACTTCTTCTCCACTCTTGAATATTTTCTGCCGTGATATTTCTTTCAACTCTCGTGAAATTCTTTCATAGCGGCATTTTTGTTTGCTTTTGACGATCACTTAAAATCTCGTTTCGTTCTAGAAATTCTCTTTGAATCCAAAGAAATTCGCGCATTGCATGCACATTCTTAATAAAAGAATAAATTTCATTCTTGTGAACATGATTGAATGAAAGACGAAACATATTTATGTGCATGTGCAAGTGATGCACTTCACTAAATTCTAGTTTTCAGTCTGCTTCAATGGCAGCGACAACAATATCAATTTATCAAAAGGGACCGAAACAAAAACTTCATTAACTTTATTAAAAAAACCATCCCAACACCAACTGACACAATTCACTCCTCAAATTACAATGAAAACATTTTTTTTTGTCGATTTCAATAATCCATCGTATCTGAAGCAAAATATGTGCAATTGTTATTTATCATTTATTGTTATATTTTTATTTTGTCGAAGCCTTTGAACGAACCTTCTTTCTTCTCCCCCTATTGTGTTATTGGCAATATTGCAATTGAAAATGCTTAAAAAATCTCTTTCTCCGCTGTTTAATAACATTTTTAGTCGTGGCGTGGCACGTTAGGAGACATATAGAGAGTGAGTGAGAAAATGAAAGAATCTTCCGTAACAACACAATAATAAAAATTTGTCATAATATTTTTACTTTATGGGCAACCCATCTTAACATTTATTGCAGCTGGAGAATTATTGCGATGTGTGTTCTCGAACGAAAGAAGTCAACAATAATGGGATCTTTTGATAATGCGGGCACCAACTGCAGCAAATCACAATAAGCATTTCGTTCCTTTATGAGAATAATATTGTAACAATAAATGGCTTTATAAAAAGAAACGGAAAGAGCATGCAAAACATTGTCCACAATCTTGTGTGTAAATTCATAAACATCTTCAGGTATTTTGATGTTTTGAAAGATGTTCTTTTGACTTTTCAAAGAAGGTCTTTGAATGACTTTCAAAAAAAAGAAGAAAAATGTTTTGTGTATCTTAAATCGCTCTTAAATCATCCGGTGGTGCGTTTCCAAATGCTTTTCTCATGAAACCATTTGACGTTTTTGTTGCTTGTAACAAACATAAAAGGGATGTTTTAGAATAGATGAAAAATGGTTGAAAACCTCAGGACACACAAATCTACGCCCACCCTCAAATTTGTGGCTAAACGATTTCTCTTCGCTGTTATGATTGTTTGTCTTTGATCGGCAATTTCAAGGAAATTCATTCTTCACCATGCAGTGACACAAAGGAGTAATATTTCATCATTTATATGAGCTTAGAGCTCATAAAGCGCAATAAATGTTTGTCCTCTGATGATAATTGCTTAAAAGGATTTCTTTTCCTCGACTATTCTTCATCACTTTCGTTCGGAATGGACTCTAAGAGATTATTTATCATTAGCACGAACCACAATTCAGATTCATAAATAGTCATAAAAATATTTTAAACTGCCTACTTGAGATGAAAAATAATCAGGAGCAATAACAATAAAAGTAGCATTAAACTGCAATGCTGTTGAAAATTGCCTTCTATTCAATTTCACGAGCTTCACTTCGCACTTTTCCCTCGTTTTCAGCTCGTTTTGTGATATTCAATTTGTTTCATATTTCTCTACTATTGAGATCGGCCTTATCAAGCAAAATCGTATTCACATTCCTTTCAGCTGTTTATCTTTATGAACTGAATAGTTGGCTACTTTAACTGACTCTGTCTGGACTTCATTCTTTCAATTCACATTCTTTTTTTCTTTCACTTACAAACATTTCTGCACACACATATGCTCTTCATGACGAGACGAACGAGTGTTTATCATTAATCATACGCTTTCAAGGAACATCTTCGAGAAAAGCACGTGAGGTTGTTAAAGCATTGTAAGTTGTAAGAAGCGCTCTAATTAAAGACAGAATTTTCTTCGGAACCATGATAGTCTGGTATTAGTAAGAATCACTTTCAAGATGTTTCCCAAAGAAATAATCTTTCGCTCGCAATTATGTTTCTCCCTACCTGCAACGATTAGGAAAGAAGACATAAAGAATATAAAAAATGTAAAATTTTGTTTGTTTTAACTTAACATTTTCTTCTATAGTCGTTTTATAAAGTTGAATTTATGGTTTTATGACTGATTTATTTATAACATTCATTATTAAACACAAAAGATGGAGCATAAGAGAAGGTTTAGAACATTTTTGTTTTGTTTCTTTTTTTAATTTGTTTATTCTATTTTAATCTAATTTGAAATTTAGATTAACACTTAATTCAAACCGACTTGATCATCTAAATCGAGTTACAAATTTTTGTTTCTTTCTTTCGATTATCAAGATGAGAATTTACCTTCAAGAGTCGTGTCGTTCTCTTCACAACAACTTCTTTTGCTTAAGCCGTAAATAAATCATTCAGGTGAGCAATAAACGAAGCTACCGAATAAAATTCCAAATCAAGTTGATATTTATATCTTTTTTGCTTACGAATAAAATGTCACACAAGCGCGATTTGAAGGTCAGACAATCGCGATCAATGATACATGCCGCTGCTAACAGCAAAACTATCTAATTAAACAACCGTAACAAATCTGCATCAACTGATGAAAGTTTGATTGCCGAATCGTCTATAAATGTCCATCATGTAACATTCTCGTCCATCACGGGAGAAGAAATAAAATAAAACAAGACAAAGTTATTAGTAATAAATATCTACAACAAAAATAACCATAAATTGATAAAGTAAATGAAATTGATTTAAAGAAAAACATTAAAATCTTTTATGACTTTTCTCTTCTTTGATTCATCCACACAAAGCTCTCCAGCGGAATCAAATTATTCAAATTATGTTTATTGATTTTTATTCATTTCGTTTTTTTTTGACATTTTTAATGGAGGTAAACAAACGTTAGAGCGTAGAATCAGATTTGTGACTGATGCGACTAGTGGATTTTTAATTTTCTAACACTAAGTCCATATATGAAGGTAAGAAAATTAAATACAAACTGAAATTATGATTGTTCGTTCATGTTTTTGATGAAACGTCAATGTTATGATCTAAGCTTAAGACATTACCAATTAAACTTTATCAGGTGACATAAGCCATTGACGACCTCAAATCGAAATCTTTTTCTTCTCTTCTTTTCCCGATAGTTTTAATGAAGAAAATACGACATCGTGAATATGAAATATTTTATATTTTTCGAAATAAAGCTTTTATTTTTATACCTAATAATATTATTAGACAAGATGTTGAAACCTAAGCTTTATTGATGATTTTGAATGAATTTCTAATATTTCTCTTTTCATGTCCAATCTGCGAGGTGTTTTATTTATTTCTTCACCAATTTTTTCTGCATGACACTTTTCGTTTTCTTTTTCACAGTTCATCGCGCTAAGTAGAAAGCTCCAAACGTTTATTTATTTCATTTATATTCATAAGCGTTAAAAATGTGCGAGCAATTTTTCTTTACATAGTGTAAGAATGAAAATTTTCGGAATATTCGTCTACCGACGGTGTCTTTTATTCCTTACTTTTTGCTTAAAACTTGTGCATTCTTATTTTCAACAAAAAATATCTTTCATTTATGAGAATTCATGTGCATATTTTTTCATCCTCATAAATTTTTCCCGTGGTGTATCGCAAGCCACCAGTAGAACGAAGAAGATACCAAGAACTCTCGAAACAAGCTCCTTCTTCTTTAATATTGAATATCAAGGTTTAAAAAATAAAAATAAAAAAGAATGTTTCAGTATAAGGAGAGGGAAAAACATGTTGAAAATATTATAACAAGATGGTTAAACAATTTAATAATTTTTTTAATGGATTAAAAATCTTGCAGTTGTGTTTATTCCATAGTTCCATACAGTAATGTATGAGGGAGTAGAAGCTTTGCTTTAAGGTAAATATTTAAGTATGAATTTGATTTAATAAATTCAACATGCAATGAAGAAAGTTTATTTGTGTAATGTATGCTATTATAATGAATACATAAGTGAATCAGAGTTCTTAGGCATTTCATAAGCAAGAGGCAGTCATGAATGAGTTAACTAAGGAAAGTCTATATCCATTACATGAACTACATATTTACTTCTCTAAATGATCTTAATGGAAAGTGGTTAAAACAGAAATTTTGATTACAATCAAATTCAGAAAATTTATTCTCTAAATCCATTTAATATTTTTTTCTATTCATAATCTGGCGTGACCAACAAGCTAAACTGAGTTTCTTACACTCCATTTCCTTATTTTCTTCAAATCACGTCTTGTTTCAATTGAAACCGGAGGCGCTAACGAATGAAAGAATTCCTCACAATCTTTGCTTTCTTTTCTTGCAGCCAAATTTTTTATATTAATGTCGGTACCAAACATCAGACGTGCTTTTTTAATAATAATTATAGTCTAATACGTTGAACGTTCAAATTTCTCCATTTTCAGGATCGATCGATTGATAGATAAAATATTTCATGACAGACGATAAATGAACATTCATGCGTTTGCATTTATCAATATTAAACTTAGTTTAAGTTCACGCAATGTTTTATGTTGAATTATTCTCTCATGAGGGTAGTGAAGGGTTTTAATTTCACATTTATGTTGTACATTTAGAAATTTAATAACACAAAAGAAATTTTGTAAAATTGACCACTTTTCGTTTTCAAAACCTAGTTTAAAATAGTTTTTATCTGGGAAAAGAAAAATTTTGAAATGTTTGTGTTTACAGTCAGCCTCGTAGGACGTCTGTAAATATGCATAATGAAACTACTTCTTGCAAATTCTGTTGTTAAATGCAATTTAAATTCAGGTATTTTTTCTCTTAAGTTTCTAGAGGAAGAAGCGAAGAACTCGAATGCATGCTAAAAGAGCTTGAAAACTTAAATACAATTGTATCTTTTTTAAAAGCAACAAACATGAAATAAATTTGAATACATTTAAAACGCAAAGACATTCTGCTACTCTTTTTCCTTGCTTTGCTTCGCAAACAACGGATATGTTCACTGAAGAGTGTTTCTTCAATCTAGTTGAAACGTTTTTAAATGAAATGTTTCATTTAATTTGAACCTACTTTTTTTTCCTCAAAATGCTTCATAATATTTTTATACTATTTAGAGGATAAAAAATTAGAATTTCAAATTTTATTCAAAAATAAAGGTTTGATCGTTTTTCTTTATCTTTGTATTATTTTTTTGTTATGTTCACGAAAAACATAAAATTTCATCTGAATTATGCTACGAGACGAAAAAGAAATTGATACGAAACACAACATCAAAGTCTTTCTTTTCTTTCTTTGGTGACAATTTCTCATTAACGTGTTGAATTGAAGCGAGAATAAAAATAAAACAATCAATTGAAAAAAGAAGAAGAAATTAAAAGACTCCAACATGATCCAAAGCGAGAAACCTTTGAGAAGATATTATGTACGTTAGATTAAATGGAAAAAATAGCTTCAACGTGCGGATCAGCTACAAGGCACATTAGACACATCTCAGCGATTCTAGCACATCATTTTAGACTAGCGTTATAACTTTCGTCTGTCTCTTCTATCGTTGTCGTAGTTTGAGCTTGTAACCTAATACTTTTTTTGACAATATCCCACATTAACGATGAAAACGTTTTCTTAATTACAAATTCGTAGTGAAGACAAAAAAAAAGACTCTTTCTGGTTGAAGTGAAATGTGTTAAGCCATTCGTTTTAAAGATTTATAATATTAACTTTTGGAGGAAAAAAACTGAAACTTGACACTAAAACTATGTTTGAAACATCAAATCTCTGTGAAAAATTTAAGCAAATATTGAATATGAATTTGCAAAAGTTTACATCTCTCTGATTTGTTAGCGATCTTTCTTAAAAAATCTGTGTATTTATTTAATAAGAATTTATGATGAACACATGTGAATGAATATCTATTTATTTAATGGATTGAAATTGACGAATAAATGTATGATTTTCCTGACTTCATTGTGATTTCCTATCAATCAAATATTATCGCCTGTGGAAATAATTTAAAGATCTTTCTGAGCAAATACGTGATTACTGACGAGAATAATCATATTGATAGTGAAGATAATCAAACATATCCACTTATTCTTTAAATTGTTCTCTCGTAGCTTGTGCACATTAATGACATGACAACATTGTGTTGATATTTTTCTCTTACATTAAAAAAATTATTGCACGATAAAAAAGCTGTCCGCGACCAAGCAAGGACTGCAAAAACTACATGAAACTATGTTGTTTCTCTCGTGATTTTACCTGTTTCTTACTTCTTTTTTTCTTATTCAAGTTATCTGTTGCAACAGAAAAAATTCTAGTTAAGAGAAAAGTTAGATGCTCAAAGAAGAGAAAATATCTCAGGTAAAGAATTATTATAGGAGCAATTATATCATTCTCTTTAACAACAAACGTTATGCTTCTTCTTGATTTCCTTCATCAGCACAACTTGGGAGAAGAAAAAAATGTATCGAAAAAGAAACAGCATAATTCAATGAGCTGTAGAGCAGATTTAAGACAGAAACATTCTCAAGAGAAAACCAAGAAAGAAAAACTGGTTTTGTTGTTATAAAAACCAGAAAGAAGGTAAAAACATAACCACATCAACAAGAATGAAAATAAGAAGAAACAAAAATCAGAAACAATGATTTTTTACTTCTTTTTTGATCGCATGATTTCCCTTGATGTCACTTGCAACATTCAATGTTTTGATGTTTTCTGAGAGAATATTCGGAGAGCGATCGCAATGTTTTATGTGTTTCATGTGGTTGAGCGAGTGAGAAAGACAGATTAATGTTGCGATCTGCAATGTTTTTCTATCGGTGGTCTCTCTGAGTGTTCAGTGTTCGAGTTGATCTTGTTGGAAAAAGACGCGGAAAAATCTACTCATGATTCGCGAGTCTCAGTTTTTTACTGATCAAACAAATATTTTACAAAAAAAATAATAAAAAGAAAATACCCTTAAATTTATATATTTAAGTGAATGATAAACTTATCGCGATTATTTGTTAGAATTTGGATGCTGATGAAGTAAGAACTCTTCGTATACAAAGACGTCCCGACGGAACGGATAACATTTTAACGGAATTTTTTATTCCATCATTTCTGAAAGAAAGTGAATAAAAAAAGAAAATGCAAGAAAAATAATGCAAAAAATATTACATAAATAAAACCATAGTGGCAATGATCAAAGAGAAATCTTATGGAAGAAAAACTTGAAAAATTAAAGCATAGAAAAATTAATTTGAAGGAGACAACCAGCAAAGAAAAAAGTGAATGTTTTTGTTACAAAAAGAAAGATTGAAAAAATAAAGATTTGAAAAAAAGTTAATCAATCCTACAAAAGAAAAAATAAAGAAAATTCATAAAAGTGTTCTTTTAAGAAGTGAAACCGAAAAGGAAGAATCTAAAGAAAATAATAAAAACGCAATCAACTCACATATTTAAGAATAATACTCAGTTTTATCGACAAAAGTGTCAAACAATAAATTGGATTATCACTGACATTAAGATAGCCAACCGCCAGCCTTAAACGACACACACAAAGCAGGCTACAATTTTTGTTATTGATATTTAATAGACTCAGAAAAATTACTCAACAAAGGGAGGCTAAAATCTTAATCCTTAAGAAAGTAACCTTCATCAATATTGGAGAATAAAAAGCCGACGAAAAATAACTTTTATCAAAGTTGTGTGAGTGAAACGGTCTTTAAAATAAAAAAAGGTGAAGAAGACAAGAAACAAGAAACTTTTAAACAAGAAAAAAATGTAAATCGGATGATTGTTAATCAACGCTGATTTTTTCTTTCTCCATCGACAAAAAAAATAATAAAATAACATAAAAAGTTTTCATCGTGTTTCGCCTTTGAGAAGAGTTGAAAAAAAAACTAAACAACATCCAAAGAGCGCAAAACGAAGATGGATGAATAAAACTGTGCAAATAAGGCATTTATAGCACAACACATTTCTCTTCAACCGAAACAGCGAAAGCAAATGACCGCAAGAATGCTTTAAAATTTTGAATTTTATTGGATCTTTAAGTGGAAAAAAGTTTACTATAAAATAAGAAGTCAACGAAACCATGAAACACAAATGCACTGTGATGACGTCATTGCTCGTTTTCCTCACTGTCATCGCTCATCTTGCGATATGCGCAACATCAGAGCTGAGCGACACGTTTTCTGAGTGCAATTATGAGACGTTGGATGAATCGCGACTGCTGGCGATGTCAGATAGACAACAAAACATTAGCAACACTAAATTACTGTCATGTACATTTAAGAAATTACCAAAAACTTTCCCTTTGTCATCTGCCAAGAGCTTAGAGAATCTTAAAATTAAATGTGATAAAATTTTCTTTTACGACACGAGCAAGTCGAATTTCTTTGATAATTTTGAGAATTTAAAGAATTTGTTTATTGAGAATTGTGATGGAAATTTTCTTAGAAACTTTGGCTCATTGAAATCGCTCAATGGTTTAACGATAAGAAATTACAAAGCTTTTTGGGGTCGTTTCGAAGATATTATGGACGATACTGGATCGTCAAATGATTACGAACCGTTTGAGAATCTCTCGAATATAAAAAGTCTCGATATCAGTGCAAACTCAATTCAAGAACTTCATCGGAATTTCTTTTGTGACTTTCACAAATTGAGTTTCCTTAATTTATCGTCAAATCAAATTTACAACTTGACAAATTTTCAATTCTCTTCGTCTCGTCTCTCACCGTTGCCCATAAAAAATTGCGTATTTTCAATGTCATATTTGATACTTACAGGCAATCAACTCAATTTCCTTCCATTTTCATTCTTCTCCAACTTCGTTAATCTCAAAGTTCTCCGTCTCAATCGAAATTCCATTTCATTCATTGAGAATTTCGTGTTTTCCAATCTCAAGCAATTGGACATGCTGGATTTGAGTGAGAATAAAATTCAAAATATTCAACCTGAATTATTTGACAATTTGCAGAATCTCCGAACACTTAATTTGGAGAAAAATTCCATGAAAATTCTGCCACCCGAAATTCTTACCAATCTTAAAAAGCTTGAGCTGTTAAATTTGTCGTCCAATTTCCTTTCATCCAATTGGATTAATTATATGACATTCAAGAACCTTTTCAATTTACGTCTGTTGGATCTTGGCTACAATAAAATTACATCGCTAGAAAATTCAATTTTCTCTGATCTTAACGCGCTTGAAGTTCTGGATTTGAAGAATAATTTGATTGAAAATATTGCATTGGATACGTTCGCGAACCTCACAAGTTTAACATCGCTCGTTCTTTCACATAACTTCATTAAGAATGTTAATTTTTCTCTCAATTCCCTCGTGAGTTTGAATGTTCTTTCATTGGATTTCAACGAAATTTATTCAGTCGAAAAGCACCTGGTAGCCAATTCAATGAAGTTAGTGGACCTTCACTTAAACAATAATAAATTTTTCCGCGTGCCTAACTTTGTCGAAAATTTTCAATTCTTGAAATTCCTCGATCTTGGTGAAAATTTTATTAAGAATCTTTCAGACCTTCAACAATTCCCAAACCTCAAATATTTGTATGGGTTAAGATTGACGGAGAATCAAATTGAAAGTTTAGAAAGAGATCATTTTATGCATCTAAAGAACCTGCAGATTGTTAATTTATCAAAGAATCGCATCCGACAAATTGATCGAGAAACATTTGCGGCAAATGATTTTCTTCAAGCAATTCGTCTCGATGGAAATTCCATTAAAAATATTGATTACATGTTTGAGAATTTAACTCAGTTAGTTTTCTTGAACATTTCAGAGAATCTTCTCGAAGTCTTTGATTATGAAAACTTCCCTAAAAATCTCCAATTTCTTGATATTTCCAAAAATCAAATCAATGTCATCAAAAACCCGAACGAAATCTCACAAAATCTCAAGACACTCAATCTTAACTACAATCATTTAACGGAGATTTCAGCCTTTGTGCTGCCGCGCAATCTCGAAGATCTTTATCTTCAACGGAATCTTATTGAAAAGATTTCTCCGTATACATTCCTTAAAAAGCCCCTTCTCAAGACTGTCGATCTGAAGTTCAACAAGATTTCACATATCAGCGAAAACTCTTTGAGAATTTCAACGACAAAGAATGACGAGAAACTGCCTGAATTCCATCTTGCAGGAAATCCACTCGTCTGTGACTGTCACTTAAAGTGGATGTGGCAAGATAATGGAAATCATGGTGGCGTCCAGTCAAAGACGCGTCATTTTGATGTTGACAATCCAGAACATTTTCCTTATCTTTTAGAAGAAGAAGCTCATTCCGAAGATTCATCACGCAATTACCCTTCATATGCTGCTCAAAAAATGGACGAATTCGATAACAATTATCCGCCAATGAACACCGGAAATTATGTTGATAATTATCCATCCGGAAAGGTTCATCATCAGAATGCAAATGGCGTACGAACACAACCGAAAATCATTGACTTCGATCAAATGACATGTTCGTTTTCAAACAACCCCGAAAAAATTCCCATTCGACGTCTCAACCCTAACTTATTCCTTTGCAAGTACAACAATATGTGCACGAAAGGCTGTCAATGTTGTGAGAACTTTTCATGTGATTGTCAACAAAAATGTCCTGACAAATGTAATTGTTATCATAATACTAACTGGGATATAAATTTTGTCAATTGCTCGGCAGCCAATTATTCAAAGTCATTGCCTAACTCCATTCCAATGGAAGCGACTCATCTCCATCTTGATGGCAATAATTTTGAATCAATTAAAGACTTTGCATTCATTGGCCGACGATCACTAAGAATTCTTTATTTAAATCGTTCTCATATCCAGCAGCTGACGAATCGAACGTTTTTCGGATTGAAGAATTTGGAGCTGTTGAGTTTAAAACATAATGAATTGCAACATTTGAATGGCGACGAGTTCAACGAGTTGGAGAGTCTAAAATATCTTTTTCTTCAAAGCAACCGTCTAAAGTTTATCGATCGTAAAACTTTTGTCCAATTAAAACAACTTCAAGTATTGAAATTGAATGGCAATGTTTTAACGACATTTGATTTGACGTTCCTACCACAAAATGTGATTCAAGTAGACATTAGTGAAAACGTACTCGAGTGTGACTGCGAGTTGATAAAAAACTTGAAGGTTCACAATGCGATTCAGCATCGTAACATACTTAAATGTCATCCAAATCAGACACGCGGTGAATATTTCAATATCATGAACGAGACGAATTTTTGTAGCGAGAAGCTTGCGCTTTCAAATATGTTTTTCTTCGAGAAGAATCTTCCAATATTCTTGATAGTTTTCCTATCGTGCTTATTCTTCTTGATTATCATTTTTGTCTTCCATCAACGAATCATGTTCTGTTGTTATAAGAAGTTTAATTTACGCTTTTGCAAGAAGCGAAACGACAAGAACAAATTCTTTGATGGATTTTTAATATTCAGCAAGAAAGACGAGAATTTCCTCATTGATGATTTCCTTAAGCATTTCGAGACGACTGAAGGAAATTTCTACAAATTCTTTCTTTTCTTCCATGACTTCTCCATCTTCAACGAGCAAATATTGAAGAATTGCGAGAACTCACAGAAAATTGTTCTCTTCCTATCGGAAAACTTTTTAAAGAATGAGTGGAGAAAAATTGAATTTAAGAAAATATTTTACGAGATTCTCAAAACAAAGAAGCGAAAGAAGTTGATAATTGTTTTCTTAGATAATTTCGATAATAAAAATTTCGACCCAGAATTAAAGTTAATTCTCAAAACAAACTTCATTCTTCGATGGAGTGAGAAACTGTTCTGGGAGAAATTTAAATTCTTTTTGCCAAGCTTAAGTCGTAATGCTCAATTACAACACCAACCACAAGCGGCACCGCGTGACCCAGAAAACTTCTGTCAAAATTTCCATCTCAACAATTTGCACAATAACCAAAATCAGCAGCGAAATCTCACATCGATACACATTTAGCGATAAGCTTTAACAAGAGCTAGTAGATGACGAGGTACACTGCACTGTAAAGCAGAAAAAAGAGTTATTCAAGGTGACTAAAATGTAAAAAAAATGTAAAATGTGAATAATATTTGTTACTACCTAGCAATTCGAGTCACAGTGTGAGCTTGTGGCTTTGAATTTTACACAATGTTTTCTATTACAATAAGCAAAACGCATTTACGCTGTCAAAACTGATTAGTTATTAATTAAAAGATATCTGTAAATATATTATTAATTTAATCCTTACGATTTAAAGAAATGAAGTTATGTAAGTAAATCACGAATGTCATTCTATCAATTAAAATTGGTTTATTTGTTGTGAAATGTGAATGAAAAAAAGTTTTTTTTCTTTTACTTTGTGGGCTTAGCGCAATGTGGTTTAGAGTAGAGTGGCGAGTGTGCGAAATCAATAAATGAAATGAATTAATTTAAAACGGTTATGAATTAAAATCTTTTATTTCCTTTCATTCCCAATGCATAAAATATCTTTACAGAAACCGCTTTTCATTATGTAATGTTTCATATACATATTTATCGATCACATAGCAGGTTTAACATATTTATGTTCGATAAGATGAGAAAGAGAAATGAATTACTGCGGCTAAGGTTATAATCAAGTATCATTTCATACCTCTTTGATTTTTATCAAGATAAACTTCTAAGAAACAGTTTGCTTTATCTCAATATCCCCTTACGCCTTTCATATTCAATAAAATCTTTGTGGAGGATGATAAAGAGAAGAAAACCAACCATGGATAATTTTTCAAGTGATTCAAATAAATAATAAAATTATTTATTGAATGAAAAAATATTTCAATAAATTCTTCCAATCTAATGAACCTGAAGAACTTCTTTTCAGCATTCCGGCATCGACCGTACTAATTTTTTAATTATTTTTCAATAAAATCCCTTTGAATGAATTTTTATTATTATTAGAAAGAAGAAAACAGACTTTTGTGTCAGATTCAATCGAGATGATGATGATGAAAAGATTCTTCATCTTTGTAGTAAATAATCAAAGCATCTTTGATCTGAGATCCCAATAGAGCAACCAACACAAAAAGTAGCGTAAAATTGATTTTCTTACTCGACTTTTCAATAAACAATGAGAGTGCTTAATGTTCCTCTCGAATCGATCAAGAAGCTTTCGTTTGTTAGTCAGATATCTAGACGTTTAATGAACATTAAAGCGAAGCCCGATCATGATTTTCTTTTTCTTTTTTTTCCGTAAATCTTCAGCAGAAATATCTGAAACAGCAACAAGAAGAAAAATATTTAGCACGGGAAATCAATCATCAGTACAATCGAGTAATTAAGAACAAATCAATGTTCATAAAACTGTATCAAAAGTACAATGATTTTCGTGTAACTACCTAGCAAAATGAACATTCTTCTCATGTACGAAGAAAGTTTGTACTCAGTCAATGAAATGTCTGACAATAAATAGATATTCACGTTCAGAAACAAACATCAATGTTTCTTTTTATTTCTCTTTCACCGACATTTCTCCGTCTTTCTTATTTTCACCCATTCTGCTCTTTTCATCATCAACACTCTTTTACTTTATTCAATTAACCATTAGATGAGATGGTTTGAAGCTTTCAATTTGAATTCGATCAAGCCACCTAAAGGTGGAATGATGAAGGCAAAAAAATCAATTAAACAAAATTAAAAATCAGAGTATGGAAGGAACGAGTGGAACGGCAAACAATTAAAGCGTAGAAAAACTAATTCAATAAGAGATTTCTTTCTCAGATGGTGACGTGCTACCTAGAGACGAAGTTTTCTTTTCTCTTTCTCTAACAACATAAATCGAGTTGAAACTTACCTGATCAAATGATGCTTGCTTGCACACTATTCACCTCCCAACTGATCCGTTTGTAATTAGAGAATAACTTTCAATTATGCGCGCTACCACAGCTGATGGATTTTTACCCGAAATCAAATCATTTTTAATTAAGTTAGCAAAGCTTTTGAGAGTTGTTGAAATCAACAAAAACCTAATTAAGAATTGAAACCAGGAAAGCGATTATGAAAATGCTTAAGAAATCCCATTAAGACATTTTTTCTGCCATAATGTGATACTAATGTTTAAGAAGGAAAACAAGATTGAATTTAACAAAAAATAAATCAAATCTAATGCCACACAAATACGATGATTGGGTATTATTTAGGGTGCAATTAAATCAAAGGAAAAGAAGAAAAAAAAGAGCTATGGCGACAATGAATCAATGAATTTAGACAGAAGGCTGCGTCATGCAGCTGATACTTGTTCACTCCTCAAATTTCCCCGCGATAAATAAAAACTATCAATAAAAAAGCTGAAATATAAATTCTTCTTTTCAGCCATTTCTTTTCTTTCAAATAAATACGTAATATTTGTACGCGCCCATAAAACTGAATGATAAATTATTACAAAACACAATTAGAAGAAATATTCAGCTAAATTTGCCGAAACTGTAAATAATTGATTAAGTCACAACAGCAAAATAAAAAAAATATGAAATCGTCTCTCATGATTTTGCTCGTAATTATTTTTTTTCTTTAAAAATTTTTTAGTAGAGAAAAAAATTAAATTACAGATTATTTGTTGCAAGAAAAATTGCCTCATAAATTAAGCAAATAAAGAACTTGTTGTAAGGAAAAAACAACAACAAATCAAATCAAAACTCATGCATCACAACTGAACATTTAACAATTTTAAAAAGGGAAAAAGAAACTTTTAATTTCATTAAAAATAATGTAAATATATTGTAGAAGTTTATAAATAAAAGAAAGAAAGTCTTGTTACACCAAGAAGGTGAGAAAATAATTTAATTAAATTTATTATAGATATTTGCGTGTTTAGTAAGTAAATAAAAGAAAATAACAGTCAGGAGATTCTCATTCTTGTTTCTCCATTTCAAGTTGACAATGTCTATTGTAGCTAAAAAATGAGAAAATTAAATTAAATAATGTCAAGTTTTGCATCATGCTGTAAACATTTTTAAACGTGTTCTTGCGCAAAAAGAACATAAAAATGAATCGTGGAGAGAAGACCACACAATAAAAAAAGAAGAAAAATTATGAAAATATGCTTTTCTTTAGACAATTGAAATTAACTTTGTTTCCGTCAATTAATTTTTTATTTTTACAGCCGTTTACTTCGTTAATGATCAACATTTTAAGGAATTATGGAAAACAAAAAGGTTCATAAGATGTTTTGGGAAAATATGTTTTTAAACATCGTCAAAAGTTACAATTTCAGCATTTTGTACTCCTCCAGATATGAAGTTCAATTCAACATAACATTACAGAAGAATTTAACTGAACAACATTTTATGGTTCACTTGATAAGTATGTTGGTGTCTTTGCAATTTCATTATATCTATGAGGCAAGAACCGATTTTCAAATTATTTTATAGGCAAAGGTGTCGAGATCATCTCACTCGCACCAGCTTGATTCTCGATTTATGAATTGTGCTATTTTTAACACTCGTTCCAATGTCAGAGTTAAATGAGAATTCTCAGCGTGATCATTGATGGTAAAGTTTCTTTTTGTAATTTATTTTCAATTGCAAGACCTTGCGTTAAATGAAATTTATTTGTGCTTAGCTGTAAATTGAAAAACGAAGAAGAAAAAACTTTTCTTAATTGCTTTCCGTCCACAATGCTTTGTGCGAATTTCTATAGTAAATCTAAAGCGCCAGGGTGTTTCATGACAAAATATTGTCATTTATTCCCTATAATTTCCGCTTTTGTTGTGTCTCATTTAAAGGTCTGTTGTTGTGTTTTGTATTTTTAAATTATAATAGATCGTTTGACTACAGTTGATATTGTTTGAGACCCCGACCTTGCCCGTTGCAAACTGGAAATAACAAAAATGTTTTGTAAAAACATGCAGACATTTATGGACACCTCATTATTAGGATAAAGACAGCCACAGCATGGCTAAAGCTGAAACTGAAGCACATACGTTGTGCTACATCTCATTTCTTCAACAATGTCGATGAGTCAGCAACAAATTGGCGTTTTTTTATTATTTAGATGCTCGCTTAAAATAGTTTTTTCCTATTTCAATTTTGGCTCTCACCCACTCCCTCTTTTCAGCCTAACAAATCTCATTCAACATCAAATCAGGCTCAAATGCAGATTGAGATATGAAATATTTTATGAATACTCAACTTAACAACAAAACAATTTGTAGCGGAAGAAATGAAACAACATAAGATTTGTTGCCTTGCTTGCATCAATTCAGCTTTTTAACGAATTATCTTTGAGATTGTTAAATTATCTTCACATGCTTGTGCAAATTGAATGTGAAATGAAAATCCAATTTCATGAATTATCATCTCATGTTTACACGCATTTTAAGAACAGAAACGTTCTTTTGAGTATTCATTAGCAATTGTATGTTTATGAGAAGAACAAACAAGAAAAAGAAATTCTTCATTTCATTCGAGGGCTCAAATTTTAGTTCGCTTGAAAGACAAAAGAACCTCGATTGATAATAAAACAAAAAATATATGTTTTCCACTTGTTTTACATTCAATGCTTAATGTTTGGTTCGATCTTTTCATTCCTTTAAGTATTGTGAATATGATGGCATGCCATGATAATAATATCTTCTTAAGTAATCATTGATACGCCGCTATAACTGAGTAAGATCTGCAGCAAAAATTTCTTCTTGTTTTTGGATGCAAACAATATTGAATAATAAAACATAAATTTTATGTATTGCTGATGATTAACACACTTACGCATCAACGTATGAAATAAAATAAATTTACATAAAAATGTAATTGACGAAAACCAGTTAAGTTAATTCAGAAAATATTTCGTACATTCAGCAGAACTTTTCTGAAAGGGTTGCCCCTTCTTCGAACTTACCCTTCTGACCATTGAAATTAATTTTAAAATCCATCATCACAGAAACTTAACACCTTTTTACCCGACGATCTCTTTAGCATTGCTGTCTCAAACCTTTTTTGAAAAATGGGCAAAACATGAAATTGCACATTTCAGTTTTCATCAGTTTAAGTGCCGAAAGAAGAAAAGCGCCTTCAGCGATTGACGGTACTTTGAGAGCGTCTTGAAAACTGTTATTGCCAAAAAACAGAAAAAGTATGTATGCGAGTTGCATCATAAACGAGAAATTTATTTTTCTTCCTCTTCGCGTCTTAAGTCAAGTATTTGAGCATCAATAAGAACAACAATAGCAATAAAGCATAACAAGCCTCATGAAATTTCATGTTTGATATTGCTAATTTGAAGATTGACGCACCGCACCGTAAAGCATAAATAAAAAGGCAGACACAACAAATGGTTCATGATCTTGCTTCGTAAAAAACTGCATTTTAATATCTTGCAAATATCTTCAGCACTCACTCTTTTCAACAAGAATTTATTTGCCAAGCATTAATATTATGAAACATGCGGGACCATCTCGAAGCACTTCTTGTTTTCGGGGTAATGATAGTAATTTCTCCTGGCCATTTTTTATTCCAACATATTTCAGCGAAGTCATAAAAATATTGTTTGCAAATGCATACACCAATTACAAAGTCAGTACATTCAGAATCATCCTGACTTTCAATCTTACCGTTGCTGGACGGTACGGTCAACCTTTAAGAAATATGATTTCGCACAATGAGCTTTATTTCTTCGTCTCGTGTAACTGCGTGCGAAGATGGAGAGAGAAAAACATTAAAAATAAATCTTTTTTTAAGAAACAAACACATCATAAAAGTTTTGTGTTCATGCGGGTTTGGTTTGGTTTGGTTTTATTCTTTGCTTTCGCGAAAGAAAATATTCAAGAGAAGAAATGCTTGCCAAGAATATTGGAAGAAAACGAAAATATTTGTTGATCTTTACCCGCGTCTTCAATATCCAATTTTCAACGTAGTCCAATATAATTTTCCACGAGCATAAAACTGATAGTTTTTCGCAATCATCATCCAAGCAGAGTTTTTATGCAAACTTAAGAAAGCAAGCTGTAGATAATTACTCCACTGAAATGTATACAAAAACTCTTCATAGATGAATTGCAAAGAAAGAAGATTGAACGATGATGGTGAATGAACTGCGAATTGAAAAGATACACAGAAACCACTACCCAGCAATCTTTCTTTACTTCTCTTGTTTAACTGCGAAGAAAATTCTTCTCATTTCTTTCATTTTGTCTGCAAATATTACGTGAACGAAGAATTTCATTACACGGTGGAAAAGATGAATCGACAGGAAGAGAAAACTGAATTTCAAATTACAATTGTCATCATAGTGAATTCTTCTCAATTTATCTTTGCTGCATGAACTTTGACCTCGTCTCATGCCTATCAGACTTTCTTAAAGAACCGCGAAATGAGAGTTTCATTCATGGTGGAATATTTTAATGAACTGGAAATAAAGTTCAGAGTTTCTATTTCCTGGAAGATTGAAAATCGTTGCAATGATGTGTTCATCATTCAGCAGTTGTCGTTCCACTTATTTTCTTATTGCGCAAAGTCGAGAACATTCAATTTGATGGACTCGTAAGTTTTCATATTACAAAAATTGATAAACTAAATTCAATACCAATCACCATGCTCATCTGACCGTCAAGAAAAAAATGTTGGCCGTCTTTGCCGAAAACAGAGAAGAATAAATAAAACAGAGATGATAACAAGGCAAGAAGACAAAGAACCATCGTAAGAGGAAATTAATTTTTTTTCAGCATATGCAGCAAAGTTCTGGGCAGAGCTTCGTTTGTTCATGTTATGCAATTTCATAATTCTTTCATTTTTTTTCCTGTTGTGTGCAGAATCAAAAGCAGAAAAAGTCTTAAGGGCATTTCAGATCCAATTTTTATAAATTTTTGCTCAGTTTTTCTCCTGCTTGTTTTCATGATGATGAAAGGAAACAAGGAAAATGAAATTTTCGTTCTCAAAGCAGATATATATCTATAAACAAGGTTTCCAAAAAAAAAATAACTCTCTTCACTATCGTTTGTGTCTTATCTGAATCCGACAATGCAAGTCCCAAAAGAGCAAATTTGATTTATTTATAAAAGGGAAAAAATAATGAAATTTTAGTTTTTTTTTCCTTTTTTGCAGACAGATTTTGTTATTTAGTTTGGCTTCGGCTTTTTCCATTAGACGAATTTCCCCTGAAGCTCATCATGTGCAAATTAAAAATGCGACAGTCAAAACTGACGTCAACAAAAAAAGACAAAAACGAAATATAAATTAGTATTAATTAATAAATGGAGCATCTGCAATGAGACGAAGACTTTGTATAAATAATTCAGCTGTAGCCTTTCATTACAGGCTTGTACATAGTTTGCTTAAGTTGTGCGACAAAAGTTATGATCATTAGCACGTTAATTATCCAATATAAATGCATCTCTTTAGCTCATTTAAAAAGTATTTTTATAAAATAAATAAAAGTCATCAACTTCAAACATTTCTGATCCATTAACTGCTTCTGGTGAGCAATTAATTCTCGCGAAGATTTCCTAAAATGTTTTTAATTACTTCTGTGATGAAACTTCTTATTATTGCAACGCTTAACAAATTTCTTACGACTCATTTAAAATCATTTAATACGACACGGGTTTTCAGAGATTCAAACGTTCGTGAAGAATGATGGATCATCTCTGCATTAGAAAGAGACGATCTACAAATTGTTTTAATGATCTTTCAATGTCGAAAGTGAGTAGAGTTGTGGTAGCGAAATGATGAAGTTAAATGTGGAATAGCTTCATCATCATGCAATTGACCTCAACACATTTTCCTTAGCGCATGTCTTTTCTGGGTTAATTTAAAATTAATAAAAAAAAACGATACTTTATTACCTTTTCAACATCACAAACAGCACATTGAGAATAAAAGGAAACATTAAAGAAATGAAACGATTTTTGCTTCAATTCGGATTTTGAAAGAATTTTTTTTTGCTTTCGTTGCTTTCGCTTACATAAATATTGCGATTAAATAATTTTGCTTAATTTTCAAGTGTAAATTACTTTTCTTTCTGCAACTGAACGATTGAAGAAGTCATAAAAAAAGATTCGCAATGAAAGAAATTAAAGAAGTTTGTAGAAGTCACTCCCTATTTTAACATTAAACTTTTACAAATCTCCAACTTATAGTTTTTCAATCAAGCAATCATTTCAAAAACTGTAAATTCTAATCTACATTGACAATGCGCTTCAAAATTACTTTCTTCGCATTATCATGAATCCTACGAAATTCTTGCTCCAGTTTTAAAAATCTTTTTAATGACAATTCTGTTTTAATTGAATTTGGAGTTTAAAAGGTTTCGTGCCGTGTACATATCTGTAATTACTTCTTTAGTATCAACTCAATCTAGACCGCAAATTTCCGCTCACTGAAAGGTAATCAAAACTTATCGACACTACATATAATTTCTCTTTTTATTTTTATTTTTTCATTAAGCTTTTTCCTGTTTATGGTTGAGGTTTACGTCTGAAATCTTGTGCGTGCAAAATTATTTGTATCACTTAAAATTAAACTGTTAAAAGACACAAAATGGTTTGGAAAATTTGTGCCTTGTGCAGCTCTTTATACTCAAAAGTCTGAAAAATTCTTTAAGTTGTTCATTCGAGCCCATCGCTATAATCATAAAACTTTAACACATGTCTTGTTAGGAAAAATGAACGCACTTTTTCATGAGCACACAAACAATAACAATATCAACAGGAGAAGCGATCTCGTTCAGTTCTTGTTACTCCGCTTATTCGTTATAATTTATCTTTTTTTTTCGTATTACATTCTCTTCAGTTCTTCTTCTGCGTACAATCAAAGTAAGGGAAATAACGAACAAAGTTAACAATAACCTTTTGAGAAAGAACGAAAAATAATTGAAGGTTTCAATTCTTATTTACTTTTCGCTAACGAAAATTTCGTGAATTTCTCGCTTCTTGAGGTTTGATTAAGAAAAAAAAAATTCACCATTGCGCTCTTGTTGTTGAAGATCCAACAAAATATGCTGGCGACTGAAATTGGATTTTGATATCAAAACATAGCTGGAATTTTAACACTTTTATATTTTAACAGTTTTCATTATTTGGCAAATTTTTATCTTATTCCGCATGACACAAGCATCGTTCTCGAAAGGTATCAGCTTCTCATAATCATTGGGAACTTGGAACTGGGAAATATAATGCAGAAAACGTCTTTTCACGACTCTGACATAAAAATTCTGTAATCTGACTTTGCACCAAGATATTTTTGAGGCTGAGGCGACAGACATTTAATTTTAACAAGATTCAGTTGTAGTTTCTGTTCTTTTTCACAAATGTTACATTTTAAATAATTATTGTATGAAGAACCTGCAAGAAATTTCACATATTTTTGTATCTGCATAAATAATTTTATATTAAGAAAATTGTATGCTAATTATTTGAAGACAGACAAGCTACACACACTTTGCAGTTAATATGATAATCAAAAGGTTGTTTTCACTTTGCTTTGGTTTTGACCAAAAATATCAACATTTTAATTCTGCCTTTGCTCTTCTTTTCATTCCCTTGTAAATGAATCGCCTTTTGGCATATAATTAAGTGATATGCAATGAATGCTTAAACATTTCAATGTAAAATCCTAGTTAAGCTATTAATGATTCATGAGAAAATGGAAATACAAAACAATTCATCATAAACTTACATTTTGTTTAATCATTAATTGCATCTGCATTAAGCTTCGTCATGGAGTGTGATCAATTCATTGCATGCTAACAGCAGTTCCATGTACACTTCGTATTGAGGAATGTGAAAATTTCTGAAATATATTTTTTATAATAAATCAAAAATACTTGGACAAGTGAAAAAGCTGATTAAACAATTTCTATGTAAGAAATCAGCGAATATTTTCAAGAAACAACTCGCTACTTCATGGTCAAGAGAACGAAGACAATTTCTTTAGAAAAAAGTATATATTTCACTTTTTATTGGAAATCTTCTTTCAGCTTTCAATTTTAATTACTCTTATGTGCCATACTGAGAGATTATTGAAAGTAAACGACAAAGCTTGAAAAGAAATAAGAGGATAAAAAAACCTACAAACTTTAATTTATTTCCAACCTGACAATGCTCTATTGTGCTTTTTTTCTGTTCGTTTGGAGTAGTAAACGAAATGCTGGCGAGATTTTAAAAACGCAAAATTCTTTTAAAGAAATCGAGCAAAGCGAAACTGTGCATTCGCCGATAATAAAATAAGCAAATAATCAATTTTGGAAATTCTTTTCAACTGAATTTTGCAAGAGCCACAAAATAATAAAAATTCTTGTCAAACCGCAGTTTTTTTTCCCTTTTTCTTCCAAAATACGCCCAAAATACGCGAAATGATGAATCTTAACATAAAATAAAAAAAGAATGAAGCACCATTCATGATTCATTTATGAGTGTAAGATTTGAGTCACCAGACATGATATTACTTTACTTTATAGTCAGATGTATGCTTGGGATTTAAGATAATTTGTTTAGGTGGAATTATGGTCGTTGAATGTCACCGATGTTGAACCTCAAGAAATGATTTATACAATTAATAAAATGGGAGAGGAAATTAGTAATTTAACTTTGTCTTGTATTGTCTTTAACCAGATCTCGACATTGACGCGTATCGAAATGGGTTATTTATCTTCATTCAACGACGCAACGACACCAAATACTGCCTTAATACACGAGAAAACCAGTCATAAAAACCAAACGAGTACATTTTTGGGCGCTTTTGCAAGAAACAATTAATATTCTCATCAATTTCAAACATTGTAGACATTGCTTTAAAGTTTAAAAAGATTTGATAAAGAGAAGCAAAATGTTTTTCATCACATTTGTTGTTTTTATTTTTTTGTGTTTCGTGTGAATCTTGATTTGGCAGGACGCAATTTATGTGCATTATATTATGTTGCATTTCTTCTTTTTATTCGTGGGCCGTAACGCTTCAATCTGAATTTCTAAAATTTCGAAATGAAGACATCGATCACCTTAAAGAAGAATCGTTTAACGAAAAGAGCTTTAAATATTGTTCATTTAGATTTTTTTTTTCTTTTAAATTATGACAATTTGAATTTCCCGATTGATCAGATTATTCGAAAGTCGTTGATATCCCACAGTTTCACTCTCGCATTCAGAATTGATTAGTCTTGGAGAAAACTACAACGCCCAGCATTGTTATTTATTATAAACGAGAATTGGAGAAAAATTAACAGATTGAAATGACCAAAATATTTATATTAAATATCTCAATTTATTTCTCCAATCGAGGGACTTTTATTCTAATAGGTTGTGTTGCCTCTTCAACCATTGCGAATGAATATTAAGTGGACATTGGTAAGTCAAACAAGCGAGAAGATATTCTTTCCACTCAATGCGAAGCAATTGATTTGTTATCTGAGAATTTCATATCTACGTGTTCACCTGCAATAACAGAAGAATAAAATAGCACATGAAAAAATAAAGGGCGTGAATGCCATTGTTTCTTCTTTCCCAAAACTTGGATCAAAAACTCTCTTAAAAACAGAAGAGATAAATCATTTAGCTAGTTCATATTTCGTTGAAAATATTTATATTTGCAAGACACGAAGAATCAGTTGAAAGAAGAAAATAAATCTGAAGAAGAAATGAAAACAAAAAATAAATAAATTCTATGTTTTCAGTGCTTTATCTACCAATAAAGTCGAAGAAGAATTCAAACTAATGTTTTTCAAGTTGCTTTGAAAGTTCAGGAACGAGACCAACACACATTTATGAAGTTTTCTCACAAATGCTATTTTAGGAACAGCCAAAAAAACGCATCTGAATAAACTTTTTTCCTACCGTTTTCGTTCGTCATGAATGTTGGTCATCAACTTTATAAATCTTGCAAATTTAGAAGCCTAACATGATATTTAGCATAAAATAGAGCATTAGTAGAGTGGTTTTATCTTCTGAGAGCCTCAAAATTGTAGTTATGTCTATAATTATCCATGATGGTTGGATAATAAAATTTTCTTTCTTTAAAATTCACTCTTGGATTTAATTTTTGGTTCCAAGCTTTGAAATCAAAAGAATTTCACCGAAAAATTATTATTGTCCATTTTTAATTTTCTGCATTATTAATTTTCACGGGAGAGTGAAATACTTTTAAGTTTTTATATTTCTTTTTCTTCTTGCTTTTGATATATGATGACGAATTAACTGCATAAGTGAAAAGTTGGGGAATTAGCTTTGAAGGAATTATATAATGTCTAAATTTAGTGCCTAAAATGTGAGATTTGTCAGCGTGGGTTGAATAGAAAAACATTGGAATTTTAATTTCACGTGAACTCTTCATTCCAACTCAGAATTGAATTAATGAATTCTAATTTGTCCTTATTTCATCAAGACCATTTATGTCTCAGCATAAATAAACAAAGCAGAATAAAAAATTATGCGCTTTTGATTCAATTGCCTTTGAGTTTCCACGAAACTCTGGCACACGTGAGAATTCCATCGACAGTTTATGTTTTCGTTAACGTTGTATAATTGTCAGTCTATTCGTTTATCATGGGAATCATCCATCCAAGGTGTTAACTTTCAAAATATTCTCAAATCATCAAAGTCTGATATCATTTTTGTCCGATCCCGAAGCGAAATTCTTTCAGCAAGAAGACGTCAAGTGTTATAAATTTGAAACATCTTCCTCTCTACTCTTTTTTGTTTTCTATGTAGAAACATGTTCGCTTTTCGTATTTTTATTTAAATGTATGAATATATTCATTTACATCGTAAATATTCTCAGTTCGTTGTCATCGACAAAAAACTGGCAATTAAAAGTTTTTTTGCTTCTTTTGTTTCACATTTTTTATTATCATTTCAGTAACTGTAAGTATTTAGATACATATTTGAAATTTGGGTCCCAATTAAATAAAAGAAAGCAGATTTCAAATGACTTTGAGACTACAAACGATGTATAGAATTGAGATGAACATGTTAAGCTTCTATTTGTAATTCTTTTACAGCAACAGTAGTTAAATAAATGAAGTATTGATAGATCTGTTGATATTTATGCATTAAACTTCTTCAGATGTTTTTATTTCATTCTTCTGAATGGCGAATAATTTTCAACTTCATCCGAAACGAATGAGAAGAACATTGATTACTGTTGAAATTGTCTTTATTATCAACAACTCAACTCAAAGAAATGATATTCAAGAAGGAAATTTGCGATTCATGAAATTCAACAACTTTTTCTCCGTTCGAAGAAATTCCATTTCCATTATTGGCGAAGAGAAGGCATAAATATTTAAATAAAGTCGTTTTATGAAGCTTTCCGATGAAAATCTACATACAGAAGGCCCATTATCGACTCACAATTGTGCATTTCAATTGTTTCACGTGACCAAATTGTTAAACGTTTCCCTGCTTTAAAGTTGTTCTTTTACTCTGCGGTGGAAAAATATTCTTCACTTGAATGATTAAAAATGATGACGAATTTTCGTGATCGTGTTTTGCCTTAAAAAATCGACAAAATAAACTTTTTTTATGCAAATTTGCATTTTGCGAAGACGAGAGATTTTTTCCATCATTTTCCTTCTTAATGCATTTCGCGTGCAGTTTAATAATTGCTAGATAAACTCTTCATGTTTTCTTTTAAAGAAGGGGATAAAAAAACTTTTCCATTGTGAAAAACTTCTAAAGTTGAGCAAATGATTACAGCCCAAAGCTAAAATTTTATGCGGCTAGGTGATTGCTGTTTATGACAAAGTTTCACATCTCACTTTAACTAAGAATATCAACTAGCACGAAGAAAGTTGTTTAACAATCTTCCATATCTACTTAAGACTTTGCATAAAACATAAGAAGGAAAGGCAATGCAGTAATGCATTACTTCCTGAAACTCCATAAAATAAAAAGACAAAAGAGCTCAGCTAACTCAACCAACATTAAATATTGAAATATTTCACCAAAAAATCAAGAAAAGAAAGAAAGTAGGCTTTTGGTGATGCTTGAATTTTATTTTTTTAGATGAATTCACAGCCGAAAAAATGGAAGCAAACAAAATGAGTTAGAAATGCATTTTGTTAAACATTTTGTAGCATATTTATGTTTGTTGAAAATATCTCGGTAGCAAAATATGCTTGCAAAAAGTCCTTAAAATAATATTTATTCAACACGTATTCAGTAATCAGTTATCATGAAAGACTTTTATTTAATTTAAAATTATATTTTAGAAATTAGAAAATTAAATTTCATATTCTTGAAGGAATACAAAACGCTTCCCTTGTTGATTATAAAACATAAAACATTTATCTCTTGGCCACAGCAGCAGGTAAGCATATTTTAACAAAAAATTATCCTTATTTGAAAGTATTTTAACACTTACCGAGGTCATGTCATCCAAGACTAACTTATTTTAAATAGAAGTAAAGACGATAAATAAATAAAAAGGCTGTAACATGTTTACTTCAAGGACTTCATCGAAACCCAAATTCGCCACAGACAAATGTCACACCACAAAAACCGTAACTAAATAAATCTTTATTGATAGTTTTCTCAGAAACTATCTTAATGGTCAAGGTCGTTTGATTGTCTCTCTTGCCACTGAAATAATAATAAAGCACCACACACAGCAGCTTAATCTTTCGGGAAGAAAAATAACTTTAAAATGTTTTAACCTTCCTTCTTGTGAAATCCGAATTCAGGTTCTTTATGACAAAAGGAAGGTTTTCTAAACAAAATAAATTAAACAAGCTGCAAACCATATGCGACTATGCTTTGAAGCAGCTCAAGCATCCGAAAAATTATCTTATCTTTTATAATTAATCGAATGGACATTTCAGCACCCATTCTCACTAAATTAACTGCCATGGTATAAATTCATTTTCGTGTTTCCTCATTCTTCCCATACATATTAACTGCTACCTACTTCAGCAATAACAAGCCCAACTGTCATCCGCGGAACACTAAGAATCGCTTTAACTTATTAAGTTTTCTGAAGGTAAGAACTCAAATACCTTTTGGACACACGAGCAGAGAACGGAATTTATATTTATTCCCTCGCATTTGTACGAATTAAAATTCTTCGAGAATTCTATGCGCTGTTGCTCCGTAAAATAAATAAATGATATTAATCGAAATTCGTCTCATACTAGAAATAATTTTGTTTTTCTCTTTCGTTCGATGTCTCTTAACCACTTCAGTCCACCCCGAACATTTAACGGCGTTGATGTGGAAATTAATTGTAAATTTATTCGGTTTTTGTTTTTTCTACACTTTTCTTGAATTCTTAAAAAATAAATAAATTATTACGTTAATTTCTTTTTGTTCTTTTTCTCTTCTCAATGTTGGGTACTGACTGTTTGCTAATAACTGTGAAATAATGAGTATCGTGTGAACAATTCCTAGGCTAAAGTCAGTGCTTTAATTGAACAATTTTATACGTTCTAGCGTATTCTACTAATAGTGAAGAAAGAAGAATGATTTGGGCTTGTATAGAAATATGTGGTCGTTGGCTTAGACTCGAAACCCTGAAGTTACAGTGCATTAACTCACTTGGCTATTCATTTTCAATGTGGTACGCTCGAGCGATTGTGCGAGATCAAAACTGTTTCTTTTTTTTACTTCTTTCATACTGCGCTGCATTTATCATTTACACCAAAACACAACTTTGAAACCTTTGTTTATTTATTTAATTAAGCGAAAGACCGTTGTTTGTATGACCGAGTTGTTTATGATGCCGAAAAATTACTTGATTACCAATATTTGATTGCCACGCGAAAAAGACATTGAGATACAAAACATTTTTCCCGTGTAGCTAAAACAATTTTATTTAATATACATTTGAATAAATTTCACGCCACTTTGATTACTTGTTTGCTGAAATAAGAAACAAACCGAAAGAAGACGAAGACAACTTAAAATTCATGAACTTTCGTTGTTCTCTGTCTAATAAAAGTCACAAGCGATTGTTGTCATCCTCATCATTCACGTTCAAAGTCTCTAAACAATCTTGACCGAAAGACTGGAATTAATTGCTTTCTATCTGTGTAGTCAACAAATTCATACCAACTTATAAAAGTCCTTAACATCAAAACTCAACGTGTACTCTTAGCTGCCTTTTGAAAAGTTGTTAAACATCAATTATCTACTTAGAAAATAGTTGGAATTGTGTAAATATTTCATTTTACTTGACGATTTGTTCTGCAACATTTGACTGCAAATTTCCAGATTTCTCATTTTACATTCAAAGAAGAAAAATAATTTTAGATTTGATAAATCAACATAGCTAGACAGAAGGTAGGAAAATGCAAACAAAATCGTCTTAAGCAAAGTCAAAAAACACTTGTAAAAGGTAGAAAGAGAGAAAAAATTAAGTTTTCTTGAAAAAACATTAACAAATATTTGCATTTACTCTCGAAATTGTTGAATTCGTTCTCAAAGAACAAGAAGAAACATTTTTCTGTTTTATTACTCATCCAATATTTACACACTCGTGAAAGTTCCATGACTTTGAAATACTTCAAAGACGTCAATAGAAAAACAAAACAAAACTATGATGATGATGATGATGATGAATTTAAGAAAAAAAATATGTAAGGATATAATTCTGTTGATTAATAGCAAGAAATATTGAAACATTGTAACAAGTTTTTGTCTCTGCCTAATCTCCGTTGAAAAATATTAATCATGGGATCGATTTCGTGCTCTGCTCGTACATTTAAATATAATTCATAGTTCCTAGAAGTTTCAATTGTTTCTAAGATCAACATAAAGAATTTACGTCTATCTGAAGTGTAACAAATTACATCGCAATCCAACTTGAACCCACAAATGCTGAAATCAAAATGAAAAATCCCATAAAAATCTATTTTTACAATTTTTATTTCATGGTTGGTTAACAAATGCCTTCACCATTGTAACCAGTACATAGTCGATTGTAAATGATCTTCTTCACGTCTTTGTTTGTAAATAAACATGCAATGATGTTTTCATCTACATATAATTATGTCTTCTGTTCCAACATAAGCTGCATTAAAACAACTTCAGTTACTTTTTTAATGTGTAAAGCATAACATTCAAATGCATGTTATCAAAGTAACTAAAGAAACGAGAATATCTATCATAAATATACAATAAAAAAACGCTCATGGCGATATTGTTATTATTATTATTAATATTCAATCTTGTCAATTGGCAGTAAAGCATTAAAAAGTTTCCTTCCTTTCAATGATGCTTTAAAGCAAAGAAATAAATAAAATTATTTGCAAATATCCCTAAAAATTTTAACGCTTTAAACATTCATCGATCATTGCGATGCTGTTAAGAAATAAATCGTTTCAGTTTAAATTAGAAGTTGTAAAAAGAAAGAATGGAATTTAAATTGGAGACAGTTTGAAATGTTTTCTCGCGAAAACAGAAATCTTTAATTAAATTAATTTGATGTGTCTAAAATAAAACGAATAAGCTGTTTATAGCTTTTACACTTTTCCTGCAAATTGCAGTGTGAATTTACTTATAAAGTTCTTTTATCTTCAATTATGAAGTGTGTAAAGTGAGTAAAGTTAATCAAAGTACGTAAAAGAAAACGTGACTTCTTTTTATTTGATGCCAGCCCAACATTTTTCTGCGAAAACTTTTGGAATGGTTTGCCACATGTTTAAATTGAGTGCATGAAAAGATTAACACAATGAGGAAGAATCTTTTAATTTCCTTCTCGTGTTAAAATCTTTTTACACATTTTACTGAAATTTATTTTACTTAAATACGAGCCACAAAAAAGGGTAACAGCACTGTTGAGGATAATGAGGTAGACGGATAGTTGGCGAAAAACAATGCTGAAAAATGTTGAATTGAAATGAAGAGCGACAAATTTTGACCTCGGGGACAGAATAAAATGTGTAAAGTCAGAAAAGATACTAAAACAGACAGCAAAGGAGAAAAATTTCCTCACGAAATTGGGACATCATTAATGTAATTATATCTTAAAGACGCAAAAGCAAACAATTTTCAGTTCGTGACAATTATAAATCGTATATAAGTACATTTCGGCTTCTTAAAAAAAAGTCCTACGTAACACCAGAACGAAGAAAATTTTTAAGATGCTGTGAAATGACCGAAGCGAAGGCACATCGTATCAAATTAATTAACGAAAAAATGTTAAATTTTAGACAATGTTGAACTCTGGAAATTAAATTAAATTAAATTCCTTCACTCTTCAATATTTCGTATATTTCAAAGCTTACATTCTGAACTTACTAATTATGAATCAGGGACCCAAAGAAGCTTATAACTTATAAAAATGTTTGCTTCACGAGAATCTTAATCTCATCATCCCTGACTTCATCAAAGAAATAACAAAGAGGAAAAGTAACAGACAAGAAGAAATCGTCGCTTTGCTGCCCTCGACCATCTCAGCTTTTAAAGAGCCGTTGAAAATCACTTTAAAAAGGCATATAAAATTGTTTACTTTTCCTTAAAATTCAATTTACAGAGTAACGAAGCTAACATAAAATGTGTAACATTTTACTCTTTTTTTTCTCTTCTACATGCAGCATGTCTTGTCTCTCGTAAAGTCTTTTTAACATTCTTCATCATCCCATTACCACCACCAGAAGAAGTGTTTTAGTTGAGGGCTTGAGGTTCCTTTCTTCTTTGAAATTTGAGATTATACTTTTAATTAACACTTTGTTTTACGGAAAAAATCTTCTTAACAATTCGTTAGCACACTGTGAGGCGATCTTTGGGTTATTTATATTTCTTTTAGTCAGAACGAAGAACATCTTTTGATCGAAATTGAGAACAAAAAAAGCTGAAAGATTTTCAACACAAAAAGTATCTGTAAAGAAATATGTTTGAAATCTTGATAAAGAAAAATCATTTTTAAAGCTTAAATTCGCGCATTTGGATTCAGAAATTTCGCTTGTGTATGTGCGCGCTTCTTTCGCTCGAAGATATTTCAAATAAATATCTTTTAACCATCAAACGAACACTCAAAAAATTCAACATGAGAAGAAGAACACTTTCATGAGTTTCTTTTTCTATCTCTCTTTAAAACTCTTTCCATCTTAAATAAATATAAAGTTAATTCCTGTGTTAACAAGTAATAAATTTCGTCGGGTCGGAATGAGTAGTTTTCTAGTTCTCTCCTCGTCTTCATCCGTCGTCATTCTCTTTTCGACCTTAATCCTTCGTCAACAACGATTGTGATGATGAGAATGAACTTGGATTGGAGATCATGTAAACTGTTGAATGTTATGTTCATGAACAGAACAGACCCAGCCGAAAGCCTATTAACATTTTAGAATTATTTAGCGATCATCATGAAATTGAACTCTCATGTTTTTCAATGAAATCGGGAGATGTTCCTTCTCAAATGGAATCTCTAACGAAGAAAGTTTTTTTTAATTATCCATCGAGAATCTTTTAACAACTTTAATTAAAAAATTTCGATGTTTGATGAAAACGACGAAAATTAAGAAAATAATTGAACATTATCATATTTTATGCATACAAAATGGTGAAATAAATTTTATTCCAAAAAAAACAATCACCATTCGTTCCGCTTCATTCTCTTCAGAAATGTATGCACATTTTAAACAAAAATCTGATAAACGTTGAATATTTCCAAGGAAAATTATGCTTTATGCACATTCATCGGAATAATTATAGATGAAAAACATTGAAAAATATGATCTAAATACATTGGTTTCCGTTCCATAATGCAGCAACGTAGATGAGGGAAGAAACAAGTGATGATGCATCAGGTGTTGTGCTTAAATTGCTTATGAATCATCGTCTATTTTGTGCCATTAAAAATATTTCGAGTCGATAAATATAAAAATAAATTACATGAAACTTTTATTCCATCCATCCAGTCCTAGTGATATCAGCCCATATAACATTCTTGCGCATAGTTTCAATAAAGTTTAGTTTCGCGCGAGTGCTAAGAAAGATTTACAACACTAGATTCAATTCTTTTTATTGCGCGCACATTTACCCCATGCGGGATTTTCTGCTTTGAATGAAGCTTCTCGTGAAATTGTAAATGAAACTGAAGAAATTTCATTAGAAAGACGACTTTTGATTTGTTTCCAAGTTGCGTAACGTTGCTTTTGTTTAAGGCAGATAAATCTCTTGAATGAAATTCAAGGTATGAAGTTTTGAAATAGAAAACAAGAAAAGAAATTGCTACCTTACGACGTTCACGTGACATTTAAATATTCCTAACAAAAGATATTTCATAAAAGATTTACCATGAGACTTTGATTGGATTTCTCATCGCTGCTATAAATCATACTGAACGTCGTGTTTGTGTCCGCTTCTCATATGATCCAAGTTTAAGAGAAAAAATCAAATTTGAACATTCCGTCGATGAATCACAATGTATCTGTTTTTTATTAATTATAAGCGTCGCTAAATCAAGAAAGAAAGGAATTTCATTTAAGGAAGTAAGAAAATGATGAGTCGAATCGAATCGGATGAGAAAATAACATGTGTAGATGAAAAAATAAAATAAAATAAAAGAATAATTCATTCATTTTATTATGGATACGATCATAATGATCAGCCAGTCGCTAAGTGTTTCAGATCTTCTTTGTTGAGCTCTCTTTAAAGGCATGTAACAATCTTTCGTCTATTTTGTTTTGAAGTCGCGCGTGAAGACTCTTAACAGCCAACTGTAAAATTCCTCATATGTTGAGCTCCACTCTCTCTGTGGGATGATGATTCTTCGAAAAATCATAAAACTTGTGAATGAATCTCAAGTGCTTTTGAAGTATCTTTAAAGAAAGACGAAACTTGAAACACTGAACTCTGGCCTAGTAATGAGATCGAAGAAAGTTTCATGAATATTTCGAATAAATTTCACGGTCGCTAATTTATGGCTTCGACTGCAGCCGGTGGGAAAATTTCAGCGATTCAATTTGCACGCTTTTAGTTTCAATATTTATTTAAACAAAAAAGTAAAAAACCCTTCGTTAGATTCGTTCTCCTTTACAATGAGTTTTTGTTACGCCTCCAGATATTCGTGTTTGAATTTAGATGAGTAAGAAATTAGAAAAAAAACGAAACTTTCTTTTATTTTATCGTAGCAAAACATTATTTTTCTAAAAAGTCTTATTACCAAAAAAAATAAGAACAAAATAAGTTCAAAGTAATTTCTGTGATATTTTTCGAGATATGACTTAGCATTATCAGAGCAACAGAGGGCAAAATGGTTACAAATCGAAGTATAATTTTTGCGACTTTTACTTTTCAATGCAGAAAAAAAGATGTGAATAATATTAACAAGAAAAGAAGAAGTAGAGAAACTTATGCAATTGAATTAACAATACACAATCTGTCTTTCTCTCATTTGATTCTTATACTTATTGAATTAAAATTTTGTATCGTTTTGTTAACAATGGCAAATCGTGATCGCTTTAAACCATGCTCTGGCTCTCAGTTAGTAAGTATGAGACATTCGTCAGTTATGTAAATTCACATGCTTGCTTTGAAGTCATATAAAGAGCAATGAGAAGAGATTTTCATTATTAAATCTGTGACATTAAAATCTTCAATATCATTGGGAACAAAAACTTTGAAAAGACCCTGAAAAGTATTTTAAAATTGTGTCACAATGGTATTGTTGCTTTTTAGGATAACAGCAGCAGGAAGATGGATGCAAACAGCTCACGATTGAATTTCAAACTACAGAGAAAATTGAATCTGAAAGTCATGGGAAGGAGGCTCTTCTCTCGCTTTCAAACTTTTTTATAAATTGAAAACTTATGTAAGATCGATAGTTTGCATTTAATTAAATCGAATAATCTCAACGATTTATTACTTCTGCGTCTATGAAGGAAAAAAAACATCTTTGAATCGCTTGAATTCTAAAATATCTGTGACTGTGGGTTAACAATGAAGGGAACTGAGCTTGAAATCTTAATTGTCTTTCGATTAAGTCAATAAAAGGAACCGGCAATTTCAGATTTGCGCAATCGAGCAAATAGAAAAAAGAGTGAAACAAAAAGGCTTTTCTAATTATAATCGGTTTATAGGTTTCAGCAGTTTTTGTTACTCAGTAAAGAGCGATTCACGATTTATTATTTCCAGCAATTTGAACAATGACAACGCTTAGACAGAAAGCATAATTCATAGCGCCATAATGCTTCAAGATTCATTTTTATAATTTTTTTTCTTATTTAAATAAAATATAAATAATTATAAGCAATGCTGCTCACAATTTAAATGCCAACCGACGAGAGATTTCAGATAAACTTAAGTAATTGAATAATCAAAGCTCATTTCGTAATCGGAACATTCATGCAGGAATTGCTAATGACCACGAAGCGATTTCAAAGCGAAGGAGACCAATTATAGCGTGATCTTAACTATAAATCTCGAATCCATTCACACTTAAAGTATTTTGCCTTCTTTTCAAATGACAATCTTTTAGCTGAAATTGCATTTATTCAATAGATAGTTAGATGCATGGCCCGAAAGAGTTTGAATTAAGACAGCCGTTGAAAACATAACTTGTATATGACACATGATAAATACCAATATGTCGCGTTATTCTTTTCGCTCATTCATTCAACTTCACGACTTGTCTGGCTTCATCTCCTGTAATGAATCATGCAATTGGTTTATTGTGTCGCGAAATGTCTCATGCAAAAGAGCTTTATGTAGGGAGAAAAGTTTCTAACTGAAATAAATTATCGACAAACGTAACATACATTTTAGAATGCTGATTTGTAGACAATGGAGAACTTTTTTATTTTTACTTTTTTCAATTTCATCTCGTCACGGAGAGAATTGAATTTTTAAAGAAAAGTGAAACTTGTACAAAGAAATATATAATTTAATGATCTATGCAATTCGTTTCGTTTCGATTACACAACAAAACTTTGTTATGCAATCGAGTTAAATATCTGAAAGAAACAAGAACTAAAGTACAGAACTTGGAAAGTGAATGTTGGTTGTTGTGTGTAAGCAATCAACGAAAGAATTTTGGAATGTTATTTTAGGAACAGCCGTAAAGGATTGAAATTCCACTTGAAAAATTAGGCATTTCAGCTGTTCTTCAATCATCACGGGAGATTAATTTTTTGACTGCCCTAAAAAAATTAAATATAACAAACAACATTGGGATTGACGGAAAGGGATGAAAAAGATTGCATGAGACTGATTACGAATAAGAAATGAAATATTGTTATGAAAAGAAATTAAAGTCCAAAAACCGACTTCAAAATATCGGATTTAAAAAGTCAATCATGCAATGAAAGGTAAAATACCCACAAAAACCAACTTAACTTCCTTTTACGATCAAATCATCCTTTTACCTTCTTGAAACCCCAATTCTTCCAGAGTTCCAAACATTTAATTATCTAGTTATTGAGGTCTCCTATACACTCATTTGCTAATAGTCGCGCTCGTTATCGCATCATTTCGATCATCAGAATGAACATTTTAGATTCTCTTCTTTACCTTTTCTGCCTTTTTGCCATCTGTCATCGGAACATCTTAAAATTTTTAAAAAATATAATTTTCTTTCTGAGACTAAAAGGTTTCTCTATTTTTGTCTCTCTCTCTCTTTCTCTCTCTTTTATTTCCATCTCTGTCATCGTCTCAAAACGATACGAAACGAAACCCACAAGTATATCTTCGACTTGATACAACATCACTATAATTATGCCATCGAAATAAAAGCAAACATGTTCGTTCTTCTTACGGTGTCTACCACAAGACGTAAAATTGATGAAATGCTTTTGAAAGAACCTTAATAACTACTCAACAGCAGACCCCAGTGGCAGATCGTTGTTGCGAGATGAAAGACAAACCTCTCAAATTCCATCTTGTCAGTATTTGTATCTAATTCTGTTTTAATCATCATTGCGCGACATATTGTAACTGTTTCCTTCTATCTCTCTCTCTAAGGGCTCGTTTGTCACTCAAAAAATCGATTAGATGTTCGAAATCTAATTGATAGCTTGACGTTAATAATGAACAACTCCCAATTTTAGGTACCTTAAGCAGAACTATTTTATTATTTCATCTTGTCATTCTCTAATAATTCATTAACTTTTTTCTTCGTTTTCTTCTATCCACATCTTTTGCTGCCTCATTGATTGCTTTGCGGAGATCTTTGTTGATAATTCACTAGATTAAATATTCTCCTCTACATCTATTCTCCTCCCCACATACAACATTCATACAGATTTTTTTTCTATCTTTCCTCTTATTACTTGCTTTGCCTTCATCTATGTTCCATTCTTTAAGTTGTCGACTTAGTTTTCAACAACCCAAATGTTGTTCTCTTTTTTTGTCGCTGTTGACATGTTTAGTGAATTGAATTAAGCAAGAAGCGGAACCACTTGAGATTCTATTAGCAATTTTTTCATTTCACGGTTTCATCGCAAATAGAAAGGAACTCACTTCAACTTGTTGTCTTTGACGAATTTGCCAGCAATACGTCTTTGAAGAACTAATGAATACAATGCGATATTTTATTTTGTGTTCATGGCCCACCGAAATAGAATAATTTATGGGATTTATAGCATCATGAATTGCTTTTCTTGGGAGGAAAACAAATTACTACTCGCTGCATAAAATTTCCATTTCTCTTTTCTGAATGTGACATCTCAATCACAGCTGACGATTTCAACTTTACTTCAATCGTTTTAGCTTAGGGAAACGACACCACATTGAGAGATAATTTTTGGTTAACGCCACACAATTATGTTTCATCATCAAGCATAATGCTTTTTGATTTCTTTCTCTCATTCACTGCTTGAGAATCAAGAACCAAAACAGCAGCGTAATTTATAGCGATGCCAGCAATTATTTTAATTTTACTTTCCTTTTGTCCGATGACAGTTTTGTTGAATGTTTCTGAAGTTTTAAATTATTTGACGTCTTCAAATCTGCTTGTCGTTTATCAACTTCTTTAAAAATTTGATTCTTATTTGATTCTTTATTATATTTAAATTAACTAAATATGTTTAAGGTTTCAATTACTGAATATTTAAAAGAAACAACTGTTATGAGTGGAAATGGAATAGATTTGAAACGTTACAAACTTACACACTGACAGAGATCATCGCCTCAAAAAAAACTAACAAAATGTTTCTTTTTTCTCATCAAAACACTGATTTGTTTTAGAAAATTAATTTTCGTCTTCCAAGTTTCACATCTTCTGCTTGTTCTGTTTACAAAGTGACAAGACTTAATTGCGCGGGACAATTCAACGACACTTTTCTGACTTTTTTTTCTGGTGTAGCATTACGACGGAAAATTGAGACATTATTATGGTAATGAAAACATTTTCTTCCACGATTCATAATTTCGATGTTCGCGACGACAAACAGAAATTACTTCAGTTACTTTTGTATGATTCGCTGTGTGAAGTCAGTGATTAACCTGATATTCCACTTCACACGATGTCACCAATTTTCATTTCAAAGACAAAAAAAGAAAGAATGAGAGAAGAATTAAACGTTTCCAGTGTATAGCTTCGAGTTCAGGTGAACATTAACGCTTCAAAAAAAATATATTTGCACTTCAAAAGAACGCATCTGATAGAAACTAAATTGGTATTGATTATGTAGCTTCTGCTTACACGCAAAAAGGAAAATGTTCTGAATCATATCCATAATAACATCCAATGAAACTTCGAAGTGAAATTCCCATGGCAATCCAATGGTCTTTGCCGCTTAAATGAATTTAATTTTCACATCACATTCAATTGATTTCCAATTAATTTTCACATATTTTTCTCTCTATTGCAGTTCTTTTTTATTTCTTCTCTTGAGGTTCGTCTCATCGTCCCTTTGATGTTCTCACTTTTCGCCGATGTTATATGTTGGTTTCATGTCCCGCGTTTTTTTTTTGCTGTGACTCAGAAGAAGGAAAAAACATTTGCAAATATTTATTCTGTTTGTCATTTCAACCACCCAGTGAATCAGCTTGTTAGGAGATCTATATGAACATTGCTAAGGACATTTTGACACTCTCAATGAAGTAGATAAATATTCAATGTGGAGTCTTACAAATGGAATCCCTAATCAATTACAATACCAACATTCCTTATAAATTGTGATAAAAGAAACGTCAAGATCAACGATCTCGAAAACGATCGTCGTTCACTATTGAAATGTAAAATCTTTTTTTAGCTGCACACATAAACGACACACAAAAAAATAATAAAACATTCAAGAGATTTATGTTCAACATTCGCTTCTCTCGAAGATTTACTCAATTTAATAAATTAAATGACTTATTAGCCGCGACCGCCAACGGTTGCCTTCTTCTTACATCTCTGGGCTTTGAAAGAATTTTTTCCATCGTTCAATTCCGTTTTCATTGTGCAATGTGCGCGCCTCTTTCCATCAATTCGTTTCATCAAAATGGATTTTAATCAATTTTAATTTATTTTCGTGGAAATAAACTTCGTCGCTTGATGAAATTTCATTAGCAGATGATTATTTAAGGAATCTTCTTACTTTCTTATTCATCATCTTATTCTTTTGAACCCTGTTTTGTGCTGAGCTCAACTATCTCGACAAATTATGAAACTTTTTACAGTTTCCATTAAATGAATTCGATGCAGTTTAGCACCAGCTATGATTTTAAAGCTTCGTTTAATTACAACAATCATCAAAGTTGTCTGAAAAGTTTGAACCAAAGTGATTATCGACAAGTTCTATCCGATATTGCACAATTTACAATCCCAGCCACATTCCATTCACTTGCAATATTTATTCACTCCTCTATTTCAATTAAAGTTTAATTAAAATCGAGACACTCCTTTAACGACTTTCTGCAGGAGAATTGCAGTCGTCGAACGAACGAACGAACGAACGAACACACCATCAATTTAATTTGAAAAAACACATCATTACGAAACCAACATAGGATAGGATCGGATCAAATCATGATGGATTTATGATATCTCATCTCGTTAATTTCCGCAGTCATGAAGCATGTTAAGTGTAAAGTGTAGCTGTCTGTTGTTACGCTTATGAAAGTGAACTTCAGTGTAGACAAGCCCTGCTTAGCACAAAACCACAAAATTGCCGTCCCGGTGAAAAACGAGACCAGGAAGACCAGTGAAGCACAAAAAAACCGGGAGGCAGTAAGAATTTCAATTTGTCCAAGCACGAGATACAGAAACGAAAGAGAACAGCTTTTATACACAAAGATTACATAAAAATCAAGCCACAAAAACCACAACATTGTATTCTTTTTTTTACCTTTCTACTTAGATATTTATATGTATACAATCAGCCAAAGAGTAATTCGATTGAATCACGGTCCACGTTACATCTTGTACACAAAAATATTGATGGGACAATGAAGATCGAGAGGAAGAAGAAAAATATGTTGCACAATAAATGAAAATAAAAAGTTACCACTAAAAGATTTTTTATGAGAAAAATAAAAAGGAAGAGAAAAAACTCATCACACAACAGCGGTGGCCATAACTTTCTTTAAACTTTTTTTTTCTTCTTTCAACTCGGGATAAAAATAAGAAAACAATTGAATTAAAAAAGTTTTTTTACTTTTCTTTTGCATCGCCATTTTTGGTTTGAAAATTAGAGTTAAGAATGAAACTGTTCACATGTCGCGCGTCTTTCGAGGATTTATTTTTGGAAGTTACAATTTCTACTCTCACAGCAGCACTCATCATGTAAGCAAGATCCATTCATTGACAACATAAAAAGTGATCAGAGAATATAAAATGACATTAAAAGTCCATTCGAATGATTTGTGAAAGACTTTCAATTCAATTCATTTTGTATTCTTCGGGAATCATTCGAGAGGAAAATAAAATAAGTGAATTAATTATAAATTGAGCTTGTAAAGTGCTGCGAAAAATATTTTGTTGAACTAAACTTCTTCTTGTTAAATCGAATTTACGCTCAAGTTTCTAATTTCTTTCTGATACGAAGAAGCAAAGACGTTGCTGCTATCCTTTGGGACTCAAGTTACAAACAACAGAAATCTCATTCAATTTCTTTATCGCCTTCGTCGTCTCACAACAAACAAATAATTCAACTACCCAGAGCGGGAATTTTTGTTGATTTTTTGTATCTTAAAATAATAATTCAAGAAAGTCACCCGAGAGCGAAAAGGAAGAAAAAGAAAAAAAGTGGTCAAGAAGAGAATCGAATTAAAATCAATTCAAATGTCAATAAAATTTGCCGAAAAACAAATGGAAAATATAATGTCGGAAAAGTTCAAAACAAGAAAACTCGATATTTGGTGAGAAAAGAAGACTCGAGTGGATCATCAGCATGCTTAACCAGTTGAAAAATGAATAAAATAAATTTTCTCTTCGTACCCTCTGCCTAACTTCTGGAATATCATGTCGAGTACTTTGTATTTGACATCATGTTGAGTCTTTTCTTTTTTAAGGTACATTCAATTAATTGTGAATGCTTGGTGGGAGGCCATTGACTGTACAATTCAGTTGATTCTTTTGACCTTCGTTTCACTCGAGCTCCAACAGGAATTGACTATTTTTTTTCACAGTAATTGCCCGTGTTCTTCTCTCTTTCTCACATACATTTTTTTATTTTATTTTATATCTTGCCATTAATTCTAGGCTTGTGATGAAGAATGAATAAGCGAGCGAGAAACACGATCGACAATCGATGATAACGCGCTAGCAATTCCACATCTCTTTTCTTCTCATCAATTACATCACCGCCGAAAATGAAGTCATTTTTTGTGTGTCTCGTTAATTTTGTTCCATGTGTCCGACATCAACAACCATCCCATTAAATGTACATTAGATCTCACTATCAGCAGAAAAGAGCCTCAAAGTGGAGGAACTATTCAATTAGTCGAGTTTTTTTTTCTTTTGGTGTTCTTTTTAGAATCACTCACTTCTCCGTTGTATCGTCAAACGTAAAAAGAAGAATACCAAAAGATTATTTTGACTTTTCCTCTACTTGCTCCACGTCTATCTTTACTTCATTTTCAGCGTCATGTTTCAAAAAGGAAAAATTAAAATTATAGATCATCGGACATGGAACGGACAAATTATTATGGATGTTCAAAGAAAACTGAAAATAGATGAGATTGATGAACTGTGACGCACTTTTTAATGAAAGAAAATTAATTTGTTTGTCTTTCCAGATTCGAGAAAATCGATAATGTTACATTAACAATGTACAAACCCTTTAAATATGATTTCCAAATAATTTAATTTTAGTTTCATCTTCTAAGCTCGCATACGTGTAAGAATGTCGCATATTTGTTTCAACTTCCGCGAGAGAAAGTGTTGTGTTGTGGATAATCCACAGCGGATTAATTTTTTAAATGAACACGAATCTGTGACAGAAGAGGTTTGATGCTTGTAGCGATTTTATGGAATTTTCTTAAAACAAACAGTAACAATTTATTTTTCATGAGCCATCATCAGCATTCACTTAATTTTAATACAAAAACATTGTCGTGTGAAATATAAATTCACCATGAAAATTGAGAAGAAAATGCACCGCGGGCTTTTATTTTTTTTCTTTTAACAAAAGTCAATTTGCGGTACTGGAATGGGATTTCATCTTTCATGACTGCAGCCATAACCATATGTGAAATGGCAAAAAAAATTAAGACAAAAAAACTACAAGACAACCAACGAGTAATTCCTTAAATGAATAAGAAATTAAGTCATTATTTTGTTTTTTATATAAAATATAAGATTAACCCAGACTTGCTTGTTGCACAATAAGTAAGACAACATTTTCGAGTTTTATTTTTTATAAATTCCTGCCATCACTGTGCAATTAAGAAAGGCAACAACAAAAAGAAAGACTATCATCGAACAATCTCTCGATCGAAATTAAAAGACAATTTTCAAAAAGCTCATGTGATGCCGCGAGCTTTGCGATTGTTCATCCCAAATAAGAAGAAAAAAAATCTTTTCTTTAATTAGCTAATTGTTTTTAAGTTTTCTCTTTAGTTTTGTTTCATGCCGCATTGCCGGGCAGTGGCAGTAAGAAATCAAAAGATCATTTCTTCAATGATAATTGCTCTGCGGCGCTGCAATTAAGCCAACAATTAAACTCACTCTATCTGTTATCTAACATCAAATCTATTCTTTAAGCATTTATTCTCTCTGCATTGAACTGTTTTTTATAAGTTTTAATTTTAATAGAAGCTGTGCATATGGGAACAAACTTTATGCGATCTTTAGTGATTTTTGATAGAACATTCAGTAATTTTATGGCTGGTTAAAGACAATAAAAAACTTCTTTTTTTACTTAAACATTCTTCTATGAATACTCTAATAAATTTAAGGTTTTAGAGAACCTTTTAATTATTTTTAAAGTGATCGTCATTGTCCAGTTCTCAAAGGCCTGCACTTTGGAAAAGACAGCAAAAAAACATAATTTCCTGATATGGATCTACATAAACAGGATCAAATTTCTTAATTATTTACTGACGAAGGAGAATCGAGAAGAGAAAAAAAATTCGCTTGACGTTTCCTGTGGTTGCAATTTAGAACGAAATTCAGAGCTCTCCACTTTATTTGCGCAATTTTTTGTTTGTAATTGATATCCAAAAGAGAAAAAAAACCCTTTTTATACCCCTTCCCATTGTCACATAATGACGCGAAAGGTGGTGCACGTTTAAGAAATGGAAACCGGAAATGGATCAATGAAACATGCCGCATAAGGTTCGTCACGAATCCTTAAAATAGAAAAATAATTCCTTGTCAACTCAACAACCTACAACAGTTGCGTAATGTTCAATGGAAACCTTTTAATTCATTCATACACTCGATTCAGGTAAACATACAACATAAAACATAACTTATGCTGTTGGAGTTAGATTAATGTTGTCAGTTACAGATTTTTTATCTTTTCAGAAGGGAAAATTATTAACATAAATCATGTTCTTAACTTCATCGTGGTTTAAAGAATGAAAGTTTTTAAGCTGATGAAGAAACATCATCGCTGATGCGCATCAGAACGCATCAAGCCTAGAATCGCAGCTAGCCGGGCGACGACCGGAAGTGACAAATTTCTGACTGCTTTTTTTCAATTATTTCCATCTCGCTGGAGGTAATTTACCTTTGCTAGTGTTGCGTTAATTAAATTTAAATGGGATTTTCTCTTTAACTTCTTTTTTTACGGGCTCATGACGCGGCAATTTTTATGATACTTACAATGGCTTTGAAAGAATTCTTTAGATTGGAAATAAATACAAGAAGACATAGAGGTAGCTTACCCATTCTCATATGGATATGATTCGCTGCCTACAATTAAGTTAAGTTCTGAGACACAACGAACTTACCTTGTTTTGACGGCGAGAATGATTTTTCATATTTAAATCGACTGAAATTGAAGGCATTTGCATCAAAGACATTTCTTCAAGTCATAAATTTATTCTTTCGGCATTAAAGTCATCACACTTTCTTTAATTAATTATTTACTTGTACCTGCATCATCAAGGAAAATTATGTCGTCTTCATCTCCTTCATCTTTCTTCATGTCCATGTCGGTCTGTTCAACGCCATGTCCTTGTGGAATTTTTCCAATATAAAAATCAGCAATACGACCAGCTTCACGTAATCCACTCAACAATGCACCATGAACAGTCGCTGGATAATTTCGAATTGTATGTTCGCCAGCGAAAAACAAACGTGGCAAAGTTTTGTCATCATCTTCGTCACAATCAGTGACAAGTTCATCAAACTTTGCTTCATTTTTTGCTGTCTTTGGTTTGACTGGAGATGCAAGCAAATCGTAATCAGTTCCAGATGAACCAACTTTGACGTAGCTGTATGAGCCTCTAGCCCAAGGATCAGCTCGCCAACGTGTCACGACTGTTTCTTTTGGCTGTGGAACTGTTTTATCGCCAAAGATTCCCTTCAACACAGCGATACATCGTCCAACAATGACATCATCGGAAACATTCTCCATGATATGTGCAGATTGACCAGCAACTAATGCCAACAACACTGGCAACTGATAAATATTCCAGAACAGAAAAAGTTCTCCACGACTAGCTGTTGTGCTTCCAACATGGCCAAATAAATTGATGTCCGGTTCCCAGAACACTTTGTCGAAGCACAGAATAATTTTATTAAGATTTCCAAATCCAAGTCTTTCAATCGACGTTCTCTTCCATTGTGGCAGTGGAGGATCAAAGCGAACAGTATTTGCTTGACGTGATGTTTCTTCGATGGCGATTTTCAATATTCCCAAAGTCAATGTTGACAGAACAATGTCAGCTTTATGAATGATTTGTGAGTTTGTTTTCATGTTTGCTGCTGTTACTTCAACACCGCCATCATAATACTTTATCTTTGTGACGGCCGTGTTGAGACGAATATCCAAGTCACGACTAAGTGCGATTGGTACACAAGAGTAACCATTTAGAACTGTCGTGTGATGTCCAATAAATTCAAAGTCATCATCTTGATCCCAATGCTTCAATGACAGTTCCTGAAGTGGCGTTGCATTGGCAAATTCAAGATTTGCAAAGTGCCAGTCGAGTATTTGACGATCTTCTGAACTTAGATAGACGTCACTGGTTGATGATGAATAAACAAAACATTAAAATCATCTAATTAAACATCAACAAAGCGAACTTACCTCGGCGGTGATCCATTCTCCAATTCTCTTAATTTTGTCTCCAATTCAAGATTTCTCTTCTTCTTTTCACTTTTTTCCTTTCGCTTTTTTGTCAAATCTCGAACAATTTCTCGTTTTTCAAATTCATAATTAAGTCGCATTGCGTCATCATTTGAGCTTCGTTGAAATTCCATCACCTGACTTAGCGAATCTCGTAAGTTTTGAATGTCTTTGTTGCAATCAGCTATGGCTTGTTCATTTGAAATAACTTCTTGTTGGATTTCCTTGATGCTTCTCAAATAATTAATTTTCTTTAATTTGATTTTCTTTTCCTGAAGTTTGATGATCCATTCAAGTGCCTGTCCTAAAGAGATCGGCTCGTTATCAGCATAATTAATGTCCAAAACGTGAGAAAGATAACTTGTGCATTCTAAGATTTTATTGAACTCTCTTTCAATAATTTCGTCTTTGTTTTTTGAGATCAATTTTCCATTTGGTCCGAACAGTGGACATTGTGATTTAATTTTCTTGAGTTCGAGATCTAATTGCTTAGCGAGAATGGTTATGGGATTACCATAAATGCCTGTTACAACCATTGCTCCAATATCAGAAATGTAATTAAACTTTCGGAATGTTGCAATACGTCCACCAACACGATCTCGAGATTCTAAAATCAGAACTTCGAAGCCAAAACTTTGAAGTTTTTGAGCAGCCATAAGCCCACTGATTCCTGCTCCTATGATGATGATCTTTTCACGTCGCTTTTCTTTAATCTCTTGAACTTTCTGGAAAATTCCATAGTTGATGTAACCATAACGGTCGAGAAACAGGAAAATCCTCTCAATCAGCTTCGGTCTCATATCGAAAGGCTTTTCAATGTTTTTCAAAACAAATTCGTATGTCAGTTGATGTTTTACATTTTCCAACCACATCTTTAATATTCTGTTACGTATATTAAGATACATTCGTCGATCGACTATTGTGATGTTTTTTGTGTTAAATTCGGGAAATGCTACAACTTCAAATCTGAAAATAATTAATTAAAATTAAAAACGAATTTAAATTAGATCTTGAGCAAGTTACGTTGTCATTTTGTCGAATGGTAATCGAGACTGAAAACTGGCACCTTAAAATAATGAAAAAAGACTATTTTTGCAATAACTTCTTTGTGTAATTATTATTTCACCTTCCAAAGTTGTAAGGATGTCATATCGAGGATCATCAGGCGGCTCAATATCAGATTTCTTTACTTCTGGAATTTCTTCTTCCTTCTTTTCTGACGTGACAACTCCTTGGTCCTTTTTAACTTCATTCTCGACCTAAAATATAAGTTTATAAGTTAAGAATTAGATCATTAAAGAATAATTCTATTCGTTTACTTTTGGCTTTTTCTTCCTTAATATTCTTCTTCCTTCTAAAGGATCTTGTTCATCAGCTTTTCGACGGATACTTGATGAATCTTCAGGATCCGACTCATCAGATATCACGAAAACAGATTCAGGATTCATTCACACTTCGTTGTTTGTTATTATTTATTATCTTTCATAAATTCGGAAATTTTCAAAATTTTTTGAAGATGCTAAAGCAGCGACTTAAAGTTTTTTGTAAACATAAAAGCAAATTGAAGCGACGCTGAGAATTTGAAAAAAGTCGTTAAACTTCATTAGCAAATAAAATCAAGATGGTGGTTTCTTTAAATTATATAGAAAATACCTAATAAAAACGACACAAAAATATATTATTTTTCATTTCATAATTTATTTACGACAATAAAAAGTCATATCTGATTTGACTTTTAATCTTACATTTTAAGTTAAAATAAGAAAAAAGTATTTAAATGAAAATTATATTGAACCTATATTAATGAGAAAAAATTAACTTGCATGTTAGAAATTGGAATTATTGATCAGTTTAAAATTTAAGTCTCAGCAGCAGCTACTGGAGGTGCTGGTTCATTTGTTTCTTCTTTCTTTGCGACTGTTCCGTTCTCTTCTTTTTTCTCTGTTGGAGGTGAAACTTCAGGTTTAGTTTCAGCAGGTTTCTCTTCGGCAGGTTTCTCGTCTTTGACAACATCTTTTTCTGCTGTTTCTGCTGTGTTCTTTGAATCAGTGCGCTGCTTCTTTCTGGGATTCTTAAAAGATTCCCTGTTTTTACGTCCGTCACCTGTTGGCCCTTCGTCTTCTGAGTCTGAAAAATCATTGTCTGGAATAATTCTCTTGTCCTTCTCCGATTGAGGAGCTCGTTCATCCTTTTCAGCTTCAGTATCTCCATCAGCAGCACCGTCTTGATCGTCAACATCCATTTTAATTCCATCCTCTGGAATAGGCTGAACCTGAACACCCGGTGCATGTGGTAACATTCTCAAGTTTTCAAATAGCCGAGACTTGACCTTTTCGAGATAGTCTGACGTGTTAAGATTTGTCATGTTTGAAGGAGAAATGTGAAGTTTAAAGTCGGGTCCAAAATATTCGAAGTAATCGTTGTATGGTAATTCGTTTGCGATTTCAACTCCAAGTGCAACTGATGTTTCATAAGTCCAGCATCGGGAAACATTTCTGATTGTGTAGCCACCACCTCCAAGCATCATGAAAGGTAAATTATATTTCTTGATGAATTCCACACATTTTCCATGACCTTTAACTGTGAGATTGAAGCAACCTAAACGATCACCTGTAAGTGAGTCAGCTCCACATTGCAAGACAACAGCTGAAGGTTGGAATGTCTCCATAACTTTTGTCATAATTGGAACGAAGATTGAGTCGTAAGACTCATCATCCATTCCATCTCTTAATGGGACATTAACAGCGTAATATTTTCCTTTTCCAGCTCCAATATCTCGTAAATCTCCTGTCCCCGGGAAGTATTCTCCATATTTGTGGAAACTTGCTGTCATGACACGATCAGTTGTGAAAAAGGCTTCTTCAACTCCGTCACCATGATGAACATCAATGTCGATATAGAGAACTCGTTGATGATATTTCAGCAGCTCCAATATACCGAGGACAATGTCGTTAACATAGCAAAATCCAGAGGCTTCGGATTTCTTTGCATGATGAAGTCCACCTCCCCAATTAATGCAAATTTCTGACGCTTGTTTGTTCAATTTCACAGCAGACGCCACTGATCCCCCAGCCGATAATTGACAAAATTCATAGAGGCCATCAAACACAGGACAATCTTCACCAACATTGAATCGCTGCATTTGTTTGCTGTATTCGTTCATATTATCAGGACGAATTGATCGTAGAAATCGAATATACTCGTCCGAGTGAAATTTCGTCATTTCATCTTGAGTAGCTTTGTGTGGACGATAAATCTCCATTTTCCGGTAAAGTCCATAATTTAAGAGTAAGTTATGTGTCATACGTATACGATGAGGCTTCATGGGATGACCTTGCCCATAGTAATAGTTACCGATGTCACCTGAAAAGAGAAATATTAAGTAAAAACTGGATATCTTATAATGCCGGCCACATTAAGTATTTGAAATATTTAAATTTTTGTTTTCTTGAATACTTTAATCAAACTAATATTCAACAAAATACAATAATTAAAGCTGTTAGCATTTTTCTCATGATTAAATAGAATTCAACATAATCATGATCAAAATTAAAAGATTAAACTAAAATATCAAAATTGTCTTTAGTATTTTTAGAAACACTTTCACCGTAGAAAAAGCTAAGAAAGTACGGTTGAAGCATCAAGTGACGCGAAGTTTAGTTCACATAAAATTTAACAAAGCATTTATTTTTAACTATGATGTTTAAAATCTATTTTATCACTTCAAATCAATTTAATTTCATACTCACTATCATAATAATAGCAGACGCGCTTTTTTGAATGCGGTTGCATAGCCATTTTAAACTAAAATCGAATTTTCTTTTCTGAAGAGTTTATTTCCAACTTCACTTGCAAGTGTTTCTGAACGAATGAGAAATAAAATGAATTTTCCAGTGTGGAACCATGTAACAGCAGCAGTGCGTTTAGAAATAATTTGGAATAAAAAGTCCGTTAAAAAATTGTATTTTAAATCAAAATAAATTAAATTCTAATTTTATTCAATAAGCTCTAATTAGGGATTGAAGCTACATATGAAAATAGATCAATTATTTCTACGAGGTACTTCTTATTGATTTAACTATTTATTAATTTAAATGTAAAAACAAATGTTATTTTATCAGAAATAATTTCATTACCAGAAATTTATTTGAACACATTACATAGATATTTAAAAATGCCTTGGCAAATAACTCCTACATTCCCCGAATCCTTTCGGTTCTTTTTTCATTTGATTAAGTTCTCCCACTTGAAAAATTACAGCCATACCTTTAAGAATAAAAAAATGTTTTTAAAATGTCATTTTTCAATAAAACATTCCCGAATACTTACCAATAGCCAAATGCCAATCGAAATGACAATGTCCCAACCAAAATCCTGGATTATCAGCTCGAAATCTTACTCGAATATATCCTGGATTTGGTACCAAAACAGTATCTTTATGAGGTGGTGTTTCATTAGTTTCTTTGCTATCAGATGGAACGTCATTTCTCACAATTTTTTCGACATTCATATGAGTTTTGAAACTTCCCATATCCATAACATAGAATTTATGACCATGCAAATGAAATGGATGTGTCAATGTGTCATGAATATCAAAAAGAATAAGCTCAACAATTGATCCAAGATGAACTTTTATTCGGTGAATGCACCGACAAATGTCTGAATTTTCTATGCACTCTTTATCTCTATAATTGTTTTTATCACAAAACATATTCTCATCGATTTCACTCGGTTGGGATAAAAGAGAAATGTGAGGTAGAGTAAGACTGATATTATTGAAAACCCCAACATTATTGTAGTTGGCTTTAGCTGATGTCACTGATAATTAAATAAGAAAATGTAAATAAGTTTTCTTCCTGTAATGACAAATAATTACCCATAAATTTAATTGTGTTATTTCCAGAGAATAAAACTTCATTCTCTAATTGAGGTGTTCCAATAAACAAATTAAATGAATAATCAGGTTCTGCATGAGTGATTCTTTTATCAATAACATTTCCTTCTACTGTCGAAAGCTTAATTCCCATTAAATCGGGTCTTGGTGAATTGAAATATCTTCCATCAGGAAAGACATCGAGCCAGCCAGGAGGTTTACGATCGTTGAAATTAAAATCGACAGCTTGATCTTTAACAGGATCTTTGTGATAACGTAAAATAGCGAATTCTTCAATCTCCTTTGTACATGGTGGCATTGCTCGTATTCTAACCCAATAGTCTCTCACTTCATCTCGATTAGCATCTACAACAATGTCATAACGTTCACCTGATATGAAAAACAACGTGTCAGCTTTCACGGGTTTGAAACTTGATCCATCACTCGCAATTATCATCATCTCGTGATTCTCAATTTGTAATTGAAATGGACACACGTTTGATGCGGCATTTATGACACGAAAGCGATAGCGCTTGAACTGCTCGACGTTATAGATTGTCAGTGGGGCATCAGAGAAAAGGCAAGTTGTTTTCTGATAAGCAAAGGAATGTGTCGGAATTAAAAATAAATTATCAGGAAATATTTGATGTGCATACATTCAAGAAACGGCCACGTCCATTGATAAGAAGACTCTCAAAAATCGATAACTTGCTGGTTAAACCAGGAAAATATTGTTCAGCGTAAACATGCATCCAATCAGCTGCTAACATGATAAAATCTGGCGGATCGAAGTCGTACAAAGGCGAATCTTCTTTCTCCGTTCTCACAACAATTGGGCCATAAATTCCATTCGCTTTGTGTTGACCTGAGTGGCTGGGGTATAAATGCGTTCCGGGATCTCGAGCATGAAATGCATATCTGAATGTTGTTCCATAATAGATTGGACATTGTGTAATAAATGGAACTCCATCCGAAAATGGTGTTCCCACTTGTCGCAAGCCATGCCAATGAATAGTTGTTGCTGTTCCATCCATCTGATTATTCACATCAACAACAACAATGTCATCTTTGCAAACATAAATTGGTGGACCAGGAAGTTGACGGTTCACTGATAAAAATCCACGCTCATATCCATCAGCTGTAACACATTGATCATGGAAACATTGCGATTGATTTCCTTTCGCACAATCATTGCACGCACTAATTCATATTATTTTCTTATTAAATTTTAATCTCATTTTAAAAATATTTTTGTTGACTCACCCTCCTAAGACTTGATAATACTCAAGTTGAAATTTAAAATAGCAGACTTTTTGACTTTTTGTAGAACATTCGCGATAGCATTGATGTCCAGGAACGGCGTACTTCATGAAATCATGTTCTAGAATGTTCTCATTAGGTGAAATCGATCTCAAAAAAGAATCTTAAAAATAAAAAGTTTAGCAAAGTTAACGAAATGATTTGATAAATTTATATCCATACCCAGGAAAGTTCTACCACTCATTGGAAATGTCAGAAATGACGTTGAATAATTAACGAGCATCACAATTATTACAGATAACTGAATATTTCTTCCCATCCTCAATAAGTCGACTACACTCTTTGACGTTTAAAAGCAAAAGAAGATGTTGCTTCTCAATTTAAATTTAAAATAAAAGTGTTGATTAGGAATATTAAGGTCAGCAACAAAAACGTGATTAACTATATTAAGAACAAATATGTTTGATAACGAAAGTCAATGTTTTGCATTCATTTCGCGAATCATCACGAGATGATAACGTTATTTTTTACTATTTTTGAATACACTTAGGTAGTATAAATATTAAAAAAAGAATTTGAAAATGTTTTAATCTGTCAAATCTATGAACGTTGAATGAAGAAAATTAAATCAATGAATGAATGTTTTCTCCGTATCAACCACGTGCGTTTATTGTTTTGTTTTCTCTTCAATCAAGAATGAATGAATTTTCCTGTTATTTTATGGAATTTTTCGACTGAAAACATTAAACAAAATTAGCATTATTTTAATAAGCATAGTGGGTGAAGTAAATTAAGCCACAAATTTGAGCGCGTAAGATATTGTGAAGGTTGTTATAATAAGTGCGTCGGTAATTAAGTTTCATATTTCGGAAAAAAAATACTCGCGCCAAAGTAAACAAAAAGTCAAATCTGATGTAAACAGAACGCGCGATTGTCTGGCAATCAGGTGGTGGAATCAGAATGTTTCAATGTTTTTCTTTACTTAATGAATCATTTTCGTTGTTTTTCCTTCGTTCAGATCACACAACGAAAAACTGCTTTTCCTTTTCAATTCAGTTTCTGTTCAGATTTCATTGGATTCGGTTGGTTTTAAATATTTTCGTGTGTTATTTTGAGGACTTTTTTTTTAAATAAAAATCTCATCATTACTATTTGATTCTTTGATTTGTTATACATTTTTGAGCAGCATTGATTTATGAATATATGAGAACAGAAACACGAAGCTTTAATGAATACAATGCGATATATGAGTTTAAAGAAATTGAATAATTGAAAAGATCGAAACTTGAACTTTTTCGATGAGAAAAGCGTTTTTATAGAAATTTTATTCAGTTGAAATTGTGCCACGTAATAAATAAGAATCATTCTTCTAAGATTTTCTGAAAACCTACCAACATAAAGTATTTATGTAGCTTGTGTCAGAGCATAATGAAAATTTGTTTTCAATCAATAGAACTATGGAATTCAATATCAAACATTTGTGGATTAATACAATATTAGCGTGAGGTAAGGACATTGGCTGCCCTTGGTCAAAGTGTTATTTATTTTCCTTTATTTAATCACACATGTGTCGATTAAAAAAAATTTACACACATAGATGTATCAGGATTTGTTTGATCTTGACAAATATATATTCACGAGAATTTTCGGTTTTCATATTTCACTATCAAAGCCACCCATCAGGGTCAAACAATAGCATTAATCAATCAATGAATTTTGAAAAAAAAGCTTTTATCCTTTCAACATTCGTCATCAAATCTGACATTAGCTCGTGTACAAATAAAAGATATTAAAGTATGTTATTCAGTTATTACTAAATATCTACATACACTACCGTAAGCAACATATGAATGTCATTAAGAAAATCGTCGAAAGTAAAATATAAAAACAAAAATACATAAAAGTGACAACAATATAAATCGATTTTGAATCAAATCAGTACAGACTTCCATTAAATGAAAGAAAGAAGGAAGAAAAGCAATTAATGTAGATAGATTTGTAAATAATTATGCTTAGGGAAATTGATTGTGTTTCTACGATGCTGAATAAACATGAATTTCAACATTAAGTGCTGGCGAAAGCAATGAGAGTAATATTTATTTAATATTTTATACCTCACACACGACAAGTTCATTTTTTAGCCAATAATCTATGCAATTTTTCTTTCCTTCATTTGAACGTTATGCAAATAAATATGCAGCGTTTTCCTCATGTGCATACATAAATTTGCGAAGCTTACCAGAAAAAAACTTAAAAACTTGGAAACTATTCAAGAAAATATTCTTTCTCTCGTTTTCTTATAATTTTCGTTTGGGAACATAACAAATATTCATGCGTTGCTATTTTGATGAGTCAGTTTGAAGCGTCATGAGTGGCGGGCTTGTAAAGCAACAATTCGTAATGTCTTTGGATAATTAACTGCTAATTTATTTAATCAATTAATCATCAAGCATTGATACACAACGTTGTTAAATTCCTTTCATGACATTATTACGACGCTACTCTACTACATAATAATATTGGAAACAATCCATGTTAGAACGAATGTATGAATGAAGTTCAATGAATTTCATCGCATTCTTCCTTTAGATAGTTTTGCATTTATAAATTCCTCCGAAAATTATTTCAATACTTGAGTTTCATAAGATTTTCCGTGGCTTAATTTAGCATAATAATATCTTGTAGAAAATATTTGAAGCTTATGTAAGTAATAATAATAATAATAATTGGAACATTCTTCTCCGGAATTCCGGAAGCAAAAGCTTCACGGCAAAGCACAATTGGCATATTTCCAAGCGTCGTAGAATGTTGTACTTAGATTTATAAATGTATAAGTTTTTTATTACTTTCTTTTCCTCAAAAAGCAATTTCCTTGGTGGATTTTTTCGTCTTCATGATGTGAAAGTTAACAGCATAATCTTGTCCTAACTCCTAATTTTACCTTCAGTAATGTCATGAATGAATTCATAAGTTCCACCCTCACTAAAGAATGTTCACCCTGAAATGAGCCTTCTCAAATCGTTTTCAAACGCGTGGTAACTTTTCCTTATGGCATGGAAAATTCTTCAATGCGGCAGACGATAAAGAGAAAGTTTTGCACACAAAGTGACATTAATCGGAAGCACTTAATTTAACAACTTTCATATCTGTGTTTGCAAAGGTGTTGTTCACCGATTAGTGTTGACATGACAGATGATTAATTTTGTTTAACGTGATTTTCACTTTCGAAATTATTAAAATCAAAGGCATTCAGAACTTTCATTACCATGTCGTCATTATCAGGACAGTCATTCCATTAATTATGAATCATATAGAATTTAAAATGCTCAATGCCATTTTCATTTTTGATTGGCAGTTTCCTTCTTCAGTTAATGTCTATAGTGAATTAATAAATCAATATCTGAACATATGGTTAGCTGTTAGGCCTATCGGGTATGATTAGATTTCCTTTTCATTGTTTGGTCAGATAAATAACAGGAAAATATTTTTAATGCTTTATGAGTTCATGAAAGCGACCAAAAGCTTAAGCTTTATCGTGCATCACACGTTTTTCTTTTCCATTAAATCCTTTGATACGAAAGTAATTAATTAATTACATATCCATCCATTTGTTTGACCCAATTTCTGTTAATTTTATTCCCTGATCTAATTGGATTGAACTGCCGTAAACATTAATTTCTTCAATGGCAATATTTATGTCACCCACATAAATATCCAAACACAAGATTATTATTATGCTGGTTTTTCTACGCATTTATGTATATGTAATTTTTTTTATCACAAGCTGTAAAAAAAATATTTCATTTATTCAAAATATGATGCAAAATAATGACACACATTTTCAATTGCAGCAATAAATGTTTTGAAATAAAAGAATCATAAAATTCGATAAGAAAAAGAAAGTTAATAGTTGCGACTACTTTTTCCTTATTTCGATTTGAGGACTTCGCATATGTTGTGTCCACACGTATAATTTAGTGATGGGAACAAAAGCAACTGGTTCGTACAGTTTAACATTGAATGTTTTATTTTCCGCCGGACACGAATGATCTTAAATCGATAAGTTCCATAAAAATAAAAGAAGGAATTTTGGCCTTGAAATGAGCGCTACAATATTCTGTCAGCAGCGATTGAACAGACATACATTAGTTATGAACAGATTGAAGTCTACAATATTATTTGTCTTCTTTGAAATATTATTTTAAATCGTTAATGAACTTGACTCAATCTTACGATATCGATTCTTTGAAAAGTTTAAAAAAATGATTTTGACTTTCAACGAACTTGACTTATGAGTTCGTGAACATCAAATGAGAATATCACAATCAATTTATTCATATAGAACACATTCGGATCATAAGTTAAATGTTCCAATTTTCATCTAGAATTAAACGTAAAATATTTGTTGTCATGCATTTATATTAATTATCTGCTCACAATAGTAAATATGGCTCAACACTTTGCTTTGTTTGTTCTAAAGCTAATTACCTAATTACATAGAGTTTTTATTAAAATTCGCAATTAAAACTTATGTTTTGTTGAACAGGAACAAAAGGGAATTAATTGATTTAGAAACGTTTCAAAGCGTGTGGGGAATTGAAAACGATTTCTAATAAATATTTTCCATTATTTTCAGACTGTGTGGATATTGATGAACAATCCAACATGATGACATTCAATCATAAAAAAGCTTTAAAACCAAATAGAAATCTACTTAAACTGACACGAAAGAAAATAAACTTTTGAGCCGTGAAAAATGAGAACATTAAGTGAAAAATTCATTAATAATTAAGACTTTTGTATTGTTACACACAAACAAATTGATATTCTTTTAAAAAATCTACGACTTTAGTGAAATCATGAATAATTCTTTACCAAATGTTGAATATTTGACAAGTGAAAAAGTTCAATTCTATTTGAAAATTATTTAAAATTCTACGAAATGTTTAAAACAACAAAGAAAAATCAAACTGAAGACGTACCACGTAAGTTAAAACCAACATTAATTTAAGCTTTAGTCACTTATGTACAATTTGTACATAAATTCATTTATCATGATCATGTGCTTTGCAACATAAATCCAATGTGTCTGGAATAGTCACAGAAAGTTTCCAGAATACATAAAAGTATGTCAGCGCATAGAAACAACAAAGCTTTTCGAATTGTTTACAATTTTGACTGGAAACCGCTATTTGTCGACTACATTAAAATCCTTCCAACGTTTTCCATTTCACTGAAAAAAGGAATAAAAAAATTTATTCATTCAGTCAAAGTGAAACTCGTGACTTGTCGCTACGACATTTTACTTTCGTTCAAATTTATTTAAGAGTTAAACTTACAATTTATCTAAATAAAGTTTGTTATTGACACGTAACTGAAATAACGCTTTCAGTCAGTGCTTTCTCGTGCTAAAATGTTGCATGCAAACATAGAGAATATTTAATGATTCAGTGAGAGAACTTCAATATAAAAATTGCAACGCAATGCATTGCGTCATAGGCATAATCATATCAGTGGAAAGCGAACGTTCTTTTATAAATGCGAAACATGTCATAAATCTCCTCTACTTTGCATAAATATTTAGTTGACACTAACGAGGCCTAATATGTAATGTTTCGTACTTATGAGAAAAGTAAGCGAAAGTTCATTAAACATTAATATGGGAGAGTGAAAATATTTCTAATGCTCGCATGAACTTGGGGGCTCTTTTTGTTCTACCACAGACAGGTTACATGAATAGTAAACGCTTGTTAGTGTCCAACATAATCTATCATCACAAGTCAAAGTTAGGAATGACTACATTTTCTGTGCCGAGGGAAAATTATTGATTCACTTGTGAATAATTCCTTTCTGTTCTTTAATTTTAATCATTAAAATGAATGGAAGCTAAATATGACTAGAGCCTAATTACTTTCGGATTGATTTTTATTGTCGGTCTATTACGTTAAATATTTTTCTAGCAAAGAAATTAGATTAATGATAACAATTTCTCATCATCGTAAAATTGTAATTACAAATAAGTGAGCATGAAAATTGGACCTTATAAAAGGTTTCTCTGTTTTTTATTTCAGTTAATAAAAGCATAACACCTTGTTTGGAAATTGAATCCATGACGAACAATAATGTCAGCTTTGTTTCCGCCAACGGAAGCATATTAAATTAAATTTGTTTCCTCATCTGAATATTCAAGTATGATGGTTCACAAAAGTTCACTTGAGCTTAAATGTCAAAGCTTTATTTCAATCGACAACTTCTCATCTTCTAACTCTGTAAGCTTCCATTGTTTTCTTTAAGGATTCCATCGTTTTCTTTTTCCTTCAATGGGAAGTGTCTTCATCCAAACTTTTACCTTCATACTCTTCAACAATTTCTTAAGTATCATCACAGCCATAAGTTTTTTCAAAAAAGCTCGTAGATAATCCTTTTATTAACAAAACAAAGTTCTGCTCGTGATGAATCGTTTATTTTTGTTTGTTTTTGGAACTAATTCATGGTTCATTGGACAACAAAACCTAAAAAGGAAATGAAGTAATTTTTGAATGTGATTTAATGTTCGATTTCAGGATAAGAACTTGATTAATATTTGTTACCTTCTTCGTAAAAGGGCCACACGAACTTTTCCTTTCATTTGAACCTAAATGAAAATTCGATGATTCAACCAAGTGTTTCGCAAAGTTGGGTCATTAAACGATGAATGATAAAAATCCCAACACCCCAAAGCGCTAGTTGAGTTTACAACAACTCTGTGCGCCTTTTTGCTACTTTTTCCCTGTTTATATTACATTCTGACCATAAAAATAAAGTGACAGCGACGCCTTCTTGACAACCAATTGTTTTTCACAAGATAAAAATTGCTTTTCCCATAATAATAAAACATTTGATGGCTTTCGGATTCTCTATTGAGATTTAATGATTGAGTCAATCAAAACTCGATGAACAGAAGAAAAGAAAATTAAAAAGTTTTGTGTTGAAAACAGAAATGATGTGAATTTTAAAAAGAAAAGTATTGAAGCTTGATAATTTTATTTAAAAAGAGTACAAATAATGACAAGCAAAGTGAGTTCTGAAAGTGTTGAAATGGAATTGATAAAAAACGAAAATAGTTCTTTGAAACCATTGTCAGCACCACCATTGAAGCTTACAAAGAACGATGAAAATGTGGAAAATAAAAACGTACTTTTTAGACGTTCAACTGGGAGTAAAAAGCAGCGAAGAAAAGCTCAAATTCCGTCGAGTTCAAGTCTCCATAGTTTAGTTCCAATTTTAAAGGCATCAAATTCTGATCAAAGATCGGTTCCAAATGTGTCATTCGATGACGAATCGAAAGGTCTTGGAGTGTCTAAAAATTCTTTATTTGTCACAATAGATCGTTCAATTGGAGAAACATCTTCACAGTTTAACGACACAACAGAAGGTGGCGAAAGCTCTCAAAACCGAGAAGAAAGCTTTAGCACTCAAACATCATCGATTGGTTTCCGTGCTTCATTCTTCTCCGTACTTGAGAAACTTGGTGTTTTACGTAGTCAAGATTTGTATAAACCTTCGCTAAATTCTAACGATACGAAATTACCACCCGAGAGAAAAACTGCCCGAAGTTCAATAACAAGTCTTTATATGAGAACCTTTTATGGCGGTAATTAATAATTTACTAATATTATTATCATAAGAAGAAGAAGATGTTACAAAGTTTATTAGAGCTCTTGAATTTTCAAACTATTTCCAACTTGTTGCAAAGCACATTTTTCATTCCTCACAATGAACTTGATTATTATATAAAGAAATATTTAATCGATAGGAGCAAAGCGCACGCGAAAGTGTTTACATATTTAATTATATTTATTTTTCTCCTTCATATTCAAACAAACAGAAAACGATCGAAGAATTCGGGCAAACGACAGAGATTACAACTCACAATTTCGTTATGCAGTAAGAAATCATTTAGATTTTTGTTCCATTTCAATTCTAAATATTTAATATCAAAATTTTCAGAATAATTTCATAAAAACTTCAAAATATTCGCTGCTCACATTTCTGCCACTAAATCTTTTGGAACAATTTCAACGCTTAGCGAATTTCTACTTTTTCTGTCTACTCATTCTTCAACTCATACCAGCGATATCATCTTTAACGCCTGTGACAACGGCAATACCTTTAATTGGAGTTCTTAGTTTAACAGCAATAAAAGACGCTTACGACGACTTTCAACGTCACTTATCCGATTCTCAAGTTAATAACAGGATCTCAAAATGTCTACGAAATGGAAAGTTGGTGAATGAAAAGTGGGCGGGTGTTCAGGTAAGAAGAAGAATAAATGTTGACCCACATTGTAGTAAATACTAAAGAAAATTTCGGTCAATCGGATGTTTATCGCGTGAAATTTCTATAGGTCGGTGACATTATTAGGATGGAAAACGACCAATTCGTAGCTGCAGATATTTTGCTGTTAACATCAAGCGAGCCAAACGGACTTTGCTTTATTGAAACTGCGGAACTTGATGGCGAGACAAATCTTAAGATTAAGCAATGTCTTGTTGAGACAGCTGCCATGAGTCAACGCGAAGATTTATTATGGCAGTTTAACGGGGAAATAATTTGTGAACCACCAAACAATCATTTGAATAAATTTGAGGGAACTCTAATGTGGAGAAATCAACGTTATCCTCTTGACAATGAGAAAGTTTTGTTACGTGGTTGCGTGCTAAGAAACACGCAATGGTGCTATGGAATGGTCATCTTTGCTGGCAAGGACACAAAGCTAATGCAGAATTCAGGAAAAACTAAATTTAAACGAACAAATATTGATAAGCTTTTAAACTTTATAATCATTGGGGTGAGTTATGAATGATTCATTGAAACATTTTATGAGTTTTCTTCTTGGACATTTCAGATTGTGTTTTTCCTTCTATCAATTTGTGGCTTTTGTACGGTTGCGGCAGCACTTTGGGAGGGTTTAATTGGATATTATTTTCAATCTTATCTGCCATGGGAGAGAATCGTTGTGCCCAATCATATTCAAGGCGCGACAGTCATTGGAATGCTTGTTTTCTTCTCTTATGCGATTGTTCTCAATACTGTGGTTCCCATATCACTTTATGTATCAGTTGAGGTGTGTAGAGAAACAATTTTCATCTCTTTATGCTTTCACTTGAATAAATATTTAACAGGTCATTCGATTTGCTCAATCATTCCAAATCAATTGGGATGAGAAAATGTTTCATAAGAAAAGCAAAACATTCGCAAAAGCTCGAACGACAACGCTCAATGAAGAGCTTGGACAAATACAATATATTTTTTCGGATAAAACAGGAACATTAACACAAAACATAATGACATTCAACAAGTGTAGCATTGCTGGAAGGGCATATGGTGATATTATCGATTTGAAGACTGGCGATGTTGTTGAAATAACTGAGGTGAGTTTGAATAATCTTCGAGTCATTTGGAATCATCGATTAGCCTTTAAGAGCACGAATCTGTTGAATGGATATTTGTGGCACATAGAACGGAAAATTTATTTTTATCTCTCGTTATAATGTCAATAATGGAATGAATTATTGTCATGATGATTACACCTAACTTTGTGTCGATAAAAGTAATTTCGGACGTTCGTTAGATTCATTTAACAGCATGCAACATATTGAACGATATCAAAAAGCGTGTTCAAAGTCAAACATCTAATAAATCCTGAAAGTAATCAAAAATCATGTCAACATCATCAGCAATCACCAATAAATTTAATTTCATTTAATGGTTTTCATAAAAACGGCAAATGTTTGTTCATTTTGTTGAAATTGGATGTATCGCCATGAAAGTAAATGTTTGAGAGTCAAAGTTGCTTTTGATTTTATTGCTTTCGTTCGTGTTGCTATTTCCATCGACACTTCATCTACATGAATTGCTTTTTTATTTTATCTTCAAACTCTTACAGGAGACTGAGCGGATTAACTTTTCGTTTAATCCTTATTCTGAACAAGAATTCAAATGGTACGACAGAGAACTTCTAAATGCTGTGCGGTCAGATGAGGAAAATGCGCATTGCTTCTTTCGACTTCTCGCATTGTGCCACACAGTGATGCCGGACATTAAAGATGGCAATTTGGAATATCAAGCACAAAGTCCTGATGAAGCTGCGCTTGTGTCGGCAGCAAGAAACTTTGGATTTGTTTTCAAATCTCGAACGCCCAGCAGTATTAGCATCGATGTTAAAGGGAAATTAGAAGTAAAAGTTTGCATGAATTTTTCATTAAAATATTCAATTCATGAGTTGATTTCTTTGTTTCTTTAACAAACAGGAATATGAATTGTTGAATATTATCGATTTTAATAATACACGAAAGCGAATGTCGGTTATTCTAAGACGAAACAATAAAATAATCTTATATTGTAAGGGTGCAGACAATGTGATATATGAGAGACTGGGAAGCAACCAAAATGATATCAAAAATCGAACTCAGGAACATTTGAATGTGCGTTTGTTGATTGATTTATGTATTCAATTCAGTTTAAATATCTAAATGACTTTAATTTTCCACATAGAAATTCGCTGGCGAAGGACTTCGGACACTTGTTCTTGCTGAGAGAATTGTTGATGAATCATTTTATAATCGATGGCGCAGACGGCAACAGGATGCTGCAATAGCGCCAAAAGATCGTGAAGATAAACTTGAAGCAATTTATGAAGAAATTGAAAGTGATATGAGACTGATTGGAGTCACGGCAATAGAAGATAAGCTTCAGGATGGCGTTGCTGAAACAATTGCCAACTTACAAACAGCCGGAATCAAGATTTGGGTATTGACAGGTGACAAGCAAGAGACTGCGATAAATATTGGTTACTCTTGTCAATTGTTGACCGACGATATGGTCGATATTTTCGTTGTTGACGGTATAACGAAAGCTGAAGTCGAACAGCAGTTGAGAATGTTTCGAGAGTCAATTAAAATTGTCAACACGTTTCATCCCCCGGGTGTACAAAACGTCAACTCGAATGGTTTCTTTCGTCGAGATCAAACAGTTGATTATAAAGTACAAACAGCACCTGCAATATCAATCGTTACATTCAGTTCTGAAGTTGAGAAAATATTTGAAAATAGCGAAACAGGAAAAAGAGAACAAACAGTTTCGGGTGCAAATGTATTGGCAAAGGAACCTCCTGAAATTGAAGATGCGTCAGGCTTTGCAATTGTCATAAATGGTCATTCACTAGTCCATTGTTTGGCAGTTGATATGGAACAAAAGTTCTTAGAAATCGCATCACAATGTCGGGCTGTTATATGTTGTCGTGTTACGCCACTTCAAAAAGCTTTAGTCGTTGCACTCATGAAGAGAAATAAAAATGCAGTAACGTTAGCAATTGGCGACGGTGCAAATGACGTCAGCATGATTAAAGAAGCTCACATTGGCGTTGGCATATCAGGTCAAGAAGGAATGCAAGCAGTTCTCGCGAGTGATTATTCAATTGCACAATTCAGATATCTCGAGAGACTTTTACTTGTACATGGTCGTTGGAGTTATTACCGAATGTGCAAATTTCTTCGCTATTTTTTCTATAAAAATTTTGCATTTACTTTGTGTCACTTCTGGTACGCTTTTTTCTGTGGATTCAGCGCTCAAGTCAGTTTGAATTTTTATTATCAAAATTTTCACTCAAGTTATTTATTAAAATTTGAACATTACAGACAGTCTTTGATCCGATGTTCATATCCGTTTACAATCTTTTTTACACTTCGCTACCAGTTCTCGCACTTGGTGTTTTTGAGCAAGATGTTTCCGACAAACATAGCTTGGAATATCCAAAACTTTATACACCTGGATTAACAGATGCTTTGTTCAATACAAAAGAGTTTGTGAAAAGTGTCATTCATGGAGTGTTCAGCTCTCTTGTTCTGTTCCTTATTCCCTATGGTGAGTTTTTTAACTAAGTTTTATTCATTCATATCTTTATTTATTTATCGTCACAGGAGCATATCGTGATATTATTTCACCCGAAGGCCATGTGTTGAGTGATCATATGCTACTCGGTGCAGTTGTGGCAATGATTTTAGTTCTGGATAATACAACACAAGTAAGTTGAATTAAATCTAATCACTTATCTCATTTTTTATAAATTCTTTCAATAAGATTGCATTGGACACATCATATTGGACAATTTTCAATCATATCACGATATGGGGAAGTTTGTTATGTTATTTGGTACTTGATAGTTTCTATAATTATGTTATCGGTGGCCCATATGTTGGTTCACTCACAAAAGCTATTATGGGATCAACATTTTGGTTCACAACGATATTAACTGTTATAACATTGATGGTTCCTGTACTTGCATGGAGATTCTATACGTTTAGATGTCATCCTAGCTTAGCTGATAAGATTCGAATGAAACAACGCAAGACTAAATCGACACGTTCGAAACCAGAAATGTTGAGAACGCCATCAGCAAGAAGATCAAGAAGATCGTTGCGTTCATCTTATGCTTTTGCACATGAGGTCAAATCTCTTTTTATATCTTTTTACGTAATTTTAATTGATTAATTATATTACAGGAAGGATTTGGTCGTCTTATTACATCTGGAAAACTCATGAGAAAATTACCGCAAGATTTGGCATTTCCCTTAGGACTTGGCTCAAAGAAACAATATTCGGTTGAGAACGAAACTTCTAATGGAGCTTTAAAGACAAACAATAAAATTTTACCGGGTAGTTCAAATAGTGATCTCAGTCCACGAGCTCCTTTGTCAGATTTGGATACAATTAATCTTTGAAAAGTCCGTTATTTAAGTATGTCGTCTCTCAACGTTGTGAATTTAATGTATTAAGTATTTAAATTATAAAATCGTTCGTCCAAGTGACGTTAAAGAAGAGATATTTTATAAAGAATTTAGGTATTTAGCGTTGTATACGTTACCGATAGACATGTACTACAGGATATCTCACAAACAAAAGCCCATCGAAAGCCTTCATCATTAACCATCACAAAACCCCATCAGAGCCTTACATAATAAAAATATTTACAAATTTAGCACCATCATGAATTTGCTCAACAAATCAAAATAACATTAAAACGTTTATGTTTATGTCATAAATTAAATTGGAATTATTTATTGTGACTTTGCTACAACATGACCAATTCAAGCATAAAATGAATTTATAAAAAGTAAACATAAATACTTTTATATTCGCATTTTTTCTGAAAGCTATTGTTAAAGATAATCAAAGAAATTTATTGTGTTATCAAAATGTTAAAAGGAGGTGTGTAAATAAAATGAATAAATATAAAAAATTCTCTTTTAATCAGATGTAAACTTAATTTAACGGTTTCAACGATTTTAAATGTTCAACAGTTTATGCCCATTTGGACTCAATAGCAGATTTTTGTTATTTACGTTTTGGCGAAAAAAGTGTTTTGTATATTTTTGCTGTTATTCATTATTGTGAACTAACTAGCTAATGATCTAAGTTATATTATAGACACAGTTAAAAGACAGAAATTTATTACAAAGATAAGAAAGAAAAGAATATGAAATTCAGATAAAAGAAAAAAAATTCTTCAGAAGTTTTATTTTGATTTGAAAATAAGATAATGGATGATAGCGGAAGTATATCAATTCGCATTTGCCTTGATGGCCATGCTAACTCACTTGCCTTGAACAAGGACAACAATTGCATAGCTGTTGCAGGACGTTCTCGTAAGTTTCTAAGCTTATCTTGTTTTGTTTAATGATTAATGCAATTCAAATATTCTTATCATGTTCTAGTGCTCAAAGTCTTCAGCATTGAAAGTGATGGATTCTCAGAAGTACATAATATGCGTCAACCACAGAGTAACAACAAAAGCTTGAATTTGACATTCAGTAGTAATGCAATTGCCTGGTCGCATCTTGATACAAACGTTCTCGCTACTTCAGCCACGAATGGTGCAGTTTCGATTTGGGATATCAATAAATTTGGCCGTAATAAACAATTGAATGTTTATCATGATCATGACAGAACAACACATGCAGTTATCTTTCATCAAACTGACCCAACATTACTCTTATCAGCTTCTCAAGATTCAACACTCAAACTTTTCGATTTGAGAGAAAGATCTTCATGCGTTTCAACATTCACAAGCACTGAGAGTGTTCGTGACGTCAAATTTAATCCATTCAATTGTAATTCATTCGCTTCTGTAAGTGAAAACGGAACTGTACAACTTTGGGACATTCGAAGATCTGAAAAGTTTGTGCAACAATTTACAGCACATTCGGGGCCAATTTATTGTCTTGACTATCATCCAACACATCAATGGTTAGCGACTGGTAGTCGTGATAAATTGATCAAAGTATGGAACATGTCAAGTGTGAAGCCTTCACTTGAATACACAATTCACACAATTGCAGTTGTTGGTCGTGTTCGTTGGCGACCCGAAAGAAAGTTTCACATCGCAAGTTGTTCTTTAGTTGTCGATTATTCAGTTTACATTTGGGATGTTCGACGTCCTTTTATACCTTACGCAAGTTTCAATGAACACACAAATGTAACCACAGATATTTGCTTCAAAGGCGTTCCCGACATTTTACTTTCAACTTCAAAAGACTCGACAATTTATAAACACTCAACAAAAGATGCACAACATCCTGCAGCGTCCGCAAATCCCCAAAGCGGTTCCATCAATTTTCGAGGTGATCTTCTTTTCGTATGTAAAACCAAAACCAAGCCAACAATTCCTCCAATGATTCCAAACTCGGGATCATCGACGAAACTTAACTTTCTGAAAAAGCACACGCACGATACTGTCGACTCTGCAATTCCCGCATTAGAAGACTGGTTTCATCTTGCGAAATCTTCACTTCATTTCTTCACGATGGAATCTAACGAAGCAGCAACGGACGTTATGAAAATCGATGACGCATTGACAAAGACTTTAAAGAAAGATTATATGGCATTTCGGGCTTGTGCAATTGATTATAAATTCAAAACAGACACACAAACAGATTTCTTAACTTTGTTAGATTACAATTCAAACATTGCACGTAAACATGGTCGAGCAAATGTGGCGATGTTGTGGAATCTTGTAAAGATGGTCTACAAAACGGCACCATCGAAACATAATCAAGTGAATCATCTCACATCACAAGTTTCCAATCAATCAAGTTCCGGTTTGAGTGGAATTACTCGTGCTAGTGGATCGTTTGGGACGGCTGGAATTGGAATGATGTCATCAAATGCTGCAAGTAACAGCAACATTCATCCCGATGGTTCAAACGATCATTCAACTCAAAATTTATTTGGTACATCGTCAAACGATGAAGTTTTTGATGCAAACGACGTTAGTGGAACAATCACCGTACCGAAAATGTTAGTTCCTGATCTCGAAGTTGAAGTTTTCGATGAAAATATGAATCACAACAACATTGATCATCAACATTTGAGAAATGGATTTTTATATACAGGTCCACACGATAATGATGTCATTAAGGAATTGCCAGCTTGTTCATCATCACTTATCAATCATGACCTCACACATACACATTACAAACATCATCGAAATGAGATTGAACGTGACATTGAAACGTCGCCTGTAAGTGTAGAACATTTTTCCTTGTTTAATTATTTAATTATTTCTATTAATCACAGCCACCTGAACCACCATGCATCTTAACAGTGCCTACAAATATTGACATTCAATTTTGGAAGCCATTTCAAGTTCTCGCTGATTGTTTAATGCTTCAAGCAGAAGTTGGTGACGTTCAAACTCCAACAGCAATTCTGATTTGTCTCGGTGACCGACGAGATGATTTACCAATCGATCATTTTGTTCAGGAAAATTGGCTACAATCTTATGTAGATTTACTTCATCGTCATCAGATGTGGAATGAAGCAACTGAAATTATCAACATTAGTTGGATGCCTTCAATATGTCAATTAAATGAACAATCGACAGTTATTCAAACAACATGTGGCGAATGTGGGCGAACACTTCAAAAAGGCTGGTTTTGTAAACATTGCAAGTCAACTGATCCATCAAAATGTGTCGTTTGTCACGTTGTTGTGAAAGGAATCTACGCTTGGTGTTCAGGATGTTGTCATGGTGGACACATTGAACATCTGCAACAATGGTTTCAAACAAATCCAAGATGTCCTAAATGTAATCATTTATGTGAATATGATTAGAATGAAACGAAAATGTTGTGAGGAATAAAATTTATAAATTTATTTAACATTGTAAATCTTTGAGAATATTTTTCTCTCTCGTTAAAGATGTCATTGATAACATTTGTACATGTTGTTTATTCTCTTGACATCTCCCGAACTTAAACCTTTTCGTTGTCCCATGATTCGTGCGTAGTTCCGATTGCGTGGAACAATCGTTTCCCTTCCGTTTTTAGAAAAAGCTTTGCCATGATAATGCATGACACTGTACAGATCGTAAGTTGTTCCGAAATTTCCGAACCATCTCGGATTGACCTTATCGAAATTACTTTTGACATTTGGCTTAATATTTTCCCATTTGATGTCAACATATCTGTCGCGATCAAAATGGCTGTGCATGTGATCATACCCAAGAACATGAATTAATTCATGTTGAACAATTCCTTTCGACATGCAACCATTGTTAGCAAGCGACACTTCTTGTTCTCCGCCTTGTTTGCCCATGTTGGCACTACAACCATCGCCCGATTTAATCTTGATGTAATCTTTTTCCCATGATCTAGCCACAAAACGAATGCAAGTGTACTTCTCGATTCCTTTCATAGCATTCTTCATAAGATTCTTTTGATTTGTTGCTGTTGAAATATTAGTGAAGTTATGTTAATGAATTAATAATTATGAACTTACTGTAGTCACGATTGTTAAAGACATAAGGAACGGTAACCTCTCTTCTATAATTTTTCGGCCATCGATATTCGTCGAATAATATTCCAGTCCTTGTCACCATATCATCACTAGTGTCATTCGTAAACATTGCTTGCAATAATTGTGGAGTTATGACGATGTCACCTTGAAAATATTCTCCAGCTTCCAACCCAATATTTGTTGTTTCAAGACTTGCATCATAAACCTCATCAGGATCGTCTTCACTTAGAATCTCCTTCGAATCAACATCATTTTCTTCACGAAAAATTATTGTGTCGGGATCATTGAAAGGCTTCGAAATAGTTGATTGAACAAGCAATAAAGTTATTGCGCACTTTATTAAAATCATCTTAGAAATTATGAAATCTGTTCAAGGCAACGATCAACAAACAACTAAAAACAAATTCATAATTCTTAATTGACTAAATTTACAAAATAAAGAATTCAGATAAGAATTTTCGGAGCATCATGAGAAACTTTTATTTGTTTCGTTTACTTGAATCTCCGCTTGTTGACAAATTTTTTTCAGCGCCTCTCTTTCGTTTGTTGAGCGGATTTCTAGGATCGTAAATGTCGTACCAATCATCTTGTTTCTTTGAAGCGTCTTTAGCTAAAACAGCGTCATGACTATCGGAGAAATCTAATTTATGAGAAAGCCAATTTTCATCATCAGAGTCTTCATTTAAACTTTGTTTTTGTGGTGGTTGATCAGCTGTCGACTCCAATGCTGAATGAAGTTTATTTTTAAATTTTGCTAACAATTGCAAAGTGAGTTCTTCTCGTGAAGCTCCTTTTGTTGTAAGTTTCTTCTTTTTATATTTTTCCTTCTCTTCGAGATAATCTTGAATGGTTTCATCTTCGTGTGTTGGTTTTGGTGTTTCTTTTTCATTCTTTTCTTCCTTGTTTTTGTCTTTCTTGTCTTTGTGATATTCTTTCTTGATGTCTCTTATCTGATCTTGAATTTCTTTCTTTTTCCTCTCCAAATCTGCAAGTCTTTCCTTCTCAAGAGTCATTTCGTAATCACTATCAGAATCATCTTCTTGAAGTTTTTGTTTGTCTTCAGTTTTCGGAGGTGGCGTTCGAGATGGCGATTCTTGTTTCTTCCTTTCTTTTTCTTTTCTTGATGATTTTTCGTTGCTTGTTTGCGGCTTTGATTTATCTTTATCAGTTTCTTTTGGAAAACTTTCCACTTCTTGTTCATCTTGTTCAGCTTCGTCACCAAATGAAATCAGTTTGAAGTTTTTAACTCCTTCACGTTTTGGCTTCTTCCTTTTCTCAGATTCCTCATGTGACTCTTTACGATGCTCAGCTCTTGGTCTAATATCTTCGAATGGATTATGAAGAATCTTCACTTTATTGATTTTATGAAGATACAAAGGTCGATCATTGGCATCGGTCTCAGATTCTGCCAATTTTATCATGTTATAAATTGTCTCGCCTGTCACTTTGCCAAAGATCGTGTGAGTGTTTTGGAGTTCAGGTGTTGCATCAAGAGTGAAAAAAAATTCCATGTTGTTTTCACTGCCTTCATTGTTGGCCATTGCAACAAGACCTAAATGAGATTCAATTTAGATTACAAATTATCACGAATCAAAATTTCTTCCAACTTACCTCGTCTTGAGAAACGAAGACGAGAATGAAATTCATTCTTAATAGACTCAATACAATCAGCAGTCTCTGAATTTTCCCCACATTGTACAATGAAATTAGGAATTAATCGATGAAATGGTGTTTTGTCATAAAATCGATCTATACACAGCTGAATGAAATTGCGACAAGTTTTTGGCGCTTCTTTTGACCATAATTCAATTTCTAATTCGCCTACAGTTGTCTTCAATAAGACTTTCCCATTAGTTGGTGGTTCTTGAATGTAGATACTACTCATTTTTGATTTTTGGATGCTTTATTACGAGATTTTTTGATAATAAGTTTTATATTTGTTTTTGTAATTTTTATTGTTTACAATTTTTTACTACCGATATTTAACCCGTCAATTTTACGGTCGGACTAGAACAATTCCGACCGTAAAGGACTACATAGAACAAGAATGTAGAACCATACAAATTCTTTTATACCCTTTGAAATGGAATCAAGGGGAAAGGAAAAGTTCACTGAGAAACTCATTTACAAAAAACCTCGTGGTGCTTCAAAACAATTTCATAATTGCAAATATTCCTGCAATTGTACAGGAGATATAGCAATGGGTAAGACAAAAAAAGGTAAACCAAAACCTCATAAATCGAATCCAACTGGATTAGTTTCGATGAGAGAACTAGAAATGGATGAAAATGGGTCAACAGGCGGTCCAATAAATTCCATCATAGAGCAACTTCAAAGTGTGAATTCTGATGAGAAAATGTGCGGCTTACAAGCTCTTTCAACCCTTTGTCAAAGAGAATACAATATCCAGAGTATTGTTGACAGTGAAATCGTAAGAATTGCTGCTCCAATGTTAGTTGATCATGACTTAAACGTTCGTCATGCTACAGCCGGTGCGCTTCGGAATTTTTCAGCCGTATCTGTTGAAATTTGTGAAAACCTCGTGGAACAAGATGTATTTACGCCACTTTTAATATTACTCAATCAGTATGTAAACAACGATTGGCTACCAACCAAAGAGAAACGTTCAGATACTCTCGACCAGAAATCCGATACTTTTCTTCAAGCTGTTAACATCGTATGGAATCTTTGTGAAAGTACATCTGTAGCTTTAGAATATTTTAATCAGTCACAACTTTTACAAAACTTTGTGCGATGTCTTAATTATGAGTTATTTGGAATGGATATTGGTAAGTTAATTACATTTTTAATTAAATTCACTTAAAATAATATCTAAATATTTCTTTAGCTATTTCAGTTGGTCAATGTCTCTTAGTGATATCAGAAGATAATGCAGCAGCATGGAAAGTCCTCATAGACCATAATTCAGACTTTCAGAATTTATTGAAAATTGATGGCGACTTTCAAATTGTGATGCTACGTACTCTTGTCGCTGGCATTATCTCAAATGTTCCAGCACTTTTGATGCAAAACTTGAAATTAGTCATTGAAGCTCTGAGTAAGACAATCGAAATAAATCATCGCACTGTTTTAAATGAAATCACCAGTAAACTGCCATTAAATGAGACTGATGGTCCTCAAATTGAAGTGATTGACGAAGAGATGGCAGAGGAATCAGAAGCTGACGCCTCTTTTCGAAGATTTAAGGAAGAATGTCCAACAGAACTTGATAATGAAATCAAAAATGTTGCTTATTTGCTGTCAGCTCAACGAATTTCATCGGAAGTTTTAAGCAACATTTGCACACCCGAAGACGATGAAGGAATGGACGAAGATTTTGATGATAAATCAGATGCTGAAAGTGTCCATGATTATGATGTAACTCAACAAGCACAGCAAAATGGAAATCAAGTAGGTGGCGATAAAATACCAGTGGAAATTGCAGAAGCAATCAAAGCACATCAAGTTGTTGAAAAGGTGAGTTAATCTTGAGTTTTAATAATTTTAACTCCACATGGAGTCAGCAAGCTGATCTTTGATAATGGAACAGCAACTGCGTTACACCTGTGGGAGATGAATAAGCTTGTTGCATTTTATTCTCTTTGAACGTCCAAACGAACTGTTTTAGTTCAGGAAGTGATAGGAGAAGTGACATGTCTGACGTTTTGAGAGAGTTTGTTGAAGAAAGTTTTCATTCAAGCTTCAACTTTAGTATCGAAACAAACATTTCTTCTGTCTGTCTTATTTTAAATATTCTAACAAATTATTTATTAGCTTTGGGCTCGAGCTCAACTACTTCCAGAAAATGTCCAACAAATTTTAGCTGAATGTGAGAAAAATCTTTGGAAACGACAAAATTCCTTGAGAGTTTCGTCACTTCTATGTCTTCACAATCTTTGTAATTGTATGACGATAGAAGATCTTGGTGGTGCAACAGCAATCTACAATGTGTGGCTTGATTTAGGACAACAAATCTTCCAGACACATCAAGATCCAGCAACTGTTGAAGCTGCCACTAGTTTGATGCGAGCGACATTAGATCATTTAAAAAAATCACCAGAATTGTTTGAACAAGTTTCCGAAAATGATCTTCATCTCATTCTTGATGGTGTTAAAGATTGTGAGAAGTCAGAAGTTCGAGCAAATTGGTTGCGAATGTTGGGAACTTTGGGATGTCTGTTGAAAGAAAATCTTGTGAAAAAGATTGTCGAGTTTGTCTTAGATGCCACATTAAAAGAAAATGATGTATGGACATTATCAGAATCCTTGGATAGTTTTATGGATATTTTCTCTGATAACGATTGGAATCAAATAGTTGACGATCTGAATGTTATTTTAAAATCACGTGAACTTGAAAAGATTTTAAAGACAAAGGTAGAAAAATCTCAAATTTAATCAACTTCAAAAGAAAATTTCTAAACTAAATAATTATTTCCAGATGCGACAGCAAAAACGTGAGTTGGGCGACCGATATTCATCGATTCTTACAGTGAGAACAAATCTCACACGATTTTGCAAATATCTTGAAAATCAACAGAAAATTTATATGAGAAGTAAAAATTAAAATTTCATGCATTTAAATTATGTACATAAAATAAAAAAAAATTTCACAATTAAAATTCTTTTGTTCTTTATTTACACTTAATGAAAAGTTAAAGTAAAAAGTTATGTGAAAATTGTGTAACGAAAGCTTCTGCTTGAACAAGAAATATCTACTTGGGTAGTAGATATAATAGTAGATACTTCTATGATCTACTAGCTTCAATATGAAGGTAGATCGAATCAGCTGATTTTTGTTTATTCTAATTTTGTTGTCATTGAAAAATTGTTTTTTATTCTAAGTAACATTGATCTCAATTGAATAAAATTAATTTGAAAATAATTTTATCACTCAATGAAACATATAAAATCAAATGAAAAATTTAGTTGATTACAGCTCATCAGAATCGGATGAATGTGAAAAAGAAGTGAAATTAAAAGATTCTGAAAAATGTAAAAGAAAACTTCCAATGCTTTTATCAGTGAGTGATAAAAAAATAAAGAATGAATGTCGTGAAGATCATCAAATGAGAATTCGGTCAATTCCACATGTTGAAGGCAACTGGGCAACTCACGTTTATGTCGATTGTAAGAATGAAAACAAACTTTAATGAAAGATTTGAACATAATTTTTTAATTTTAGGTCCTCTTAATGAAATATTTCTATCATTTCTGAAGGAGCATGAAGAATCTTCGCAAGATATTCATTCAATTGAATCCACACATGTCAGTCTCTCAAGGACTTTTATTCTTCGTTATCATTGGATTGACAACTTTTTCATTTCTTTACGAGAAAAGCTGAAACAGTCATGCAATCCTTGCACTATTGAGTTCTCATCTCAGATTGTTTATTACTCAAATGAAGACAAAACACGATGGTTCGCTTGCATCCTCGTAAATGAAAGCTTCACGCCCTCATTGAAAGCTTTAGTCAGCGCAGTTGATTCATGTCTGAATGAGTTCAATCTTCCAGTTTATTATGAAAATCCCTCGTTTCATATTTCAGTGTTCTGGAAGCTGACAGAATTTTCTGACGAAGAAAAAGCTGCGATCAGTCAAAAGATTAAAAATTTTATGGAACAAGAACACGAAATTTTTATTTTGCATATTGAGAAAATTTCTTGTAAAAGTGGAAATAAATTAATAAAAGTTTCTTTGTGAAAAAACTGATAAAAAATTTTTTTTGTTTACTTTTCTTATCAGTTTTTTAGAAAATAAAAACAAAGTCAGTGCAACAAAAATTTAAGTCATCTTTAAATATGAAAATAAATTACGAGAAAACAGTAAAAAGTGTCGAAGCATTTGATATTCGTTTTCCTACAAGTTTATCTGGAGATGGAAGTGATGCTATTCATAGTGATCCCGATTATTCTGTTTGTTATGTTATAATTAGGACAAATGATGATTTAAAAGGTCATGGAATGACGTTCACACTTGGGTAGTTTTTAAACTCTGTTCATGTTAACTCAGTGATTACAGGAATGTTTCTTTTTCAGGAAAGGGACAAACATTGTGTTAAATGCTGTTGAAAATCTGAAGTTTCTCGTGGAAAATCAATCGCTTAATGAAATATACAAAAATTTTGGTCTTTTCTGGAGAAAGTTGACAAGCGAATCTCAATTGAGATGGGTGAACAACCCAAAAATATTTAATTTTAATTTTAAAATCTAATTTTGATCTTAAATTTTAGCTTGGACCTGAGAAAGGTGTAATGCATCTTGCAGTTGCAGCAATTGTGAATGCTCTCTGGGATTTATGGGGAAAGTTGGAAGGAAAACCTGTTTGGAAACTTTTAACTGATATGGAACCTGAAGTAAATATTTCCATCCGTTCACTTTTACTATTCTTTAATTATTTTGTTTCAGTTTGTTGTGACTCTTCTTGACTTTCGATACTGCACCGATGTTTTAACCAAAGATGAAGCAATTCAGCTTCTCAAGAAAGGGAGTGAAGGGAAAACCCAACGAGTTGAAGAATTGCTTGAAACAGGCTATCGGGCATATACAACAGCAACCGGATGGCTCGGTTACAGTGACGAAAAAATGATCGAACTGTGTCAGAAATATATGAAAAAAGGTTTCGATGCATTCAAAATTAAAATTGGTCAAGATTTGAAACGCGATATTGAACGCTGCAAACTGATGAGAAATCAAATTGGATACGACAGAACATTTATGCTTGATTCTAATCAAATTTTTGATGTTGATCAAGCGATTGATTGGGTGATTAAATTAAAGGACTTCAAACCTTTATGGATTGAAGAGCCAACAAGTCCAGACGATATTTTAGGACATGCGAAAATTGCAGACGCTCTAAGGTAGGTATTTAATGTTTTATTTAATTTTCATAATTTTTTATATATTTTTCTGTTCAACGGCATAAGGCCATTCAATATTGGAGTTGCATCCGGTGAAATGATTGCCAATCGTGTAGTGTTTAAGCAATTCTTCCAAGGCATGTGTAATTAATTCGATAATTTATTCTTAATTTTAAATGTTGAATTCAACAGCCAATGCCTTCGAGTTTTGTCAAGTCGATTCAGCACGTATTGGAGGAGTCAATGAGATTTTACTTGTTTATCTGATGGCAAAAAAGTTTAACAAGAAAGTTTGTCCACATGCAGGTAAATAAAACAAATAAATTTTTAATTTTAAATTTACAAGAATTTATTTTTAGGAGGTGTTGGATTAAGTGAAATGGTTCAACATTTACAATTTTGGGATTATACTTCAGTTTCTGGCTCAAAAGAAGCTCGATATATAGAGTTTGTAGACCAACAGCATGATCAGTTTGTCAACCCAGCAACTGTACAGAATGCTTTTTATATTGCTAATTTATCACCAGGTTATAACACTGAATTGAAAGCTGAATGCGTTGAAAAATTCCAATACCCAATGGGAAGTGAATGGCAAAAACTGCTTAAAATAAACCATTATGCCGATTCTTCAACGTAGACAATTAGAAATGGATTTTAATGTATACGTGGTAGTAAATAGCAGCAACAAATAAAGAAAACATTTAAAATAAAAAATATAAAGGAAAATAATGATCTGTGAAAAATTATTTTTATTGACATTTCCAAAGATTTGAATTTTCCCACAATTAGTAAATGGCATGTGATGAATTTCTTAGATTTTGATATTCAGTGATATCACATTAATTAAAAATTTAATAAACATATTAAAATGATGAAGTTTTGAGAGGTACCCAAAGATCACAACCCCCAAATTCTAAACTTTTGAACAAACTTCAGTAGAATTGACATCTCTATATATATATAAGATTCATTCGTTTTGATTCATATATGATTATTTATGGTTCATGAAAATATGCTTTGAAAGATATCTTTTTGTTTTGAATTTCTTTTCACAGC